CCTGTGCTCAAATCAGTCTGCGCCACGCAAAGCCCCATGCACCCATGCATGTTTAGCTGTGTATGTTACCGCCATATTGGGAAAAGACCGCCGTGTTGGCATAGGAGTGTCTTGGGGGGCCGAGGCAGGGAGTTTGCCGTCACTGAAACATCACCGTCAGTGCGATGCGATGCGATGCGATGCGATTCTTGCTCTGGAAGATTCTAGTCGCCAAAGGGGGGGCTTAGCTGTAGCCCAGGTTCGCGTCTGCTGTCGTGACAGAAACAACCCGTGTCGCTTCTCATCCAACAGTCAACAGCCTCTAAAAAGACTTCAACAGTGGTGAAAAGTTGCAGTCTCGTTCCTCACAGCCATAGAGCGAGCTCGGTCCAGTAATAGAGCCAGTCGGGACATGGTATGTAAGGGTAAGCATCGGGCAGCGTCTCACCGCATCGAAATAGCATCAATGGCTAGTTTCCTGGTACCTGAAGATTATGTGACGTGCCAAATTTAGCATCTAGCTGGTTTTTTCCCTCTTCTGGCGCCAATAGCTATTATTACCTACACACGCATGAACAAGTCGGCCGCTAGCCGGCCTTCGCCCGGATCTCTCATGTGGCTGTGGTGCTTACCTAGTGAAATGAATCCTTCTGAGGCTGATACAACAGCTTTTGGTCACCGAGGACCTCGTGGGTTCGCTTTGGATGGACTCATCATAATCGTACGATGGAGTTGCTCGTCGGCAGCCTCGTAAACGGGCTTCGGCGACTCCTCTGCCCCTAGCTTCAGGAGGTCGCCGGGTGGCAAACAGGGACAACCGCGTTGCGCCCGGGGGATTTGGTGGGGAGGCGCCGGGTCTCCTGGCCGGCCGGGCTTGCATTGCCATCGGAGCGGGGCCCTTCGCCGGCTTCTAGTACCATCGCCACGCGGATCGAGTGTATGTAGCACGGAGGATGCTCCGATCGAAGGGGGGAGGTCACCATGGAGAAGGGGGGAGGAGGGTGGGGGTTTGAGAGGTTGAAGGTAGTACGGCAGCTGATATCTGCCACTTGGCATGCTCTGTCCAATCCTCATAGCCTTCCAAACCCCGGCAGCGTTGGTCCGCGCAGCAAGAGGAATGTAGCATCGGCCTTGCGCAGCTGCGGCAAAAGCCGTTGTCCAGTCGCTCCATCCGGAGCCCCGTTGTTAGTGTCGTCGATAGGGCAACTTCACGTGGAATAGGGGTGCTCTATCGCTCCATTTGGCAAGACTTGTTTAAGCTTTTGGATCCAGATCGGCTGCCGGGCCAGAGTCGATTTGCCTGTCCAGGCCCTTTCAGATCACACCAAGTCGATATAAGATTTGCTGGCTTGGACGAGCTTGTTCAGCTCATACGTAATCAGGCGCTTCAGCCGCTAAGAGAGAGCCGAGTGTTGTCGCTCTGTTTTCCGTTTCTGGGCCTTCTGCTCACTCACTCAGCCCAGTTGTGGCGCCTCCTTGTTCGTACTGTTCCTTTGCCTGGGCTGTCAGCTCTCTGGCTCCTCTTGCCGAGGTGGCAGCGGGCAACAAGAGGCAATAGCAGTTGACAACTCCCGAGCTGGGCAGCCAACTGAGGGACGAGCCAGAGAGGGCGCAAAGTGCAGACGAGGCAAGGAGGAGGAACTTTATTTTCAGCAAAGATGGTGGCTCAGCCCCCAAAAACCCGGGTGGGGTGTCGGGCGCTGCGTCGTCGTCCGTCGACTCCTTGGACCGACCGAGGCAGTTCAACCTTTTGAGAAACGCAGGCCGTTGTTCCGAGAGACCAGAAGACGCCGTTGGCTTGGCCACACATGGCGACTCAACTCAACGCTCGCCGTCAACGTGGAATGAGACTAGAGTCCCCGGGACACAGTCACCCCCGCGACTCGAGTCGACTGGCGTGCGTCTTGCCTGAAGCAGTTCGTCGCGGTGGAGCAAGTGCTTGCGTAGTCGTGTTAGATCGTCCACTCGTGCTGCTCGGGAATCCATGGTTGTAGATGCAAGCTTGGCAGCGAAATTGCGGTCTCCCCAGTTGTCACCAGATAACGGCATCGTCTTCAATTGCGAGGGGAGCAGCCAAACCCGCTGCTGCGTTTCACGACCAGCGCCCCCTTGCCAAGCTAACGTGCCAGTGGGAAAGGCGCGCGGAACGAGCCCCATGGCATGCAGTGTGATAGGGAGCAGCAGCGTGTCGCGGCTGAATGTGAGCTCGAGCTGGGTCAGCGTATCATCGTGGGGAGACGCCGGGGTGAGCCGAGATGAGGAGCCAATCTACCTGGCACTCGGAAGCAGATTGAAGTACTAGGTATACTGTCGTTGCCAGAGTTCCTTTGATGTACAGTACCTTGGTAGACGATTTGTAGCCATGTCGGTACCCGTTCGTATGTGTGGACTGATGTCAGATGGAGAGCGCGTCAGAGCAGGAGCTGAACTGACAGCAGTCGAGCAGGAGATACGAGGAGACGCAAGCAAGAGGGCGAGAAGCTTTTCTGCGTCGCCAGGTGTTGGAGACATCCGCAGCGGTTGGGTGAGCCAGCGACAGCCGGCCAGGAATGTGAGATGCAGGGAGTTAGGGTAGACAGTGTCAACTCACAGGCTGGTCCAGCCCACTGCCAGAACACGCACGCACACCAGAAGCACACCCAGACAGACACCCGCAGCCTGGCGATGATGTGATGGAGGGCTTCCGCGCTCACCATGACCAATATTGCAGCGTCTCGTGATCAGGCGGTTACGAGGCCAGGCACCTCCAGCGCCAGAAGGTTTCGATGGGTGGAAACCTTGGGAGGTCGAGCAATCGGCGCGTCTGAGGGACCTGAGCAGGATAGACGAGTACCCGACTGGCAGGTAGCGGGTTCGTGATCACCTCATCAGGCACTGGGTCCCTCCAGATTCCGCCCAGGGCAAATTACCTATGGAGGAGCGCCAGGCTAGCATCAGGCGTCGACCCGTCAAGTCACTTAACCTCCGAGCACGCGCTGGAACAACGTGGCAGAGGGGCTTCAAGGGTCTCGAGCGCTAGCCCGGTCGCGAACATGGAGTACTGAGTACAGACCAAACTTGTACCGCGAGACGTCAGTTCAAGTGCCTCCGAATGAGATTTGGATGATCTGACGCCTCAGGTTCCAACAAGGTAATACCTTCCTCCCTACTGCGTGCTCATTGCGAAGGGGAAGGTACTACCTACCTACTTACTGTACTATGTACTCTGCTTCGCGCCTACCTTACCTTTTCGTACTCGAGTTCCTTCCAGGTCTGTCACCGCGACGTTGGAGGGTGGGCAGGCGGCCGTTCCTTCCTCGGAACAAGTGCAATGTAACTGCGGATGAGTGGCGTTTTTCATCGCGGTCCTGCTAATCTGCTGCCATTTCTTTTTTTCTCTCTCATCTCCCATGATAACACGAACCCGCAGACACGATTCAATTTTAACACCCCGGACCCGGACCAGAGACCACATGGCAAGCCAGCCGGGGGCCAAGAGTCCGCCTTTCTCGAATCTGCACTGTCCTGGGCTGTCGGAACGCGCCCCGGCTCCCGCATGTCTTTGGTGACCCGACCTGATGAGGTACGAGGTACCTGGTCGAGAAAACTCCCTCTCTCACTTCATGACTCTCGTCGCGACAACGCGGGCCGTTCGCATCTCGAGCTCCCCTCGACAGCTGGAGTCCGTGTGTCTTCGCACCGAGCTCGGAGTGCTTCCGCAGGGAGGGCGCCCACTGGCTCGTTGCCTGCTCGAAAACTATCGGGCTGGTGCTTGCAAGCGCGCGGGCACCAGCTCAACGAACAGAAACCCAAAATCCTTTCCTCCCTCTGACGGCTCTCTCCTCGCCGACCAGACACAGACATGGCGTCGCTAGGGCTAAGCAGCCTCTGCCCCGCCAAAAAAACGGCGCTGGCGTACCAGCATGGCTTGTCAGAATCCAGTCTGTCGGGAGTGTGGCTCCAGCAAGGGATTGTCTCATGATCGCCCATCTCTGCGTGCGGCGCACGCTCCGTCAAATGCTGTCACACCGAATCAAGTCCGCGTAACGACGGAGCTTGCTCCAGGTTGCCCTGTACTGCATTCTTGTACTGTGCGCGTGCCCGCGTGAGAGAGCGACATATCTGACCTTGCCAAGTACAGCGCACACAGAGAGAGAGAGGGCAGGGAAAAGCGGCCCTGTCAGTCTGTCCGAACGAACCGCAGGCACGGCATCCCGCTCGCACTCCCATCCCAGCTCAGCCCAGCGCTGCTGCTTTCTGTCACCCTCCGCAAAAAGAGGCACGACGATATTACGCCGTATTTCGCATGTCCACATCACCTCTATTGCGAGCAGGGGAGGCTGGTTTGACCAAGAGGGCAGTCTCGCAAGGGGGGGCAAGCGCACAGCACAGTCAAAACCTGGCGTTTCTGCCAGGCCCTGCTCTGGAGCATCTCAATACTACTACTGGCAGTTTTTGTGCGCACTCTCTGGTGCATGTACGAGTAAACACGCACCTCTACATATTAGATCCCGGACCCTCGACGAGACCCGCCCAAAGCGCCCACCATCGGGCACTGGGCTCCCAAGTGACGTGCCAGAGCGGCTAGGCGACGTCTCCCCTTTGATATCCGTCCTCCTCGGGGGTGCTTCGCAGCCCTACCATGGCGTCCAACAGCTGCTGTGCTCCCTTCTAGCAGCCCTCTTGCCGCTACGCCACGAGAAGACACTGGCCATCTGCACGTGGATCAGAGGCGTGGCCGCATGCCTTCCAACGACGCAAAGGCGAGGCCGTGGTGATATGGATGCTTCGCTCGACGAGGTGGCTTGCGCGCTGCAGAGACGTGGGCGGCATCGTCGACCCGTGAGTGGTGCATCTCGCCCCAGCTCCCAGAGACCCGACATCCATGGAGACACACACGAATTAACGTGGGCGGGCTAGCCTTAGTACGAAATTCTTTGTGGAGGCTGGAACCTCTCCATGTACAAGTAGCTGCATTTTGCTATCTGGGGCTGTCTGGTCGCCCACGCTGCCTCTCTTTTAGCGCGCTTCCCGTGTCCAACATGGCCATCCATACGGTACGGGTATGAGACAAGAGGGCCTGCTACTACTGCTACTTACTATTACTACTGCTACCTGCCTGCTACCTGCTTCTAACTGGGGGTACAAGTACGCAAGACAAGCAAGGAGCTCTTCTATTTCAGACTTGCCAAGTACATCTCCCGATTTGCCGCCTAATAAGCTACCTGGGTCCCCTCCAAATTACCTCGTCCTCATCCTTATATTATATCGGAACCGGGGACTCTTGAGTGCGTGTGCGCAAAGTGAGCTGTGTGCGCCCCGGCCGGGTTCGTTTCGTGCTCTCTCCTTCTTCTTCTCCCCGCTCGCTGCCCGCTGGGATAGCTCGTCTTATCGCCTTAATAAGAGGGCGAGCCAGGGAGGAAGAAGACGGAAGCAAGCAAAAGAGAAGGGGAAAAGAGGGATCGGGACAACAAGACGGCCAGGCGGGCGTATGCCCATGTTCGCCCTCGTTTCTCGGCTGCCGATGTTCAACAGCTCCGTCGTTGGAGGATCCGGATGTCCCTGAACCCATTCCCTTCGGGGGACTTAGAAGCAGACCCGTTTCCCTCATCTGCTGCTGTCGCCGTCCAGGGCCCGCGACTCTCCGGTGGATCTGCTGACCTTGTTTTCTCAATACTTTTTTTCTCCTCTGCCCTGGACCTCTTCAACTTTTTTCTACCCTCTCCCTGTTGGCCCCCTTCCACCACCGTTGACATAATATACCGTTACCCAGTATCCCCCTACCAAGCTCAAGGTCATGGTTGTTGTGGCTGTCGAGTATATGGATCTCACCCTCTGTTTGCTTGACGAGGCAACTTATTCAGACCCCTCCAATATCTCCTCCGTCAGTATATCCCACAGCCCAAAAAGCCCGCTGTCAGCGCCGCATAATTACGCCAGCTCCCGCCCTCCCCTCCCCCTTGCGGACCTCCATCCTCAACAACTTTCTTCCGGACTCGAGCGATAGGTCGCTACTTATGCGGCCAAATCACATTGGGCCCTAAATGTCAACTCCTGCAGTAAGTGGTTCACTCGGTGTATCAAGTTTCTCCCCCCCTCTTCCTCTCTTTCTCCTCTCCTCTTCCTTTCCCCTCCCCCTCCCTCCTCTACCTCCCTCCCAAATCACCGCTCGCTTCGAAACAGTGGCCGACTTACCTCTCCCTTCTCTCCCTTGTGTTCACCACAGCAAAAAGCCAACCTCGCTCGCATCCGAGATAACCAGAGAAGATCTCGGGCTCGGAGGAGAGAGTACATTGCGGAGCTCGAGCAGCGCCTGAGGGCGTATGAACTATCCGGTGTCGAAGCAAGTTCCGAGGTACAGCTCGCTGCCCGACGAGTGGCTGAAGAGAACAGACAGCTTCGGGAACTCTTGCACAAGCACGGCTTCCAAGACGAATACGTCTCCTCGTTTCTCCTCCAGCAGGCGGGGACGTCTTCGTCAACGGACCCAGTTCAGGCGTTGCAGCAGATCATCACTCCTCGACGGCCCGTGGCGCTGGAATCAGGCGTGCCCTTTGCCATGCCGAGCCAGGTGACGAGGGAAATGGCATCGGGAAGCTTATCAGCGGCCAGCGCGGCCCCCTGGGACCCTCAGCAGGTCGCAATGTCGCCGTTTGCACATCCTCACGTTGCGGCTCAGCAGCCAGTGGTGCCGCCAGCGCAGCATCCTTACACGTCGCCAGTCTTCACCGAGGGACCAGCGGCCTCCCTGAGATCGTCGTCCTTCCAGCAGATGAATCCTTCAACATCGCTACTCGACGACGTGTCCCAGCACAGCGGGACTACTCAGCCTTCCGTCGGGGAAAATCCCGCAGCGATGAACTACATCCATATGAACCCGTACCAAAACCCTTCAGCCCGTGATTTCCCCCCTGGACCTCCCCCGCCCCCGCCTCCTCCCGGCGGTGGCTATTATTGATTTAGCAAGAGAAACCGAAGACGGATTTACGCACGACGACCCATTCACATGTACGAGACGATCAGACGGACTACTCGAGCAAAGACTCGCGCCGTCCGCGAGCACACGGCACTCCATCGGCGTGGTCGTATGGACTACCACGTTATTAGGGTGCCCCATCTGCCGGATGGGTTGGACAAATCAAACGACCGGCTCCCAGTTACAATGTGCGCAAAGGCACGAAACTGCCAACAGACGGGCCAGGCCAGTACTTGAACGAACGTCGTTCATGGTCATACGCGATAGCTTGGATATACGGAACGGTCTTGACATTCAACAAGTGGCCAAAGGATATCTCAGATGTTTCCGGGAATGATCCACGATATACCAGACGCCAATCATATCCACCTATGTGAGGCTCAAGGACCCCAAGGTTGAAAATGATCCACGGGATAGCCTTTGGGGCATTTCGATAGGAGACAATGTGTGTCTGAAGGCAGGACCCATCCAAGGTTCCTGGCATCGAGCTGGGGAGCAGGCAGGCCGACTACAAAGCACATAAGCTGCCAACGCTGCATCTTTGTCTTCTTCAAGGCAACTCGAGCGAGGTCCATTTGGGTAGCACAGGAACAATGGTCAACGGCAGAATGGTTGGCTGATGGAAGATGAGAGATGAAGAATGCAGCAGAGAGAAATCACGACTTTGATTCTGGTGCTTGCTTGTAGGCAAGGTGAAGTAGACGTGTGAAGCTGCGCAGTGTATTATAAGTGGCGAGTCGATATACCCCGAGGGCGATGGAGTTGATACGGAGCCGGGCGGCAACCTGTTGGATATACTAGGTAGCTTTGAATGATTACTTGGCCCATCCGTTGCTGAAGGATGGAAGACTGTCAAGAGTACTAGTCTCCCTTGTCTGCTATTGCTCCGTCAAGGCAGTCTGCTTACCATTTGGAGCAATCTATTGTCGACCTAGTATATATTTACTGGTACTACGTCAGAGCAGATATTGGGGCTAGGCGAAAAGGACTGAGCTTTACTAAGTACCCTACCTACGTAAGCTACCTAGGTAGGTAGTCTGCAGGATCAAGATGGTTTATACGGCCTGGGTAAGATGCGAGAGGGGAAGTAAAGGCGCGCTGACGGAAGGAGTAACTTGATCGCGCGGCTAAACGGCTGGGAGAGAAGGCAAACGAGCTGAGGGTCTAGAAGGGTAATGTTACCGCGAAGATGGGATTAAGGGTGTATGTGTGGTGTGAGAAACGTACCGTTATCGAGACTTGAAGAGTGTTTGTTGGTTGCAAGGTGTTGTGTGGCTTTTGAATTGGCTGAATGGAGATGTCTATATTGATAGTACCTGATGGTTTGTCTGACATGCGAGGGTTCTTTTTGGAGGACAACAGCCCATGTACATTCTAGCAAATGAGAAACCTGCATGATTCCAGAGTGCTTATTTTGAGATATTTGCCTAAGAGGGGATTCGAGTAGAGGGAAGAGATGGCAGGAAATTCCCGATTAGTTGGACTGTAGGGTAACACAATGCACGCAGAACTGCTGCTGTGGTACTATGTACTGTAATCTAACCCTAGGTAGGTACCTTAGGTACCTAACATATCACTGGCCATTTGATCCAAATGCAGCAGAATATATATCGCAATACTTGATTGAGAGAGATGCTCATCACCTCAGTGGCATGGCGCCTAAATCAAACAAAAAAACAATTCATCACTGCTGTGCCCATCAACCAAAAAGACGTCCTGTCCAATATCCCGTAGCCCCGAACCTGCACCCGCAAAAACATGGATCTCCACTTGTCCGAGCAAAGAGCACGTGCCCGGCGCTGCCCCGACAAAAGCTCGGTAGTTCGGAATCGACCCGCCATGGCGTAATTCCGCCCAAGCCATACCTTTACCACCCGCCACTAAAAATCTACATCATCAGCCCGGCCTCGGTCTTCCAGGTTCTTCTACTACAAATCCCGTTGTTCTTCTCTCGCTTTGTTTTTTCCCTTCCAGCGCACACTCCCTTTGACTTACCGCATTCTCCACAAGATCTGTCAAAAGCAATAGACGGACTTCATCGCGAGAGCAAAAGGCATCGGCAAGATTGAGAGACAATGAGAGGAGGTGCGCGGCCGCTGAGCCGGCTGAGCTCGTCGCCGGCGTGTTGCGCCAGGAGCCGACGATTTGCCAGGGCGTTTCGGGTGCAGTCGGCACAGCGGATGGTCATGAGAGCAGGGCTGAACGGCGGCATCAGGAGGTTGCCCGGGACGAGAGACGAGGAATGGACGTGCTTGGGGTCTTTGGCGACGAGGAGGGCGATGGCGACGGTGTCCGACCGGGCGGTCGAGAGCTGGGGGCCGCTGGAGGAGTATGACCGGCGGGTGGAGGCTGGGATTCTGCGCAACGACGAGCATCAACGAGGTGAGCCTCCCCAAATTTGAACTCGACGGCGAGCTTTTCCCGAGGACACGTACTGACTGGGTTGCCCATAGGCATCATTGAGAACTTGCAGCACCTGCACAATGAGCTGCGCAACTACCGCGCGCCCCCCGTCGTCCACCCCAGCCTCGACGACCTCAAGCCCGCCAAAAAGTCCGTCTTATCCTCGCTCTTCGGCGGCGGCGGCGGCGTCAGCAGGAGGGCTACGATCAAGGACATTCCCGAGAACCTGCCCCGGGGCCTGTACCTCTACGGCGACGTGGGCAGCGGCAAGACGATGCTCATGGACCTCTTTTACGAGACCCTGCCGAGCTCGGTCAGGTCCAAGACGAGGATACACTTTCACAACTTTATGCAGGATGTCCACAAGAGGTTGCACAAGCTGAAGATGCAGCATGGAAGCCATATTGACGCCGTGCCGTTTGTGGCGGCGGACATTGCCGAGCAGGGGAATGTGCTGTGCTTTGATGAGTTTCAGTGTACGGATGTGGCAGATGCCATGATTCTGCGGAGGTAGGTTCTCCTCTCCTGGAGACTCCGACTTCATGCTTGCCATGAGTGCTGACAAGGCGATCACAAGGCTACTAGAATGCCTCATGTCTCACGGCGTGGTCCTGGTGACGACGTCAAACCGGCACCCAGACGACCTCTACAAGAACGGCATCCAGCGGGAGTCTTTCATCCCCGCAATCACGCTGCTCAAGAACCGACTGCACGTCATCAACCTCGACTCCCCAACCGACTACCGTAAGATCCCGCGGCCGCCGTCGGGTGTTTACCACACGGCGCTGGACCAGCACGCGGCGTCGCACGCGGAGAAGTGGTTCCGCTTCCTGGGCGACCCGGACAACTTTGCGCCGCACTCGGAAGTGCAAAAGGTCTGGGGCCGCGAGATCTTTGTGCCGCGCGTCAGCGGGCGCTGCGCGTGGTTCACCTTTGACGAGCTCATCCGGAAGCCCAAGTCTGCGGCGGACTACCTCGAGCTGGTGCGCAAGTACGACGCCTTCATCGTGACCGACGTGCCGGCCATGACGATCCGCGAACGGGACCTGGCGCGGCGCTTTATCACCTTTATCGATGCCGTGTACGAGGGCAACGCGAAGCTGGTGCTCACGACGGAGAAGCCCCTTGCCGAGCTCTTTGTCTCGCGGGACGAGGTCGCCGAGACGCTGCTGCAGGCGAACCAGAGCAACAGTGCCGCGGACAACAAGGACGCGACGCGGCATGTCCTGGAGAACATGGAGCACAACGTCGAGAAGCTCAAGGACACGGGCCTGTTTGCGGGCGAGGAGGAGGCCTTTGCGTTTGCGCGGGCGCTGAGCCGGCTGAGCCACATGGAGAGCAAGGAGTGGGTTGAGAGGGGCCTTGGCTTGGAGAGCCAGGGCGGGAAGGAGGACAAGGATAGCTGGACGAAGACGAGGAGTCGGCAGATGGAGGATTCGATGTGATTTTTTTTGTTTCTTCTCAGTGAATGCTCTTTGGTTGTGGGAGGAGTGAAGAGGTTGTGTAGGTATGTACTTGGGAGTGTGGCTGTCTTTGCTCTTGTTTCGAATACCCTGAGCGGCATTTTTTTCTTTACTTGTTTGAGTATCTTGTTCGCTTAGATGGACGGGAGGACATCATGGGTAGATACACTTGTCGTGTACGAAGTATATGTATGTATGTATGTATGTATATGTATCTGGGCGATGTATGAGCAGCATAGACGGAGCAGAGCGAACATGCAGATTGACGACTCGAGACAAGTGATTAATGATACTCTAAAAAAAATCCTTGAGTCTGCAAATGAATGACTGGTAAGATGATGGGTTTGGAGATCTAGTCTGAAGGCAAATCTCGACAAAGTACGACGCCGCTATTCAGGTTTCATTGACCAGAGACAAGTCTTTGAAGTCGGGGCTATTTCTGGATGTGAGAAGCAGGGAGGGAGGAAGCTAGAAGAAGAAGCCCTGTGCGGGAAACGGCGAGCAAAGATGCCCGTGACTGATACATGGCTATTTCGTTTACCTGTAGTTGAGACGGCGGAAGAGGCCGTGGATGGGCTGGATTCGAGGACAACGATGGAAGAGGCCGCCGATATGGAGCTTGACGGCCGTGCACATGTTTGCAAAGGGAGAAAGCTGCAACAGGCACAGGGCTTTGGGCATCGGGTATGGCGAGTTATAGGAGGGATCTTTGTGTGTTTTGTTCTGGAAGATGGGGATACTTTACTCGAAGAGAGGTACGGAGTTGTGGTAAGACGAGGCGGAGATGCCTGCTTTTCTGACAGCTGGACTCGTGTAGATTTGCTGGGATTCCATGCAGACAGCCATTGAACCCTGACATGTACGTAGAAACGCTTTGGTGCTCAAGGGCAACGGAACAGCCGCCTATGTACGTATCATCAAACCACACAAACTATCTATAGCAAACAGACAACATTCATTTACGTATGTACATCATGACATAGGTCCTTCCTTTGCGGATGGCCTGAGATGCAACTGATGCATGAGGCGCGGGACGACGGGACGGGCAAGGGCCAGCCTTGGATCCTGACGGGGATTCATTGCTCTGAGACACACCGACACGACACACGGCATGGAGCTTGTAAGCCAAGGGCCCCCAGGGGGGGGGGTTGTTTGTTTCGATCCTTGATTGCGGCTGAAGTGATGGGCTGACCGAGCAGGACTGTTTCCTGTTTTGTTCCTACAGGACTCTTGTTGTACGTACCTAAGGTATGCAGAATTGACTGTGGCCGCACCGCACTGCGGCGAGTAAAACGTGGCATTTCTTCTGCAGCAAGGATTGATACCTTACCTAGGTAGACCGAGTGTACTAGATATTGCATGGGCTGAGCAGCAGATACTAGTATGTACATTGTCGAATCCTTAGCGAGAGCCGGGAAGGATGAAGAAAAAAAAAAGCGCCTATTCCCGCCCTCCACGCGCGAATTGCCAAAAAGAGCGTGTGCGCGAGAGGGAATCGCCTGTCTCTTCGGGGGTGGTGTTGGAAGGGGATGGGATTGCACGGTCCCCTTTTCTGGTATATTTGCATGCACTCGTCCGATCTGCCCCCGCAGGAAGAACGAGGGTGTGTGTCTTTGTTTCGTTTTCTGGGTGACCTCCGGCCCGAGAAGCGAAATGGGCAGAGAGAGCGAGACGGGTAGTAATACTAGCATTGAGTGTTTTTTTGAGGGAGGATGCCGGAGAGTGTGTAAGTGTTGGCTTCGTTGTGATGCGTGCGATGGCTTGATTCAGCCTTGGATGTTAGTCCAGGGGAGGTGAGTGAGCGCTTAAGGTGACCGGATGTGGCGCGAATTTGGCTCGCATGTCCCTTGGATGTTCTATAAGCTTCTTTTCGTCGTCGCAGAGGTTTCCCCTTTTTGCGAGTGCCGAACAAGACGGGTGCAAGAGGGGATACTAGTAGTAGGTACCTACCTACATATGGCCTTTGAAGAAAAGAAGGGATACTAATACAGTAGAGAGAGAAAAATGGCGTACTTGCCAGGGCTGCATAGGAAGCACCACTGTCACGACGCAGCTTGCACGCCAAGGCGGAAGGGGACTGTTTCATGAATCCTGGCTAGCTCGGGAGCGAGTAGAATGCTGGTGGTGTTTAGTCGAGACGGGCAAAGCGAAAAAGAAGGTGAGTGAGGTCATGGTAGGGATTGAAGATGGGAGAGCTGGTCTGAGGCAGAAGAGGGCGAGGATACGAGACGGGAGCGCTCCGGGGGAGGGGAAAACGAGCAAGATGCCGTTGTGGTCGTCTGGGGCGGATGTTGGATGCTGGATCACTGCGTGCTGGTTGGTGTATCTGTGCCCGGGAGGGAGTGGTAATGGACTTCTCTGCAGCAGTGAGCAATATCCGGATGACTCTGCGTTGGTCTGGGTGCTTAACACTGTACAGTACAGTAGTACTGATTCGAAATCGTTGCGCCAGTTGACAAATCTGAAGCCACCCATCCATCCATCCATCCTCGTTGGGACGAAGCAGGGGAGCAGCGCATTATCGCAACCTGCTGAAGCCCGAGTACAGCTACCAGGTCCACCGTCACGCAACTGCTGCCCGTCGAGTAATGATACCTGCAGGCCGTTGTCTCGAGTTAACAAACAGCACAAAGAGCGAAACCTCGTTCGACAGAGCAGAACAGAACAGCACGACTGTGATCCGATGGTCCCGTCGTGGGCTGCGGCGGATATTGCAAGGGGAGACGAGCCAGGGAGAAGGCGGCAAAGGGCTCGATAACGCCATGATGGATGCGGCATGGCGCACCTTGACTTGCACCCCTGGCATCACAAGTAAGTTCTGCTTCTGCTTGTGCTTCGGTATCTGTACAGTACCTGCATGGATCTCTCGTCTTGGCTGCGTTGTTTCTGAGAGCAAAAAGTCAAGCAGACAGACAGGGCAGGGCAGGGCAGGGATTCATGCAAACCTATGCAGGCAGGGCCCGGGGTCCGAGTGACGAACTGGGAGCCAAGCAGCGCGCAGGCCGCCGCCGCACGGGCCAATGACAGCATCCGCTGCTGCATTCAGTGGCTGCGGTTCCTGGATTAGCGCATCCTGCCAGGGGGGGCCAGCAGCCAATGGCGGCGCCGCGGTGCCTGAGCCAGGGGGTCGCCGGTCCCCTGTGCGGATCCTGGCGGGCTTCCAGGCCTGTGGAGAGAGCTTTTGCAGGCTGGAGTCTAGGTACTGAGGTGAGCTTGGAGGGAGAAGCTGGGCCAACTGGGCAGCTGGAAGCTACTGTACCGACGGTTCAAGTTTGCTTGTTTGGTCGACAACGGCGCTGATCCTCATATGGGCTGCTTGTGGTGACAGGGAGGGGTCAATCGGCGTCTAATGCGCCGTTGGTACTCATACCCGTACTATTAGCATTTATCATAGGAGTACTGGTACCAGCTGTGTCAAATCGACTGGAGGCTCGACTGTCGGTCATGCAGCAGCTCTTGACAGCCCGCTGCCGTGCACGAATGCACAGCATCAAATCTCGTGTTCCCGCTGCCAGTAACTGCCAAGTACCGGTACAAAGCCGCCTCTCGAGCTGCTGCAGCTGCTCCGCCGGCACCTCTGTAGTGGAGTGCCTGCCAGCTGTGGCCTCGGCTGGTGATTCGCTCCAGCCAGCCCGCCTCTCGCAACGCTCATGTTGGGCGCTTGCACGGCTGCCAGGGCCTCGTCCAGATGGGGGCAGCCCAGCAGCGCGGCCAGGTACCAGTACCTCGTATGTACTCACGGAACCCTGCCCTGGACACCTCGACCTTGAACTGAGGTGGCCCGCCCAGGTTCTTCCCCAGCTGCCGCTCGCTCGCTTCCTCTCGCCTCTCCTCTTTTTTTTTCCTTCCTTTTCCTCCGCCTCTCACCACCACACAGCATCGCCTCTGCTAGCGAGCGATTGTGCAGCCTGGGCTCTGCGTCAGTTCCCCTCGAGAGCTGCGCTCAGTCCGTCCATTCATTCATTCGTTGATTGATTGATTTCGCCTTGCGATCCAAGCCATTCTTTTCAGCAGCGCAGCCGTCAAGCACCTCGACTCCTCTGTCTGGTCGAGTCTTTGTTCACTCTCTCTGGCTCATCTCGCGCTGCCATTTGCATCATCTCACCAGTCATTTAATCTTGAGTCAAACCGGGGCCTAGCATTGTTCCGTCGTCTTGCGCCTCGACTTCAGCTGGCCGTGGTTCCCTCATTTCCCTCAGCATCAGCATTCCCGAGACAATTTGTCTCTCCCCGCCGTCGAAGGACACGCTCCTTGACTCAATAGTCACCACCTTCGTTCTCCCTCCAATTGCTGCCGTCCGCGTTCCAGACGGCGACTTTCCCCCCAGCCTCGTTCGACTTTGCAACTCAGTCGCCAATATATCCAGAGGCTGCGGCGACCACTCACGACGTTTTCTGCTCGTGAAGCCAAAACTCTTTCCTCTTCTTCCTTCCTTGATACCCCGGACATCCCGCCTCACCGTGTCTGCAGCGACACTCTGGACAAGATGCCCAACTCTCACCGGCACTTCCACCGTCACCGAGACATTATCGACGACATCGAGAACATCATCAATGGCGTCAATCCCGACGACGAGCCTCATCGACAGAGCCCCAAGGTTCAGGCCAACAATGTCGAGAGAGGTAAGTACCTAATGGCTCTTTGACTCGGATGGCCCGAGGGCTTATTCCATCCAGACTTGTGTTACCTGCTTGACATGCTGACTCCCTCCTAGAGCAGTCCACCGTGGTTCAGGTCGTCTACAAGACCATGAAGCCGACCTTTTCTGGCCCAATTGGTGGTTACGTGACCATCCACTCGACACCCCCGGCCAAGGAGACTCCAAAGCCTGAACCTACCCCTAGCAAGAAGCCCGAGGTCAAGGAGACGCCCACCCCAAAGGAATCCCCCAAGGAGACGCCCAAGCCAAGCCCGAAAGAGACGCCCAAGGAGACTCCCACTCCCAAGGAATCCCCCAAGCCGACGCCGACCCCGAGCCAGGAAGCAAAGGCGCCCAAGGAGAGCTCTGCCGTGCCCAGCGCCATTTCCTCTCCTCAGCAGAGCCCCTCCTCCTCCGTCGATGATCTCGCCAAGGCTACCGGTTCCCCCACGCACGGCTCGTCGCCGACAACGGTGGCTGTCGACGGCAATCGAGCTCACAGCCCCTCTGCCTCGGCCACTCTGGACCCGGCCGCGGCGTCATCCCCCAGCAGCGTCAGCGACTCCAGCTCCAGCTCCGGCACCAGCGCCGGCGCCAAGGCGGGAATTGCCCTGGGTGTGCTTGGTGGTGTCCTCGTTCTGGGATTGCTCATCTTCTTCCTCGTCAGCCGCCGCAGAAAGCAGGCTGAGCGCGAAGAGCTTTCAGGTGACGATGAAAAGGCCCAAGCGACGCCTCCTCCTGCTGCTCCTGCTCCTGCTCCTGCTCCTGCTCCTGCTCCTGCTCCTGCTCCTGCTCCTGCTGCTGCTGCCGTTCCTGCTGCTACGGCCGCCGGAGCTGCCGTCCACCACCAGCCAATTGCGGTGGCTGAACCAAAGCCCGTTGCACGCGCACTTACTCCCGAGATCTCTCCAGCACCGTCACCCGAGCCTCTCGAGCCTGTTGAACCTGTCGAGGAGATGGTCCGTACAAACCCGATTGCGCCGCGCATCAGCCTCCGGCCCGCCTCCCAATTCGGCTGGGACCTCGAGAAGCAGGCCGCCGCGGGAGCCGAGGCTGCCGCCGTCGGTGTTGCTGTGACTGGCAATGCTGCGGATCGACCCGACACCAGCCAGAGCAACAACCCTGCGAATCCCTTTGGCCAGCAAGCCGAGCGTGTTCCCTCTCCTGTCCAGGACCCTCCCGCCGCTCGTCCCACGCCCACGTACAAGCCCTACTCGCCCACCGTCGCGTCCATGAGCGACAAGGCGCCGACCCCGGAAGTGTCGAAGGCTGGAGAGGCTGCGGTGGCTACTGCGGCTGTGGCCACCACGGCCGCGGTCGTTGCTGCTGGAGCCGCGACGCTGACTCGCAAGACGTCAATCCGAAACCAGAACTCCAAGGCTCCTGTTGACCTGACCGTGACCACCAACCTCGACACGGTTCCCCCAAGCCCCGTGGGTACCGACTACAGCGCCTCGTCAGCCTCTCCCGTCCCTGGCGCTGCGCCTTCGCCTGGTGCCGCCGCCATTGCCGCGGCCGGTGGCCCTGCCAACTCGACTGTCCACCGCGTGCAACTGGATTTCAAGCCCACTCTCGAGGACGAATTGGAGCTCAAGGCCGGCGACCTGGTGCGCCTCCTCCACGAATATGACGATGGCTGGGTGAGTACTTTTCTTGTTCTTCTTTTACGTCATCACTGCTCCAGCATTTGCTAACCTCACATGAAAAATCAGGCGCTTGTCATCCGTCTGGATAGGTCCCGACAGGGTGTTGTCCCTCGCACGTGTCTATCTACCCGTCCAGTGAAGCCTCGCCCGCCCCAGGGACGTCCTCCCGTCCCGGCAGCCGGCGGTCCCCCTCGCGGAACCAACTCTCCCACTGGCCAGCGACCGATGACTCCCCAAGGCCAGCGCCCAATGACGCCCCAGGGCATGCGCGGTCCCAACGGCACTCCCAATGGAGCTCCCAGGATGGGACCTGGCCCCGGATCGCGCCCCGCCTCGCCTGCCGGTCCGAGGATGAACGCCAACGGAAGCCGACCGCAGTCGCCCATGGGCCGCCCGATGAGCCCCGGGCCAAAGTTCCAGGGACCTCCCACCAGCCGCCCCCAGAGCCCCAGCGGAATGAGCCAACGCGGAAGCCCTCCGGTTTCCAGCCCATTGAACCCCAACTCGTCGTCGCCCGCATCGTCACCGACAGACTCTCCGTCGGGACCTTCAGCAGGGTCCATCGGCAGGAAGCCTGTTCCCGGCCAGGCCTATTGATCGGATAGTCAAGGCGCAGATCATTGTACATTTGCCATCCGCGTATTGGCCTTGCGCACAGATTTTTGGGCGTCGACGCAACATCTGGGTAAAAAGGGGCGGTGCTGGGCGTTTTTGAGAGGTATCTACGCGCAAAGCAAGCATCTCGGCGGCAGACTGGGGATGTGAGATTCCATTTCACTTTTCCATCTGCCGGCTGACTTGGTTTCTGCCTTACGGCCTTTATTTTCTCTTGTTTCTCATGTGTTGTCGATAATGGTTTTCTATTTTCTCTCTTCTCTTCATCATTCTATACGGCTGATCTCAGCATTTTCATTTGACCTGTGTATATACCATTCACATACGCAAAGGCTTAGCCTCGCTCTCACCTGTTGTACGTACTTTGGACTGCGGTGCGGTGGCAGGTGGCCCAACACCGGGTCATGTTGAGAGGGCGTGTGTGACACTGTTACAAGCAGGACTTGAGCCCGGCCAATGGCTGACTTGTATTCTATCTCTTCACTTCTTCTTGACCCCTTTTACACTCCCCCTTTTTCTTTTACCTTTTCACTTTACCACTCGATCCCACGGGATGTGACGAAGCTGCAGAGTTGGACAGCACTCATGTTGAAGATTACGATGGCAGGAAGGCAAGTCTATATGACCCGATGAGGGGACTGAGACGTCATGGAACGATTATGTGTTGGCCAGGAAGATCAAGTCCATAGTTACTGATATCAAGATGACATGTTCAAGATTTTGGGGTCGGTGCTTCTTTGTGATTCCGTGAGATGAAATGAGCGACGCCTTCTCGGTTTATATGTGTTGTTGGTTCGGAAGAGACGGTGCGTCCACGTGGGCTGAATGGAGAAGAGGTGAGGCTAGTGAGGCGAACCACGGGCACGGATCAGGTGGTATCGGGGTGATGAGGTTGGCCAACGACAATAGGCGTTGGTTGGGGAGGAAGGGGTCGAGTAATTTCCCAAGGTGATGATGGTGAGGCACTTGAATGGTAAAGTGAAGCCTTTGTTTGCGTTGGATGGTGAGATTGGAGATGTTGGCTTGTTGTAGTATTGAGTACCTGAGCAGGTCGGTAGTAGTAGGTATGTGATGCCTGAGGCAAGTCGTCAAAGAAAGGAAGGCATCGCGATATCGCGCTTTCCTTCGAGGATATCTAGTGTCTTCACCGCTATCTTGGTACATATGAAGGTTAAGTTATTTACTTAGGTTATTGACGAGTTTCGATTATCAAGCAGACAAGCCTCGCTTGGATAAAGCATCTCGGCGAAACACGTCACATTGTTGACTCTTTGACAATATAACCATTCTTGACCGCATGCAAACAAGAGTCATCCAATCTCCCCGCCTCAACAGCTTCCATCAATCAATCGAATGATAAGATACCTAACCTCCATCCCCAATCCCATCCGTGCGTTTTAATCGTTCTTTGCCCCCCCTCCTTGGCATCGGCATCAAGGCCTCGCAGCACCATTGATGGCCGACATTGTTCTCTCAAAGCAGAGAGCATCAAGACTGGTCTAGACCATCGCCTCTTTAAAAACCAACTCTATTCTCGCCAGTGTGTTAGTATTGCGATATATGACTGCATCGCAACTCAAATAGAGAGAAGGCTAACCCGACTTTCTCCTCACGTTTCACCAGAAAAACAGAGAGGACGCAGAGTCCATGAAACTAGGACCTGGGGTTTTTGACGCACGTTGAGCGGAGAGGTCAGAGAGTCAGGATAGCTGCACGCACGGATTCTCTTCTTTTTCTTCCACCCTCCCTCCCCTTTTTCAAACTTTGCCCACCCGACTGTTCATCCCATATCCCCCATTCGTCAATCTCAATCTCGTTTACAGGCCAGGTCCTTGTTCATACGGTACTTGCGTTTTTTTTTTTTTCCTCGAGATTTTTGGTTCTCGTGGGGGCGTTCGTTGTCTTTAGGCTTGGACAGCTGACCCGGACCAGCTGCCACCGCACTGTCTTTCCTCCCCCCCGTTTCCTCGTGCTGCATGCATGTCTTGGTTTTCTCGGAAACTTGTTTGCTCCACCCCAACTGTACTTGTTTCTTCTTCTTCCTCTTCTTCTTCATTCTCGAATTCTGGGGGGTGTCTGTGTGTGAGGCCCAGTGACTGGACTGGACTGGGGATCCTCGTGGGCTCGGGCTATTAAATTACGGGGAAGCCTGTCATTCCTTTTGTCGTCGTCGTTTGTCGTCGTTTATTTCCCTTTCTCCTTTGCTCATGTCAATCACTATTTAAACCGTTTTTTTTTTCTGCCACTGGGAAAACAGCTTTCATCTCGAACCCACCAGACAAACGGCACAAAACCACCAAACAAGATCGATTTGACACTCATATCCTCCATCATGAAGTCTCTCTCCGTCCTCCTCCTCACCCTGGCGTCCACCGCCGTTGCCGTTCCCGCAAACAAATACCTCCCCGTCATCACGCCGACCCCCGTCGTGGCTCGTCACGTCCCAGCCGTCGCGGTAATACATCCCTCTCCTCCTTTTCCTCCTCCTCCTCCTCCTCTTCCTCATCCCCTCCATCTCCCTGGCTTCAATCGCCTCTCTCACGACAACGACAACAACAACAACAACAGCACTAACACTGACAACAACAAGTCTGCCCCCGCTGCTCCTGCCAACGACGATGGAACGACGTGCGAGCAAATCACCCTCGGTGGCAACGGCAAAGTTGGCAAGACCACCCTCGAGGGAAAGTGCACCAACAACAAGGGCGAGTGGTGGAAGACGAGCATCAACCTGAATGAGTGCATCACCAACGTGGGCGGCAAGTTGCAGTATCTGCCCGAGTGAGTCTTTTCCATTCTTTTTCCTCACCCCTCACTCTCTCACCATAACTCTCTCTTTCAATTGTCCGTTTACGACTTGAAAGTTGGCAAGTTGGGGTGATGCATATGCTGATTTAATCCTGTGAATGAAAAAGTGGTGGCTTCGATGCCTCGTGCAGGCCGTGCACCATCGACACCGTCCCCGGCGGCGCGGAAATCAACCTCAAGTGCAACTGCCTCGACTGGAAGCGCATTCCCAAGTTTACTTACCTGGAGATGGGCGACCGCGGTAAGTTCTGGCTTCTTTTGTGTTCAATTCTTCTTGATGGCAATTAGAGGGGGCAAAATGCTAATGTGTGGCAGTTGATACTTCGGGGGCTGTCAAGCTGGTTGATGGGCGCTTTGTCTGCGGTGACCGCACTGGTGACAAGAGCCCCCTCTTGTAGAGTGAGGATAGTTTTAGAGGCTTTCTTTACCTAGGTATAAGAAAAGGGATGAGGATTGTACATGAGAAATGGATAGACTGATATGATACTGGGAGGTGCCAGCCTTGGCCGTACATATGAAGAGTACAAATGGAAGCTCGATTGATCTATATAGATCTGATTTCTGGGGATCGATAACATCGTCTTGTTAATTGAATTCTTCACTGTTCCATTGATCAATGATATCCCGTTCCCGACTCGTCGCATTTATGTTCTTCGTGTGCTCTCAGGCCAAAAACTTTGACCTTTCTTCTTCTGGGGGGATTCGGTTTAAGTCTGCTGCAGATACGGGCTGAGGGAGGACTCGGCGATTTGAGTAAATGCCATCTTGGAAGGTTTTGTGAAGAGAGTTGCGTGAATTGGGCTAGTTTGATGGTATCTTGGGTGAGAATGTTTTGACTGTTTCTTTTTTTTTTCTTTTTGCATATAGATGCATGCAACAAGGATGAAAGATGGAGATGGAAGGAAGATTGCTTCTTTTTTATGGATTGCAGAAGAAGTTGAAAATTGGGCAGTGACTTGACAGGGGGATCTAGGGTAAGGATAAGGGGGGGCCTTGCTGGATGACAGCCGGTAGTGCTGATATCGGGATGTCTGAGGTGTCAAGACACCTTTCATTGTGAAAGCCGTTTCGAGTACCTCGTCTTTTAACGTCCTTCTACTAGACCTATATGAATCTACTTACCCACTTATACATCTATGACGCAAAGATGTGCTGCAAGTCTACCAAGACACCCATCCTTCTCTTCACTCGTCCACTGGGCAAGGCACGCCTGGAGATTATGCTCGAGTCATGGAATAATTAGGTTAATACCTAGATACTGTTATCAGGTTTAACGTGGGAAAATTTATCTTAACTGATGGATGTTTATTTTCGTGATTCGCCAGAGCCTCATCTTGTTTTGGAACCTCGGCCGCGTGAGCCTCTTTAGAAGCGGACAGCAGGGCAATCGAAAATCGATGAAGTGTGAATTGCTCAAGTACGTAACAATGACCAGTAAAGTAGGTAGAGAGAGATCCGATCCCTTGATTACCTTACTGATAGGTGCGAGGTCGAGAGTAGCACGAGTATCAAGGAACGGAATAAGTTTCAGCGATGCTCAAGAATACGTTCTACTAAGGTAGACGAGATATATGTCAAGACTATCTAAGGTAGTGAGCATAGCCCGAAAGCCAAAGAGTCTCCTTGTATCGACAAATGTTGCTGCAACGCTCCTGCATGACTCCAATGAGCAGACAATCTCACCCTTGCTCTCACGAATCCAGCGAAGAGACGCCTATTTGCAGGTCCAACGCCCCCAAACCACGTGCCCCTCTGCCCGTCACGGCGACTTCGTCATCGAGATGAACATCCTGTAAACCAGAATTAGCCCGATGGTTTGTTACATGATCTACACAGCCCGGTTAAGTCGAGAGCAAAGAAATCCCCGAAAGGCGATGCGGTGCTTACCGAACCTCGTCTTGAACGGCGTCGAGACGCTCCGTCATCTTGTCCTCCATCTTCTCAATTGCCTTCAGCACACTGGTGGCGAGCTGCTCGAATTGCTCGGGCTCGCGCTCCTTCTCGCGCTGGAGGGATCTCTTGACATCCTTGACATGATCCTGGACCAACTTCTTCTGCTCAGGACTAAAGTCGTCCGCCTCCTCCTCCAACATGTTCAAGAAGAGGTTGGCGGGATGCCAACGGGACCAGACTTTGACGCCAGGAATCCACTTCGTCTCACTCCAAGTGACGGAGAGCAAGTCATCCGAGGCGTTCTTGAGCCACTGGAGGTACTTTTGGTCCTCTTGCTCGTTTATCCATTTCGCGAGCACAGTCTTGGAGCGCGGCGGCATCACCTTGAGCTTGTAGGGGGTCAGGACAGCTGAAATGTCGGCGGACAGCTCTGGCGTCCATTCGTCATCGCTGAGACGCCGGAGGATGGGCTTCATTTCGTCCATGACATCGTCTCGGGTGATTGTCCTGGTTATTGTCTTGATGGTGCCCGGTTCGCCAGAGGAATTCTCTGAAATGATATCTGGGGCCGAGAGATCTAGGGATGAGAATTCTTGGCCCATGTCGTAAGGTATGTCAAGTTGAGGTCTTGTTGCTTGTAGAGTGGCCTAATTCTCGAGAGTAGAGAGTGAGTTGACGAGAAGAAAGAAAAAAGAAAAGAAAAAAACGACGAGAGGAAACAGGGCAACATGGCAAACGCACCAATATATACCTAGACGTGGAGAAAATTGTGTGCCAGCTGTTGACAGCCCGGCAGGGCTGGAATGTCAATTCACTGTGTCGCCAGCACACGAGCTTATGGATCTTCTTCACCTTCATATTGCTTATCAAAAGCAGTTCTCCAGCCTCCTCGCCATCACAGATCAACACCTCAGTAGTACCATCCAGATCTATCTATCTACTCACTACTGCTACTGCTCAATGTAGAGGCAGATATCGACATGCTCTGCTACTCCCTCTACGGTGCTACCTAGGTAGTAATACTAGGTACAGGTCTCTTTATACATATTTACTGTAAACCAACCATATCCATAGACTACTACTCCCTTGCCAACACCCTACTCTGTGTTTGTAAACTTGAGATGTTGACAAAATCGGATGGCCGCCTTCTTGAAGAACCCGAATATGAACCACAGGCACGAGACGAAACCTGGTGTATCTATACGCTGGCCAGTCTCTGCAACGAACATTCTGTTGAGCCCACGGAATCCGAGCTATCGAGTAAAGGCTTCGGTGGGAGGAGTATATCGCGTCATTACGATCAAAGCCGTGATATTTAGAATGCTCACGTCCTTCCGATATCCGATAGGGGCGATACATGTATTTTTTCTATTAAAGGACGATGTGAGCAATTGTGTGATGCCCAGGAAACAAACTTTGATGATATGAAGTTGTCTCCTCATAGGCAGTGCTTCCAAAGGCGAATACTAGTGGCAAACAATCCAATGGTCCCTGCATCAAAAAGACAATCGTCCTTGTCTTGTTTTCTCTCTACATGCAGCGATCTCATGGACGTTACCCTTAAAAAGGCACACGGCATTCCCCCCCCTTTCTCATTGCCCATTTCTCCTAGTTGGTTCCGCTCTACGCTGAATTTGGCCCACACATTGTGAGCTATAAGAAGCCCATTGTCAACAGGTGAAATGAGACGGCGACCTTGACGCAAACGAGATGAAGTGTGAAAGAAGCCCGTCTTTGTGGCATCTACCGTGGTATGTATTGTATTCTTCATAATCCCCATACGCCAAAACAATAACTCGTTGCCAGACATGTTGGCCCTCCTAAACCAAAGATTATAGCTTTTCTCTTACTCTTGTACAGGACCAAGAACCATGACACTATAACAGCGCACCTGCGGAAAAGCAACAAGGGCTGCTCTGAAAGAAGACTCGCCAGACGACCTAAACCAAGACCGAAAAAATCCCCCCCCCTTTCACAGAAAGTAATCCGCCACCGGCTTCTTGGCAGGCATCCCCCGCGAGTCCTGCGGCGCAGCCTGGAACACGCGGTACCGCCGCGCAGGCCCGTACTTTGGCCCGCTCCTCGACTCGACGACACCGCCTGAGCTGCGGCCGACGTCGCCGTTCGTCCTCTGGAAGATGCCCGTGCCCGACTCGTCCTCGGTGAGCTCCAGCACGGCGGCGACGTTGCCGCAGCGGTAGCAGTAGTTGGGCGCGGACCAGACGGTGACGATGGAAGCATCAAACATTTCCTTAAAACCTTCCATGACAAGCTGGTGCGCGCGGGCAATGAGGCTGAGATCGTTGCGATGGTTGAAGACCTTGACGATGTCGGCGCCAAAGAGGAACCCGGCGCCGCGCGGCGAGAGGCCCCAGCCGTCAATCTCGTCCGGATCGGACCACAGCAGGTCACACATGGCGCCCTCGTGGGGCACTTCTTGCTTCCGGTCGATGAGCCGAATCTTGTCCACCGTGTCCACCAGCGGGCTGAGTCCGCCGTGCACGCAGAGAATCGCCCCCGTGGGGTTCCCTACGCTTCCGCTGCTGGATCCGGACGCCCCTGAGCCCGGCGGGCCGGTCTTGTCCGGTGTGCCTTTGCTGGGGGCATCGAGCTTGTCTAGGGGCGAACTCGGACGGGGCTGACGGGGGAACCTGCTGATGATGGAGCCTGCCTGGTCGCACACTTCGATCTCGGTGTCGTCGTCCTCTGGCGAGCCGGGAGACAGCGTGCTGGAGGCGCCCAGGACGATGGCGCCGAGGGCGAGGTAGTCGAAAACGTCGCAGCAATAGCGCCACACGTTTGCGCTGCCGTACTTGCGCAGGCACTCGTCATAGAAGCCGTACACGGTCGTGATCTGGCGGGACTCGTGGTTGCCGCGGATGAGCGTCATGCGGTCTGGGTATCGAACTTTGAGGCAGAGGAGGAGGAGGAATGATTCGAGGGAGTAGAAGCCACGGTCGACAAAGTCACCTAAGCACGAGACGTCAGCAGACATGGTGGCGACGGAGGATGAGGTCGGCGTCGTGAGGAGCAGCATACCCATGAAGAGGTAGTTTGTGTCGGGCACATCGCCGCCGACGCGGAACAGCTCCATGAGGTCGTGGAACTGGCCATGGATATCGCCGCATATCTATCGTTGCAAGGCGCATCTGGTAAGCATCCGTGTCTCTCGGTGTGCGTGTTTGTGTGTGTGTGTGTGTATGTCGATGGACTGACTGTTACCGGCGCCGTCACGGTGACGACGTTGCCCTCCTCAATAAGAAGCTCTCTGGCGCGATGGCAGAGCTCTCGAACTTGGTCCTCTGGGATGGGACGGCATGAGCGCAGTTGCGCGATCGCTCTACAGGCGGCAGTTAGCAGGCGCAGCGAGTCGTGGGCCAGCGGCTGGCATGGGATGAATACTGACTTGTCGAGGTCGCTCATGATGGGACGGCAGAGAAAGAGAGAGAGAGAGAGAGACGCCGCACGGAGGAGCGCCGGTCGAGCTGATGCGATTGTCGGAGAGGCGCAACAGATGGCTATGACATGTCGCGAGAGAGGCGAGTCTGCTGGAGCCCACAGGAATCGCCGCCTGGTGGGAGCTGGCAGAGTCACGCGAGGCGACAAGACACAGGCTGGAGATGGGAAAACTGAACTCGAGGCTTATCGCGTTTCTCACGAGGTGCTGCGGCCAAAAGAGGTTGAGACTTGCGCTGCCTCGGGGTGCATCGAAAGTGGCATGCCGCTTAGCCTCGTTGGCTCTAGCACGGCCGCTGTGATCGCTGTATTCCAGCAAACTCCAGCGGCTGCTTTAGCGCTCTGCAGGCCTAAAGCCCGGGATCGTGGGAGCTGAGATTTAGCGGGTTTTTGACTCCCGCAGTCTGTAGGTTGAACTCTTACAGCGACAAAGCTAGTACTAGTAGAGGAACTACGTTGTGCCGCGCTCCGAGAAGCTGCTGCTCATCCCACTAACAGCGCAGCCAATCAGCGCCCGCGCAATCATCGAACGTCAAGTGCCGATCGTGCCAGGCGCCTTTTTCTGCTGGCAGCTTGTCGAGAGCCCGGTTCCAGCGGGCCATGCGGTGCTTGTAGGAGCACAATTGGATGCGCATCGTGGGTTCTGGAGGATCATGCGACAACTACCAGGTGAGTCGTGCTCGATACATGTACTCGGCGTTACATGAAGCTATAGGGCACCTGCGTGTCGATACATAGTATGGGCATCACGAAGCTGGAGGGGCACAGCTAACAGGTTGAGCGTCTTGCAGCATCAACCACCACCACCACGACCCTCACCACCACAGTCAACCAATCCCCCTGACAAAAAGCCCGAGGGGATTCGCTTCCGCCATGCCGCCGCATCTTCACCCCCGGTCGCGCATGACCTCGTCGCTCTTTGCCACGACGCTCGTCGCCAGCTTCTTCGTCGTTGCGCTGCCGCACCTGCTGCCCTGCCCGGTGCCGCGCACAAAGTACGCCGACGGCGACATCATCATTGACGAAAACGGCCGCCGGAAGCGATGGAGGAGGAGGGATGCCGAAGCAAAGGACGGGCTGGTGCAGTTTGGCCAGGCGGCGGACGACGAGATTGAGCGCGTGACGAGGGAGTGTCCGGTGCCGAAGCCGGGAGGCATGTTGGGGGAGTGGCTTGGGTTCCATGCCACGGATAGGACGAGGGAGAACAGATGACTTGATACCACAGAAGAAAAGAAAGAAAAAAGGTCAACTTTGCAAAATTCGAGTTCGCAGATGGTTACGTGAGTGCATGGTGGATGGGAAAGATGAGGACCTCGACAAGGCTGGACAAGGCTGGGATGGGTTGGGGAGAGGATGAAGATACACAAGAGGGCCGTCTGCCTTCATTGTCGTCTCTCGATCTGCTCAACAGTGATTTAGGGCCTCAACAAACGAACCTTTGCCTCGTGGACGCCATCCATTGCTGCCAACTTGCAGGCATCACCACCCCAGCAGTGACTGAAACCACAGAGAGACAACCCCGGCGTCAATCACATACTTCCTCGAGACACATCGCATCTTGGCTTCGTTTTAGCGAGCAATCTACTGGCAACCTTAATGAAAACCCTGTCTGCAACGCTCGAGTCAAGCAACTTCCATCCACAGCTCCGCGTGGTTCATCAACTTTCTATGCTCATCACAACCAGCCCTCAAGCCCATACGTCGTGACGCATTGGCGCGACTCAACCCGCACGGCATCGTCACCAAAGGAAAACCACCCACTCACAGCCTCTATTTACCGCCATCCAGGCTCTTCTGGATCCTGCGGCTTTGCTCGTTGCCGGTCGATCTCGCGTCGGAGAATCGCCAACATGAAACCGGCCCCGCGTGTCTCGACTTGTTTAACCCCGGACAGACAGCAAACCCCCCCTTGCCATATTCAGCTACCTGTTTTCACTTCTGCGACGGCCTCACCTTCACCATCCAGCGTCTACTGCCACACTAACCAGTTTACTACTGTTTAGGCATTCTCGTCGCCTAAAGGCGTCATGTTGCGATACTTGGGCTTAGTGTTTGCTGGGCGGTCTTTTCTGGGAACGATTCGCGTTTCGAGTTGATTGTGCTCGACTCATGAGACTTGCTCACGCCTTACCGTACAGGCAAGCTATGCACATGGATATACGACCCGCGAGCCTATTCAGTCCTCTTGATACGCCACTAACAGCTCACAGAAGATACCTAGCTCTCATGACCATCACCGGACATCAACCATGACACCACAGTCAGCGTACCACTCCCAGACCAGGGGCTCCCTCTCCCTCTCCAGCCAAAGTAGCCTCCTGGATATCACCACATCCGGTCTCAGAACATGAGCCTCACACAAGCCACAGCCCCCCCATTTGGCATCGCTAAGCTTTCCCAAACCCTGGACGAAGATGGACACCCCAGAAAGCTTGTCTACGGCATCCTCCGAGTGTGATGCTCTCTCCACGAGGGTGTATATCATGCCCTGCCCTCCCTCTACCTTTCTCGGTTCTCTTCTCTTCTCTTCTTCTTCAGGGTCGCTGGGCTTCACTCACCTTGACAATTCATTCTTCTTTCTTTTCCCGAACAAGAGCTGTGCTCTGTTTCCATTTGATTTCGCTTCACTTACTGCTTGATCAGCCTATTCCTCCTTTACTATTCTCTACCCTTTTTCGTCTATCCATTTCTTAAGACTCTTATACACAAAATTCAAGATGAAGCCTTCTTCAATTCTCCTCCTCGCGGCCGCTGGCCTCTCATCGGCTATGCCAACCCAGCCTTTCACCAAGGACACCGCCGTCCACAAGGCCCGCGACACCCGCTCCCTCTTCGGCCACGCCATCCACGGCCTTGGAGCCCGGAATCTGGTCCCCCTCAACGCCAACACGGCCGCTCCCCCTCCTGCCGCGCAGCCCGATGTCATGCAGGAAGTTCCCGCGCCTACTGAAAAGAAGGCTGACGATGCTGCCGCTGCTACCACCACTACTGCCGCTGCCGCCACTACTACTGCCGCTGCTGCCACCGAGGTTGCCGCCACTACTGAGGCCGTTGCCACAGAGGCTGCTACGACCACTGCTGCGGCCACCGAGGCTGCCACCACGACGGAAGCTGCTACAACTACGGCGCCTCCGGCTCTGGAGACTGGATCCGTGGCCATCGGCAACGGAACTGCAGGCGACAACGGCAAGGGCAAGGGCAAAGGCAACGGCAAAGGTGACGGCAAAGGTGACGGTAACAACAATGGCAAAGGCAACGGCAGAGGCAACGGAAACAAGAACAAGGGCAACAAGAATAACAACAACAACAACAACAATGATAACGGCCTCGGCTCCTTCATCAGCGGCGCCCTCTCCCAGCTCGGTCTCGACGGGGTCCTCGACGCCGGCGCCATTGACAAGCTGAGCGCGGGCGACCAGATTTCCCTGCTCGCGCAGATTGTGTCCCTGCAGACGATGAAGGACCTGCAGATGGTGGGCGGGAAGGATATTGTCGTTGTGCTGAATCAGGGGTTCAAGAGCTCTGGGCTCAATGTTGGTATGTGTTCATCTTAGAACCCCTCCTTTGCTTTGGTGACTGGTGATTTGCTTTGGTGTTTTGGATTAGGAATAAGTGCTAATGTTTGGTTCGTTATTTAGTTATCAACGCGTAGAAGGATGCGAGGATATGTGTGGTGAGTAATTTGGGTAAAAAGGATGCTTGAGATGAGAATGGCATGAGGATTGAATAGGGACACGGTTGATCTCGGGCATAGTGATGTAGAATCATGACAACGATTTGGAAAGAAATACAGAATTGTCAGTAACCTTGTGTGCTCACGCAGTGATGAAATCACCTAGCCTTCAGGCAAGCTTGACCACTTGTATCGCCTGATACTGTGCTGTTAGATAAGGAGACTTTCACCAGGCTAAACACGGCCCCTATGTAATCACCTACGCATACCGTGTACAAGCTGAGGATCGATAGCAAGTATTGATCAATGGTCAAGTCACTCAAGGACCCAGATCGTTTGACGAGTATCAGCCCCACGGATGTCTTGCTGTTTGGATACGCATATAGCGAATCTCAGTATCAACTGAAGCATCTGTTTGTTACCCCCAAAGCCAAATGTGCGTGATCAATTCTGCTTACAACAAGTACCGTGCCATTCCCATGTTCCCTCTTGATACGACATCATGGAAAATTGAAATAGATGAAGACGGTTTAAATGAAGAACGCCTAATCAGACCCGGCCCACGGTCTCTCAAGACACAATTTGCAGTCACGACACTCGTACGTGCGCAATTCAAGGCGAATACCACAAAACCAAAGCCATCACACATCTCCAACAAAACCAAAAACCTCAACAGACTTCACACACACACACACACACACACACACACACACACACGAGAAAACCTCACCAACCAGACTCCCTAACCACCTCCTCCTCCACCCTCCTCCTCGCCACCGCCTCCCCCTCAATCCTCTCCTGCACCTCCGCCAACGCCCTGATCCTCTCCTCCGCAAGCCCTCTCCGAATCCCCTCCAGCTGCACCACCATCGTCTGACAATCTACCCTTCTCGCCAGCTCCGCCAACTTGGCCAGTTCATTGCCATACGTGGCGTACAGGTCGGAAATTTCCCTGTGGCGGTCGTCGGGGTTGCACTTGGGGCATTTTTCGTGCGAGGTGAGTGTTTCGATTGTCTTTTCGCAGCGGTTGCCTGAGGCGTTTGCGCAGCGGGATTGGTATGAGATTGTGTTGTGGCGGCAGGAGTATTTCGTTCTGGTGACTTTGCACATTTTAAAGGGAGAAGGTTGATGTTGATAATTTGAGGGAGTTGGAGGGAAGGGTTGGGGGTTTATGTTTCTTGGTGGTGTGATTGGTGTAGGATGGAGGGAGTAGGGTTGATATGAAGGAAATTGGAATGGGGTTTGAAATGTCGTGAGCAGCAGTTGTTATAGGTAGCCAAGATAGCATAGGAGAGTGAGAATGCCCTGAACGGTAATCTGTGAATGAGCCCACACGGAATCTGAACATGAGCAAACAGAGCCGAACCCGGTGAAATCAGGGCATGATATGCAGTCAACTGAGCCCAAACAGCGCCATTTGTGATGCTCATCCGGAAAGACGTTCTCACAGCGACACAACCGATCTCTTCAATGAATCCTAGAGTTTTCTTTTTTGAAGAGGGGAAGTGTACATTAAAGGAGAAGAGAGTAGGGTGTCAATCCAAGATACAAGTGGCCAGTTCATGTATGCTCCAATCCACAGTCTATATCGCCATAACGCCAATATTCAAGTCAAATGCTGAGCGAATCTACTCGCTATGCTTTTACCTGCTGATTCCTCGGTTTCTTGACGCTTCCCCATTCGATGCCTAGGGCAGCCACCAGCTGGGCACAAGTCAATGCCAGCGCAACCAGGAAGATGTGAGTGCAGGCATAGTTGTATGCGTCAACAACTGAAGAAACAAATTCTGATGGCACGACTTTGCTCAGCTCAGTCGCACCGCTCTTGATGATCGTCTCGGAATCCAGCCCCGGCACGTCTTTCAAATGGGACACGAGCAAGGTGTTCAAGACTGTTTGGCCAACGGACAAGAAGACGGCCCCTCCAAGCTGCTGAGCAAAGAACAAGATGGAAACACCAGTGGGTATCTCCTTTTTCGGGAGCGTGGCCTGGACAGCAAGGTTTGCCGTCTGGAATCCAAAGCCCAGCCCGAATCCTGCGAGAAATTGGTAGCCAATCCAGTGAGGGGATCCAGTGGTTGGCTTGAAAGTGAACAAGAGGCCCTCGCCCACGGCCATGATGCAGGGAGCTATGACCAAAGCCGGCATGTAGTACCCAATGCGCTGCGTCAAGATCCCAGACGTGGTTACAGCAACGACAAGGCTCAGCACCAGAGGAAGCGTATAGATGCCAGATCGCACAGGGCTGATGCCATGTGTGGTTTGAACTAGACAGCCGCGTCAGTACCAAAGCTCGTGAACATGAGGCGTATACACTTACACCACAAAGGAATAAAGTAGACCAAGAGCATCATGGCGCCTGCAACAAAGAGCATGTAGAGTGTTGCACAGAGCAGGGTCCTCTGGCTAATGACCTTGGGAGGCAGCGACGCAGTCTCTGGCATCTTGATCTGGACAAGGGCAAACGCCAAGGCGCACACTCCAAACATGATGAAGAGCAGGATGATTCTCCAGCTGTTCCATGCGTATACCGAGCCTCCCCATTGCAGAGCGAGCAAGAGGCAGACAGTGGATGGGATGAAGAACAAAGTGCCGAGAGGGTCGAGGCGGAGAATTTGTTCTTTGACGGAGGCGGGCGCCTTGGGCTTCGAGGGAACCCTCAGGAAGAAGAAGAGGAGGATGAAAGCGACGACTCCGACAGGCAGGTTGATGTAGAAGCACCATCTCCAGGACGCGTTTTCTGTAAAGGCACCGCCCATGAGAGGGCCAGTGATGCTTGCAACGCCGAATATGAGACCGAACGAGGCTGTTTGAGTAAAGAGTTAGTGTAAAGAACGCATACTCGAGCGTCTAGGGAATCTAGCAGTACCTTGAAACATGGGGCGCTTCGCAAGAGGAATCAAGTCGATGGTTGTAAGTAGAGACCCCGTCGTGATGCCCGCAGATCCTACACCTGCGATTGCCCGTCCTGTAATCTGTCAGATGCCTCATACTTTGTAATGCTTGTCCTCATTGTGACGTTGCGTACCAGCAATAAATACAGACGAGCTCGGCGCAGAACCACAGATGGCAGAGCCAATCTCAAAAATGACAATGCACGTCAAGAATGTCCAACGCAAATCGTAGAAGCGGTAGATCCGGCCCCAGATCAGTTGAAAGGCTGCCGTTGTAAGCATGTACGACGATCCATACCAGCCAATGTCCGACAGGGAGTGGAAGTCGTCCGTGATTGTCGGAATGGCAGTCGAGATGATGGTCCGGTCCAGGGCAACGAGGAACATGGACACGAAAGCACTGACGATGATGAGCCAGAACTTGAGGGACTTGGGCTTGTAGTTGTCCTCGGCGCTGTCAGGGGCCGGTCCCTGGCGCTTGGCTGCCTCATCGTCATTGTTGGCTGGCTGTGCAATCGTTTGTTCCTGTATCGGACTGGGCTTCTCGTCGCTGCTGAGGTCAGCCGTGGTTGGCGTGTTTGCAACCTCTGTCGAAGATGCAGAATTTCTCGGCAGCTGGATGGGGGCCGGTGCCTCTTCCGCCCCGACCTTTTCTTCGGGAACAGTCATTGCAGAGGAAGGATTCGATCGTGTACCAGATGTCGCAGGCGTACTCGGACGAGTCGAGATCCTTTCTACTGTTGAACGGGACAAGTTGTGCTTGTTGGACGAGCCTTTATGCTTGTCCAAGGCAGAACCGCATGGAAGACTAGTTTATAGGGGAATGCTGTTTGCATTCTTGCACGCCTACGGGCACGCGTACCCGGCATTGCGTCCAACCGGGCCCTCGACTCGGGCACGGTCGGGGCAAGGCAGCACAACAAAGAGCCAGACACTTTACATATCTGCGGTCTGGCTGTTCTTCGGGGCCGTAACTCGGAGAGCCTCCCTGACTTACACGCGACGGCCAGAGACATCGGACACGTAACTGGGCGCTAGTACGTGTTGGGCGGGTGGCGTCCTGCTCTCGGTCCCGAATTGATGCCCGAGCTGGATGGCATCAACCCGTATTGACCGGTAAGACCGAATATCTTTCAATTTGCCGATGGTTTGGGTGCACATATGCATTGGGCGGCGATGGTTTGGCAAAGACGAAGAGAGAGCGTCGGCAGGAACAAGTTGTTATAAGAATACGCGTACTGCTGACGGGCGTTGAAACGTTAGTCAATCGTCTCAACGGCAATAGATACAAGCTCTATGCAGATGCCACTTGATCGTTCTTGTGAAGCATTGACGGCGAAAGGAGGTGGTACCAAATAGCATGTACGTACTCAGCCTGCTAGGGATCGTCACATGTGTGAGAGACACGCTTTCAAGCAACCATGTAATAATCCCTCGTTCAGCGGGTGGCTTTGGCAGAGAGTCGAAGCGACACAGAGGCTCTATTGCCTGGTCATTTGAGCGAGGTGATGAAAGGTGTAGAAGCCGAGTTGCATCATGATCGTCTTGGTTTCAAAGAGCCGAGCACTGCTCCTTCCTGTTCTACAGAGTACCTACATAAGGTATCGATAGGAGTCGATAAGATAATCCAGCCCACAAAATTCACAAATACTTTGGGTCAGGTACCTACCTAAGGCAGTATCTGTAATCCTCCTCAGACGAGCACCGACAAAAGTCACGATGCCGCTTCGCTCAGCTCTTCTCTTCTCTTCTTCTTCTCCCTCAACACACCGAACCCAAAGCGATGCTCCGTCTGCCTACCTAGTCAATCCTCGTCCAAACAAGGTAAAAAGCGGCTACCACCCAATCTCCACCGCCCAGCCAGCCACGTCTGCCATTGGCCCTTCTCGCTGCAACGCCAATCAACCCCCCGCTTTCTCTCTCCTCTCTCCCTCGTCTTCTCGCCCTGACCGGCGCTGAACAAACCGCTTCCACCAAAGTTCAGGTTCTGGACCCGGGTCCGAAACGACGACCTCGCAGCCGACGGCGCCCGCCGAGACTCAGCCCTACAGGCGCTGCAAAAGCCGGTGGAAAACGGCGCTCCAGAGCAGCCCATCAATCTATCCAGCTGCATGCAGGGTTGGAGGACGCCTGTCAGCATCCGCCAATCAGTCCGTGCCAGCGTCACGCGGGGACTCGCAGCTTTCGTCGACTAGTAGCCCAGAGTATTGGCCGAAGGGCCTCTGGAATGCCGCTGGATCGGCCCTGGGACCTCCAAGATCGGACATTTTCTTAGCAGCCGCTCGCTGTCTTTCGTTTCCTTGGCTCAATGTCTGCTCAAGCCTTTACCGGCCTTGAAGGCCCCGGCCCAGCCCCGCCGCCGCCACCCGTCTCTCAGGGCCGGCCTCTGCACCACTCGCCTCAGCAGGCGATTGACCCGGCGTCAGTCAAGCTGACCAGAGGCACCAGCTGCGTCCTGTGTCAACAGCGCAAGGTCCGTTGCGACAGGAACAAGCCATGTGCCAACTGCGTCAAGGCCGGTGCAGAGTGCCGGGTAATTCCTCCACAGCCTCCGCGGCGGCGGCGCAAGAAGCTGCAGGAAAAGGACTTGATCGAGCGCCTGCGCAAGTACGAGAGCCTCTTGGCACAGAATGGCGTCAAGTTTGATGCCATGGACCCTGATTATAGGGGCGATGGCAACCTTGGCGACGATGTGGACGACCTAGAGACCGATTTTGAGGGTCTAAAGACTTCCCCAGAAGCAGCCTCCGGCAATCATGCAGGCGGGTAAGTTGGTCATCTACAAGAACAAGAACTACTAGTATACGCAAGGAAGTGAGATGTGATAACAGGCTGACACAAAATGCGTAATAGGTCTCATGAACCCGGAGCCTGGTTCTCACTTCACAAGGAGGTAAGCCTTCTTCAAGAATTAACCTCGCCTCCGTCATGTCTTGATCTAATTGCAGATATAGTTCAGAGCTAGTGAGCAACTGCTCAAGGACTCGTCTGAGGATGAGGACGAGGTCTTCAACAAAAAGTCCTTTATCCATTCCGCTTTTGACAAGATGTTTGAAAACCAAGACGGCTTTCCATTCATCATTGGAGGCTCCTTTGCCCCCGTCACGCACAGCCACCCTTCTGCCGTCCAGGTGCTGCAGTTGTGGCAGATATACATTGACAACATCAATCCTCTGCTGAAGATTACCCATGTGCCTAGCATCCAGAGCAGAATTATCGAAGCGACCTCGCGAATTCATGCGGCCCCCAAGAACATTGAAGCCCTCATGTTTGGCATCTACGTAATTTCCATTCACTCTATTGAGGATGCCGAAGCTCAGAGGATCTTTGGCGAGACGAAACAGGAACTGCTGGGCCGGTATTTCCCAGCGCTTCAGCAAGCGCTGGTCAATGCCAGTTTTATGCGGACTCCGGATCCATTGACTTTGCAGGCGTATCTTTTGTATTTGGTAAGTCTATCTTCTATCCACAACAAGGGGTTCTTCTCTTGACAATGTACATCTGGTTTAACATCGTCAACGTATTCCTCAGATGACCGTTCGGTGGTTCATAGACCCGAGGCAGGTGTTCTGCATGATGGGCATCGCTGTCCGCATCGCTCAGAGGATGGGCCTTCATAGAGACCCTGACGGGTATGGCCTCTCGCCCTTTGAGGTTGAGCAGAGGCGGCGGCTATGGTGGACGCTTGTTTCCTATGACCGTCGCGTGGGAGAGATGACGGGCTCGACGGTGACGGCGCTCACGTCGGGCTGTGACTGCAAGAAGCCATTGAACGTCAACGATTCGGACCTCCACGTCGACGGCAAAGAGCCCCCGACGCCACACACCGGGCCTACGGAAATGCTGTTTGCCCTGACACGCGTCGAGCTCTCCATGGCAGTGGCGAGCAACAGCAACCGAGACAGTTTCAAGCTGCACGCGGACAAGAATGGTGCCTCGCCCCAACCTGGAAAGCTGCCGCCGGTGACGATCCGCCTTGCTGGCCAGGACCATCCCCCATACACCCTCGAGGGGTTCTGTGCTCACATGGAGGGCACGTATCTGGCCCATTGCGACGCCAAGATCCCCCTCCACTTCTTCACCATGACGATGACGCGAGCGGCGCTCTGCAAGATGCGCATCATCAACTATCTTGTGCGCAGGCACAATGGCGAGGCGATGCCGCTGGACGACGTGGAACGAGACGCGCTCACGATACAGGCCATCAGCTGGGTGGAGCACGACAATGTAGTCATGTCGGCGGAGAGCCTTCGGCCGTACAGATGGTACGCGATGCACTACTTCCCGTTCCCGGCGTACATGTTCCTGGTCCAGGAGCTGCGCAAGCGCGTTGCGGGACCGCTTGTCGAGAGAGCCTGGGCGGCCATCGAAGCGAATTACGGACTCAGGGGCTTGCTGTCGAACCTTCACAGCCCGATGCATGGGGCCTTTAGCGGCCTGTTCGTCAAAGCATGGACGGCGCACCGCGACGCCCAGCGAGCGGCAGGGAAGGACATGCCCACACCGCGCTTCATGGCCGTTCTCCAGGAGCACGTCGAGGCGAGGCGAAGGGCGCGCTCGGAAAACCGCTCGGACGCTGGTCAACAGCAGCCGCCAGTGGCCTTTCCGCGAGCACGCTCCCGCGAGCCGTCGTCAACGTCGCCGATGGAACACGGCGCCATGATGACTCCGCCAGTGGACCAGAGCGGCGGGTTTGGAGCCACCCAGCCGACCATGGCGCCGCCGAGCACCGCGTCTGGGGACGACGGAGACATGGACTGGTCGTTCCTCATCGCGGGCTACCAGGACGCCGACACGTTTCAAGGCTTCAGCGCCCCTAATCACGGCGGCTTTGGGAACGGCATGGGCGGGTTCGGCGGGCCCGGGGGACCTGCAGGCCATGGAGGGATGTTTGGGAACTAGAGCGGGAGCAGCATACGCAGTATTTGCCCTGGGAGAGCGAGATAGGGAGGGGAGGAAGCGGCAGTTTTTGACTGCTGACATAGAGTCGGGGCCAGTCTCTCCCCCCTCTTCTCTTTTCTCCTTGGTGGTCATTCTTCTTATCGCTTTGGAATACGATCTATGATATCATCTAGTTAGAACATATGCACAGCAAGGTAAGGAAGCAGCAAGAGCATCATCACTCAAACCACAGCAGTTGTTATTTTCAGCGCAGTCAGACTCTAATAGAACCCTCCACTACCTACTTTGCATATCATCCTCCGAGCTCCTCGTTTCACCAAAAGACCCCGCCATAAGCACTCGACTGTCGATCTCGGCGTCGCCTGTCCGCTGTGCCACGCGGAAGCCACGAGCTGTCCCGACCACCTCGCGTGTTTTGAAGTTCGGCAGTCCCTTGGGGAGACAAGGGCCAAAGCATGAAAGATTGCAACTCCGTTTCCCAAACCTCTACCTAGCCATTGACAAAGTGAATTACCTAGGATTAGAAAACTCCGCCGCGGACTCGCGATTTTCCAAGTCGAGTTATTACAAGGTGAAAGAAAAAAAAGGGAGAGAAAAATAAGAATCTTACGCTTATTTCCCTATTGGTTGAAATCAAATGCCGTTTGTGACAAGTGTGAAGCCTCTTCCCCCCCTCCTCCCCTTTTCCCCTGTCATTGAATTGCACCAAGAGCGCGGTAGCCCGGCTTTTTATTGTCTGGAGGTGGATGTCCCTTTCTACCTACTTGGGTGGTCTGGTGACATACCTATCCTAGTAGTTAGTACCTTTGCCTGTGATTTGTACGGTACGATATCTTATTACTCTTTTTGGTATCTTGTCTGTGATTTGCGATTGCGTTATGCCGTCGCATCAATGCCTCTTGTCCCCCCCCTCCCTTCTAGTACCTATTCAAGGTTGCACTACCTACTTATTATGTTCATTTGACCAGATTGGGCTTTCATGGCATGCCATTACCCTTTGATAGAGGCGTGCGTTGTTGAAGCTCAGTTTCTCATCAGGTGCTCATGTTGTATTTCTATGCTATGGCATGAGGTGAGGTTAGGTAGGTAAAGTCGTGAAATGAGATGGAATGCGACTCACCTTGGGCCGGCTTACAAAGTAGGTAGGTAGGGTAAGGTAGAGTGACAAGGGGGCGGGGGGTATTGTTCATTCAACCGATTAATTCTCCAGAGGCATAAGCAACCTTTGCCGACAAGAGATATCAAGTTCAAGAGATGGAAACTTCAAGAGTAAAGAGTTGCACTGATATATATTTCTGAATAATTGTACGTATATGCAAGGTTGTTTATTCTCATCGGCGGAGGAGGTGGGATGTAAGTCAATGGAAGCCAAGGCAAAGCGCAAGGCAAAGGGTACCTTACCTTACCTTACCTGACCTTACCTTACCTGCAACTTACATATATACAAAACTCTCCTCCCCCGTCAATCCGGCCTTTGTCCTTACTAGGAAGCATCCAGATAGAAAAACGGCGAATATCATCCCTGTAGAAACACGTCAGTTGTGACCTATCCGGTCCGTCTCTCCCACATGCCGGTCCGAGTCCTGCTTAAACGGCAGTTTTCGTCTTACATACTATTACTTGCCTTGCCTTGCCTTACCTTACCTTTGTGATACTACCTACCATTCCAAAAGGCTACCTAGTAGTGCAACTAGAACAGGTAGCGATATTTCCACCCCAAAGGTTAGTTTGATGTAATCACAACAGCACGTCGCCTCATCTCGTTTTATAGATGTACCAACAGAATCCGATTTCCATTCCGCGCTCATGGGTTTTCTTTTTCTTTTGTTTCTTACTCAGTTTGTTAAATTCTTTGTTCAGTCGTCCTTCTATTCAAAGTAACAGGGAAAGTTTGAGATAAGTGTGTTTTGTAAGAACGTTGTCGTTGGTTCGTTCATCAGGATGAAACCGAGTTCAAAGGGGGGGGGAGGGGGGGGGGGGGAAAGCGGCCATACACGGACTTTAAGGTGGACAAAAGAGGTAATAAATCGAACATCCGGGGAGGGCAAAAGGCGTGTGTGTGTATTTCCGGCAACCCGATCGTGTCACATTGGGACATGCAGTACTCGTGGGAATAGAAGGCATGGTACTTACATATCGGTAGGGAGGTAGTAGGTAGTATGTACAGTGCAAGTGCATGAATCTTGGGTATCATAGGTACCTTACCTACCTACGAGGCCGGGGGTGGTTTTTGAACACTATTTTTGTCCGTAACTGTGGCATTAGAGCAGGCTCTGCTAACAGACCTTTTCATATTTCTACACAAGGTCGCTCTGTTACCGATCTTATACTGTTAGCGCTCTGAAATTATGTTGCAGTGCTGTTTCCTATTATTCTTTGGTAGGGAATACTGTTCTAATATCTAGACTTTCTCTGTAAAACAAGATAAAGGCTATGTTGGCAGAGCCAGGTCTAATGCCACAGTTATGGATAAAAATAGTGGCTGCAGGACTGTTCAAAAACCACCCCCGGCCTCGCTAGTAGCGAGGCTGCATGTGACGGACGTGCGCGGGGAGATATACTCAAACCCTCAAGTATTCCCGTATTGCATAAATGATGATAAAAAAAACAAGGAAGCAACGCAAGAACCAAGCAAAAGAGAACCATCAAGCGAAGCTACTCTCTCTCTCTGTATATATATATACCCCATTCCCGGCAACTAGCGAACCCTCATCCCCATAAACACCTCCCAGAGACGCTATGCAACAATAGAATCATACCAAAAAAAAAAACGGTAATACATTAAATGTCCCTAACCAGGCATCTTTGACATTCAACTCGTTGGCCCAGGTAGGCAGTATTATTGACACAACAGGGATTGGAAAGTGGGCAGCCCAAGTTGGGGTAGGATTGTTGGCCCATCTCGTGGTAGTAGTACATACATACAATGTACTACCGGCACGGGGAGGGGGGGAAACAAGAGATGCGTTTTATATCCGGTTTTGCAAGGCAGGTCCCGGAACGAAAGCGAGATCCAAAAAAGGGTTTGTTTGTTTCTGCATGGGGGTTCCGGGGGGGGGGGGGGGTTCGCTCCCAACGTTATTACCGTGCTTCTCTATCTACTAGGTATCTATCTACATGTACTTGGGTATTCAAACAACAGCCAAATAGGTACTAACATCACAGGTAAATCTACTCTGCAAAAGAAGAGAGTATATAGGGAAAAGGAGCAAACGATAGCAACGTCTTAACAAGAAACCATCTTTAAGGCATTGTACCACGTAGACTACTAGCAACAAAGCCTCTAGTAGTAGAGAGTAAAATTAGCCTTGCTTTTTTTTTTTTTTTTTTTTTTTTTTTTTTTTTTTTAAGTAATCCTATTTAAACTATAGCATATTCCTATTTAAACTATAGTAGTTTATGCCTATATTAAAATTATTACACCTATACTACTAATTTTATAACTGCATACCTATTTATAATATAAGCTTATAGCATATTTTATAGTCTATACTATAATACTAAGACTTTATTAATTTTAGCTGTTTTTTTATATAAAGCCTAATTTTTAATACTATAGATATTAATATTATAAAAATAAATCCCTAATAGCTAAGAGATAGTTATTTAAATATACTGCTATCTTTAAAGCTATCTTAAAGTGCTAGTCTTATAAAGATTTATGCCTTTTATAGCTTATTAGTGTTAAATATACTAAAGGCATTACTAGTATTAAATATACTAAAGGTATTACTAGTAGCAGAAGTTAAAGAGTTTAATAAAGAGGATCTTAATAAGGTTATATTTAATGCCTTAAAGTAGCTAAGGCTATATAACTTTAATAGTAATATTAATTATCTTAATAATCTAGCCTTTCTTTTATAAAAAGAGATACTATTACTGCTGCTGCTATATATTAAAAGAGTATTAATACTACTGCTTATATATACTATACTATTATAATAAGCTAATAAGGTTATAAAAGTTTTATAATAAGCCTAAGAGGCTATAAAAGCTATATAATAAGCTATAAAGAATATAAAGTTATTACTAAAGCTAGTAAAGGCTATAAAGTATTACTTCCTTATTTTACTATTATTAATAATATATAATATATTTAATAAGCTTTTTATATTCTTATAAACCTTTTATTACTTTTATAGCCTTATTATTTAAATATTATAATCCTTAAATCCTTAAATTATTAATAGTAAGTAAACTTTAATATATTATTTTCTTACTTATAACTATACTAGCAGCTAGGCTTTATTAAGTATTAGAATTTAATAATTATTAATATAAAGAATAGATTATTAATATTAAATTATAATATTAATAATAAAAAGAACTAGCTAAAAGTAGTCTTATTATATAAGCTATACTAAATATAACTATCTGCCTTTACTTAGTCTTTTAATATATATTATATATTATTACTAAACCTTAGCTTAATAATAATAAAAGTGTAATTTTATAAAATATTAAGCCCTTTCTGCCTAAAAAATAACTAGAATTATTAAAAATTTAACTAATAGCCTTACTTTTTTTTAAGACTTTAATATTTATAATAATAAATAAAGAATATGCCTTTAAGGCTTAAGCAGTCTCTTTACTACCTAAGCCTAGATTAAGTAATTCTAGGATAATAACTTAAAGTATTATATTAAGCTAAATAATAAAATAAAGGTAAAAGGAGTTATATAAACCTATTCTTAATATAAGGATATATAGTATTAGTTCTTAAAGGTCTTTAATATTAATAATACTTATAAAACTAACTGTTTTAGTATATTTTTATTTAAGGCTATTAGTATTACTAACTAGAAGTTTATTACTAATTTTATATTTAGTTTTATTAATTTAAAAAAAGAAGATAGCTTTTTATAGCTTTATAAAAAATTAAAGCAGCTTTATTAAGAAATCCTAGCTTTAATACTATTTATAATTATTATTAATAAGGAAAAAGCGCTTAAAAATGCCTTAACTATAATCTTCTTAACTTTATAGCAGTAACTTTATATTTACTATATTAATATAAATATATAGGTATAAATTTAAATATATTAAAAAAGCCTTAATAGCTATAATAATAATAATAATAATAATAAAAATAAAAATAAAGGTAATATTCTTAAAGGTAGTTTTTATAATAGTCTTAATAATAACCTTATTATTTAAGCCTTTTATATTATAGTAATATAATAAGAAGCTAAAGCTGCTAAGTGTTAAGCAGTAAGCTTATAGCTTTTAGTAAGCTTATAGCTTTTAGCAAGCTTATAGCTTTTAATAAGCTTATAGCCTAAGAAAGAGCTAATATATAAGAGTATGTTTTTTAACTAAAAGCATATTATCTTTATTAAAAATAAAAAAGAGTTTTATTTAGCTTAGGCTATAATAAAGTTAATTTATATTATAATATAAAACTATATTTTATATTATATTTTAAAAGAATATATACTATAGTAAAAATAGTAGGCTTATTACTTTATTAAATACTATTATAACTTTAGTTAAAAAGTTAATAGTTTTATAAAAATAGCTTATAAAAATATTAAGTCCTTCCTTTTTATTAATATTAGTAATCTTTTATATTTATATAATATAATCTTTTAAATAATAAAAAAGAAAAAAAGGGATTATAATAATAATATAGCTTAAATATAAATATAGTAATACTAATACTTTATTTAGTAAGTAAGCTAGCTTAAAAATATTACTTTAATAGTTAAATATATTAAAGTTAATCTCCTTACTTAGCAGTATTAACTTACTATAGCTATAATGCTTTTAAATATTAACCTAAACCTAAACTCTCTGCCTAAGTATATACACTCCTTTACTTAATAGTATAGCCTCCTATATAGCCACTTTATTTTTAATAAGCTTTAAAATAGTAAGGCTTTTTATAAAAAAGATATTTACTTATAATAATAGCTAGTTAAGCTGCTAGTAAGATTCCTACCTATTTACTAAAAGATTTTAACTAACCTTATATCTTTTAAAATCTTAAAAAGCTGCTTTTTTATATATATAATTTTAATATAGTTTAAAGTTTTTATAGCTAACCCTAACTCTTAAATAATAATAAAATGCCTATATTAGTAACCCTTAAGGTAAAGAAAGATAAGAATAATAAAGCTGCATTAGTATTATTACTAGCAGCCTTATTATAAACTAAGGCATGCCAGCAGCCTTATTAATAAGCTTTAATATACTAGCTTAATTTTTTAATATAGTAAGTCTTATTATAATATAAAATAAAGGGCAGTAGCAGCTTGCCTTTATTATTAGCTTAGGCTTAAAAATATAAATAAGGATATAAGTAAGGATATAATTATAGCAGTAGTAATAGTAAGGCTTTTTTATAATTATTTATAAGTTTTAAATTATAGCTACTTATATAAAGATTATAAGTAATATAAAAATAACTAAAAGCTATTACTACTACTGCCTTAAATAATAATAATAATAATAATAATAATAATAATAGTATTATTAAAAAAGTTATTATTATCCTAGCTACTTAGCTAGTATTAGCAGTTTAAGAGGATTAAAATAAGCTAGCCTAGTTATAACTATATATATATTTAATAAGAAAATAAAAAAAATGCTATTTTTAAATAAATTAGCCTGCCTTAATTACCTAGTCTTAACCCTTATGCCCTTCTTCTAGTAATATCCTTTTAATAGTAATAACTGCTAGTATACTATACTATATTTTAGTGTATAGGCATAGACCTTACTACTTAAGGGTGTCCCTTTAGTTATAGTATAGACTACTATAGTTTAAATAGGAATATGCTATAGTTTAAATAGGATTACTCTTTTTTTTTTTTTTTTTTTTGAGATGAGGTATCACAGTATGTAATAAAGGAAAGCGGTCCAAATTTGGTACGGATTGAGAATGGATGGGCAAATGGGGTACCTACTAATGGGACCGGGATGCCCTTCATGCTGCGAGATCACGCACGTTGACTCTGATCACATCCACTCCCCTTCATCCCATCCCACAGCCCCCCCCCCTCCAGCCAAGCGGTACCTAGGCACCCAAGGTATGACCAGGTTCGGTCGGCAGGGCTTCGAGTAGTACTCTGGTAGGTATTTAGTATCAAATAATACCCAGACCTGGTACTGCATGTAGTGCACCGTAGATCAATATAGTCTCGGGACTGGCGTAATGGAGTGCCTTTTTGATGGATCGATTTGAGTTGTTGATATGTATGTATATATTGCTTCTGCTTTACTCGCAGACAGGACAAGCACGCCAAGTATGGAACCCGCGACACGCGTCTGTCTATCCGTCTTCAAATGCACAACTCCCCTGGTATGCTAACACCTCAACCGATGCCTGAAATGAAAAGAAAGACAAGGAAACCCGTTTTCCAACAGAAAAAGACATCCGTAAAGACAGACTTGTGAACCCCTCTCTCGAAATTTCAGATGTATCCAGTGAGCCAAAGCGCCAAGATCAACAACAAGAACAATGGGGGCGACAGCTGCATTACCTGTTCCCCCTCCCATACAGACAAGGAAAAAAAAACCCCCTTTAGTTAAGGATGGGTATTTTTTTCGTAGTCCTTCCTGGAGATACCATGCACCCTCCCAGGGCACGTATTCCGGTTGAACAAGAAACACAATACAACAGGAATGAGCAAAAGGAAACGCCGCAATGCCGGACCAAGCCCCAGAATCCAAATCAAGTCAGAAACAACAGGAAAACGCCGTTTCTTTCGTCCGTTCCCAAAAGTTCCATGTATCGAGTCCCCTCCCGAAAACCTAGCGCCGTAAATCAGTGCCCCCCCTTTCGGAATGCCCTCTTTTATCCTCTCATGATGCAGTCGTGTTCCCGGTCAATGCAGGAACTGTGATGTTTTTTTTTTCTTCTTTGGTCCGTGTGGTTGTTTCGTTTCTTGCGGTCGAGGTGTCAATGAGATTAGTAGTTTGTTTTGGGGAGGGCGTGTGGTGCGGCCCCTCGGCAGTAGACCGGAGATGGGGGGGAGAAATTGCCAGCATGAGGTCAGTCGGATAGCTAGTAATGTGGTGCCTCCCCACCGTCTAATGCTCGTCCCGTAACCTTTTTAGCTCCTTTTCCCACTCTCCTCTCTTCTCAATCGGCGATAAGTCTCTTGAGAAACCAGTGCTTGTCTTGTTGAATCCTAGGCAAACACGTTTACCCCACTCAGGCAAAGAAATGTTGAGAGGGAAGAGGAGATGAGAGGGCAAAAAAACCGAGGGTTTAGCCCGCTGAAATGCTTGGATAGGTATCGTTTGCGAAGCGGCCGGCGGGTGGTTCGAGCTGGACACCGCCAATGCAGTCATGCTTCAACTTTGTGTCAATGCGCGTATCGTGCCGGGAGTGCTGTTGTCTCCTCCCTTAGCAGCTTGACAAATTCCACCCTTCTTCTTCTCTTTTTTTTTTGTCCGTCATCTTTTTTTCCCATTTGTGATGGTGATCATGAGGTCGTCATTTTTTGCTTATTTCTTCTCCTTTTCTTTGTTTTTTTTTTCTCCTCCTCCGTTTCCTTCACAACGGCTTCTGTGCCCAGACAATCCCCCAGTCCAGACGAGCATGTACCTTGGTGTTATCCATGGCCATGAGCGTCTCCTGGCACAACTGCCTGGCCTCTTCCTCGGTGATGCCCAGATCTTCGTGCCGGATGAGCAGCGCCGCGGTCCAGTCGATCAGGTTGTCTTGGTTGAACATGCCCATCTCTCGGTCTCTTGATCGCCGCCCCCACCGCCCCAAAGGAATCGGCGTGTGCTGCTCCTGAATGTTGACAAAGCCCATCTGCCGTAGGACTTGGGGAAGCGTCGGAGGAAAGTAGAGCTGCCAGCCGTACTTTTGCGCAAAGGGGCCGTCGTTCACGAGGTCGTAGAGGCGCTGAACGGGGTGGTCTATCGCTGGGGTGCCGTCTTCCCAGGTTACGGGTATGAAGAGATCATGACACTCAATCCATCCGCCGGGTTTCAAGGCTCTGTTACAAACATGGTCAGATACTGCTGTCTTGTTCACGAGGGGTCAATCAAGGGAGGAGGGCAGGGGTTGCGCATAGGGGCATTGTCGTACTCGTAGGCTCGTTGCAGAAACAGCTCGGGGTGGCGGACTGTTTGTATGACTGATCTGGTGTGAATAAGGTCGGCGCCAGAGTAGATTCTCGTCCACGGCCGATCTGCGTCGTCGAGATCTTCCACCCGGAACTCGGCGTTTGGCGGTGACCAAGGGGGCTGGATGGCGGAAATGTCGGTGCCAATGACGCGAGCACTGGGAAATCGCTCGGCCACTGTTTGTTGCAGCAGAGTTAGTTTACATGAAGTCGACGCCAAAGCAATGCAATCGTAGTGCTGCGCTTCGTCTCTCAAGATTGCGAAGAGAGGGGGTGAGGGGGAAGGGAGGATACGAACCATCAATGGGCCAAAACCCGGCGCCGGTGCCCAGATCAACAATCTTTTGGGGGTTGTCGCCTATCGGGGCCTTGAAGTACTCGCCGTTGAGCAGGTAGTCGGAGTAGACCCGGTGCTTGAGGTGCTCGCGGGCCTGCTCTGTATCGTCGTTTGGCAATCCATAGCGTTCGTCGAACCAGCCCTGGTATCGCCTGTGGCCAGGAGTTGGTCAGCTCTCATAAACTCTGGCTCGGCTTTCTTTTTTTGTTTTGTATTGTTCCTTCTGTGTCCCCTTCTTGTTCTTCTTTTTTCTCTTTTTTCCCCCTTCTCTCCCTTGTTCCCTGTTCCCTGTTCCCTTCTTTTTCTGGGGATTTGCCACCCAAAGGCTGTCGGCATCTTTTGGGGTCAGGGATTCGTGACATACCTCCCGTTTTTGTATCTATGAACCATCTGGGCAGTGTCGATGGAGGTGAACTCTGAGAAATCCACGGTTTCGGCATAATCCGACGTTGAGTCCTCGCTGGAGCCGTGCTGATCACCACCGCCTCCGGATCCCGGAGGCCCTTGAGAGTTGAGGGAGCTCATGATGGGCCGGCGTGGATACAGCAGTGAAGGGTTACGGTACGATTCAGGGCTATATCCGGAGGAGAGACGGAGCCTGCAGCTGGAGCTGAGGAGGGATGAGGCGAGAAACAGAGACGGAGAAAAAGCGAGTGAGCTGCGAGGCGAGGATGGGGTAAAAAAAGGGTCGACCAGAAATGCCTATGCCAGAAGAGTGACCCGGGCTGATTGGATGGAGGCGTCCACCAACTTTGCACCCGCAGCGAACAAGCCGCTATTTGCAGGCAATGGGCCACAAGCAATGGGCGGAACGTCTCCGGTTCGGGGAGCCAAGGTCGATCTGTTCTAGCACAGAACTGGACGGGCCCCGGAGTGATTTGCAGATGTGGTCCAGCAACAAGAGGAGAAAAAGACGGCTGACCGAGAGAGAGAGGATGCCGTACTATTAAACGAAAAAGGCAGCAGAGAAGGAAAGAAAGGGAAAAAAGAGGCGACCAAAAAAACGAGACGCCCCCCCAGAATGCGGACGCGGACACGGAAAGGGAAAAAAGAAGAGGTCAAAGGCCAAGTCTGCCGGCCCAGTAGGCTGGGTCCGTCACTGGGGATGGATGGGACTCGAAGGGTGCAAGGGCGTTCGGCTGGCCAATGCGAGGCGACACGGGGATGCAGGAATCGCTTGGGATGTGGTCATATAGCAGCAGCTGGCCGTGGCAGAGAGGGTGTGTGAGTCGATGCGGGTGCGGGTGCGGGTGCGGGAGAGGGTGAGGGTGCAGGTGAAAGGTGAGACAAGGCGAGACAAGGCAAGGCCAGGCAAGGCTTCGGAGCCAGAGAGACGGGACACAGGGCCGCAGAGCAGCAGAGCAGGGGAGCAGGGATGCGGAGAGTTTAAAAGACGAGGAATGACGAGGAGAGGACGAGGATGATGCGATGGATTGAGTTAGGGCGAGCAGGCGGCCTGCACGACTGGCCAGAAGCTCGAGTTCGAGGGGGGAGGATTTGGGGATGCAGAGCTGGAGCTGGAGCTGGAGGGACCTGGATTTGGATTTGGATTTGGGGGGGGAACTTGTAGGTCTCGGGGGCCGGATGGCGGGAGTCTGCTCTGTTTTAGCTGGGCCTGGGGGACCTGTTCAAGGTAAGGTACAGGTAAGGTAGGTACAGGTAGGTACGGGTAGGAAGGTACAGGCCCTGCCAGCGCGCTTGTACGAGTACCTGGGCAGAGGTACCGGCGCGGACAGGACCTTTCGAGGCCGAGGGCAGGGAGGATCCAGATCCCTTGGTGGGAAGGGGGGGCGTGGGCACAAGCAGAGCAGAGCAGAGCAGAGCAGAGCAGAGCAGAGCAGAGCAGAGCAGGGCAGCGGGCAGAGCAGAGCAGAGCAAAGGCAGCAGACAGGCGCGAGGACAGAGACGGGAGGGAGTGCGAAATGGGGGGGCGTGGCTCGAGACAGAATAGGCTCCGGTCTTTTGATATGCTGTTGGTCGGTGTCTGAGCCAGAGATCTGGTAGCGGGTGGAGAGCACTGGTGGCTGACTGCCTGCTGCTAAGACGCTACCTTACCGTACCGTTTTCCTGGGCGCCGTGCTGTCGGGACAGTGAACCAAATCGGCGGGAGGGGGGTTTTGATTTGATTTGGTAAGATTAGGAGGGAGGGATGGAGGGAGGGAGTTGGGCGAGAGCTGATTCGATGGAGGAAGGGGGACAAGATTTGGGAGTTTCTTATTCGTGACCGAAGAGAGAGAGAGAGGGCTGCTAAGCGACACGCACGCGGAAGGATTTTTGAGGGCAGATGGCGGGGGGCGGAGGAGCAGGAGGAAATAAGATAGGTACGAATTGGTGATGGCATGGCATGTAGCGGTACGAGGCCAGAATGCCAATGCCAGCACTGTCGAGCTACCTACCTAAGTACATCTTAGCAGCAATGACGGCGAGACAACGGCCAACAGATGCGGTCACTGAATGTTGCCAAATGTAACAGTTTCGATCGGATTGAATAATCACAGAGTAATGCAAAACGGAAATGACCAGATGAGCACGTAAATCACACCCACTAAATTGCAATGCAGCAAGCATTCCAGCAAGCCACGAAATGCCAGCGCCCAAGAGAGGGGTAGGCACATGCACATGTAGTGGTAGTACCTACTACCTGGTAAGTAGTAGCCATGACATGAGGTCAAGATTCCATCTCTGCGCCATCCGTGGCCAAAACTCTGGACCAGATGCGCCGGGGAAAAGCACCTAGCCAACACGCCAATAGCTCCTCCCTGAGAGCTTTCCAAGACGCCATTTTAGTCGTTTGCCTGAGCAAATGCTCCTCAAATCCCCCTCTCAAAGGGCCATCATTTGTATGAGTAGGCAACTGAACGAATGGATGACATACACACACACGGAAAGAGACAAGAGCTGCGAGATGATGGTGTGCGGCCCCCATCATGCGCGGCGCTGCTGCTCCGGACGGAACAAATCAAGTTACTTACCCAACAGCTCACCAACACCAAAATCACCCGTGGATAAGTACCTATTAATCACACAGATTGAACACAACTGCCAAGGCGGTGGACTTTTCCGCCGGGCATCGCTTGAGCTTCCTCAGCGCGGCTCGCTAAAACTTGGAGCAGCACGACCCTGAGGTAGGTACATAGATTTACGTCAAGTTTACCGTGCCGCGTACCAAGACCGACTAGACTCTTAACAACCTACCTTACCTGAACCTCCCTGGCCTAGAAACGAGGGAGTAAAAAAGGAAATCAAACATGCCGAAGCGAGGAGCAGCGGTAACGAACATAGTAACACGACGAGGTAAGCATTGCGGCTGTCGCTTCGCTCGCCAAGCTGGACCGTCATCAAAGTCCCCTGGCGAGGGCTCCCATCCAAGTCGTCTTGGACCAGATGCCTTCGGTGTCGACCAGTGCTAACGTGAACCGCTAGATATCTTAGGTACTACTAGTAGGGAGGGACCAGCCGGCTCACAGCGATTCTGGCCGTCCGCTCTCCCCTTACCTACAGTAGGTTACACTAACAGTACCTAGCTACAGCTCTCAATGACTGTTGGGTTGCATGTATGCAACACGTCCAGCCACCGCTGCCACCGTGCTGGTGCTGCTCTCCAGCTGTGCATCCTTCGCATAGAATCGTCTCCCAAATTCTCGTCTCACGCATCTTACAAGAAAAAGAAAAAAAAAAAAACATCAGGCTCGCACGGCCATTGGACCAGATGTGGCGCACGCAACAAGCAGCCGGACCCGACAGTCTGGTGCGGTGTGTCATGCCCTTCCGGCCTATCGTATAAGACGTCTCGGTAGTTCCAATTCGCTCCAGTCCCAGCGTCCTGCCAGCTGCTGTTTCCGGGGGGGCTGAGCGCAGGTACAGATACTCCCGCCTCAGGTACTTATCGCCGCTGGCTGGCTGGCGGGTTGCATGCATGTGAGCATCAACTGGAGTTCAGGTCCAAGTAAGTATTCATGGGCAATGTTAGCTCCTCCTTTTTTTTTCCTTTCCCTTCGCATTGGTCTGCGCATTGACTCCATCCTCAGTCGTACATGCTTGCAGGAGGACTTGTCATGCGCTTGCTGCCATACTGTAGGTATGCTTGAGGTTCGAATTAGATGCAAATACCCTCAGACCACGACGACTTGAGATTACTTTATATTAACCCGCAGATACACCTGAGTAAGGTAGGTAATTACAGTAACCGGTATAAATACGGACAAGAATGTACCAGCTCCGGCCAACCCACAACAACAGGTCTCGTCGTGGAGACTCATCATTCCATCATGCCCTGCGCAAAATCATTCGGTAGCCGATGCCATGGACAGCTGCCGCGTTGCGACGGGGCAGAAACGTCCAAGCTTTCTGGGCTGGCTGTCTGTCTTGTCGCATTTCACTGCGGAACTGCCGTGTCAAGGGTATCTAGATACCGCCGCATACGAGTACTACATGTACAGTAGGTACCTTACCTCCCTTGCGACACTCAAGGTACCGGCCGCCAGCATTTCGTTCCAGGTTGCATTGATCTGTTTTCGGTCTCTTTGATCCGCCCCCCCCTTCTCGGACCGCTCGCTCACACACTCGCACACACTTTTACTCATCCAGATATTACCGCGTATCACGCGGGAAAGATGAGATGATGGACGGACCTCGAGCCACGAAAGCAATTCAGAACACAAGGACAAAGAATCCCAAAAGAAGCGAACTGATATCGTCCTCTCTTTGTTTCCTCCTTCTTCCCTCTCCAAGCCGAGAGTCGGCAATCACGGGCTACCTACCTACGAAACCAGAATCATGCTTCTCCCCCTTCCCCCCATCCTACCTAATACTGTATGTATGTATATTTTCTATGCCTCGCAAGGGAAAAAACGAAGGCAGAATCCTTCCAACTGCAATTCGCACACCCCCCCGTAAGCCCTTACCGTCCGGTCGGTAATTGTCGTTGGGTGGCACCGGTTCTGCGGGATGTGCGCCGCTTTTTTTCTTTCCTTTTTTTTTTTTTTTTCTTCTCACTTGCTCTCTGCTGCCCTCTTCTGTACTCCTCAGCTAAAGGCTCGGAGATGGAGCCGCCAACTAATAACCTTGATTCATCTGATCAATACAGTAAGAGGAAGGATGTGCAGGGCATGGCCAGCATGGATCAAGGAAAGATGAATCATCGACAGGCTCTTCCGGCACTCGCTTGTTAATAGGTAGGTACTAGTGCATGCTCGACTTTGTTGTTGTATGACTCCCTTTCGGGGCGTTTATTCCATATGGTCAAACTGTTGCGGCCTCTGCGACGTCCGGTTTTGCCGCATTTGCCTGCAAGGCGAGACAAGGCGCCGCAAGCCAAGCTTTTTGCGTGCTGTGATTGTGCTGGCTGGCAGGTAGGGATGTCCAGTACTAAACTGCTACCTGCACGTATCCCTGCTGTAGGTATGTATGCGCAGGCAGTCTGGTAATACAGAGTACTGTACACTGTACAAGTTACTTTTCGTTTCGTCCAGATGCATCTGCAGATGTCGCCTGTCATGTCATGTCATGCCCATGTCCTGTCAAAAACCCTCACCGCCCCTTGTCACGATGCGATGCTCCAACCCGCCTGGTCTCGCGTGTCTGTCGTTTCGTCTCCTCCTCACCTACAATCCTTTACACAACTCCCTCGGCTTTTCACTTTTAAGTCCGCACTTACTAGGTTATTAGCAGTACCTGCATGCAAGCATTCAACTGGGTACTAGTAAAGAAGAGAACCAAGGGATAATAGGAAGACGAGCAGAAGAAGAGAAACAGGGACAAGCTTTAACCGGGTCTATGCAGCAGCGCCCTTGCTCGCGTCAGGCAATGGACGGCTGCCACGCCTGGTCCCCGTCTGTCTGTCTGTCTGTCTGTCCGTCTGTCTCTTCGTTTGACATCCCAATACTGGGGGTTCCCACTCTTTTTCATGTTTCCATCTTCGGCGATCTGCTTGTCGTGGCTTTCTGCATGCCCTCGTCTGCAATGTAACACCTACCTACTACCTCTAGTGATAATAGCCCGCCTGTCCACTCCAGGCTCGGCGAATGATGCAGCGGGGTTGGAGTCGCTCGAGGGCGACGGTGAAGCATCTCCGCTCGTGCCTTGGCTCAGCTCTTCGAGACGATTTGCAAGCAATATTACGGGTAGTACTACTACTTAAAGACGCCTGACACGCTCCGTTCTTGAACATACATAGCTTACCTTTCTTACACTGCTAATCTGGTCTATTATGCCCACGCCGCCAATTCATGATGGTTACCGATGATCCTACATCCTACTACCTAATTTGCACTATTTGTCGTCTCAATCCTGGAGACCCTGCTCTTCACATGTCTCGGCTCGAATCCCATTCAACCTTTCTAGCTCCGGCCGCCCTGTCAGCAATCCTCCATCTGGAAAGCATACCTAGTAATACCTTACCTTATTAGACAGGGGACCCGAGCGTACGGCTGCCTTCTCCCGCGCATGTACATACGAGTCCTGGTGGGTACAGCTAGGTACAGAAGGTAGGTAGGTAGGCTTGCACAAGACGCATATTACTCGTACAGCTAGATACCTGCCTGACCTCGACATCGTACCATGACGAGAAATGCCGGACCTCCCTCCCTCTCGCTTGACTGTCTGATCAGCAGGGACCTCTTTTCATTACCCTCCTTCTTACAGACGGACTGGCAACGAGCTTCTTGCCGTACCCAGATTTCTCTCCCAGTGGTAATGATTGACGATTGCCAAGTATGACTAGTTATAAACCTTGAGGACTTCTGAGCTTTCCCCTTAGCATATTACGAGAAAGCTGTCAAGTGCCCGTTGCCGCCTCTCCTGATGGCCATCTAGCCGCAGTATTATTGCTGGCTGGCAGCCAATGGCAAAGACACACCATCTGTGGGTGTTCCGTATTACGCCTCCCCTCCCTCTCTAGATCTGTTGTTCCTGTATGTAAGCCTCAAGCACGACCCATTACCACGGCCTTGGGCTCAGGTGTTCCGGCCCCCAACGACTTCAAGTTGGTGCCCCCTCCCAGTACGTGACGGAGGAGGAGGGTGTGTGGATCAAACACCGCATCGTCGTGCTTCTCACGGCGCCAATCCGAAACGTCTCCCTTCCTGCGAACAGCGCATCATACGTAGCATTATCATGGAGCCCGAAATCTACGAGAGAAGCGCACCAATAGGCAAGATGTGTAGTACTAGTATATCGAAGCTGACAAGAATGGTTTCGATCTTCCTAGGGGTAGTACATAGTAGTACCACTAACTTTGAACCAGCCGAACGGGCCGAGACAGGACATGCTTCTCCTTCTTGACGTTCGACGGGGATTTCTTGACTCGCATCCATACGCCGACGCCCCGTCTTACGAATCAGACACAGAAACGCCAGAGAAGAAAAGCTGGGAGTTCAAGCCAAGATCTGGAGAGATGGCGTCTTGGTTTTGTTTGATTTCTGGGCGGGCGAACGGGACGGATATGGCGTCCCTTTCGGGCCTGGGGTAAGCTACCTCTATAGGTAGTAGTAGTAGGTATTGACGAGAGTGTGTTGTGTGATTGTTTTTTTGGCGTGTTGTCATGCGTCTAGAACGTTGGATCTCCTTTGCCGCCTTTTCGGACACTACCTCTAGGTAGCAGGTCAGGTCTTGTTTTGGCCGTGCGTTGAAAGTTGCAGCAGGGCCACGCTGAGCTGAGCTGCATGTGGACAGTAAGCAGGACCTGGAATTGCTTGTGTCGGGCTTCTGAACGGCTGGATTCTGGTCGACTGATTCGCAATTGCTTGCTCAACGCCATAGTATTGCATCCAGATTGTCTGCATACTCGAGGCTTCTCCATCATGGCAATTGTCCCGTACCTTCCAGTTGATGACACAGACTCAGACCCTCGGATAAACAGCTTCCAGCTTCCGCCATGCCATGCCCCACCTGCCGGGACCCCTCCATCGATCCTTCCCACTCTGGCTCGTCGCGGTGCGCGTCATTCAATTGGGCGGTTTAATTGCCAGGAACGCGTTTCCTTCCTAAGCTGCAAAAACATCCATGCGACTTGTCGTGAAGCGTGCTTTGACACAACAAAGCGAAAAGAGTCCGTCACTTTTTTTTAATGAGCACAGCATAAACATAGAGAGCATCAGCATCTTTCTTACTGCCCATAGCCTTGTGTTTCTTCTTGTTTGTTCATTTTTTTTCCCCTTCTTCTTTCAATACCTCTCCGTACCTCGTCGCATTGATATGCTGCACATGGTTCTTGTTCGCATCTCTCGTTGGCAGTTTTGAAGCGAGATCCTCCTACGATCCGTGTGCTATGCGCCTTGACGAAGCGTGTCTGACGCCAGGTTCCTCTACCGTCACGACCGGGCTAGGATTGTGCGCGTTTCTCGACTAAATCAAAGGGAAAAGCATAGCATAACATAGCATAGCATACCCGATCTCGACCTCGTTCCACACCTCTTCACATCCGCTCGAGTTTTACGTTTTCGACACGATAGTCATACCTGCCGACTCGAGCCATGTACCTCCCGCGGTCCCTAATCTCCAAGCTCTACTCGCATCTCCAAAATACCCGCCATCCTCTCTCCCCGGCCGTCCTGATCCTCGTCGCGCTCGAGCCGGACGCTCTCTGCGCCTGTCGCATCCTCACCCGCCTACTCAAACATGACTATATTCCGCACAAGATCCAGCCCGTTGCGGGTTACAGCGACCTGGAAAAGGCAGGCAAGGAGCTTGTTGTACCGATGATGGAGTCGCAGGGAGGCAGTGGAGGCGTTGTCATCTGCCTTGGGGTCGGTGGCATGGTTGATCTTGGACCAATGCTAGGCTTAGAACCCGAGGGCGAAGAGTCCCCATACAGCGGCGTCGAGGTCTGGGTCTTTGATGCTCACCGGCCGTGGAACCTGGCCAATGTCTTTGGCGGCTTCCCGCTCGAGCCTGCGGATACGGCGTCGAGCTCATACCAGTCAAGGAGTCCGGTCGGGGTCACAGGGGGGGCCATTGGTCGATCATACAACTGTGGCAAGGGCGGCATCATCGTCTACGACGATGGCGACATTGAGGGCGACCTCACGGCCGAACGCGATGCGTATCTTGCGCTTCTGGACATGCCGGACATTGAGGAGCAGGGCGACGAGGATCTTAGCGAAGACGAAAACGATGGCGATCACGCCGACTCGGGCTCAGAGCATGCTCACGCAGGGCAGAAGAGGAAGAGCTTGAATGAGGAGGAGTCTAGCGATGAGGAGGAATCGCGGCCTCGCCAGCGGCGACGAAGCAATTCCGTACGTATGACACGGTTCTCTGTCGTCCCATTTCTAACACATGCCTTAGTCAAGCTGGATAGCCAGCTCTCCTCGCCGGCCAGAGCACAGAGGCTTGCTGTCGATACGACAAGCTGATGCAGGCCTGTCGAGCGATCCCGTCGAACCTCCATCAGGAGCTCAACCGCCGCCGGCCGCCTCAGCTCGCGCGCTGCGGAAACGACTCCTACGAATGCGACAACAGAACGAAGCCGTCCTACACCAATACTACAGGATGGGGTCATCCTACTCCGAGCCCATCTCAGCGATGATGTACTCGCTGGCCTCCGAACTAGGCCGCGATGACAACGACCTGCTGTGGTTGGCCATTGTAGGGGTCACGTCGATGGAGCTGTACGGAAGGTCATCGGCAGGCGTTGCCGCGCCTGTCCGGTCGGGCGCAGGCGGTAGGCCGTCTGGCTGGTTTGGCGTCCGAGGTGCTCGACTGCGACAGCTCCTGAGAGATGAGGTTCGGAGACTGAACCCTCCAGAGATGACTAATGGGCGAGTTGCTCCCGAGAACAATGGCATCATACCAACCACGGCCAGGAACCCTGAAGACACGGGCATTCGCCTGTCTCCAGAGCCAAGGTTTCTACTGATCCGCCATTGGAGCCTCTACGACAGCATGCTGCATTCGCCCTATCTCTTTTCCAGGCTAAGAACTTGGAGCGAAGCGGGCATCAAGCGGCTGCACAAGCTCCTCGCCAAGATGGGAGTCAGCCTGGCGCAGTGCAAGCAGAGCTACACGCACATGGACATGATGCTGAAGCGCGAGCTGAGGGCGAAACTGTTAAAGTACGGATCGCTCTACAACCTCGATGAGATGGTGCCCGCGGTTGATACGGACGGCAAGGATCGCGCAGGAGCCAAAGATGGATGGGGCTTTGTCCGCAGCTGGGGATGGCGCGCAACTCTCAGTGCCCAGGACGTCGGGGTCGTGATTGGCGCTCTGCTAGAGGTCGGAAAACATGCCCATGCTCTGGACACGACAAACGGAGGGCCGAGCCAGGTAACGCGTGAGATGGAGGACGAGTCGGAGCTGGCTGCCGAGGGCGAGGAATGGGTGCATCGCTTCTGGGAGGCATATGACGCGTTGGAAAAGTGAGTTGCGAGTTGGAAACGAACGTGGAAGACGAGAGGCGGATATGCTGACATGTTGACTGCAGTATCGATGCCCTCAAGGCTGGACTACCGACGGCACAGTTTTTGCACCGCGCAATCTACCGTACCGGGACCTCTCTGATCAACAAGAAACAGATCAAGCACCTCCGTGCTTTCCGCATGTGCGTCGTCAAAGATGGCCCCGACGTCGCGCTCTTTACGCACCCGGCTGCCTTGACGAAGCTGGCTCTCTGGATCGGAGAGGCGCTGGCCGAGCAAGAAAAAGAAACCCAGGGCAAGCTGTCACACGGAGGCCGCGGAACACCATTGGTAGTGGCGAGCCTCAACGAGAAGCGTGGAGTCTACACCGTTGTGGGCACGGGAGGCGGCGGAGGACCGGATACCCTATTTCTAAACAAGGCGACGAAGCAGGAACGGCAGTCAAAGAAGGAAGCCAAGGCACGCAAGAAAGAAGAGGCGCGCAAGGCCAAGGAAAAGATTCGCAAAGAGAAGCGTGCGGCTCGGCGGGCTGCGACCCAAGACAACGACGACAATGGAGACGATGACGAGCTGGAGACGGAGTCCGAGGCCTCTGAATCGTCAGAGTCGGAAGACGACTCGGATGATGAGGAGATGAATGATCGGGGCTACGGTCTCAACAAGTTTGGCAACGCGTTTCAAGAAGTTGTTGCCGAGACGAGCGCGCGTGTCCGGATCGATAGCTTTGAGCACTCGGTTGTGGAGGTCAAGAAGGAAGACTTGGGCGCCTTTCTCGAGAGCCTGAGCGAAAAGGCTGTTGTGGGCTGATTTGCCCCGGCTCGTGGATCTTTGGACGCCCTGATCCGGGATATGGACAGCGAATCGCGGGGTCTTCGAATTCAGGCAACGAACAGTGTTGGAAGGGTACCTATGTAGGCATGTTGCTGTTCTATAATTGTCACTTTGTTTTCTATTATTCTTCTTCATTGTTTTTCGGAAAGGTGTTATAGGGGGGAGGGGGAAAATGGAAACGGCACACATGATATCGAATGGATGAACGGTTTAGTGGAAGGAAGGGAGTTTCAAGGGTGGATGAAGAGACACCAGGTTGAGCGTCGGGGGTATTTTGAGGGTAGCTTGACTTTTATCTTCACAATGAATAGAGGACTATTAGGTATATGACCTTTTGTGTGAGAATTCATTGCTCTGTGTCTGCAGTGCTATGATCGCTTCGATTTGTTTGTAGACTGTGAAAGGCTCGAGGAGCAGAAGATGGCTTAGTCAGCACGATATGACATGCTGCGTCTCAACCCCACACGCGGGGCAGCTGCTGGACCTGCGACTCTCGTCATGTATTAGCTCTACAACCTCCCAACTCCCAACTCCAATCATCAACGCATCACGCATCCCTACCCGACTATATTTCTCGCCGAATCTCGCCTTCATAAACACACGGCCACAGACACAAAGCATCAAAGAGGAACTCGCGCCTTCGACAGATCCCCCGGCCATGGACGCTCCCAGCTCCAACCCTCTTCTGTCCACGCAGAAGAGCTCCCAGCTCCAGGCCGTCCTGCACCCGCTGGTGCTGCTCACAATCTCCGACTACATCACACGGCACACGCTGCGCGAGCAAAAGGGCCCCATTATCGGAGCCCTGCTGGGCCAGCAAAATGGCCGTGAAATCACCATTGAGCACGCCTTTGAGTGCCACGTCCAGGAAGCACCCCAGGTAGAGGGAGGCTACCTGATCAACGCAGCCAAGTTCAGCGCAAGGCTGGAGCAGAGTACGGCGAGACGGACCTTTTGGCCAACGTAAAAACCAGAAGTGCTTTGCTAACTTTTTATTATTCGCTAGTGTGTCTCGTGCACAAGGACCGCAAACTGGACTTTGTCGGCTGGTACACCCTGCTGTCGTCATCAGGCCCATCGCCCACCATCCTGCCGATCCACAACCAGATCCTCGAGAACTGGAACGAGTCTGCCGTCCTGCTTGGCTTCCATCCCCAGGAGGTCCTGCAGCACTCCGTAGGCGGCAAGCTACCGCTGACGATATACGAGAGCAACTACGAGGTCGACGATGTCCGGGGTGAAAACGACGGCGAGGACAAGAAGATGGACGATGGCGAGTCCACGCTCAAGCTCAAGTTCCGCGAGGTGCCGTACTCGGTCGAGACGGACGAGACGGAGATGATTAGCATGAACTACGTGGCCAGCGGCGGGGGAAACGCGACGGCCAGCGCTCCCGCGCCGACGACCAAGGAGGAACGGACGGCTCGTTCCATAGAGTCGAACGGAAAGGGGAAGCGGAGGCTGGTGGAGAGCGAGGTCGAAGACAACAAGAAGGACGCGGCGGTGGATGAGGCCTCTGCTCTTTCGCGGGAGGAGGAGGAGATGCTGGCGTCGCTGACGGCCAAGGCAAACGCCATCAAGATGCTTCACTCGCGGATCCAGCTCATCACCACCTACCTGCAGCGTCTGCCGCCTTCGTTCGTCAACGGAGATGCTCAGGACGGGGGGGAGAGCATGGACACGGACTCCAACAACACCGTCCCGTCGCTCAATATCCTCCGGCAGATCCAGGCCCTGGTGAGCCGCCTCGACCTCGTCATCCCCTCAGACAGGGAGGCCTTTGAGAGGGAAGTACAGAGCGAGACGAACAATGTCCATCTCCTGGGCCTCTTGAACTCCATCATGCAGGGCGTCGTCCAGGCAAAGGACGTGGGCAGGAAGTTTCACGCGATTGAAGCGAGCAAGACTGCGGCGAGGCGCGGCACCATGGACTACTCGACTGGATCGTTTAATCTCTCTGGGACGGGCGATTTGCACATTTAGAAGTGAATTGAAAAAGGGGAGGGGGGGGGGCTTATGGGTTGTTGCCCCTTTTGCATGCTGCTCTTTTTCTCTTTTTTTTGCTGCACTTTGCGAGAGGGCATGTTTTGGCGTTTTACGGTTCTTTTGCAGTCCCTTTTTCTTTTTGTCTCTGTTTTACACAAGACATGGTTGATAGATGGGTCACGCATGAAATACGACGAGGGCTCGTATGCTTTGCCCCGGGTCAATGAACGGAATAAATGAAAGCAGTCGGTTATAATGGCCAAATGGTTGATATCCATCACAAGTTTCCGGCATTCTCACGCATTGTATTGCTCATAAAGTGTTATATCGATAATAACATGGACACTATTTTCACGTAAAAAAAGCCGTAATCGTCCACCACGGCAGAAAAGGAAAACAAAAAAGTATCTACCTAGCAAAGGCAACCAATTCCATTGTACATCAAATAACAAGTAGTCACAGCCCGCTCAAAAAGTGCTCGTGGCCAACCGACTCGCCGCATTCCTAGCATCAATCCTATCCTCGTCATCCTCCTCCAGGCCGACCAAGTTGCCCAGGCCGCCGCCGAGCTTGCCCGCGCCGCCAGGCTCCTTGCCGCCGTCGCCTTCGCCGGCCTCGTCGGGGAGAAGCTTGCTGCCGGCGACGGAGGCGGTGCGGCTGGTGGCGTCCGAGCGGCGGGGGACGCCGCTCCAGGCGTCCCCCTTAGGGCCCTGGCTGGCGGCGAGGCTGGTCCGGCGGACGGTGGGGTGGGCTTCGCGGCCGAGGCGGCTGAGGCCGCCGGAGGCGTCGATGGACCGGATGTCGGCCCTGACGCTCTCGAGGAGGGCGAGGGAGCGGCGCTCGGCCTCAATCTCGCGCAGGACGAGCTCCCTGATTTCGAGGCGCAGGTCGTTTGCCGTCCGCTCGAACCACCTGCGGCGCTCCTGGACGAGGTTCTGCGTGACCCGGCTCGTCTTGTGGAACAGCTGGGTCTCGGTCGTGCGGGCCTCGTCCAGCGCGGCAATGGCCTCGTCCACCTTTTCCCGCCGCACGCTGGAACTGGCCTTGAGGCGGTCGGCGGCGTTGAGCTTGCTCCGCGTCACCTCCTGGGCCTGCAGGTACTCGCGGATGAGGATCTGGCGGTTGGTGAGCGTCTCCTTGACGATGAAGGCGTCCTGCGAGTGGTACTGGAACGGGTCCCCGATGGTCGTCGCCTCGGCCGTCGCCTGGGCGGCGTGGTAGTCGCCGACGGTCTGGATGACTCTGCCCAGCTTCTTGTAGGCGTTTGCCAGGCCTGGGTGCGGCTCCTGGACGTGCATGGCACCGAGCTTGACACCGTAATCAGACTCGGCAAGACCAAGACCTGCCGTATCGCATTAGTAAGGCGGACCAAGCTCTGAACCGTGATGTTTAGCCTACCTCTTCGAGCCTTGACGAGCTTGTCAACCTTGTGGCCGGCATCCATCGTACCGAGGTAAAACAGCTTGACAATGGGACGAGCCTCTGCGAGCTCAGGGGTATCATCAGGAGGCGGGGCGAACTGCTTCAGAATCTTCCTGCGGACACCGGTCGCGGGCTGCTTCCTCTTCACCAGCGGGCTATAGCCAAAGTCGCTTTCCACAAAGAGCACCATCTCGTCGTCCCTCATCAGAACCTCGTTGCCGCAGACGTAGTTGAACCATCGCTGCATCAGAGCCTTGACGCGATTCTCGTCCTCCTCGGTACCGGCGCCAGCAGACGTGATCGGGGGAGGAACAGCGGGAACTAGGGCTTCTGGGTTGGCAGATATCAAATGCTCTCCCAGCTTGACGAATTCGGAATGCAGACGTCGGACATCTCGGTACTGGGTGGTGCGGAATCGAGGCAGGTTTGTCTATGAGAGGGGATACTGTTAGATTCAATCCCATTCTTTGCAGTGAGACGGCATGTCCCAAACTTACGTGGACATCGAATCGCAGTATCGGATCCTTCTTTCCCGTGCGCTCCAGCCCTGTAATCTTGGCTTGCAGCCTGAATTGGGGCTGCGGCGGCTTCCGAGGCTGCTGCTGCGGCTCTTCTGACGGGGCCTCTGTCGAAGCCGTCGACTGGGCAGCCTCCGACTCGGCAGTCTGAGACACAGTCTCAGTCTCTGATGCCGCCGCCGCCGCCACGCCCGCATCTCCAAAGTCGCCCTCTCCACCCGCGGTGGGAGTTATTGAGCCCGACTGCGGAAAGACGTCGTCGCCGTTGGACGGCTGCGGGGTGTACGGAAACGCGGGGACAGGGGCATCGCCAGTGAGGCTCGCGAAGCTGGTGCGGTCGTGCTGGGGGGACGATCCGGGCGTGTTGCCCCAGGGAGACGCCGCAGGGTCCTCGGTCTCGTGTATGGAGGCGCTGTAGTCCATGGCGGTTGCGGTCGTAGAAGCAACGCTCTCTCTCTAGCGGCAATATATGAGGGCGTAGCACACAATGTCCGAGTGATGGCGGGGGTGCCTTTGCGAGGCGCTTTGCGAGGCGAGGATGATGCGGGCGAGAGTGATGTGAGCAGATTGTTGTCAATAGTGAGTCTTGTTCATCCCCGTGAGAGGCGCAGATTGGAGGCACGGCAAATGGCTGGTGCGCGAGGCTTTGGTTTCCGCCTGGGCGAAGCTGCGGATTCAGTTCGGCTACGTAAGTTGATGTTGCGACGACATTCAGAGTGGGGACCGTATTGAATGGCAGCAAGTATGGGGAGGCAGCGCTGATTGGCTGGACAGACGCGGGTTATCGCGCTTGGCTAGACGCTGCGAAGCTCTTATCGCATGGCTGAAAGGGGCTTAGCGCGGGCCAGTGGGGAACAAAAATTCGTTATCGAAGCTTACCAGTGATGCATCTTTCGAGAATATTGTCTTGGCTGGATCATTGCGCGCGCATATCTTGTTCATCAATCGTGGTTTATTATATCCAGAAAATACACAATGGGAAAGAAGAGGTCAAGAGAGGAGGCCAAGGATGCGCCGCCGGCTGATGCTGGTGCCGAGCGCATGGACGAGGACAGCAGCGATGACGAGGTGAGAGCGAAGAGAGAGAGAGAGAGAGAGAGAGAGAGAGAGAGAGACAATGGCTTCATAGGGACAATTTGCGCTGACGGGCCCAGGACTTTGACATGGTCAACGTCGAGTTCGAATGGTTCAACTTTGACCCCGAGATCGACTTCCACGGCACAAAGTCGCTGCTGCGGCAGCTCTTCGACGTCGACGCCAACCTCTTCAACATGTCTGCGCTGTCAGACCTCGTCCTGTCGCAACCGACAATCGGCTCGACGGTCAAGGTCGACGGCAAGGCCAACGACGCCTACGCCATGCTCACGGTCCTCAACACGTACGAGCACCGCGAAAAGGAGCCCATGAAGGACATTCTCAAGTACCTTGTCGACAAGGCGCAGACCAACCCGTCAATATCGGCCGTCGCGGAGCTCCTCGGCGCGCAAAAGCCCGTCGGGCTCGTCCTTTCCGAGCGCCTCATCAACATGCCGTCGGAGATTGCGCCACCGCTGTATACGATGCTCGTCGAGGAGGTGGAGGATGCGCTGGAGGACAAGGAGCCGTACGACTTTTCATACTATCTCATCCTCTCCCGGACGTATCAGGAGGTGGAGTCGACGCTGGACGTGGAGGATCGAAAACGGAAAAAGGCAAAGGAGGAGGCTTCCACCTACCACTTCCACCCCGAGGATGAGGTCCTGGAAAAGTACGCCGTCGCGCACGGCAGCTTCCGGTACACGAAGGAGGACGATGCGGTGGCAGACAGCAAGCGGGCGTTCCAGGAGATGGGCATCAAGACGTTTGGGCACATGATTCTCATTGAGGCGAGTAAATTCAAAGAGGCCGTCAAGGCCGTGGGCGATTATATAGCTGCGCCGCAATAGAAATGGACATTTCAACTTGCTCTAGGTACTCCCTACTCTTCGGGTATGAGCCTCTGCATCAAGTACTCCACCTCCACCTCCTTGGTCAATGGGATGACAAAGTCCTTGTACATGGACACGACGGCGTCCACGTTGATCTTGATGGGCTGCTCCACGCCTTCCAGCAGCGACGGGTCCTTGCCGTACGTCTCGACCTTGAGACGCAGCCGATCGAGGACCTGCTTCTCGACAGCCGCATTGGTGATGGATTCGCCAATGGCTTCGCGGTCCTCGGCCTGGATGAGCTTCGTGTAGTATTCCGGGTCCGACTGGAACTTTGACTCGGCGACAAACTTGCCAAAGTGGATTCTCCGCGACAGGGCCTGCAGGCAGGCAATGTCGCAGGTGGACGTCGAGCCGTAGTTCTCCTGCGCCTCGCCGCGGTCTTCGCGGCCAAAGTCAGGGCACACCTTGGGCAAGAATTTTTCAATGTAAAACTTTTTAATCTTGTCGTTGACGCAGACGGTGTTGTTGTGCAGGATCTTGGGGTAGTTGAGCGGCTTGAGGATGGGCTTCTGGACGGCCTCGGGGAAGTAGGGGTATTCATCGGGCGACTCGAAGCGGCGGATGAGGGACTGCAGCTTTTCCTGCTGGAAAAAGTACCAGTCGAAGAAGCTGAGCTTGCTGTCGGGGATGGAGATTGCGCCGGGCGTGTAGATTGTCTAAGGGCGAAGGGAGAAGCTACGTCAGTAACGCTCCAGACGGGTCGTTTGTTGGAAGCGAATGCTGGTCTCCTGGACAGCCGTGTCCCACCTTGTTGTAGGGGAATTGGACTCGCTCAATCAGATGGAACGTGATTGTGTCTTCGAGGCGACTGGATCAACGCGTCAGAAGGCTTGCGAAGAGCGTGGATCGGGGTCGCGAAAGAGCTCTTTGGAGCTTGGGATGGGACTCACATGAGCTGGAAGCGGATGTGGGTGAGATTCAGCGCGCGCTCGCTGTCGGCCATGTCGACGGCTGAATCCATGCTGAGCAGATGTGACGAAGAAAAGGGGGGGGAGGGCTATCACAAAGGGGATTGAAGTAGACGGCTATGAGTAGGTAGTAAAGAGAAATGACAAAAGTCTATCCAAATAAGCTGACGCCTTGGTGCAAAGAAGCTTTGTGGTATTCTTAGTATTCTTAGTAGTAGTAGAGGCTTCGATGGCTTGGAATGGATTTGGGTCCCGAGACCGGCGGGTGGCTCTGGAGAAAGACTCAGCCGGGCCCCATCTTTTAGTGCAGCCCAGCTTAGTCGTGTCTCGTGCGTGACACATGCCAGAGGGCAAAAAGCTGGGCAAAGCTGGGATAGTATGGCATCAGATGGGTATATAAGACGAGGGATGTAGGTGGACGGCTTTGGCAGCGAGATACAGGTTGGAGAGCTGCTGTAAGCCCTTTTAGATTTACGCGTAAGACGTGAAGCGGTGCTGCAGGACGGCTCGGAGCTGATTGTAGGCATTGTTGCTTGTCTGTATCTGATAGTACTGGCAAATGCATCGTTATCAGTCGACCTCAATGGAGCCATAGATTGGCTACCTTGGATATCATTTGCATCCAATGCTACCTGGGCAATCTCTGCACTCTGTACTTACATAACTCCAGAGCCTTGGAAATATAAGCAGCCCATGGACGTCGATGCCAAAGTCTCACCAAGGGTCCCCTGGCCTGCTTGATCTCAATCTGTCAATGTCATCATCAGAATCCTTCAGCAGCTCCTGGTCCCGTCTTATGCCCTGGAACCCTGGACAAGCCCCAGTGGGGGCATCGAGCCAGCCGCACAGGCAGAGGCTGAAGGTTCCATGGTTCTGGCCCTGTGCGAGAGCAGCGAGCTAACAAGCCAGAATGCCGTACGACAGCAGCTATGTATGCCAGCCAATGTCTCAATGGTCATCAAAAGGGGTCAATGGAGCTTGGGACTTGGTGTAACGACGCATTGAAGCTAATGCAGTTCAATGCGATGGAGGTGCAGAGGTAAGGTAGTGGTAGTAGTAGGCAGGGCAAGCATTTGATGGAAGACGCCGTACCTGAGGTGTAGTAATAAAGCGTGAGGTCTGGTGGGATAAGGTACATGTAGGTATGGATCGGGGCCCGGTATCAATGGATCCGTTACACAGGCGCTGCAAGTAGCGGTACTTGTTCCCGACGGTGCCAATTCGACACCAAAAGGGCAGCTGCAGACACCAACAGCTAGAGGGGTGGCGGCACAGGCCGCTAACAACAGCCGGTTCGCGGCAGCAGTTCAGCAGCTTGGCCCCCGCTTTGCGGCTTGTATCTGTACATGCCGTTGGCCCCCCCGGCTCTCCCCCAGTTCTCGGTTCTTGCTTTTTCTGCGCGTCATCCCAAAATTTCACACCCGCAAGCCAATGCCGGGATTTTGCGATGCAAAGCCTCCGACTTCGTTTCTTCTCTTTTTCTTCCTGCCTGCCTTGACCACGACGAAAATCCCGCCCCTGCCTTGCGCTGCCTCGAGCCCGATCTTGAGCCCCTTCCAGCGCCGGGCCAGCCGTTGAGTAATGGCCGACTCGGAGAGCCATTATGCCTTCGACGATGGCCCCGATGACGAGCAATCCATCATCTCTGTACGTCGCAAAAAAAAAATAAGAAGAATTCAAGAAGAAATTCGCTGCGTTGCGGCGTCGTCGACACTGAGCGCAACAGTCCAGCTAATCAACGACCCGCCTCCTCTCTCCGCAGACCCGAGGCCTCGAGGCCTTTAGCCGAAAGGTCACTGTAACAGCCAGCCAGCTCATGGGCCCGGCCGCAGAGGCATCCGGAGCCCATTACCGCGCCGCCATGGCCGAGGTGCACAAGCAGATGAAGCGCCCCAGCGTCCAGCGCGGCATGTTCTCCATGGCCCGGTCCAGCCCGACGGAGATTGTGCGGTCCAAGCTGTCCACGGCCGAGATCCAGCACCGCGCCCTCACCCACCTGCCCGACGAGCTGCTGTCCAACATCCCCGACCACCAGAACGCCTACTCGCTCTTCCAGGGCTTCCAGGCCAGCTTCCCCGACCTGGCCCAGGACGGCAAGAAGCACCGCCGCCGCCCGTCGAGGGGCCGCAAGCTGCTCGAGGAGGGCGAGGGCACGCCCGCGACGCCGACCAAGCTGGCCCAGCTCAAGAAGGAGAAGACGGCCATGGTGCACGAGCTGGAGCTGCTGGGCGTGCGCAAGAGCATGGTCAGCTGCGAGATTCGTGAGATTGACAACAAAATCGCCAACCTGTACGGCATGCGCCGGATCGTGCTGGAGCGGTTGGCGGGCTTTGAGCAGGACGAGGCGTCGCTTGAGCACGATGGTAGGTTAACATTGTATATGGACTCATCTTCCTCTTTTTTCTTCCTCTAGTCATCTTCCTCTAGTCATTTTCCTTTTCCTCCCCGTTATTCACAGTCAGATTGTTGACCTTTTCTCAGTCATGGATCTCGAGTTGAAAATCGACGAAGTCCAAGCCATTGTCGACGAGGCCGAGGAGCTTGCTCGCAATACCGCCACAAAGGACGAGCGAGACCTGGTGGGCGATGCCGACGACCACGATCCTGAATTCATGTCCAAATCTGTCTACGAAAAGCTACCCGCCACCGAAGGCAAGCAGCGCAAGACGAAAAAGGTTCATCGCCGGAAATCAATGGCCATCCTGCACGAGCACTTTGCGCCCGGATCCAACATTCGCGAAATCCGAGCCCACCGAGATACGATTACTGCCATGGACTTTGATGCGCCTTTTGGGACTTTGGTTACTGCTGCATTGGACGACACTGTCCGGGTCTGGGATCTGAATGCTGGGCGATGCATGGGCTATCTAGAGGGCCACACGGCTTCAGTACGTGCTCTGCAGGTCGAGGATAACATTCTGGCTACTGGTTCTATGGACGCCACCATCAGGTTATGGGATTTGAGCAAAACACACTACAACCCTCAAGGCGGAAAGGAGGTTGGCGACGAGGACGAGGACGCCATTGCCTTTGAGCACCCCGATGCTCAGCCGATTGAGCCGCCAGAGGGCAGCATGGACGACTGCGCGCTCTACACCCTGTCATCTCACGTCGACGAAATCACCGCGCTTCACTTCAGGGGGGATGTTTTGGTGTCCGGCTCTGCAGACAAGACGATCCGGCATTGGGACCTGGAAAAGGGCCGCTGCGTGCAGACGCTCGACGTCATGTGGGCGGCTGCGCAGGCGTCGGCCATTGCCACGACTGACGATACGTGGAGGCCGACCGGCCGGGCTCAAGGAACCTCGGCCGACTTTGTCGGTGCCCTGCAAGTGTTTGAGTCGGCGCTGGCTTGCGGTACTGCCGACGGCATGGTGCGCCTGTGGGATCTGCGAAGCGGCCAGGTTCACCGGAGCTTGGTGGGCCACACGGGAGCCGTGACATGTCTGCAGTTTGATGATGTGCATCTGGTGACTGGCAGCTTGGACCGAAGCATCAGAGTGAGTCTCCCCTATCTCTTACCTATTCTCATTGAGGTATCCCCACTGACGCGAGCCGCAGATATGGGATCTCCGAACGGGGTCCATCTACGACGCCTACGCCTACGACAACCCCGTCACCAGCATGATGTTTGATGCGCGACGGATCGTCAGCGCGGCCAGCGAGGACGTGGTCAAGGTGTACGACAAGGTCGAGGGCCGGCAGTGGGACTGCGGCGCGGGCATTGCCGCGTCCGAGGGCGGCAAGAAGGCCGCCATTGTCGAGCGGGTGCGTCTTCGAGACGGCTACCTGGTGGAGGGTAGACGGGATGGCATTGTGGGTGTGTGGACTTGTTAGAGTATAGGGAAAGCAAAGGCGGCGGCAGCACAAGCGATGTAACGAAAAATCTTGATGTCTTGTACGTTAAATGATGGGTATGGTTGAAGAAGGGGGGGGTTTTGTGTGGGAAAATTTGATGAATATGATGTTATCCGACCTTTTGAGATGTGTGAGTGAGTGTGAAGCTACGACTGATTTTGTACAATTTATCAAGTTGGAAATTGGTAGAAACCCAAGTATTTATTAGGAATAATACGATGCCCGAGATAATGACTTGATAAGATATCGCATCTGTAAGGTAGTTGCAATCGCTGAGCACAAGTTGGTACTCGTACGTTGACGTGTATTGATGCTACCATTTACCCTACAAAAGGTGGAGGGAGAAAATGACCTCAACTTTTCTTACAGCTAGGTACTGGGTAAGTCTTTACCCTTCAACGCCATCGCCAGAGTCTCATACTCTTTCCGTTGGCCACTCATTTACAATTCACATCTCATCTCACGCAATTGTATTCATCATATATCACATCATGTCGTCCCTCCGCGACCAGGTCCTCTCGCATTACCGGCACGCCGCAAACACCATCGCCTCAACCATCTACAATCCTCCTACCCCAGCATCCAACCCTCCCCAGTCCTCTATCCCCCCAGACTTAGATCCTAGAGCTCAAGCCCTACAAGCCCTCCTCCATCGCCAAGCCATCCTCCTCCTCAAACTAGACTCAACCGCCCAAAACGACAACACAAAGACACCCGACATTGACCAGCGCCTCCTCCAGCAGCGCCTGTCCGATCTCGCATCAATCTGCATGACGGCGTTTTACGCGTACCGATTTGATTTGCTACCGCATCACTGGCGATGGATGTACACTGACACATTAATCCTCATGTCCCATTACAAAGTCGTGCAGAGTATCCGACGGGCAAGGTTCAGCGAGGATATGCTGCTAGACGGGGTAGTGGAGGATCTGGACAGGGCGCTGATTGTAGCTGGAGGAGCGGGAGAAGCCCTGGGCAGGACGTGGATCGAGAAGACGCTGGATCTCCTTGAGCGTTTCAGTAAAGAAGAAGAAGAAGAAGCTGCGAGAACAAAACTCCCTCGGAACCACAAACAAGGGCTTCTTCTTCTGCAGCAGGATTCAAGGTTTTCAACCGCCGAACCATATGGTCGACCGACTCTTTCGCCGGAAAAGACGTGTCCCCGGTACGAGAACTGGACGCTGGATCGCTTCGAGAGATACATGAACGAAGACAGCCAAGGAAAGCCGAAACCGATTGTCTTTACGGATCTGATAGGGGACTGGCCTGCGTTTGAGGACAGGCCGTGGAGGAGTGCGGAGTATCTCCTCGAGAGGACGTTTGGAGGGCGGAGGCTTGTGCCTGTTGAGGTGGGGAGGAGTTATGTCGATGAGGGATGGAGGCAGGAGTTGATTTCCTTCAAGGCGTTTTTAAAGAGATACATTGATCCTACCCTGTTTCCCTCCTCCGAGGATGAAGATGACAACAAGCTCGGGAATAATCCAACAAAGGAGGCATCGAAAAGGATCGGATATCTTGCCCAGCACAACCTGTTTCAACAAATCCCCGCTCTGAGAAACGACATCCAAGTCCCCGACTTCTGCTGGGCCGACGTCCCTCCCCATCCAACGGAGCCCTCCAAGCAGAACCAGCCTCGTCTCGAGGTGCCCCAGCTCAACGCCTGGTTCGGCCCAGCGAGGACAATCACGCCCTTGCATACAGACGGATACCACAACTTGCTCTGCCAGGTCGTCGGAACGAAATACGTGCGGCTGTACGCCCCCGAGGAAACAAAGTGGTTAAGGCCGAGGGGCACGGAACACGGTGTTGATATGAGCAATACGAGCGAGCTGGACATTGGTGTGCTCGAGGGCTGGGACGAGGAGGAAGAAGAGGATGATGGTCGTGGTGCTGCTGCTGCTGTTGAGTGGGAGAGCGTGAGGAGGGAGCTGGAGGGCGTGCCGTATTGGGAGACGGTGCTGAGGCCGGGGGATACGCTGGTGATTCCCATCGGGTGGTGGCATTACGTGCGCAGCTTGAGTATCAGCTTCAGCGTCAGTTTCTGGTGGAACTAGAACTACCTTGTGTTTGTACACTTGAGATATTGATCACGACCTCACGAGCTTTGAGTCAGGAATGATGACACTGTCGTGTAACTCATAGAGGAGAGAAATGCTACGCTGGAAAACGCTGCTTTGCTCTTCCTGCGAGCCTTCATCGACTAGCAGGAGGACAACCATTCGCACCACCATCACAACCAGGCTCACAAAACGACAAAAGAGGCAGATTCAAAAAAAGAAAGAGACAGAGACACACACAACCACCATCATGGCATCGTTTCACAAGAACCAAAAGACCCAAAAAAAATCACACCTGCGATCGCGCATCCTCCACGCTCTCCCCCGTCGTCGACTGCGCCCCCCGCCTCGCCTTGGCGCCCGCCTTGAGCGTCTCCCACTTCTCGCGGTACTTCTCCAGCGTCTTCTGCATCTTGCGGTTGTCCTTTTCCAGGCGCTCCATGTGCTTTGTCATTTCCGACAGCTGCTCCTCCAGCTCGTGGTTCTTGCGCACCAGCTCCTCCTCGTTTGCCCTGCCGCTGCCTCCGCCTCCGCCTGCCCCCGGGAGGGGCGAGCCGCCGGGCATGATGCGGTAGCTTTCGGCGAGGGCGAGGGCGGAGCTCTGGGCGCTGGCTTCGAACGTGTGCAGGCGCTTGGAGAGCTTGTCGAGCATGTCCTTGAGAGACTTGTTTTCCAGGCTGAGCTCCTCAATGGTGTTGTACAGTTCCTTTTCCGAGTGCGTGCGCGTGATCCGGCGGCGGGCATGTACAGCGCCAGGGGCCTCGCGGGCGTCGACAAAGTCGTCGTCGTCTTCATCCTGTGGCAGCACGTCACCGTGAGTCGAGGCTTCCAGGCGGCGCTTCTCCTTCTCGGCGTAACTGAGAATGTTGGCGTAAGACATGGTATGGCCGGTAGAGGGGACGACGTAGAACGAATCAGCAGCGGTGTGGCCGTCGCGGACGAGGGCGCGCATGGTGGCCTTTGAGTAAATCTTGGAGAGATCCGGATCGGCGGTGGCAGACGGGGAGGCGCGGGCGCGGGACTGCTTCGTGGGAGACAGGGTGGCGCTGGGAGAAGAAGACGAAGAAGACGGCACGGCGGATTCCGCAGAAGGCGTGGCGGGCTCTTCCTGGATGAGCGGCAGGCCGGCAAAGGCAAGGGGCGCAGAGATTTTGTTGATGAGGCTTCCAAAGGTGTTGTAGAAGCGGGTATAGCCGCCCTCGTCCCTCGCGGGAGAGGCAGTGTCGACCTTTGGCGACGCGCTGCCGCCGGCTGCGGCCGCTCCCTGGTGATGCTGCGATTGCTGGTGCTGGTGCTGGTGCTGCTTGTTGGACGCGGCCGTAGCCATGGGCGGAACCCAGGTCGGGCGGCTGCTGCCGGACTGGCGGTCGATGATGGTCTGCATCTTGGCTTTGGAGGCATCGCGCTTGGCCTGGGGATCGAGGTTTCCGGGCGCTTGGTCGTTGGACACGCTGGGGCTGAGCGGCTGGCCGCGGTCCTTGGAGCGGATGCCCCTCGCCGAGGCCAGGTTGCTGGCGATGGACGACGACATCTCGCGGGGGACGTAGCGGCGCTGCTGCGAGGCCAGCCCGGGCGGCTGCTGGGCCTTTGCGGCCGCGGCCTGCAGAGCGTCGCCCGCCACCGCGTCGCCGTCGGAGGAGGAGGAGGCCTTTTCGGACGCCACCTTCTCGTTGTTGCTGCTGCCGCTGCCGCCACCATCGTCGGCGCGCGCGTGCGGCACCTGCTCCGGCGGCAGCTTGAGGATCTCGGCCAGCTTGCGGTGGTGCTCCTCGAGCAGCTTGAGGGTGCGCAGGGCCTCGACGCTCGACGTCAGGCTGGCGGCGTTGGCGAACTCGCCGGCGGCCAGCGTGTGCTCGCTGATGGCGACGGTGGTGTCGGCGGACTGGCGCGTGGCCACGGCGGCGGCTCGCGCGTGGTCGTGCGCCTTTGTGAGCGGTGAGGCTTCCATGATGGTGATGGTGGTGGTGATCGGTAGGTTAGGCAGGACAGCAGCGAGAGGTTGCTGATGCGGTGTCGTTCACGGGCTGCTTCTTGGGCTTGTCGTTGGGGGGTGGCCTCGTTTCCCCTGTGGGAGAGGCGGCGTCGACTATGAGCTGGACGAGCCCGTGAGGTCGGTTGAGGGTTATTATTTCCAGCTGAGGATGGCATGTGGTTGCATCAGCTTGGCCGGGGAGCTGCAGCTGCAGGCGGTGCGCGTGAGTGCGCGTATTTCGTCCCGCTTCGGTATGACGGCATGCGGTGCGGTGCGGTGCGGTGCGGACGGGCGGTACGTGGGAAGGACAGCGGGTGGCTGCAAGATGGCAGCGGGAGCTGATGTAGCTGGGAGGTACTGTGCGACATGACGGCTTCAGCAAAAGGGCGTTTGTTCTGAACTCGTGATGGCTGTGGCTGGCGCTGGCGAGTCACTGGCATTTTGCGTCTGTTTAGTGGCAGTATCCGTTCTATGACACTCTAGTAGAAGGATCAGTACTAGATAGGTACTAAGGTAGAGGCAAGTCAAGTCGTCTCTTGAATAAGGGGTGATGTGTCTGTATGGACACAGCAGAGGCAGACTGATGTCGTTATGAATGGAACCGCGATACAGGAGGTAGTATCTAGATCTAAGGTAGGTTGGTAGGAAGCAATCGCCCGCTTCAAACAAGCGACACAAGATCGCAACTAACGGGCTTCGGGCCTCTCCATGTCCCGGCCTGATGCTGGTAATACGTGTACTCACTCGTACACGCAAACGGGACAGCTCTAGACTCTTCTTCCAGGTACCCAGTAATAGTGAGGCAAGGCTTCTCAGCAAGCTCCGTCATGTCCGCACTACGAGTAATACTAACAACCAAGGCCGTCGCTGAAACCCCACCTCGACTATCCTCCTCCTGCTCCTCTTCTTCCAGGGGCCTCGTCACATAATCTCGACAAAGCTGCCCTTGCGTGTTTCGTCATTTACCCCAAAAGGGACCATTTCGTGCATCCGCCTCCGTCCCAATCCGGCCCCAATCAGACACAAGTCGTCGTCCGTCTCTTTCTTCTTTCCACTAGCTGCTGCTGCTGCTGCTGCTGCTGCTGCTGAAATTGCGCAGCCTCGCTTTGCCGAGTTGGAAACCGGGGCCCGGTATAAGTTTGAGGACCCTTGATTTCAGGAGTCGGCGAGGCGGCGGGAGGTGCTATTTATATAGCAATCTCTACCTACCGGACCTAGCAAGGTATCATGCTGGAAACGGTCGCGCGACGACAAGAGACAGACGACGGTCCAGACAGCTTCTTTGCCCCCCCCTTCAGTTGCCTCCCCCGTGATAGAGCCTCATTAAACAGAGTCAAGGCCCAACTGCAAGAGGAGTCGAGTGTCTAGACGTCTGGGTTGAAGGAAGCGGGGATTTTGCCCACCGCTTGGCAGAGGCATTGACACTACTCCGTATCATCATATTCACACTTGATCTCAATTGCTTTTCTGCCTTTGCTTTACTTCACTTTCTCCCCACCTCTACCTCTCTTTCTCCCCTCCCCCCCTTCTCTCTCTCTCTCTTCCAAGCGACAGTTGCCTGTCGTCATCTCGGGGTTTTCGACCAACTGTCTCACTCAATTGCCGAGACAAAAGATGGACAACGTCAGCAACACCACCACCACCAACAACAGCAATGGCGGAGGCGGCGGCCTGAGCAAGCTTCTGGCCAAGCGCAGGCGAAGGGCCAGGACGGGAGGCCTAGAGTCGGATGCTTCTGGCCGCGACGACGATGCCGTGTCGATTAACATTGGCGACGACGACGACATTGACGACCGCAGCTTTGGCTCGTACGAGTCGGGCGGTGCAGACGCTGATGGCGAGTCTGAGCGGTAAGTGTGAAATCTGTCTTTCTGTCTCTGTCTCTATCTCTCTCTCTGTCTCTATTTCTACCTATCTTGCACCAATTGCTGCACAACTACCTTCATGTCGTCACCCATGACATACGTTGCACCTACATCATCATCATCATCATCGCCGTCAACACCACCCTCAGCATCAGCATCAGCATCGTCAGCATCAGCATCAGCATCGTCAGCATCACCACCAGACTCCCCTTCTTCGGCTTCCCCAGGCTCTCTTCATTTCATCCCCTCGGCAAAATGACAGGTAGCGCCAGGTACAGGCCGTGTAGCCTGGCATGAGCAGCTCCACGGCCAATCTGCAGTTAATTTCATTCCACCTGTCCAGTGCCTGCACCTACCGACTACCAGCCAAGTACAAGTATTCAATTTACCTACTCTCCTCTCCTCTCTTCTCTCCATCCTCCCTCCTTCTCCCTGTCGCAGCAGCGTCACAGCGCAGACGCACGCTCCTTTCAATAAAGAAAAAAACGCCACATAGCTCGTAACAGCTTTCGGCCTTTTTTTTTACCTCTCTTCTCTGCCTTGTTTGCTGCGTCATCCGACTTCAATTGCTTTGTTTACTTGTCAGGCTTCTCTTGTGTATCTCTTCGACGACTTACTGCCTCTTCTTATTGTCTCCCTGCTCTGCTGCACAAACAAACAGACAAACCCCCCAATCTTTCTGCTCTAGTATTTGTTTTGTTTTTCTTCTTCTTCATCATTACTGAGGGCACTTTGACCATTGTCTCCCTTTTTCGCTCTCGTATTCGCATTTGCGCCGTCCTCATTCGTCTCCGGCCCAGCGTATGCCGTCAAACCCCCTCCAATCCTGACTCCTGCAGACTCCGTACATGCAACCTCAGCTTCTAGCTAACATCAAATCAGGAGCATCTCCCGCCCCCCCCTCAGCCGTGCGACCACGACATCAGTCCTGGGCTCGAGCTCGACGCCCGCCTTGCACGTCACCGACCTCGACCCTCGCGAGCGCCGCCCGTCTCTCCTCTCTCGGCGCCTCCGCCGCGGGACCTCCAGGAGCCCGTCGCCCTCCCCCAATGCGTCCAAGGAGGCTGTAAGCGAGATAGCTGCCCTCCCCGAGCTCCCAGCCGCCGTCAGGACCACAACCTTCCCCGAGAAGCACTCCATCCACTCGCCGTCGCGCCTCACAGCCCTTCCCCGGCCCTCGACGAGCAGCGACAGATACGGCCCCGTCATTGTCAACACGCCGCCGACGCCCGTCGAACGAACAACTCCCGCCGCCCTACACCTCGACAGGAAGCTGCCACCTGTCATCTCGGAGCCTTCTGCCGCTGGGGATGGCACATCTCCCTCCTCCTCCTCCTCTTCCCCCAAAGCCGTAAACTTACATCGAAGATCACAATCGGGCTCCGCCGCCGGCGCCGCCATCATCGGGCCCAGCAAGCTCTCCAACATCACACTCGCTCCGCTCTCGCCCACGCCAGAGAACGGTCAGCCTCAGCCTCCAAACTCGGCGGGATTCTTCTCGTCCATGTTCTCGGTTGCCCAGAACGCTGCAAGCACGATTACAAGCAACATTCAGGGCGGTGGCATTGGGATAGGAGGCAACAAGAGCCGGACGAATCTGCCGGCTAAGCCACAATCATCCCCTGCCGAAGTCGACGGAGCCGAAACCCCGCTGCCCGAGCCTCAGTCGAGCGACGGAATGGATAAAAAGGAGTCGACCACAAAGACAATCGGAACCGGCGACCTGAGCTTGAGTCAACTCGGCATCATGGAGCCTTCAGCAACTACAACCACCCACGAGACGTCTCGGTTTCCAGACCTCAACGATACGCGTGCACGATCAGAGTCTGCCCCGGCCGATACCTTGGCCCGAGGCGGAGACGAGAGCGTCGACGATCCAAACGCCAGGCCCAGGTCGCTGAATGAGGCGGCCAATGGCGAGCAGGAGCAAGGAGCCTCGCAGTCTGACCAGGCCGATGGCAAGGATGAGCTCAAGAGCGATGCACAGAGGAAGCGCGGAAGCTCTACTGCCACCACGCACACGGTCGCGCCGCCGGCCCCAGCCGGCCCAGCGCCCAAGCTTACGGGGTTTGCCATTGCTAGTAAGAAGAGGAACCGCGATTTTCACACATTCTTCAAGAGCGTGCCAGACGACGACTACCTGATTGAGGACTACAGCTGCGCGCTACAGAGAGAAATCCTGGCGCACGGCCGGCTCTACGTCTCGGAGGGACACCTCTGTTTCAGCAGCAACATCCTGGGATGGACGACAACGCTGGTCATGAGCTTCGACGAAATCGTATCCGTGGAGAAGAGAAGCACTGCGCTGGTCTTCAAGAACGGGCTGATGATATCGACGCTGCATGCCAAGCACATATTCGCCAGCTTCACTAGCAGAGACGCCACGTACGATCTGATTGTCAACATCTGGAAGCTCGGCCACCCAACCCTGACGAGCACGCTTAACGGAGTTCGGCTGGAGGGCACCGGTGGCGACAAGACGGAGAAGCTTGACGTCGAGGCCGCGAGCCTGGAGCCGGAGACGCCGGCCGGATCCGATTCCGACGAGGCCAGTGACGAAGGCGACGAAGACTTTTACGAAGAGGACAGCGACGGTGCCCCCGAAGCTCAGGCAGCAGATGCGGGTGCCCTCGCGGGCGGCGATGGCAGCAAACCTGCTCGAAAGGTGTCCGGCGCCGTCGCCCCCAGCGCGGCTCCGGCTGACGGGGCCGCCGAGGGTCAGGCTCCCGCAGGCGGTCTCGGATCGTTCCCGGGTCCTGCGACTCATGCCCCGACGGACTGTGGGGATTCTGACACGCACTACGACAAGTTCCTGGCAGACGAGGTCGTCCCGGCTCCGCTGGGTAAGGTGTTCAGCATGCTGTTCGGCGAGGCGTCTGCCGAATGGATGGGCAAGTGGATTACAGAGAACCAAAAGTGCTTTGACCTGCAGTTGGAGGACAAGAAGGGCCTGGGACCGGACAACCGCTCTCGCGGCTTCACTTACATCAAGCCCCTTAATGCGCCGATAGGACCCAAGCAGACAAAGTGCATTGTCACGGAAACGGTGGACAACATTGACTTTGACAAGGCGGTCACTGTGAGCGTGGCCACGCAAAACCCCGATGTCCCCAGCGGCAACATCTTCCGCGTCAAGACCAAGTACTGTCTCTCGTGGGCCGAGAACAATGCCACTCGCGTGCAGGTCAACTGCACCACCGAATGGAGTGGCAAGAGCTGGCTCAAGGGTGCGTAGTCTTGTCTACTTTTGCCGCATGACACTCCTACTAATATGATTCTGATGATAGGCACCATTGAGAAGAACGTCAACGAGGGCCAGGCTCAGTATTGCAAAGACCTGTTTGCGGCCTTGAAGGCGGCAGTGTCAAGCCGGCCGCGATCGTCCACTAACAATGGCGTCAAGACCAAGAAGAAGGGCAAGAAGACTAAGGCCCTTCAGTCATCTACCGAGTCCGTCAGCACCACTGCGCGTGAAAAGAAGGAAGAAGCCAACTGGGGCATGCTGGAGCCGGTGCGCCCCATCCTGGAGCCCATTGTCGACATCCTGAAGCCGATCCTCACCGGCAACGTCGTCTACGGGCTGCTGGTCGGCTTGCTGGTGGCGACCTGGTTTGGGTTCGGCCTCACGCCCAACAGCAAGAGCCCGGCATCGTACGGGCCTGAACCTGCCCTTCAGAGCGCGTATCGCCTTGCGGCGTACGATGAGATGTGGCGCCGGGAGGACAGCGAGCTCTGGGACTGGCTGGAGGAGCGAGTAAGCCTGGAGCGCCTTTCGGTGGAGCGGCTAAACGCTCGCAGACGAGAGGCAGACCCCCGGACACTGCAAGACAAGCTGAGAGAGGAGCGCATGGACGAGCGGGAAGTAGAGGAGGCCATTCGAGTGACGGAGGAGAAGCTCAAGGTGTTGAGAGAAGTCATGGCGAGGGGCAAAATACTATAACAGCATGGTGCACGCAATCATCGTCTTGTACACCTTTTTTGTTTTTCCTTTCATTTTCTTTCTTCTTCTTTCTGTCATTCCTTCCTTGTTCCCATCTTCTGTCTCTTTTTTGATTCCATGTTTGTCTGGTCAACACATACAGGACAGCGCAGAGCACAGCAAAGTTACATGCACGCAGCACGTTCTCACATCACGGCGTCGTATCATTATGGTAGAGCCCTTTTTTCCTCTTTCTTTTGCGTTTTCTTTTTCTTTCAGTCAAAGTGGTTTCCTCGGTATGTGTACATTAAAAGAGTACGGAGTACATGTTCTTGGGCGGGCCCGAACAGCGTGGAAAAGGCATGAAGCTGAAGTTGTTTGTTTGCCACGAGGGCGTGGGCTTCGTTGTGGGAGGTGCATTTTTCTTTAGGTAGAGGTTTGTTTATGTGAGTGTGTTACAGCGAGCTTTTTGAATTACCAGTATTTCTGTCTCTGTTATTGGGTTTCATGCATGTGCATGTTGGGCAGCTGGAAGTGAGCCGGCACCCCGGGGGAGAGGCAAACGATGTTACCACAAGAAACGCGACTTAGGTATGATGTGGGAATATCGCCACGATTGTGCTGACACGCGCAATCGATCAAGTGAGAGCGCCCCCAAGGCCAGGGAGCAACCAAGACTGGTGGTGTCTAACTCCCATTAGTAGGTATGCATCGTTGGAAGTTTTGCACGGTGGGTAGGATTTTGTTGCATGTTTGGGGGAGGCAGCCTGTCTGTTGACCACGGGCTCGTGGTGTTTTAGGGTATCTACTTTCTCTCCCATTCTGTATGATTCTGCATTTTCCTTTCGTTCAAGTTCGCTTACTAGGTATTTTTGCAGTTCTCTTGTACTATTTAAAAATGGGAGGGAGATAGGATAGGACAGAGGGGAGGGTGATGATGATGTTTGCCTGAATCTTTTGTTGGTGTGGCGTCGGGCTTGCTCCCCACCTTCTTCCGTCTTACATGTTCGAGTCGGGATCGGAGGGAACGAAAAGAGGCCGAGTCAGCCTTGTCCTTGACCTAATAAGGCGCTCTTTTGCCTTACGTACTGTAGTACCTTACTTTTAGTATCGTCGTTGGTGCGCGGACTGCGAACCACGATTGGTTGATGGATTGGCATGGTCTATTGGCTTGTGTTGGCTTTGTGGTTTTGTGGCTTTGTATGTAGATGCCTCTATCCAAGGAACAAGACATGGGAGTTTTTACACGGTCATGGGTAGGGAGGTACGAAAGATGACCTTGTTGAGATGAGTTCGATTGAAGCTTTGGTTTTTGCGATTCGGGACCGAGGTTCGGAATTTTGGATGTATGAAATTCTTGGGCTGGACTGTGACTCTGTAGTGGTCATTTGTTGATGGCTGCCTTGGGGTGGTGGTACGAGGGGGGGGGCGCGAGGAGGATTGGCTTCTGTTTTTTTTTTTTATTGTGTTTCGGTGGTACGGAGCCAGGAACAGAATGGATAAATAAACAAGATACGCAAGAGTACGCGGGGATTTTCGGTGTTTGGGTAGAGAAGATGGTCGGAGAGAAGAGAGCAAGAGGATCGTCCGCGAGGGTTGGGATGGGATTGTGTTTGGGCTGGAAGTTGGACTACCTAGGGTCGATATTTGAACTGTATGTAGGTATGTATGTACTAGTTATGTAGGTTTGGTAAGGTATTCAAGGCAGTCCCTGCAGTGGCAGAGAGATGCAAGAGGAGGAGCAAAGACAAGACAAGGCTGCCATATGATCGTGGCTCCTACCTAGGTAGGTAGGTAGACATGTGAAGAATGGGAGAGAAAAGAACAGGCAGAAGCCAAAGATGTTTGGTATTACCTTACTCTGTACACGGATGTTTTGGACAAGAGAAGAGAAGAGAAATCACCCCACTTGGACTGTTGGACAAGGAGAAGAGTTGACGTGGCTTCGCCTTGGGGGGAATGCCAGCAAAGAGACGCCAAAAGCACATGTATGGAGCACGGTAGCATCACGTCTTACCTGTGCCTGTGCCTGTGCCTTTTGCCCTGCGTTTCGATACATGCGTTGACGGCGTGACTTGTTCTTGGGGGGAGTGCTGCTTTTGCTGCGTTGTTTTGCTTTGATGGGCTGAGGGCTAATGTCGTGTATGTAATGGAAGGGTCATTTAGGTCGGGATACCTGGTAGTGAAGGGGGGTTGGGCCTTGGTTTGTGGTGATGTGGTTATGCGTTGAAGAGCGGTCACCGATTTTGGACCAAGATGGCGGTGGCTGTATCTTCAGTTGTTATTGTATAGGTAGGTACCGATTTCATGTGGTGGCGGTGTTGGTTGTTGTTGTATTGCTGCTGTCTTTGTCTGCTGTTGATGCAGAATTTGGTATCATCAAAGTGACTCCAGGAAGAAGCAAGGAAATGGGTGTGCAGGAGAATATTACCTGTCATCACCTTTGAGACAAACGATTAACGCAGACAGGAATCAATGACAACAAGCAAATGGTTGATACCTCTCAACGTCATGCTGGCTTTTGATGCTAAGGGTCAGATTCTAGCGGCCGTCTGCGCCTCAGCTTTATCTGGGTGTACCTGGCAGTGGCGCAGCTGCCCCTCGGCTAGGGCTTTAGTATGTAGAGAAGGAGGGATGGATGGATTGATTGACATTGCCATTGATCCATCTGATGGGCATTTTGATCGCAATCGATCGAGGCCCTTTTTTACATTTACGATGCCTAGCATTTGACCCCATCGACGGCACGGCATCACGGGAATCGAAGCCAACAGGCCCCGGCGGCGTCGGGCGATGACTAGCATTGGCGAAACAGGGAAAGTCGAGATGATGCCGTACCCAGAGACAAGAGCCGCGTGATGCTCGTGATGCCCAGCATCGCAGAGGTCAAGCCACAGTCGAGGGGGGAAAAGGGCTCGATTTGGGGATGCACAGCGCAGGGATCAGCCTGGCAGCACGAAGCAGGAATTGGCCCATCAGGAGGATGGCCCCCCTCCCACCCTCTCTCCCTCCCTCTTGGCCGCCTTACGAGGTCAACGTCGAGCACATACTGCATCGCATCAGCCGCGGAACCGGTGGGCATGCACCAAGCCGAGCCAGACCATCCCCGGAGCAGAGGAGACACCACCTTGAACCGACCACCCCCCCCCCCCCCCCCAAGAAGGAGGGCCAGACCCCTGCTGCGAGTCCTACTGCTGAGCTGCCAAAAGTCCTAGTCTACAACGTCCTCGTCTCATTCGCCCGTGCCTCTTGCTGTAGGACTGGTTCCGTTACTCGCCGGCCTGCTGCCACGAGCTGCCTCCAAGGCTTCCAGCGTCGCGGCTCGGATTCGACTGTCGAGAACTCGCCCGCAAAAGCCAGCCATGGACGGTGCCTGAAAAGGTTGGCCGCTCATCTCTCTCATCTCTCTCACTCTCTCTTGGCTTGCTTGTTGCCGCTCGCCTTCTTACACTTTTGCCACATTATTCTGCGGGGGCCCCCTTTCAAAGCATCGAATCTCCACACAATAAGGGTCCCTTGGTTGGGGGAAATCAGAAGCCTGCGTCCGTACCTTGCCGTCCGGGACAAGCCAGCATCGACGGACGGGCCTTGCTCTGCCTGCCTGCCTGCCTGCCTGCCTACCTGACCTTACTGCACTGCACTGCACTGCACTGCATTGCGGCAAAGGTACCTTATCCTTATGCCCGGGCCTGGTTTCGTGACGAGGGCCCCGAGAACCACCCAGCACACCAGCCAAGGGGTCGGGCCATAGCTACGCTGCTCCATACTCGTACAATCACAGGACGAGACCACAGACCGCCATGGAGAACAAGAAGGTCGACGACCCTGGCGCCCTGGCCTTACGGCGTCTGGTCCGAAGCCCAACCGGCGGCCGTTTGGGTCCCAGGCGGTCGTCGACAATTGTCTCCTTCAGCAGCAGCAGGAGCAGCAGCTCAGCTTCTTCAGTCACTTCAACAGTCGACGCCGAGATGCCAGCTTCATGTGTGTAAGTCAAAGCAGGAAAAAGAAACAGTGTCATGCCCTTTTCCCCAGCCCTTGCAGATGAGGGGAGCCGACGAGAATCCGTCGAGACGGAGTGGGAGGGAACCGGGTGACCAGCGATTTTTCTTTTCGATATCCTCGTTCTCTTCCTTCTGCTCCGCCTCATCGGCCTCCCCATCTTCTATTTTCTTCTTTCTCCTCTTCCTTGTCTCCCATCTCCGGGTGTGTCTGTGTGTGATCTCGTTGCTACGTGCTGACCCGTCGTCTTTCATGCTCTCCCCTGAAGCTCACGCAACACTTCGAGCGACGAGTGTGCCTTGCACAGGTTCATCGTGTGGGCGGCCGTCAAGCGCAATGCCTGCCAGAAGATGACCCCCGAGGAGCGGCGCGAGTGTCCCCTACTGCGCTGCCGCAAGAGGTTCCCCAACCACGAGCTCATGCTCCAGCACCTGTACTCGTGCGATCACCTCGCCGGCGGCGAGTACTGGTGCTATGACTGCGAGAGGCCCGAGCAGCTCAGCGATGTCAAGTGCAGGCGCTGTCTGGGTCATCCGTCCAAGAGGAGGAAGATTATGACCATGGCCAAGAGCTTCTTCAGCTCGCTGGGCCACAAGCCCAAGTCCCACGGCCTGGCTCTGTCCATGGGCATGGGCTTGGGGGGCATGGGCAGTGTTGGAGACGGTGGCATCGGACAAGGCAGCAGCAGCAGCAGCGGCGGCGGCGGCAACAACAACAACAGCGACAACGCTGGCGGGGGCATGGACGAGCCTCCAAGCTACGACTCGGTCCTCTTCACGCCGCCGCCCCCACCCCAGGCCGAACTCTTCTCGACCGAGATACACGAGATCGGGTCGAGTGAGGTGCTGCTCCCCACTATCCCGGAGTGTGAGACCGAGACAGAGCCCATCCAAGCAGTACCCGCCCCTAGAATGATCCCCTGTCTCCCCCCATCCACATTCCCCATCTCACCACCAGGCTCCCACCCGGGAGCCGTGCCGCTGCCATCGACCATGGAGGCAGGTTTCATAAATTGGAGGCCGTCACCACCATCCCCCCAGACCGTGGCGCCTCAAAGCCTCATGAAGCCCGCCACAGCGCGGTTGGTCGATCGCCCAACCCTCCAGGTCAATACCCACCTGGACCACTACCGCGGCCAGGCAAGTCGACGCAGCAAGGCCCTGGCCCCGAGCTCCTCCGTTCGGTCCACCAGCAGCACCGACAGCACCGACAGCACCGATAGCACAGCCAGCTACAACATCTCGCCCATGTCTGGCTGGTCCAGCGGGTGGACAAAGACGTCCGGCTTCGAGTCTGCCTTGACGTCGCCCGACGACCTCATCAGTCCTCAGAGCCTCCTGCCCACCGGTCCCTTTGTCAGTTGTGGCCACACTCACACTACTACTAATACGGCGGACGCGTCGTCGTCCTCGATGAGGCCAGTCCCTTTTAGCGACTCCGAATTTCAAAACATGGTTGCCAACTCGTGCCCGTCTGAGCTGCCCGCCGACATCCCCATGTTTGATGACCTGCCCACCACCATGGACCCTCAAAAGACGCAGGCGCCCATGGGCTTGGACCACTCCGCCTTCTCCTTCAACACCAATCTCCCGTTCCAGCTGTCACTGGAGCACCAGCTACCGCCAACCAATACCGTCGATGACCTCAGCCTACATGCATTACCACCTCCACCTCACCAGCCACCACCGGCGCCGTCATCCGGTCATCCTCATCCACTGCAGTCTGCCGATGATACAGAGTCTAGCATGATGCAGCATGTCGGCTCCTCCAGCCTCACCACCACTACGCAGACTTTAGCCAGATCAGCCCTGGACGCTCTCCAGATGCACATTGCCGAGTCGAGGAGCAAGCTTGACGACATCAACGAGAACCGCCTCATGGTACAGCTCTGCCAGATGCCTCTGTCGTCCGTCGCAACAGCCGGCTTGGAAACCATGGTTGACCTACTAGAGGGTCGCCAGGCGTCGTCTCCTCTGCACCTCCTCTGTTTCGTCCACATCGTCTTCTCCCTGTCTCTGGTCATTCACGAACAAGAAGCCTCCAAGCACGTTGGCGCTCTTTTCAAGCAAGCGTTACTGTACAGCGACTGGTTCACGGGCGACGATAAGATGCTCTACTTTGAAGTCGTTTATACCTTGTGGAAGCCCAGCGCCGTCCGCGACGAGGAGATTATCGAGCTACTCAAGCCAACAGAGGCTGCCATGTCCAAGGGCAAGCAGCCCGAGCGCTCACTGCCCGAATTGAGGTCCGACCCGCTGATACTGATAGCTGCTCACTTCTTAGATGGTAATGCCCGCCTCTCTCTATCTCTCTCTGTCTGCTTTTTTCCCCCTCAAGGACTATAACGCTGACATTCTCTGTTCTTTTGATGTGACAGAGCTCGAGTACATGGCACTTATCGACAGTAATTACATGGGACAGCCATTTGACTCTTCCCTGCAGCACTCAAAGGATAGCGTCGGGGCGACCCACGATTCACCTTTTGCCATTGCAGCCCGGTTCATGATTGAAAGCATCTTTGCTCATCAGTACTCCCATTTCCCCGGGTTCGAACTCGGCATGGAGAAAATCATTGGCCAGCTCAACTCTGGAACAGTGACAAGCGTACGACGGCTGGAGCTGGAGCTGATGCAAGCTGGAAAGGTAAGGAGAGAGTAGCCGCTTTTGTTTCCAAAAGATGCGATGTAATAGGAGCAACGATAAGCTAACAAGAGGCGATGCATAGACATACTTGCCTTCAGATATATTCTTTGGCGACTTTGTCGAGGTGGTTCGACGACAAACGGATGAGCTTTACACGCTGGGCCCTAATCTTAGTACACGGTCGGAACACCATCAGTGCAGCATCCAGCTGTTGTTGAGCGAGTACAGCAGAAACCCTATTGCCGTGGAGGAAGCGGTTGAGCAGCCGGGGGCTTCCGGGGCGGCCTACGGAATTGTGGGTGTAGTTCCCGGTGGTTTCGAGAGCTACTTTGACGATATGGTGAACCTCAACCCCGGCCCTGGATTAGACGTCGACAACATGGCTGGCGCCCCACCCCTGGAAGTGGCTGAGTGGACGGGAGAAGAGCCGGCATTCGTCTCATCATCATCATCAGCAGCAGCAGCAGCGGGCAGTGCCGCCATAGCCACTCCCGTGCCGCAGATGGACGATGAGGCGCTGATATCGCCCGTGGCCGCGACGCCCAGCAAGGCGGAGCCGTCGGCATCGACGTCGTCGACCAAGGTGGAATCGGACAACTGCTGCAAGATCTGCGGCTACCGACCCAAGGGCGACCCGCGCTGGTTCGCGGGCAGCATGGCCAAGCACATGCGCACGATCCACAGCGAGAACCCGCAAATCTTCCGGTGCCCCTACCCAGGCTGCACGAGCCAGTACAGCAAGCGGGCGGACAACCTGCGGCAGCACCAGATTGAGAAGGGACACTTTGTGGACGACGAGGGGAAGCAGGGGAGGCGGCCGCGGAAGCGCAAGAGACCCTCGGAGGGGGGCGGGGAGTCTTGATGCTCCCATGCTTCTTTTTGCCTTTTCTTTCCTCGACATTCCTCTGTTTGGCTTGAGACTTGACGATTTGCTTTTTACTTTGTTCTGTGTGGGATGGTTTCATTGTGTCTTTCCTTTATACCCTCTTTTTCCTTTCCTTGTTGTCGAGTTGGCTGTTTGAGCAATTGTGGTGTGCTTCTTTTGGTTTGGGAATTTTATAAGACGCAAAGAGCAAGCAAAGGCGTATATATATATACAGGGTGGGTTGGGAAATCCTTGGGACCTAAAGCAGGCGATATGATACATACATGACTTGGTTTTTTCTTGATATTTTCGGGGATTTTATGATGGGCGGCATGGGTTACATTGCACCGTTACACTTATAGTCACAGTTGCAGTTGCAGTTACAGTTACAGTTACACTCGCAATTCAGATTTGTATTTCATGTTTAGCCTGTTACTGTCTGCTTTTCAAACTATGGATACCTAAGGTATCGATGTATGTATGCATGTGTGTGTGTGTGTGTGTGTTTACATGAGCTGACGATGGATCTGATTGATTGGGGTGCATGCCTATGACGGTTTGATTAGGTGGCATTGGGCATCTTTGTGAGATGTGTAGGTAAGGTAGGTATGTACTAGTATGTTCGAGTAAGGTAGGTACATGTAGGCAAGGTAAGGTAAGGTAGCTGTAATATGCAGGTTTTACCCTGCAGGGGATTTTGGGGCAGGGATGACGTAGGGAGGATTATGTTTTACTTGTTGGCAAAGCGGATGCGTGTCTTTTTTTTTCTTTTGTTTCTTTTGGAAAAGAATGGTAAACGTGTTTTTTCTGCCCTTGGTGATAGTTTGTGGTTGGTAACTGATTCTCTCCACGTTGTTATTGTTATTGGTAGGTAATGTTAGTAGTTGTTTTGCTTTGTGGGTTGGTAAGGTAGGTATCTTTGTGCTGTTTATTTCCTTTTGTTCTGTTGTTTATTTGAGGTTGATATCAGGAGAGGAGAAGAGAGAGATGTGGTGGTGTAATGTACCTAGACTGCCTCTGTGTATGTATGTACCTATGTATGCATGTATGGGGTGGCGGTGCCGGAGGTTGGGTTCTGGATTGCTTGTCCAGTCTGGATTCGATGGGACTGCTGACGGGGTAAGGTAAGGTAGGTAGGTAGCCGAAGAGAAACATTTGCACTGAGACGAAGAGAGATGTGACCCTGCATCTATCTTGCCTGTCATCTGAGGGAGCAGAGAGTGATGATACAGTGATAGAGAGGGAGTCAAGTAGAAGCAAGTAATACATCTTTCTGAAGAAAGAAACGCAAACACACATGAACGACATCAAGTACCGCTACTTTGGCCATAAATAGGTAGTGAGACAGATATTGGGCATCTCAGCTGGGATTGCCATCCCTGCTGCAGTTTTTTAATATAGCATGCCAATAGAGCCAGATAGAATGGCATGACGGGAGATGGAGGGGGGGAGGGGGCAGGTCAAACATGCACATACTGAAATGTTTAACCATACGCACATAATGGCGTCTTTACGCATACTATAAATGATGGGGGACAAATATACACACAAAGAAGTGTTTAACCATACGCACCTATCAGCGCCTTTTGACATGCTACTGTATTGGTGCATGACAAGGATGCTGGGCGATTCAACACACGCACACGTACATACATACATACTCGTACAGTAAACCTCTAACCATACGAGCATTTTCATATACATATCTCACTGCCTTACCTGTTAAACCAGTGCCTGTGCTGTGGTTTTGTTGTGCGCTTGTTTTCATGTGCAGTGTCGGTGTCTGGACATGCTGCCATCTCTAACACATAATGCCTGGTTGAACTTTTCCACCCTTACCGTCGACGCTGTGGCGCGCTTGGATCGAGTGCAGCAGGTGACCATGTTTTTTCCCTTTCCCGCGTTGCCGCATTTCCTGGGGAGGCGCAAGGGGGGAGGGAAGGGATCAAGTTGAATGGACCCTTGTTGGCTTTTTGCTTGGGTCCGGCGCGTGGAGCGGCGGATGTGGCGGCACTGTGTAGCAATATCTCTGGGCATCTCTTGGTCACTCAGGTTCGCTGTTATTACTGGATCTCTCAGACAGCCTATCAGGCATCAAGACAGAGGCTGAACTCTTGAATCTTGAAAAGGAGAAGAAAAAAGGAAAATAGAAGCATCGCCAACGGAAAGAAAGAGGGAAAAAACACGTCGGCGATTGGACAGCGTGCTCACGTCAGAAGCTCTCAACTCCCTGGTTTTGGGGCGAGCTGACATCACATGAGCCGCTATGGCGGGTTGGGCGCGTACTGTGTTGGGAACAGTGCGCGTGTGGGACGGCTGCAATTCGACTGAAACGAGAGGTATGACGACAAGAAGGCAGAAGAAAAGCCCTTGCGTTGCTTGGCTTGGCTGAGGTTGACGGGAAGACTGGAAGAAAGGTATGTATCGGTACTCGCTGAACAAGCCGGGCATGATGAGGTACACAGAACACTGGAGGATAGGTACTCATGGACGAGGATGATGAAGATGGAGGGGATGCGCGTTCGATGTGGCGGGCTGATAGGGCTGAGCAGGACGATGGGATGCTGGGCCAGCGGTGCCCTGATCTCTGCACGGCCGGACAGGGAAGCGGATTCTTGTGTAACAGATGGCGTCGCCTGTATGGCTTCCTGTACTGTAGTATCGGCCTCATGCTCGATGACTGCACGGGGAGACGCGCCAGGCGTGCAGATGTACAAGTACATGAACACGCAGCCGCGCTGGCACCGGCATCGACGCAAGTACCGATACTTGCAGGCCACTAAAAGTGGGTGCCGTTGCCTTTTGCAGGCAGCAGCTGGGGGGGCAGTGCCGAAGGGCAGAACGCAGACCCCGGTCGTGTCTGGCGAATCACGTTGCGAGAAGTGCCCGCCCCCCCTACTAGGTAGTCGCTGTAATCAGCCCAGCCCCGTTTGCGAATCCATGCCCGAGGCGGCGTCTCTGTACTTGTATTTGTATTTGTACTTGTACTTGCTCTGGCGCAGATTGACGACAACAGGTACCTTACCTACCCTTCAGAGCCTTGAGAAGGGACCCAAACACGCAGAGAATCAGCAGAGGGATTCATTCATTCGCACGGCATTTCGTCTCCAGACTCAAGTCACTCAGTCAGTGTCTGTAGTCCGTCAGCAGCGCAGGTACTGGAACCATCTCACCTCGACAGCACCCGTCACTTGACTTGCGGATCGGAACCCAACGGAAGCGCCAAAAAAAGAGAGCGAGCAGGCGAATCAACCGAGAAGAGCAGCAGACGAGAAAAAGAGACTGAAAAAAAAAAAAAACAAAAAAAAAAACTTTTGCCCCCCCTCCCTCCATCTGCCTTACCAGATCTCGCTGCCTCTTTTTGCTCTCGTCACCCCCCCAGATCCCCTCCCTCTCAAAACAAACCCCCTCTCCTCTCAACCCCCCCCCAAGGTTCCCCAAACGCACACCAGTTTGCCTGCTCGCACTTCTGTTTTTTTTTCCCTCCTCGTTTCCCTTTTCCCTCGCTGGTCATTCTGCCCACACCTCCTTACCCAGCGCCGCACCTCCACGCTTTGCACGCCTCTGCCAGCCCCATTAACGACACCCCCGAACCAGGATTCCGGGTTTGCTTGGGTGTAGAAGAATTAAAAAAAATATTATTCTTCGAGGCGATACACATACACAGGACAGCGCGCAGGACGAGCGGGAAACTGCAAGCGCTTCGCGATCTCGACGATCCACGGCATCGCTGAAGCGGCGCTGGCCACGACGTTCGCCGTCGCGAGCCATCCGAGTCTCCCCTCGACCCGCGACCGGCCGGCTGACGACAACAACGACGACACGCCCCCCCCCGACTTGACGCCGACCGGGCCGTGATTGCTCGCTCGCCTCGCTCGGGTCTCTTGTCGTCTTGTTGATTGTTGTCTTCGTTTCCGCGACTTCGTGTTTGTGCCGGCCGCTTCGAGCCCGACCGCTCGGTTGCGTGTCTGCGTGACCGCTTGCCTGCCCTCCCTCCCTCCGCCCGCCATCAGCGCCCGCGCCGTGTCCCCGACCGACGACAGCGACAGCCCTCGCCCATCATGGCTGGCCTGGGCCCGTCCGGGTCCAATGCCCACGGCCTGAGTTTCCCCCAGACGGGCTTCCGACGCAGCGCCGCCTTTCCTCCCGCCCACGCCGCCCAGCCCAACAAGCAGTCGCCGGCTCCCCAGGCCGCCTCGCCCTACCAGTCGCAGGCCTACCCGCCGCAGCAGCCGCCCCAGGCCTACCCGCAGCACCTCTTCAACACCACCGCCTCCGTCAACCCGGCCGTCGCCAATGCCTCGTCGCGCGCCTCCAACGTCCATGTCCCCAGCGCCCTCAACGTGCCGCGACAGCGCGCCACGCCCTCGCGCCAGCAGATACAGCCCCAGTCCAACCCGCCGCCGATGCTCTTCCCGACCTCCATGAGCCAGCCCGTCGCCCACGACTCCATCCTCTCGCATCATCAGCAGCACCAGCAGCATCACCCGCAGCAGCATCAGCAGCACCCGGCCCAGCAGGCGCTGGCCGGTCATCCGGGGCACGCGCAACAGCAGCAGCACCACCAGCAGCAACAGCAGCAGGTTCAGCAGCAGCAGGCGGCGGTACAGCAGCAGCAGGCTCAGCAGGTCCAGCAGCAGCATCACTCACAGCAGCAGCAGCAGCAGCAGCATCACCAGCAGCAACCCCATCACCCTGCCTATGCTCAGCATCCACAGGCGCACCAGGCAGCCCATGCTTCTCATCAGGCACACCAGACGCACCAGGTTCACCAGGTGCAGCAGCAGGCACACCAGGCGCAGCAACATCAGCAGGATCAGCTCCATCATGTACATCAGTCCAGGTCTCAGCAGCAGCACCAGCAGCAGGCGCAGCAGGTGCAACAGCAACAACAACAACAGCAACAGCAAGCGCAACAGCAACAGGCACAGCAGCAGGCGCAAAAACAACAGCAGTCGTCGCGGCAGCAGCTCCAGATCCCCCAACCTCAGGCCCAGCAACAGGTTCCCCAGCAGGTGCAGCAGCAGGTCCCTCAGCAGGTTCAGCACCAGGTCCAGCACCAGGTCCAGCAACAAGTCCAGCATCAGCAACAGCAGCAGCAGCAGCAGCACCAAGCGCAGCAGCATCAAGCGCAACAGCATCAGGTTCAACAGCAGGCTCAACAGCAGCAACATGCACAGCAGCACCAGCAGGCTCAACAGCATCAGCAACACCAGCAGCTACAGGCTGCCGCTCAGCAGCCCGAACCCGTTCCCCAACAGCAGCAGGACAATCATGCCTCGGAGGACCTGGACATGGATGGCCAGCAGGATGGGGACGAAGATAGCAGCTCTCTGGCGCCATCCAAACTCATGAACGACCTGGCAGTGACCCAGCCCATGGGAGAGATGATGTCACCGCCTCCCGAAGGTGGCAGTTATCCCACGCTCGAGGCCGTTCAAAAGGCCGTCCTGCGCTACTGCACCTCGGTCGGCTATGCCATTGTCATTGGACGGTCCAAGAAGACGGTGCCAGGTCTGAAAAAGGTCCTGTTTGTCTGCGACAGGGCCGGCAAACCGCCAAGCCGCGTCAGCCCCGAGTTCCGGAAGCGCAAGACTTCGTCGAGGAAGTGCGACTGTCCTTTTGGTTTCTTTGCTATCGAGCAGCGGACCCAGTGGACCATCCGCTACCGACCCGACCCTTCACATCTGCAGCACAACCATGGGCCGAGCGAGAGCCCGTCGAACCACCCTGCAGCCAGGAAGCTTGACAGCAAGATGGTTGCTGCTGTCAAGCAACTTAAAGAGAATGGTTAGTATTCCTCCTCTCGGAACAAGCGCGGAGCATAGAACAAGAAAAGGGTCCATGGCAAGAGGAGGGAACATGCGCCTGTTGGGCAGAAATTCTCGCTAACCGATCCTTGTGTAGGTGCAGGCGTATCCGAGACACTGCAGATTCTTCAGACGGACAACCCCGACTGCCACCTGCTGCCGCGGGACATTTACAACGCCCGCGCCGCCATCAATCGCAATCCGCAGAAAGTAGCGACGGGCCTGGCCGAGAACAGGCCGGCCATCTATACCAAGCCGCTGCAGTCGCCCGAAGACCGCATACGCTCCGAGCTGAGACGGGAGCTGGCCAAGGCTCGGGACGACCTGAAGAAGCTCGAGGAGGAGAAGCAAAAGGAGATTGACGAACTCAAGGCCAAGATGGCGGAGAAGGACAAGCTGATAGAAAAGTTCGAAATGTTTATCGACATTTGCAACGGCAGGGTCATTCTCCAGCGGGAGCGGCTGGCTGGTCCCGAGGGCGGCGCGGCAGCCGGGGGCAATCCCAGTGTGTGAGGCGCAGACATTCTACCTGCCTGACACTATCTGCGTTAGCCTGCCGCCTCGTCGTCGTCCCTCCGCTTGGCGTATTGGTCTTTTGGGACATACAATAAAGGGCACCGGAGAGCAGTCGGTCGTTCCGGTCTACGGAGTCTACATGCAGGCGTTTAGAGCGGTCTGGTTGTTGGTTCATCATTCATTATGACATCTGTTATGCAAGTATATGACGTTGTTACTCTTTTCCTTGTTTTTCCATTTTGGGTTCTTCCATTGCTTCATCCATCATTGTCAGAGGCGATGGGGGGTTTTTCTTCGCTCTCCTTGTTGCATGAAGGCTGTAACACACATGTATGCTGTTTGTGTCTTGAGTTTTTGTTCCCCTTCTTATTTGCTCTTCATGTTCCTTGTTCTTCTTCTTCCTCTTCCTCTTTGCATCTTCTGACTCTTTCTATCCGTTTCACTTTTGTCGGCTTCTACTTGTTTTGTCCTTTTCTCATTCAGTTTCCGTGCCTGCTTCGTCATCTTCTATCTTTTGGGTTTTTTCTTCTTCTTTATTCTTAGGGGTATCAAATAACATGTAAACCGGTTTGACTCGAGATTGCTGAGGAGGAAAGGGGAGAGGAAATTTGAGCTGGATAAGGGAAGGATGGAAGGATGGATGGATGGACTTGGTACTGTCTCTGCTTGGTAGAACTGAATGGACTGATGGATGAAAGACGTATCATTGCTGTTTGGTAAGAGGTGATGAGACGTGGTGGAGGCAAGTGAAATGATAGTACGTTGTACAATTTTGGATATTCCTGGGTTTGAAGCGATGTTGTGCATGTTGCTTTACCGTGAGTTGTTTGGCTTGATGGTGGATGGATTGGTACTGGTTTTTTGTGACCGGGCATTTGGGACGGGAGGCGTACTTTATGCATGCATGTCTCTGATGTGTCTTGATCTCGGGACAAGATTTAGCTTGGGAATGGAGTGGGAGCGTTGATATTGGTGTGTAGAGGTACCTATTGCACATATACAAGGCTGACTGTCATCTCCTCCTATGTTACCAGGTAGTAGTAGCTAGCTAGCTACCTTACCTTTCATTCTGGACAGAGGTGGACTGGAGGTATGTGGCGTGCTGTATTACTGATTTCATAGGAGGTTGCGGGTTCTGATGACTAGATAGTCTGCCCGTCCGTAGCTGGAAAAGGTAGGCAGACTGAGGCGGAATGCATGTCTTAGGGAATGTGGTGTCGAGATAGACTGCTGAGCTGTAATTTTCTTTGTTTCCAAGTGAGGTCGTGTGAATTCAGTGATGGGGCTTGCGGGTTGACGTGATGAGGAGGTATTCATGAGATTACCTAGGCGGAGTAAGTTTGTGGCAATGGTTTTATGGGGGAGAAGCAGTTGTTGTTGCCACTCGCTTTGACGATGGGTCATGCTGTTGAGTTACTACCTTATCATGATAGAAGGCTTAATATCTCGGGCATGTTACATGGCATCATCATCATCATCATCATCATCATTAACGCCACTACCTACCTAAGGGATCTATTTGATTCCATATCACGGGCATTACACGCCATGGAAGAAAAGGAAGAATGAAAGAAAGAAGAAGAGGACCCTGAACGCCACTCCCCCACCTGAGAAAGCAATGCGCTGGCAAATTCACAGCTTTCTTCTTTCTAACCTTGTCCCGCCGCCGCCGCCGCCGCCTGTCGTGGAGGCGATATATTAAATGGTGTCTAGGTAAGGAGCTGTTAAGACACGGAAAGCGGGAAGCGGAGGAACTAGCATGTAGTAGTCTAGGATGAAACCTGAGAAAATAAGGGGTCCTGTTTGCTTGGGTTTGAGAAGTTGCTGGCTGGGTCGGCTTGGGCTTGGGGGTTGGAGCTTGGCAGCTTTGGGCTCTAGTGGGAGGTTGATTTGTGTGTTTGTGTGTGTGGTGCTGCTGCTGTGCTGTGCTGTGTACCTTATGCAGGGAACAGGAGGTTGGGCGAGGTTGAGGTGGGAGGTATCTCGCGTGTAGCTGCGTGTAGGTACCTAGGTAGTAGGTATGAAGCTTCCTAAAGTCTTGAGAGCGTCGTGTCATTGCGCATTATCTGTATGGAGATTTTGTTCGTCTCAAGACACTTTGATAATAATACATTTCTTCAGCAGCGTATCGGTTCCAGAACTCTGCATCGATTCGTTCTGACCCCTGTTCATCGATCGTCTCGCTTGTGTTGAGCATCCCGATTGTCGGTGTACCTTTTTGCAGCAACCCCCCCAGCACCTCCACTGGAAGGTACTCGCCGCATACCGCCGCCGCTACGTCTGCTGCTGCCCAGGGACCGGCCCTCCAAACGTGCATCCTGCATCTCTCCTCTGAACAAACATCCTGCGTCGACTCTCGAGAGCTCCGAACCGCACCGCGATCAGCATCTTCTACCACTTTTTTACTTGTCGAGCTTCTTCCGTTTCCTGCCTCGTCTTCGCCTTCGCCCTCTCGTCCAGCCTCTGCCCCTCCGCGGGAATACCCCTGGCCAAAAAAACAACCCGACAAACGAGCGCCCTCGAGAACTCCCCCACCACCAACGCCATCCTATCCCGACCTCGACGACGCTGGAGATGACCGACTTCTCGACGTAGAAGCTCTTCCGTTTTTTTTTTCTTTTCTTCTTCTTCTTTCCTCTTGCCGGCCTCAGTCTCTTCCACACGCGAAACAGCCCTCCTCGCCATGGAAGTGACCTCGGCCACCGCCCCGAGCCTCGGCGCCGCCAGCAGCAACGGCGCCTCGCTGCCCGCGCCGCCGTCGCCCACACCGACGCCGACGCCCTTCCCGACCATCGACCCCGAACGCGTCGTCGAGCACCTCGTCGCCATCTGCGAGGTCGCCCTCGGCGCATCGCGCAGCGACCTCGAGCTGCCGGGCAACCTGCTGCACAAGGCCTCGTACGCAGAGACCGTCTCGCGGTGCACGCGCTTCGCCAACGACTCCCTCAATGTGCTCTACATACAAAAGGACCTGGTGCAGGCCGGCGCGCTGGAGAATGGCAACGACGCCGCCGATGCGGGCGAGCATAGCAATGGCGTTGCTGGTGAGGATTTCTGTAACTTCTCTCTCTCTCTCCCTCCCCACTCTCTCCCTCCCCATCTATCCATCTCCCTCTCCCACCCCCCCGAAACTCCATCTGTTCCCCCGAATGTTAAAGAAGGGCCTGGTGACATCTGGCTGACATTGCTCTCTCTCTGTCTTTGGTTGATATAGCTCCCGCTACCTACGACTACACCCTCTCGACCGAAATCTCCTCTTCACCCACGACTGTCGCCACTCTGATTTTGCTCAAGGCATCGCAAGCGATTGATTCTTCTCGTCCTCTTACCTCGCAGATATTCATCACCAACCTACCCGGTCCCGCCTCCCTCAATGCCGCCGCCGGAGAGCAGGGCGTTGCGCTCTCCCCCTGGGAGGTGCTCCATTCCCAGGTCCACCACGCCCTGGTGCCCTACTTCGACGCCAACAGCAAGAGTCAGCTGCTGGCCAATGGGTCCAGGGGAAGGGACGTCGATGCCAAGACGGGCATTCCCGTCACCAAGAAGCGCCTCAACGACCTGGAGCTGAGCCTGCTCCACCTGCAGCAGAACGTCGACATTCCCGAGATCTCGCTGACGTTCCACTCGCTCATTCAGAACGTCCTCGACGATGCCGAGGTCACCGGTACGAAGCCCTCCATTGAGGCCATCCCCAAGAACCTCCTCCAGGACAGCAGCTTCCTCAACAAGCTGCAGGCCAACGTCAACACCTGGATCAAGTCCATCCAGGGCATCACCAAGCTGACCAAGGAGACCTCGTCCAACGCCGTCCAGGAGTTCAGCACCGCCAGCCAAGAGGTCAACTTTTGGCTCTCCATGGAGTCTGCGCTCGAGGGCATCGAGGACCAGCTTAGGAGCGAGGGCGTCCTCCTCACCCTCGATATTCTCAAGCACGCCAAGCGTTTCCAGGCCACCGTCAGCTTCGTCGCCGACACGGGCCTCAAGGAGGCCAAGGAAAAGGCGCAAAAGTATAACCAGCTCATGCGCGATTTCCCCCTCGACGAGCTGCTGTCCGCTCCGTCGCTGCTCAAGGTCGAGGAAGCCATTACTCAGATCTTTGCCCACCTCATGAAGAAGCTGAGGGTGTGTCCCTACCCTATCCGGCGAGCACTGAGCTTGGCCCAGGCCATCTCGGCGGATCTCAACGACGTGCTGCTCCGCTTGCTTCCGGGCACTGAGCTGGTCAACATGGGCTACCCAGAGTTCCAGAACGTCATGCGGACCTGCGACAGCATCTTTGCCGCCTGGGAAGACAACATCAAGGAGTTTACGCACCTGGCTCGTATGCTCATCATCCGCAGAAACGAGAAGCGCATCCCCATCAACGTCGAGAAGAACCACTCTGAGCTGGAGTCGCGCATCAAGTACGTCAGCGCATTCCGAGACAACCACGAACAGCTACAGCGGACCATTGTCAACGTCCTGGGGCCAAAGGCCATTCTTCCCGGCGTTACCGACGTCACCGCCTCCTCCTCCTCCACTGCCACTGCCGGTGCTGTCATTGAAGAAATGGGCGACGTAGATGCCGTCGAGGAGGTCAAGCGGGCCTGGGAGGCGCTGCAGAACGTCGACCTGCTCGATGTGACGGACCAGGGCAAGGAGCGGTGGGCGCAGGCCGAAAACCTGTACAATGAGCGCTCGACGCGAGTCGAAAACTCCATCATTGCGAGACTGCGAGACCGCCTCGCCACGGCCAAGACGGCCAACGAAATGTTTCGCGTCTTTTCCAAGTTCAATGCCCTGTTTGTGCGCCCCAAGATTCGCGGTGCCATTCAGGAGTATCAGAACCAGCTCATGGACCATGTCAAGCAGGCCATCAACGGCCTGCACGAGAGGTTCAAGCAGCAGTATGGCCATTCCGAGGCCCATGCCATGGCTCAGCTACGCGATCTACCCCCTGTCTCGGGTGCCATCATCTGGGCCCGCCAGATTGAGCTTCAGCTGGACGGGTACATGAAAAAGGTTGAGGCCGTGCTTGGGCCCGACTGGACTCTGCATGCCGAGGGTCACAAGCTTCAGGAAGAGAGCGAGCTGTTCAAGAACAAACTGGACACGGGCAGGATCTACGATGCCTGGCTGGCCGATGCCAACCGGCGAAAAATCTCCATCGCCGGCCAGCTCTTCAACATCAACAGGGTCAGGTCTGCAGGTGGCATCCTCGAGCTCAACGTCAATTTTGATCCTCAGATCATCACCTTGTTCAAAGAAACCAGAAACTTGACCTGGCAGTCTTATCTTGTTCCCCACGCCGTCACCACCGTGTCCAAGGATGCAAAGCGAGTCTACCCTTATGCTGTCAGCCTGATGGAGGGTGTGCGAACCCTATCCCAGACTCTGCGCCAGATTGGTACCATGGGCGAGGAATCGATCCTCCTCAATGGGTACAAGAACGAGGTCTACAAGCTCATCAGCGATGGTATCCCGCTGCGGTGGGAGTCCTTTGTCAACTCGCACGAGCTCTTCTACGCCGATCAGAGGCAGATCCGCCCCCTGCTTCCCGGAAGCACCGGCTTTGGGCCTGCCAAGAACACGGAGAGCAAGCATGGCATGTTCATCTGGGGCTTTTCCGCGGCTGTTTCCGTGCTTCAGTCCAAGACGGCTACGCTCAACTCCATCTACGCTACTATTGAGCAGGCTCTGAAGGACCTCGGCGCTTGCCCTTACGATGCTGCCGCATTCCAGTCCCATCTCGATACCATCCAGGCTGCTGTCGATCAGCTCAACCTCGAGCAGTATGCCAACCTCGATTTTTGGGTCCGCGGCGTGAACCACAAGGTCCAGACCATCCTGCTGGAGCGCCTCTCCACGGCTGTTCAGGCTTGGATTGCCGCCTTTGAGCAGGATGTCGCCGAGGAGGACCGGCGGAAGCTGTCCAAGGACGACGATGGAAAGCAGGATGGACCGACCATGAAGCGCCTCGTCCTCGAGATTACCATGCGCAACCAGGTCATCTATCTCGATCCGCCGCTGGAGTACGCCAGGGCAAGCTGGTTCCTCCACCTCCACGACTGGCTGGGCATTGTCTGCAACCTGCGCAAGATCAAGGCCACGCGATACCAGATGAGCCTCAACACCGATGCCCAGGAAGAAGCCCGCTTTACCGATCTGCCGTCTCACTGTGCGGATATGCTCCACCGCGTGTACCTGTCTGTCGAGAAGAAGCTCAGGGAAGTCAGCATTTACGTCGACAAATGGCTGCAGTTCCAGTCCCTGTGGGACCTTCAGTCCGACCAGGTCTACGACATGCTCGGCGACCATCTTCCTCGGTGGCTCGAGTGTCTTCAGGACATCCGCAAGGTCCGCACGACCTTTGACACCCAAGAAGTCAGCCGCTCCTTTGGTCACATCACCATCGACTACGACCAGGTCCAGACCAAGGTGAATGCCAAGTACGACCAGTGGCAGCAGGAAATCCTCATCAAGTTTGCCAACCGGCTGGGCAACCGAATGCGCGACATCAACGCCGACATTGAAAAGGCGAGGAGGAACCTCGAGGGCCAGAGCTCGGACACGTCGTCCACCGCCGCGGCCGTCCAGTTCATCACGGCGGTGCAGAGCTGCCGGCGCAACGCCAAGCTGTGGGCGCCCGAGATTGACATGTTCCGCCAGGGACAGTCGACCCTGGTGAGGCAGCGGTACCCGTTCCCCAACGACTGGCTGCACATTGAGCAGATTGAGAGCCAGTGGGAAGCTCTCAAGGAGATTCTGGAAAAGAAGTCCAAGATCATGGAGGAGCAGTCTGACGCCATGCGGGCAAACATTATCGCCCAGGACAAGCTGATCAATGAGCGCATCGGCGAGGTTGTGGCCCAGTGGAACGAGGAGAAGCCCGTGTCGGGGACGATCCAGCCCGATGTTGCCTCTGCCACTCTGACGACCTTTGAGACGCGCATCACGGCTCTGCAGGAGGAGTTCCAGCAGGTCATGAAGGCTCGCGAAGCCCTTGATATCCCCGGCAACAACGACAGCATCTTGGAGGTTACGCTGGAGGAAGTCCGCGATTTCCGCTCTGTTTGGTCCAACCTGTCCACCATCTGGACAAGTCTCAACGAAACGCGCGACATGCTGTGGACCGCCGTCCAGCCGAGGAAGATTCGCCAAAAGGTGGACGACTTGATCAAGAGCACAAAGGATATGCCGAGTAGAATGAGGCAGTATGCTGCTTTTGAACACGTTCAGGGAGTGCTGCGAGGTTTCCTCAAGGTCAACAACATCCTGTCCGACCTCAAGTCTGACGCCATTCGCGAACGGCACTGGCACAAGATTTACAAGCAGATCAAGCCCCAGAAGCGCTTCTCGCCCAGCTCCATGACGCTTGGCGACGTCTGGGATCTCAATCTCACCGCGACCGAAGTCATTGTCAAGGACATTATCGCCCAGGCCCAGGGCGAGATGGCGCTTGAGGAGTTCTTGAAGCAGGTTCGCGAAACGTGGCAGAACTACGCCCTCGAGATGGTCAACTACCAGAACAAATGCAGGCTCATTCGTGGCTGGGACGACCTCTTCGCCAAGTGCAGCGAGAACCTGAACTCGCTCCAAGCCATGAAGCACTCGCCTTACTACAAGGAGTTTGAAGAGGATGCGGTGGCCTGGGAGGACAAGCTGAACCGCGTCCACGTGCTCTTTGACGTCTGGATCGATGTGCAGCGCCAGTGGGTGTACCTGGAGGGCGTCTTTACCGGAAACGCGGACATCAAGCATCTTTTGCCCATAGAGTCTGGTCGTTTCCAGAACATCAACAGTGAGTTCTTGGCTGTGATGAAAAAGGCCAATAAGACGCCCTACGTCCTCGACGTGCTGAACATTCCCAACGCTCAAAAGTCCCTGGAGCGTCTGGCGGAAATGCTGAACAAGATCCAAAAGGCCCTGGGTGAATACCTGGAGAAGGAGCGCGTTTCTTTCCCTCGATTCTACTTTGTTGGTGACGAAGACTTGCTGGAGATGATTGGCAACAGCAACGATACCTTGCGCATCGCCAAACACTTCAAGAAGATGTTTGCGGGCTTGGCTGGCCTCATTATGGATGACGAGGGAGTCATCTCTGGCTTTACTTCCAAGGAGGGCGAGGCCGTGACGCTGAACAAGGAGATTTCGCTGGCCAAGACGCCCAGAATCAACGACTGGCTTGCGCTGCTGGAGAACGGCATGAAGCAGACGCTTGCGGAGCTTTTGGCCAAGGCCGTGGACGAATACACTCCGATTTTCGAGTCTGACAATATTGACCGGGAAGCGCTCGTTGCCTTTATGGATGCTTTCCCCAGCCAGATTGTCGTTCTCGCCACACAGGCCGCCTGGACGACCGCCGTGGATTCGTCACTTGCGGCTGGCGGACAGACGCTCAAGGCTCTCTTTGATCGGGAGGTGCAGGTGCTTCGCGTCCTTGCGGAGACTGTACTGGGAGACCTTGAGGTTATTCAGCGCAAGAAGTGCGAGCAGCTGATCACCGAGTGTGTCCACCAGCGCGACGTGATTGAGAAGCTGGTCGACGTCAAGGCTGATTCGGCCGACCACTACCTCTGGCAGCTTCAGATGCGCTACGTCTACACCCCTGAGGGTAACTTCCTCAATCGCCTGTACATCAAGATGGCCAATGCCAAGCTCAACTACGGCTTCGAGTACCTCGGCGTGCCCGATCGTCTCGTTCGGACGCCCCTTACCGACCGCTGTTTCCTCACGCTCACCCAAGCCCTCTGCCAGCGACTCGGAGGCTCGCCCTACGGCCCCGCCGGCACGGGCAAGACGGAGTCTGTCAAGGCCCTGGGTGTCCAGCTCGGACGGTTTACGCTCGTCTTCTGCTGCGACGACACTTTCGACTTCCAGGCCATGGGACGTATCTTCTTGGGTATCTGCCAGGTGGGTGCGTGGGGCTGCTTCGACGAGTTTAACCGTCTCGAAGAGAGGATCCTGTCTGCCGTTTCGCAGCAGATTCAGAACATCCAGCTCGGCCTGAAGCAGGGCGCCGAGAACGACAAGTCGCAGATTGAGCTGGTTGGCCGGCAGCTGCGCGTCAACGAGAACACGGGCATCTTCATCACCATGAACCCCGGCTATGCGGGCCGTTCCAACCTGCCCGACAATCTGAAGAAGCTGTTCCGCAGCGTGGCCATGTCCAAGCCCGACAAGGAGCTCATTGCCGAAGTCATGCTGTACTCGCAGGGCTTCAGCCAGGCCAAGCGACTCTCCAAGCAGACGGTGCCCTTCTTTGACAAGTGTTCCAAGGAGCTGTCCAAGCAGGCCCATTACGACTTTGGTCTCCGTGCGCTCAAGAGTGTCCTGGTGAGCTCTGGCGGTCTCAAGCGCTCTCGCTTGGTAGACGGCGGCGACCTTGGCGCCGAGGAGATTGTTGAGCCCGAGATTCTCGTGCAGAGCATCCGCGAGACGATTGCACCCAAGCTTATCAAGTCGGACGTCGACATTATGATCAACATCGAGGAGGACTGCTTCCCCGGCGTCCAATATGTGCCCGCCAATCTGCACGCTCTTGAGGAGGCCATTCGCACGCTCGCTGCCGAGCGCCACCTCGTGGTCACGGATCTGTGGATGACCAAGGTTCTTCAGCTCTACCAGATTCAAAAGATCCACCACGGTGTCATGATGGTGGGCAACTCTGGCACGGGCAAGTCTGCCGCCTGGAGGCTCCTGCTTGATGCACTGCAAAAGGTGGAAAACGTCGAGGGCGTTTCCCACGTCATTGACTCCAAGGTCATGTCCAAGGAGGCCCTGTACGGTAACCTGGACTCTACCACTCGCGAGTGGACAGATGGTCTGTTCACCAGCATTCTGCGCAAGATTGTGGACAATCTTCGTGGAGAAGACTCCAAGAGGCACTGGATCGTCTTTGACGGCGATGTCGATCCCGAGTGGGTTGAAAACTTGAACAGCGTGCTTGACGACAACAAGCTGCTTACCCTGCCCAATGGAGAGCGTCTCAACTTGCCGGCCAATGTCCGCATCATGTTTGAAGTCGAGACATTGAAGTATGCGACACTCGCTACTGTTAGTCGATGTGGTATGGTCTGGTTCAGCGAGGACACCGTCACGCCCAACATGATGGTCACCAACTACATCGAGACGCTTCGCAGCGTTCCCTTTGAGGACCTGGACGAGGATAGCGTTGCCACAGGCCAAAGCCCTGCCAAGACGCTGGCCGTGCAGGCCCAGGTGGCTGATCTGCTCAATGGCTACCTGACGGAGGAAGACTTTGTCAACCAGGCTTTGGAGCGTGCTCTGCAGTATAACCACATCATGGAGTTTACGGTTGCGCGAGTGCTCAACACTCTGTTCTCTCTGTTGAACAAGGCTGTGCGCGACATTATCGAGTACAATGGACAGCACGCCGACTTCCCTCTCGAGTACGACCAGATTGAAGGCTTCGTGGCCAAGAAGCTGCTGCTTGCGCTGGTCTGGGCGCTCACTGGAGACTGTCCGCTTGGAGATCGAAAGCTGTTTGGCGACGACATTTGCGCCTTTGCCAACTTTGGCTCGCCGCCTCTGGATGGCACCAGCTCGCTCATTGACTTTGACGTGCTGCTGCCGCAGGCGGAGTGGACGCCATGGCAGAACCAGGTGCCCAGCATCGAGGTCAACACCCACTCCATCATCCAGACCGACGTTGTCATCCCGACCCTGGATACTGTGCGCCACGAGGATGTGCTTTACTCATGGCTGGCCGAGCACAAGCCGCTCCTGCTCTGCGGTCCTCCTGGTTCGGGTAAGACGATGACGCTCTTCAGCGCTCTTCGCAAGCTGCCCAACATGGAGGTGGTCGGCCTCAACTTCTCGAGCGCGACGACGCCCGATCTGCTCATCAAGACGTTTGAGCAGTACTGCGAGTACAAGAAGACGCTCAACGGCGTCATGCTCTCTCCCACGCAGATTGGCCGCTGGCTGGTCATCTTCTGCGACGAAATCAATCTCCCGGCGCCCGACAAGTACGGTACTCAACGCGCCATTTCCTTCCTGCGCCAGCTTGTCGAGCACAACGGCTTCTGGCGGACCTCTGACAAGTCGTGGGTCACGCTCGACCGCATCCAGTTTGTCGGTGCTTGTAACCCGCCTACGGACGCCGGACGTACGCCCATGGGCGCTCGGTTCCTTCGTCACGCTCCGCTTGTCATGGTCGACTACCCCGGCGAGCTGTCGCTGAACCAGATTTACGGCACCTTCAATGCGGCGGTGCTCAAGATTATCCCCTCGCTGCGTGGATATGCTGAGCCGCTCACGCATGCCATGGTGCGCTTCTACCTCGAGTCTCAGCAGAGGTTCACGCCCAAGATTCAGCCTCACTACGTGTACAGTCCTCGTGAGCTTACCCGCTGGGTTCGTGGTGTGTATGAAGCGATCAAGCCCCTGGAGTCGCTGTCTCTGGAAGGCCTCATCCGCATCTGGGCGCACGAGGCCCTGCGACTCTTCCAGGATCGTCTTGTGAATGAAGAGGAGCGCAAGTGGACCGAAGAGTCGGTTCGTCGCATCGCCATTGAGCATTTCCCCACCATGGACGAGGAAAAGGCTCTCGGCGGCCCGATCCTCTTCTCCAACTGGCTGTCCAAGAACTACGTCCCCGTCGACCGGGAGCAGCTGCGAGACTTTGTGTCTGCCCGCCTCAAGACGTTCTGCGAGGAGGAGGTCGACGTTCCGCTGATCCTCTTCAACGACGTCCTGGAGCACGTGCTGCGCATCGACCGTGTCTTCCGGCAGCCCCAGGGTCACTTGATCCTCATTGGTGTGAGCGGCGGAGGCAAGACGACGCTCTCGCGCTTCGTGGCCTGGATGAACGGCCTCAAGGTGTTCCAGATCAAGGTCCACGGCAAGTACTCTGCGGAAGACTTTGACGAGGACTTGCGGGATGTGCTGCGGCGATGCGGCTGCAAGGGCGAGAAGATTTGCTTCATCATGGACGAGGCCAACGTGCTGGACTCTGGTTTCCTGGAGCGCATGAACACGCTGCTTGCCAACGCCGAGGTGCCCGGCCTGTTCGAGGGCGACGACCACGTTGCCCTGATGACGGCCTGCAAAGAGGGTGCCCAGCGACAGAACCTGCACCTCGACTCCCCCGAGGAGCTGTACAAGTGGTTCACCCAGCAGATTGTCAACAACCTGCACGTCGTCTTCACCATGAACCCGCCCGAGGGCGGCCTGGGTTCCAAGGCCGCCACCAGTCCGGCCTTGTTCAACAGATGTGTGCTGAACTGGTTCGGAGATTGGTCGGACCAGGCGCTGTTCCAGGTCGGGCACGAGCTCACGCACTCCATCGACCTAGACAAGAGCAACTTCAGCGCTCCCGACACGATCCCGGTGGCTTACCGCGGCTTGCAGCTGCCACCGTCGCACCGCGAGGCGGTCGTCAACTCGATGGTGTACATTCACTATTCGCTGCAGCGGTACAACAAGAAGCTGCTGAAGCAGCAAGGCAAGGTCACGTTCCTGACGCCCCGCCACTTCCTGGACTTTGTTACCCAGTATGTCAAGCTGTACAATGAGAAGCGCGAGGATCTCGAGGAGCAGCAGCGCCACTTGAACGTCGGTCTCGAGAAGCTGAGGGACACCGTCGACAAGGTCCGCGACCTGCGGGCCAGTCTCGCGGAGAAGAAGGCGCAGCTCGAGCAGAAGGACGCCGAAGCCAACGAGAAGCTGCAGCGCATGGTTGCGGACCAGCGCGAGGCGGAGCAGAGGAAGAACACTTCGCTGGAGATCCAGGCGGCGCTCGAGAAGCAGGAGGCGGAGGTGGCGATGCGCAAGAAGGTCGTGCTGGAGGACCTGGCCAAGGCGGAGCCGGCCGTCGAGGAGGCCAAGGCGAGCGTCAGCAACATCAAGCGTCAGCACCTGGTCGAGGTGCGAGGCATGTCCAACCCCCCGCAGAGCGTCAGGCTCGCGCTGGATGCCGTCTGCACGCTGCTCGGGCACAAGATCAACGACTGGAAGGCCGTCCAGGCTGTGGTTCGCAGGGAAGACTTCATCGCCAGCATCATCATGTTTGACAATGCCAAGATGATGACCAAGGGCTTGCGGAACAAGATGCGCAACGAGTTCCTGTCGAACCCCGAGTTCACGTTTGAAAAGGTGAACCACGCTTCCCGGGCCTGCGGTCCCCTCGTCCAGTGGGTCATTGCCCAGGTCAGCTATTCGGACATCCTGGACCGCGTCGGGCCGCTCAGGGAAGAGGTCGCGCAGCTCGAGGAGCAGGCGCTCGAGACCAAGGCCAGCGCGATGGCGGTGGAGAAGAACATTGCGGAGCTCGAGTCGAGCATCAACACGTACAAGACGGAGTACGCCACGCTCATCAGCGAGACCCAGGCCATCAAGGCGGAAATGTCCAAGGTGCAGTTCAAGGTCGACCGAAGCGTCAGGCTGCTCGACAGCCTGTCGTCCGAGAGGGCCCGCTGGGAGGAAGGAAGCAAGTCGTTTGAGACGCAGATCAGCACGCTGGTCGGTGACGTCCTCGTCGCTTCGGCCTTTTTGGCTTACGCCGGCCTGTACGACCAGACGTTCCGCAAGAACATGGTGGACGACTGGTATCACCAGCTGGACCTGTCCGGCATCCAGTTCAAGTCGCCCAACCCGGTGACGGAGTACCTGTCCAGCGCGGACGAGCGCCTGGGATGGCAGGAGAACACGCTGCCGGTGGACGACTTGTGCACGGAGAACGCCATCATCCTGAAGCGCTTCAACCGGTATCCCCTCATCATCGACCCGTCCGGAAGGGTCACGGAGTTCTTGCAGAGGGAGTGCAAGGATCGTCGCCTGACGGTGACGAGCTTCTTGGACGACACCTTTACGAAGCAGCTCGAGAGCTCCTTGCGATTCGGCAACCCGATCCTGATCCAAGATGCGGAGCACCTGGACCCCATCCTCAACCACGTCCTGAACAAGGAGTACCAGCGGACGGGCGGCCGTGTCCTCATCCAGCTCGGCAAGCAGGACATTGACTTTTCGCCGTCGTTCAAGCTCTACCTCTCGACGAGGGATCCGTCGGCCACGTTTGCGCCGGACATTTGCAGCCGGACCACCTTTGTCAACTTCACCGTCACGCAGAGCAGTCTCCAGACGCAGTCGCTCAACGACGTGCTCAAGTCGGAGCGGCCCGACGTGGACGAGCGGCGGTCCAACCTCATCAAGCTGCAGGGCGAGTTCAAGGTGCACCTGCGCCAGCTGGAGAAGCAGCTGCTGCAGGCGCTCAACGAGTCGCGCGGCAACATCCTGGACGACGACAAGGTCATCGAGACGCTCGAGACGCTCAAGACGGAGGCGGCGGACATCTCGGACAAGATGCGCAACACGGAGGGCGTCATGGCGGAGGTGGAGGAGATTACGCAGCAGTACAGCATCATTGCCAAGTCGTGCAGCGCCGTGTTTGCCGTGCTGGAGCAGCTGCACTACATCAACCACTTTTACCAGTTCTCGCTGCAGTACTTTTTGGACATTTTCCAGTCGGTGCTGAGGGGCAACAAGAACCTGGTCAAGGAGACGAACCACAACGTTCGGCGCGACATTATCGTCAAGGACCTGTTTGTGAACACGTTCAAGCGGACGGCGCTTGGGCTGCTGCAAAAGGACCGCATCACCCTGGCCATGCTGCTCGCGCAGGCGTCGCCGTACAAGATGGACAAGTCGATGATTGACGTGATCCTGGACGACCGGATCGCCGGCGTGGACCTGTCCTCCAACCCGGACGCCAAGGAGGCGGCCTTCCAGGATGCCCGAAAGCTCAGCGTGCTCCGGGAGAAGCTGGACGCCGTCCCGAGCGGCGACTGGGACAGGTTCCTCAGCGAGGAGCTGGCCGAGGCCGTGGTGCCCAAGGTCTGGGACGACGGCACCTCGGAGACGGACCAGGCCCTGTACTCGCTCTTGCTGGTGAAGCTCTTCCGCATGGACCGCTTCGTGCCCGCGGCGGAGCGCTTTGCGGCTCTCGTGTTTGGCGCCGACATTTTCGACATTGTGGAGGACCTCAAGGAGATTGTGACGCAGGTGTCGGCCACGCTGCCCATTGCGCTCGTTTCGAGCCCGGGCTTCGACGCCAGTTACAAGGTGGACAGCCTCGTGCAGAGGATGGGCGTGCGGTGCACCAACATTGCCATGGGCTCGAACGAGGGCCTGGCCAGCGCCGACAAGGCCGTCAGCAGCGCCGCCGAGACGGGCTCGTGGGTGCTCATCAAGAACGTCCACCTGGCGCCGACGTGGCTGCAGAGCCTGGAGAAGCGCATGGAGTCGCTCAACCCGCACAGCGACTTCCGGCTGTTCTTGTCGATGGAGTCGAGCCCCAAGATCCCCGTGAACCTGCTGCGCGCGTCGCGCGTGCTCATGTACGAGCAGCCGGCGGGCGTGCGAGCCAACATGAAGGACTCGATGTCTTCGCTGTCGACGCGGGCGGTCAAGAGCCCCGTGGAGAGGACGAGGCTGTACCTCTTGATTTCGTTTTTGCACGCCGTTGTGCAGGAGAGGTTGCGGTATGCGCCGAACCTTGGCTGGAAGGGCTTCTGGGAGTTTAACGATAGCGACGTAAGGGACCCCTTTTTCCTCCTCTCCATTGTTTTCTCTCTTGTTTAGAATAGTTACTGACTCGGGTTATAGTACGAATGCTGTGCGTTCATTGTTGACGTCTGGATCGAGAGCGTGGCCGGCAACCGCACCAACATTGCGCCGCAGAACATCCCCTGGGACATGATACGGTACCTGGTGACGGAGACGTATGGCGGCAAGATTGACGACGAGGGCGACTTTAGCCTGCTGCGGCAGCTGGTGACGTCTTTCCTGACGCCGGCCGCGTACGATGCCGACCACAAGCTGGTGGACGGGCCGGACGGCGGGCTGCTGGTGCCGTCGGGCACGGGGCTGCAGGACTTTATGGCGTGGGTGCACAAGCTGCCGGAGCGCGAGCCGCCGACGTACCTGGGCCTGCCGGCGAACGCGGAGAAGCTGTTGCTTGTGGGACTGGGGCGAAGCCTGGTTGAGAATCTGAAGAAGGTTACGGGGCTGTTGGATGAGAATGAGAGGCTGGTTACCGACTCTTGAAGGAGGGGGGACGTTGATGATGATGACGAGAGAGATGATGGATGATGGATTATTGATGATGAGGTTTATGAGTCGTGGGGGCACGATTATGGCCTTGTAGACTGACATGACTAGACGGGGGTCGCTTTTGGTTTTCTTTTTCTTTTTAAATCTGCTTTGCTTTTATGTTATAACGAAGGGCAACGAGGTTAGATGTGGTTTCCTTGTGCGGATACCCTAGACGATGTTTCTAGCTTTAGAGTATGCGTATACATGTGGTTTATTCAGACGACTTTTTGCGATAAACTGTCTAATTGGGGTTGTCTACGGACTCCTACGAGGCCCTTGATATACTCGATGGCTTTGACGATGGATATCTTGTGATGGGGTAGGGGGACTTTGCTTGAATCATGCCGGGTTTCCTCCTTCTCTGTGTGCGGAAGTAGTAAGGTATGTATGTATGTATGCTTGGGGAGAAGAGGCTTGGCTTGTATAGTATTTTACTTGTGTCTCCTTATCTGAGCAGCTACCATGTGAGGTATTATTACTGATAGAAACGGAGAAGGGTGATGAATGATGTTGAGTGGTTGGTGGAAGGGTGGGTATGGGTGTTGCTTGTTGTGTTTTTGTTGGAGGGTTGAGGCGAGATGTTTACCTTGTGCATGAGAATGATAGGCGTAGTATTTATATGACGTCCTGCTTCTTTCATAAGATGAATTATAGGGTTTTTTTTTTTTCCCCTTTGGGAATACTTTGGGGGATACTGAATGATGATGTGTTTGTTTGATTTGGATGGTTGAGTTGATTTTGGATTTGATGTTTGGCGGATGATTGGGTAAGAATCAGGTATAGAGAAGTATTAGTGTATGCGCTTTGGCTAATATTCGTTCTTGGAGGTGGTATAGGGTATTGTTTGGTGTTGGTGGTGTGTGTAATTGGCAATTGCGGTGTTTTGGTGGTTGGATGTTTTGTTTAGGGGAGATGGTCTGTGTTATTGAGGTGCTTGAAGAGGGTCACTTTGGTTAAAAAAGGACAAAAGGACTGCAATTGATGGTATCTTGGATATATGCATGCACTGCTTCACGTAGAAATGTATGAGCGTGCATGGAGTGCATAAAACGGCGTGAAAAGACCTAGTAACTGAAAGACATGAATGTCCTTGGGTTAGAGGGATTGACAAGGGGTTCGAAGAAGAAGGCATCCTGTATATCACTGCACTGTCCATCTGTGTGATGGAAGGTAAGGGTATCTGTCTTATTATCTGGCGTCGTTGCCGTGTCTGTCTGTGTACCGAGTTTACATACGTGGGCCTGTATGGGATAAATTACACTGTACCTTAGGTACGGTATGGTTGTATGCGCTGTGATTAGGAATGGGGATGCAAGGGGATTTCCGTTGTGTTACTCCCAGATAAGAGGCCGAAAAGAATGATGGATATCCTGGAAGTCAGGTAGACACCACATAGGTAGGAGATTGCAATGCGCTGCTGGTACTGTATGGCAATGCGTTCGACTAGATACCTAGGTAGGTAGGTAGGTAGGTAGTTATTGTAGAACCGAGGTTATCATCTGCCTTGCACAACACATGAAGGGGCCACACAGGGTGAATCATTGTAAAGGCCAAGGTACGAATAAGTTAGTATCATGATCTTGAATCTTTTTGCACGTCTTGCTGATTTTCCTGCTGGTTCTTCAAGATCGTTCGTTGTTGGATGTACGTCCGGGGGGTGGATGGATGAGGGTACAGGTTTGCCCGTTTCGGCACAGTACATGATACATGCGCGAATGAATGAAAGATGCATCCTTGACGACCAGTCAGAATCGTGCAGTTGCTGCAGCTTGGCCTTGGCTCGACAGGGAAATCTTGGATAGTTTTACGTACGGTACTGTTCAGGTCGACGGCATGCAAGATGCTGGGCTGTTGATTCGTCCCTGCCTGCTGAGAGGAGGCGGCGGAGGCTCTTGATTGAGGGCGAGGGGGAAGGATTTTTAGTGTTGGAGATCGGAGGGGGAACATGGGAGGGCATGTGCATGGTGCATGGTGCTTAAAACCTTGATGGACGCGCATGCATTTCGCTGGGATGATGATGATGGTGGTGTTTGTTGCCTTGCCTTGTTCTTTTTGGTGTTGTGAGGCGTCTGTCGATAGGTAAGGTACATACCGGGTAACTGTCTACAGGCGCTTCTTGGGATAACTGAGACACTGGATGCAAGGTTCGAAGCTGAGGTGCCTTGTGAAGCTGTGTTCAGCTGAGAAAACAAGGTGTGAAGTCTTGACTGCAATTCCCTCTTCTTTTCCATTGTCCAGAAACGTGCCTAGTGATTCCTGTGTCTCAGATTCATGTACAGTCTACTGAAAGGACTACACACTGTGTGTCGACACAAGAGCAGCCAGAAACGGTGACGGCGTTGCGCGTCATTCAGCCGGGCCACTCGTATGACAAGGGTGTCCCTATGCAAGCCCATGGGAGCTAGTCCAATACCTTGAGTAGCTATGGTAGAGCCCTCTTGGTGCTTGTTGTTACCAGTTACTGCTGCTGCTTCTTCTTCCTGGGTGGCGGGATGGAGCTGGTTTTGGTTGGTTTGACAAGGGCAGGCAAAGCTTCCCCGCATATGGATGACGGAGCGGTTGGCTGAGGTTGCCAAGTGGGTGTATGTACAGGAGTGTGTGTGTGTGTAGCGAGAGAGGGAGAAAGACGGAAGAGGAAATACGTTGGAGAAGAAGAAAGCGAAGTGAATTGGTGTCCGAGGTAAGTATCAAACAAGGTGAGTGAGGTGATGGGCGGGACGGACGGTGGGTATACTAGTAGGTTAAGGTATATAAACTGGTGGGAGCCTTGGTTTGCCCGGGGGCTTCTGCTTTCCCTCCTTGCTCCTGTTACTGTAGCTCTTGCATTGTCGACTCTTTTTTGTCTCGTCTCTCTATTTCTTTCACACACACTTCAAACTTTATGACTGATTCCTTCTTCTTCTTCTTCACCACCACCGTCATCATCATCATCTTCATCTCCATCATCAGCACACCGGCACAGATTTGACTCGACAGCCTCCTCCTCCTCCACAGAAGGCAAACAAGACACCATGGCTGGGTGGCAGAATTGTACGATAAACACCAACCCCACGATGCCCTCACCAGCAAGCTGGCTAACCCATCCCGCAGACAACCCCTTTAGCAAGCGGGAGACGCACAGCCGCGGCTCCATCGTCACGTACAAGATCCTCACGCTGCTCTCGTGGCTGCTCTCCGTCGTCGTCTCCGTCTACTTCACCGTCCACGAGCCCCACGATGCCTTCACCGTGCGCCGCCGCATATGGGACCAGAACTATCTGTACCCCAGCGCCTTTACCATGAACCACATTCTCGCCGACATTTACTGGTATGCTAGCTCTTCTCTTCCTTGACGTCGCCCAAATTCAGCAACAAGAGACACTGACAGCTCGATACAGGATCGTCCTCTTCATCCTCCAGTTCGGCTACGTCACGTCCCTCTTCTCCAGCAACGCCGATGTCGTCTCCGCGGCCGCCGGCGTCGGCAGCCACTTCATCCTCAACAACCTGCTGCACTTTGCCTTTGTCATGCTCTTTGTCAACTCGCACTTCCACTGGGCCGAGGTCATCCTCGTCCTCAACTTCATCAACCTCAGCTCACTCTACTTCCGCCACAACACGGTCCCGCGCTTCATCCACGTCCCCGTCGCCTCGGGACCGCTGGCATGGACCTTTGTGGCCATCTACTGGAACGGCGCCATCATGGTGCCGCACCCGCACAGCCTGGTTGCCCGGATCTTTGGTAACATCTTTATCTGGGCCATCCTCGTCTACGGAATCTTTTTCATTGTCACCTACAATGTGAGTCTTGTCCCTTTCTAACAGAAAGTTGGTCCTACGGATACTAACGCTTGCCTCTGCCAGGACTACACCATGGGCTTTGCCCTCAGCGCCCTCTCCGCGGCCATTGGCGTCGCCCAGTTCAAGCGCCAGGTCATTGCCTTCCAGTGGATCTTTGCCTTCATCATCATGGCCATCCTCTTCATCATGACGCTCACCGTCGCCGTCCCCGCCATGTCGGGCAGGGAGTTCCGCTGGAGGCGCACCACCGCTGCCGACCAGGAGCGCGCGCCTCTCCTCAACGAGGGCGCCTAAGCGTCAAATCAAGACAAGCACTTGAACAGCCCCCTCGCCACGTCAATTCATCCGGAAGCAGACGCCCTCTCGGAGGGGGCGGCGCGGTGAGGGGAAACGCTTGTTCCACGGCAGACAGAATCACCCGAAACTGCCTGTTTGCCAAGGCACCAAAAGATTCCATTCGCGGCATCAGTGTGGGCATGGCGCACGAGCCCAGTCGCACCACATATTTTCGTACACTCTGAATCCTCGCCATGTTTTGTTCGGAGTCGGGAGGGAGGGATCCGGGCTTTTTTTTTTTTTTTTTTTTTTTCCCTTCTTCTTTCCCGCGTGTTGCTCTACTGTCGTTGCACTCGTAATTCCCTAGCATAGTGATTTGTACTTCCCCCCTCTCTTGCATCGGTTAGGTACCTCTACGTGATACATACAATTACACACAAGTTGATGCGTGCAGGCCGTACTGTCACCCAAACAGGACCTTTTGTTCCGTGCAGACAATGAATGGTGAAGCTGATCTTGCTCGAGTCGCTCTGGTGCTTGTCTTGGCTTGACGGATTGATGACGTCGACGAGGCGGTGCTTTGGGCCACTGCTACTATCGATAAGCTGCTGGAGCCACGCCCGACGTGGCCGTAGAGCAAACATGTCGAGGCTGTTTGCGCACTGTATCAGTATCTCGATTGGTGTCATGCCTTGGGTACAGCAATACCTATCATCTCAACAAGGCAGTTCTTCAGCCTTGACAAGTAATAATACCCTTGGGGCCTCTTATAGTACCAATCTCCATCTCCTCATGCCGTGCAGCAACAGATGAAGCCTCTCAGGCCATTTCCCTTTCCGCTCAACATTGGAACGGACATTTGCCGCATCTCTCGCATCTATGCCATTCTGAGGAGCCCTCGTCGGGGCACGCGGTTTGTGAAGCGCATCTTTGCTCCGGAAGAGCAGGCGAGGCGGGATTACAGGCTGCAATGCCTCGTCGAGCGTCGCCCGCTTCATATGGCCTCTTTGGATGAGGCACGGGGGTTGTCGGGGATGGTGGACGTGAGCAGTGACGAGATTGCGAGGCGGGATCCGGAGTGGTGGGCGGCTGCTTCGTTTGTTGCTGGGAGGTGAGGCGATTTTACCAACTTTTCACTGCTTTTTCCTCTTACTCGACTGTACAATGAGTCTCATCTTTTCTCTTCTGTTTCTTATGGAGAATAGTTTTGCAATTGGGCGTTTTTGTGTATGGGGCAATGATGCTGACGATGATGACGATGATGTGCAATTTGAACATAGGTTCGCAGCCAAAGAAGCGGCCATCAAAGCCCACTCGCATCGCCGCCTCACCTTTCACGACGTGGTGATTGAGCGCCGCGGGAGGAACGAGGAGCGTCTTGGCAGCGGACCGCCTGTGGCGCGGATCAAGGGCCGGGGAGGGGAGGATGGTGGTGAGGATGCGAGCGCGATGATTTCCATCAGTCATGATGGGGATTATGCTACGGCGGTTTGTATGGCGCATGATCCGAGTGTTGTGGGTGGAGGGGAATGTTGATGGAGGAGTGGTGAGATGATGCATGGATATTGGGAGGTTGTTTAGGTCTGAAGGGGTGGTGATGCTTGTTTGGGAGAGGGTGAAGTGGATGGTTTAAGGGGCCTTTTGGAATGATGCTTGCTTGCGTTGGTTATAGAAGAAGGGTGCTGCATAAGGTACGATACGGTAGCAAAAAATGATATAGTTCCGAGGTTAAAGTATGCAGGAGGATATCATCGTGGAAGCCAGCAGCCAAAAAAAATAGAACAAAAAAAAACGTCGACGTACCAGGGACTCGAACCCTGAGCCTCAGTCTTAGGAGGACTGCGCGCTACCATTGCGCCAGCACGCCGATTGCTTTGGTTTTGGAACAACTGTGGCTCGTGAAGTGCGCAAATTTAGCTTGTCCTATAGAGGTTTACTCTCTTAGCCGATGGCTCGGAAGCTCATGGCTTGAAATTTGCAGAACATTACTCACCGGCCGAGGTTGATGAGATTGCCTGCTGATGAACGATCTACTATGTCAATCTGATGATTTTGTGGGGGGGTTTACTTGGAAGGCGGTGCGGTGTTGGCATTTGTCCTTTTGCTCCTGCCTTGCGATTTGAATTTGAGAGATAATATACCTTAGGTACCTACTTAGAGCATGCTCCTGGATCAGAGCAACCTCATGTTGACTCTTCGCTGCTCATCAGTTCCAGATCGTCTCTTGTGATTCAACTGCTTTCTGTTCCAAGTACTTGGGCGTGCTACGTTTGTATCACAATTTGCCGTCTGTTTCATTCAAACAAGATCGTGCTTCACTGCTGCAGGGGAATAAGGCTTCGATGCTGGAACGGTGCACGCACAGCCTCGTGGTGGTGTTGCGATTATTACACCCTCTTGAAATTGATTCAACAGTTGACTGACCCGCGACCAACAGCGCAGTCGCCACTCCGCCGGAAGCCACCTGCTAGAATCGCGGCAGACACCAGATTCGCGAGCACGCGATAGAGGCCTTGGAGGACGACATGGGCTAGCCAGGGGCTGGATTCCTCGGGACTGCCACCTTGCTCTCCCCTTGCCGACCACCCGGTGCAAGATGCAGTATTACTATGCCGACTTGGAGCCTGTGAATAGTGTTATGTACTATCTCGACATTTGGTTCATGTATTATCGACCTATACTGGTTGCTCATTCATGACTTGTTGGCCCGACGGAAACGTTTCTCTCCCAAGAGGTTCAGTCAAGGCAGCCAGCCGACTAGCAGCAGCTAGAGATCAGCAGATGACGCGCAATTGGACTGGCCGTCGAGCTCGCCTTGTTAGGCCTCCCGGTGGCTGCAGCTCTGCCGCTGCCGCTTGAGCCGTGCGTGTAGGTAGAAAAACGACCGGCGCCGAAGTTGGCCGCCCTTGCTCGTCATCCAATCAATGCCAGCGCCTGATGAACGTCCGAGAGCATCAAAGGACTGGCATTTACCCGCCGGTCAAAGGCGGTACTCGTACGAAGAAGCATACTTAATGTTATTCAAGAGAATTTCTTGTCCGCCCTGCGTTGACCGCAATCTCTCCAGCATGTCAAGGACATGCATGCTCCTACTACTACTATCAACAACAGGGCATGCACCTTGGCCAACGTGGACATGCACGTTTGCATGGGCCAGGTGCTGTATTACTCCATTTCCAAATACCGGTGAGAGCAGAGTCTCAGCTGTCCGCCCTCTCGTATCAGCCTCTCCCCTTTCTTTACATCAACTCTCTGCCCTTCTCGGAAGATACGAAGCAACGACAAGCCCGTTCTCCATATCGGTCAACTGTGGGGGGGTGGCTAGCGCAGGGATTTTTGCAGCCGCGGGTGCAGCCTGCAGTTCGCCGGCAGGGATTCCGACACCCTTACAGGAAACTTGCAAGGCAAAAAGTTGAAAAGCAGAGCCCGGCCTACAACTGGCCTGCTGTAGGGGTCAAAGGGCGATTAGACGGCTTTGCCGTTCAACTGGCGAGGCCCACTCGCGGTGCTCTACCTAGTACCAAGTCTACATCGATCGACTTGCACTTCATCCGAAGCAACTCTCTCTCCTTCAACATCTTCAATCGTCCCTCCAGCGAGCGAGGGCGAATCGTTGGATGACGGCATCATGGACGTCGTTCTATCCCGCCTTGGCACCCAGCTGTTCTCGCCGACCACAGACGAGCTGCTGTTTCGGGAGCCTGCCACACTCTTAAGCCGGTACGTTTCTCGGCACTCAAAGGCTGTCAGCGTCCATCATCTCATCTGCGGCACCATGGCGTCCGCCTCCCCAATTGCGCTATGAAATGACATCCCAATGAAGTGTCCCTGTTCGACTTCATCCTGATCTATTTTGCTAACGAATAGGCATTTGCCTTGCCAGCCTCGGCGTCGACCCCTCGGAGACCAAATGGATAGGCGGCGTCTCTGAGTTTGCTCGTTCTGGTATTCTTCAGGGTGCGATCCTCGCCACTTCAGCGGCTTGGCTGACTTTTCGTCTTATCCGGCATCGCAAGAACTCTGTGCCCGCCACCAGGTCCAAGGCATCCTCCATCAAATGGCCCTACGAAGTCGCGTCGCAGGCCACCCGCATCGCCTCGCTGGTCTTCTTGATCGTGGCTCTGGTTCAGGGGCGGGTGCATCTGCTCAATGTCGTTGCTGTTGCTTACGCCTTTGTCCTCGGCCTGCTCCGTCCCCTCAGTAACGATCTTGCTTGGCGCCATCTGATTCTTCACCAAGTCAACTATGTTCTCACCGCCACCTTCTTCGTCCTTGTGGCCGCACAGCTGCTCCCTTGCATCCAGATCGACACCGACCAATGCATTGCAGATGTCGGCGTAATTGGCTTCGTGTCGTCGCTGGGCGCATCTGTCGTCGTCGCCTTGATCACGCCGCGAGAGTGGGTTCCGCCAACCATCAAGCACGAAATTCCAGGCTACACCGAGCAGAATGAAGAACCCGCCCCGGAGGAAACGTGCAGCTGGTTCAACTACTACTTCACCTATGAGTGGCTGACGCCTCTCGTGTGGAAGGGCACCAGACGAAAGCTTGACATGTCTGGCATCCCCACGCTCGCTTGGTACGACGAACCAATGTATCTCCTCCAGAGGATTCAACGGGCCCGCGCCGTGTGCAGAAAGACGCTGTGGACAGCATTAAAGTTTCAGCGCAGGGAGTTGTTGCTCATGGCCACCTGGGCCGCGGCCGCTTTCACCATGGAGAACGTCTCCCCGTACGGCATGTATCGCCTTCTCGACTACATTGCCAACCCCAGCGCTGCGCAATACCATCCGTTCCTGTGGCTTATTCTCATGTTCGTCGGACCCCTGTCCCGGTCCGTCTTGTTCCAGCAGTACGTCTTCAATTCCACTAGACTGATCGTGCGAGTAAAGTCCGCCATGACCCAGGAGCTGTACCACAGAGCTCTGGCGTCAATGGAGCTGGAAGAGGATCCCTTTGACACCAAGGGGGGGAATGCCACCAAGGAGAAGGAGGCCCAGGCTCAGAAATCGACTTCTGCCGGACGCCTAGCGAACTTGATGGCCGCCGACGTGGACGCTGTCTATCGCGCACGAGATGTCATCTTGGTATCTGCGGGTGTGCCGGCCGGCACCATCATCTCCCTCTTTGGCCTGTACAGGATGATGGGCTGGGTGTCCCTCGTGGGGACGGCCATCTTGCTTTTGGCGACGCCCATTTCCGTTTACATGGGACGTCGGATGTATGGCGCACAGAGGCGGGTGAGGAAAGCCCAGGATACGCGCATCTCTCTCGTTGCTGAATACCTAGCTTCCATCCGCGCCATCAAGTACTTTGCGTGGGAGGACCCCATCACAGACCGCATCATCGGGGCCAGGGCGGCCGAACAGAGGGAGCTCTGGCGGGTGGCCGTCCTGCAGACCATGGTCAACCAAGTCACGCAGTGTTTTCCGTACATTGGCCTCCTCGTCATGTTTGGACTGCACGTCGGCGTAGAAAAGCATCCCCTTGACGCCTCCACTGCCTTTACTGCTGCCTTCCTTGTGAAGAACATCCGTAGAAACATCATGATGGCCAGTGCATTCTCAAGGAACTTTGCTGCCGCGAGCGTCGCCTTTAGCCGGCTCGACAAGTACTTTAATAGCACCGTGCCCCTTGTCCGGTACCCTGTTGGGCCACTCAGGATCGAAGGCGCTTCGTTCCGCCGAAACAAAAAGGCCACATTCCGCCTTGAGGACATCTCGCTAGATTTTGTCGAAGGCGGTCTCAATGTCATTACTGGCCAGAGTGGCAGCGGGAAGAGTACCCTACTGCTTGCGATCCTCGGCGAGACGCATCTAGAAGGCGGCAAGGTCACTGCACCCAGTGACATCGCATTCGCTTCACAGTCTGCTTGGCTTCAGAATGATACCATCCAGGCCAACATCCTCTTCCAAAGCCCAATGGATCGTGCTCGATACGACAGGGTCATCGAGGCCTGCTGTCTCAACATCGACCTCAAGGAGCTGTCAGATGGCGACCAGACCGTCGTAGGTGAGAATGGCACGTCCTTGTCCGGGGGGCAAAAGGCCAGAGTTGCCCTAGCCAGAGCGCTCTACTCCACGGCATCTCTCCTGCTTCTGGACGACATATTTTCTGCTCTCGACGCCAAGACGTCGGCTGGCGTTTGGAAACACTGCTTCTGCAGCGATTTACTCAAAGGCAGGACCGTCGTTCTCGTCACTCAGGTACCCTGGATCTCCTCGCAGGCAGACTTTTCTGTTCTTCTCGAGAGAGGTCAAGTCAAGAGCGCCGAACACAACATTGGCGTAGTGCGTAGACCGATTCAGATTGCAGAGATCCTCGGAGGAGACGACGATGACATCGAGACCGAAACAGTCCAAACAGGGACGGAAACGCCCCCTGAACCCGATCTGCAATCCAGCGGAGATGCTCTGAATGACCCGGCAAAGGTGGCTACCGAAACATCGGCAAAAGACATTGTCAATCAGGAAATGAAGGCGTCGGGCAAGGTTGGCCGGCTGGCGTCTCTCGAATACATGCGATACTTTGGACACCCGCTCTTTGCCGTCTTTTGTCTGCTCGGCCTCGCCGGTTCCAACGTCTTCTTCTTTGCGTCCAGCTACTGGATGGGCATCTGGGTCGAGGCCTACAACAACAATGCCCACGTGGACATTGCCTACTACATGGGCATATACGCCGCCTTGACTTTTGCCGAGATCATCTCGTTTGGCTTCGTCATCATCGCGTTCGAATGGGGCGCGTGGCGTGCAGGCCGCAAGCTTCACAACGACTTCATCCGCGCGGTCATGAGGGTGCCCCTGTCGTGGTTCAAGACGATCCCCATTGGCCGCATCACCAACCGCTTCTCTGGCGACATGGCCTCGATCGACTCGGGGCTCAGCTCCATGCTCCGGGTGACGTTTGACTCCATCATGATGCTGTTCGCCCGCATCGCCGCCGTCAGCTCCATCATGCCCATCTTCATGATACCCGCCTTCTTCACCTGCATCTTTGGTGTTGTGGTCGGCGAAATGTACACGCGGACGGCCGTCATCATCAAGAGGCTGGCTTCGTCGGCGCAGTCGCCCGTCTTCTCCCAGTTTGCCGACACCCTGGCCGGCCTGCCCATCATCAGGGCCCGGGCGGGTATGAGCGAGACCTTTGGCCATGAGCTGGCCGCCAAGCTGCGCGTGTGGTCGGCCGCGGCCGAGGCCAACTACAACTGCAACCGTTGGGTGGCCATGAGGGTGGATTTTGTGACTTCCCTGGTCGCCCTTTTTGCCGGCATCATTGCGCTCTCCAAGGTTGGCATTGTTGGCGCCGGTCTGGTTGGCTTTTCGCTCAACAACGCCAACGGACTCAGTCAGACCATTCTCATGCTTGTGCGGGCCATGAACGATCTCGAGGTGGAGATGCAGAGCTTCCACCGTGTCAAGGAATACGTCAAGCTGGAGCCCGAAGGGAAGGACGATGTCACTTACCCCGAGGAAGGGCAGTTTGCGGACGACGAGAGCCATGTCATTCCCAAGAACTGGCCCAGGTCGGGCGAGATTGAGTTCCGCGACGTCACCATCCGGTACGATCCCGATGGGCCCAACATTCTCACGGATGTCAACCTCAAGTTCAAGGCCGGAGAGCGAGTCGCCGTCGTCGGGCGGACGGGCTCTGGCAAGAGCACTCTGGTTCTCTCTCTCTTGCGGTTTACGCACATTGTCTCTGGGCAGATATTATACGATGGGATTGATATTTCCAAGATTCCTCGACGCAGATTGCGTGAGGCCCTCACAATCATCCCCCAGGAGGCGACCCTGTTCAACGGAACTGTGGAGTCCAACCTTGATCCTACCGGGCGCGTCCCCAAGGAGATTCTCGAAAAGGCGCTGGAGAACTGCAAGGGCATCGCCTCCTTCTCCAGCGACGATTCCTCCGACGAGACCGCTGTCGACGGCGCAGACGACGGCTCCGTCCGCGGACAATCTCAGGGCATTTCTCTATCGACGCCGGTGGACGCCCGCGGAGAAAACTTTTCGCACGGACAGCGCCAGGTCTTGTCGCTCTGCCGCGCGCTCATCCGGCAGAGCAAGCTGATGCTGCTGGACGAGGCCACGGCGAGCATGGACTATGAAACGGACAAGGGCATCCAGCAGGTTCTCCGCAACGAGCTTGAATCTGCAGGTGGGGATCGTACGCTCGTGACGATTGCGCATCGCCTGCGGACTATTATTGATTATGATACCGTTGTTGTGATGGGTGCTGGCAGAGTAGTAGAGTAAGTTGACGTCCTGCAGCTGTACGAGAGAAGAGGATTGAAAAATGCTGACTGAGATTTGGGTAGATATGGGTCTCCGCGAGATTTATACCGCTCCAAGGGCTTGTTTTATGACATGATATACCACAGTGGAGAGATGGAGGAGCTGGAGGAGTTGTTGAAGGAGAGCTAATAGAATGGATATGGGTGCTTTCAACGGTTTAAAAAGGGGGTTTGAGAGTGGCTGTAGGTTTGGATCAAAGAAGGCATTGAAATATGGCTGGGGATATTATACGGTAAAAAGAAGCATTTCAAACACTCATATCGAGTCGTTTCATGTCAGTCGGGTAGACAGCGGTGCTTTATATTTTTTTAAGGAAACTTTGCATTTCCGACGCACTCTCACATTGAGCCGGGACTGCCCTGCGCGAGGTATAAGCAAGTCAGTATCGCGATTTGGATTTTCTGTACATATACCTCAACATGACATGCCCGTCATGAGGAAGTGTCTTGTCTAGAGCTACTACTGCTGAGCTCAACGTGTGTGCAAGTCATTCTTTCGATTGACTGAGGTGACGTTTCGCTGAGAAAGGCATATCCATGGTGAACTGGGTCGTCCTCACCGGAAAGAAACGGGGAGATGAGAAGTTGTGATTAATGGGGGCAGTATTCTTCAATGTCCTTGTAATTCTCAACAACTACCGCCCATGTGCTTTGTTTCATGTGACTTTTGTCAACTTGATCTGGTACCCCTTTGCCCGTTTCTAGATGGCTGAGCCATATATGCGTATCAAGATCAAGATTCGTCTCTCACGAATCGCTCAGGAGAGGGTGCCTGGCTGTCGATATTCCACTGAATCTCCGTGAACCTCCCTCTTGAATCCCTGTTTTCGAAATGCAAAAGCCACGCCGCAGGGCCATAGTGGAACAAGCCCCTGCGAAGCCGCTGATCGGCCGACGGCAAGAAGATGAATGTGTCGTCGCCGTAGTGTGACAGGACATGTTCTTGCTCGGGCCTTCCGTTGATGTTGAATCTCAGGGTGTCATCACCATCACCATCATCATCCGAGTATACCTCGAGGTAGAGAGCTCGAGACTGGTGCCAGTATTTGCCTACGAGGCTGTCATGTCTTGGTTCTGGCGAGTCGGGCTTGCGTCCTTTTTCGAGAGCGTCGACGATTTCCTGGTGGGTTGCTCTCCATTTTGTAGCGGCTCGCTCAGCAAATGGCGTTAGGTCGAGCGGCTGCTGCTGCTGCTGCTGCTGCTGCTTCTCGTCTAATATAACCTGGAGCAGTGTCTGAGCGATCCAGTCGGCAGTGTCCCCCTGAGAGACAGAGTTGGTCAGGACGACAATGACGGACTGGGAGCTAGGGACCAGCATGAGGCAGTGGTTGTAGCCCGCGCCGGCGCCGCTGTGGTAGAAGACTTGCTGCGACTTGGAGCTGGCTCCTATCACGGGCATGGCGTCCATGAGAATGGAGTTGAAGCCGATTTTGCCGAACTGAGCAGGGATGACGACTTTGGCAAAGCCCAAGGTATAGAGCTCGTCTGTTGCAGCGGTGCTGTTCATGAAGCTGTGGCCGGAGAGGACGGTGTCGAGAAGCGCAAGCGGTGGCTTCTTTTCATCGTCTCGGTAGAGCGAGAGGAGGGTGTTTCCCCAGGTGAGGAGATCGCTGACGGTGCTGCGGATGCCACCGGCGGAAGTCATGATGCTGCCGTCGGTGAGACCCATCTTGCCCACCTGGACGGGGGTCTTGTTGTCGTCGTCGAGCACCATGTACGGTAGGGCTAATGAGTCTGGGGGGATCTCCGATGCGATGGCTGTGGTGTGGGAGAGATTGAGCGGGTTGAGGATCCGGGAGGAGAGGACTTTGCCCCAGGACTGGTTTGTGACTCTCTCGATGACTTCGCCTGCGAGGGCGTACATCCAGTTGTTATAGAGCCATTGTGAGCGGATCGGGTGGATGGGCGGGAGGTGATTGCACAGGGGGATTGTGAAGTTCTTGGGGGCAAAGGTTTGGCTGTCGGCGCCTAGCCAGAGGGCGTCGAGACGAGCGAGGCCAGTTCGGTGGGAGAGGATGTCGATGAGGGTGAGCTGGTCTGCGAGTGATGGATCGTGTTCGAAGGCGAGCTCGGGTATGTAGCTCGATAGAGGCTCGTCCCACTTGAGGAGGCCTTCGTGGACGAGCTGCGCGATTGTGGATGACACAAAGGCTTTTGTGAGGGAGGCGATGGGGTATCTTGTGGATGAGTTTGCGGTGAGGCGGCGGTCGATGTTGGAGAAGCCGAGGTTGGTGTTTAGGAGGACGTGGTTGTGGGACGTGACGCCGATGGAGATGCCGGCTGTGCCGCCGATTCTCTTGAGGGCCTGGATTTGGGGCAGGGCTTGGTTTAGGCGGTTTTGTAGTGTTGATGTGGTTGAGGGGACTGGTTCAGGGGGTGGTGGATGGGGTGGGAGTGGGATTTGCTGGGCTGCTGCGAGGAGGGAGAAGACTGATGAGAGGAGCATGGCGGCGGATCTTGACTCAAAGGTGATATAAGTGTAGTAAAGATTATTGAACAAGATGCTTGACGGCTAAATTGCTTAACCCTCGTATTGCGTCGGAACCGCGTAGAGTAAGGGGAGACGATCGAGGCGCACTTATAGGAACTTGGAAGCGTAGGCAAGAAGATATTCCATACACACAGGCACTGACCAGAGAGAGGCATTGGGCTCATGCAAAGAGCATACCAGTGTTGCTCGTGATGCATGAGAAATCAATCAAGACCCAACACAAATCCCTAGGTCGAGGCCATTGATGCGTGGGTTCGGCGCTTAGATGCTCTGCATACCCAGGGCTGCAGTTGGCCCTGTTTCTTGTCCATGTCCGCATTCCTAAAGTGAGCTATGTCAGACTGCTTCACTGATGCCAATGCAAAGTGTGCTGTGTCCCATTTATGCAATATCTTCCTAGGTATATGGGATTCCTAGTAGCAGCTGTTGTTGCAGTGATCCGTGCTCAGAGCCTTGTGACTCTCTGCTTTTCAAGCAAGGTTTCTCTTCTCTCTCGCTCGGCCCCCCTCACACCCGTGTCCATGCTATTTCTGTCAGTATTGTGCTGATATGGGATTCAAGACTTCGCTGCTCTTGTACGGGACCGCCTGGAAAGGGGACAAGACTGCCCATCTCACGGAAACGGCTATTCTCTCAGGGTTCACATGCGTGGACACTGCCAATTACCCAACGGCGTATGATGAGCAGCGGACAGGAGATGGAATCGCGGCCGCTCTCGCGTCTGGTACAAAGCGCAGTGATCTCTTCGTACGCTCAATTCCCTTCTTTCATCTCCCAGCTCTTCATCTTACTGAAAATGTCAATTGGTTTCACCAGATACAATCGAAATTCACACCGGTCTGGGCTCACGCAAAGGACAAGATTCCCTTCAATCCTCATCAGAGCATCGAGGGACAGATAGTCGAGTCAGTACAGCAGAGTCTCGAGCACCTCCAGGTCGACTACCTGGATTCTCTCCTGCTCCATGTGCCCTTCGAAGACGACAATGATAATCTCATTGCGTGGAGGGTATTGGAGACTTTTGTGCCGCACAGGATCCGCTCCCTCGGTGTCTCCAACTTCAGCTTATCGCAGCTTCGAGAATTGTATGCCTGTGCGAGAATCAAGCCCACCATTGTGCAGAACCGCTTCTACAAGGAGACGCGCTACGATTTCGACGTCAGGGAGTTTTGCGCGGAACACGGCATCACGTATCAAGCATACTGGATGCTTCGGCACAACCCGGAGATCATGGCATCGAGTGTCTTGAGTACCGTGGCAGTGAAGCTCAGCGTGGAGAAGGAGCTTGCGTTTTATATCTTAATTCTAGGCCTGGGTGGGACACAGGTGCTTAACGGCACGACAGACCAGGGGAGGATGGTGCAGGACTTGAAGACCGTTGGCGAGGTATTTGGCAATGAGGCACGGTTGCGGGAGCTGCAGCCGGATATTGATGAATTTCGGCGGCTTTTAGCGAAGTTGTCTACCTGAGCAGACTGGCGCAGCCATGGCGGACAATGACCACAAGGATGTCTCCTGGTTCAGATGATGAAGAAAAGTCCACGAAGAATGGAATTGGGTGGCCCTGAAAGGCTGTATCAAACAGAATGGTGTGATGGAAGGCTTTGACGTAAATCTCTTGCGATCAATATTGCTTATATGTTCCAACAGAAGCCTTATTCAGTAAATCATCATCACCTGATGTATGCGAATCACCTGCGTCTTTACAATGGACCGGAACAGCTGTGTCATTCCTTGTGACCAGGGGAATGGTCCGCCATAGATTGGCAACGACAAGTGCCGTGGTGTGTTTATGAGCCATCATTTGTGGATTCAGAATTCGACAATTCCTGCGGGACCTGTCTGGCTTGATGCTCAATGCTTTTGCTTCGGTGTTGCAAGGACAATTTCATAACGGAAAGCAGCAATGTTTTGTTAATGCTCGCAGTTACGAGTGTCTGACAGATACTCGTCACAGGACTTGTTTTCCTCCCATTCGATACTATATTATTGCTTCAATAAGATAGGTACGCGGCTTAGCATCAATATTATCCATCATGACCGGCGGACTTAGCCAGCCAATGTCTATTCTCCAGCTATAATACACTAATAGGACACCTTCTTCCGATAATATACACTCTTATACAGATTTCATCACAGCTCATCCCTTCCAGTCCCTGCCTTTTCTCTGGCTCCCTTCTCCAAGCCCTTCTTGACAATAGAGCTCAGAATCTCATATACGACCTGTGCCGCTGCCAACGCCGTCTCCTCGCCTCTGCCCTGGTAGGCCGGACTTACCTCAACCACATCGGCTCCAACAATGTTCAAGCCCTCGATGCCTCGCAATATCCTGATGAGCTCTCTGGTAGTCCAGCCACCGGGCTCAGGGGTCCCGGTCCCGGGTGCAAAAGCAACGTCCAGCACGTCAATGTCCACAGACAGGTATACGGGATCCTCGGTACCCAGCACTGACATGATACCATCGGTGATTCCCCTGGTACCGATATCATCAATCTCGTCAGCGGAATAACGAACCCAGTTCTGCGCGGTATCGGATTCGTGATCGGCCCAGTCCGTGCCACTGAGACGCGTACGCAGACCGGCGTGGACGGATTGGCCGGATGATGAATTTGACAGCAGACCCTCCTTGTTTGCCATCCAGAACATGGAGCCATGGGTGAACTGCGTCGAGCCCCAGGCAGATGGGTACGCAGCAGGATCCCAAGTGTCCAGGTGAGCTGGTGGGTGTGTTTCGTTCGCTTAGCCTCGTCCTTTCTGATATCTCAGCAGCTTGGGGTTTTCGAAGAAACATACCGTCAAAGTGAAGCACGCGGACTGGCCTGCCGTAAATCTCCTTCAAAGCCCTCAACGCAGGCAGCGCCAAACTGTGGTCGCCGCCGAGGGTGATGATCTTGGGCCTGCCCTGGCTCAGGGAGCTTACAGGGTTCGCCCTGCCGAGGTTCTTGAAGGCCTGCGTCATCTGCTCTACCGCAATGTTGTTGTCAAAGGGCGTGATGGGAATGTCGCCGCAGTCGACAATCTTGGCCCAGTTCTGATAGGGGTTGATGTTGGCGCGAGGGTTGAATGCGCGCAGCGAAGTCTGGCGAGACGAGGCCTGTCTGATGGCCCTGGGGCCGAATCGGGCGCCTGGAGATGCCATCAGTAAGAGCGCCTCGAGTTTGTGTTTTGCACAACGCGAGAGTTAGTTTAGAAAGTACCTGGTCGAAAAGAGACGGCATTGTCAAAGGGCGCTCCGATGATGGCAATGTCGTATTTCTCTTGGGGTTTGGTGAGGCATTTGACATAGTCGAGGTGAGCAAACGAGCCTATGCCATTGAACGACCACTGCGTTGCGTTTATGTTACCATGACTGAGCTCGACAACAAAACCAAGAGATCAATTGCCAGGTTCACAATTCGGGGGTTTATAACACACCTCATGGCCCCATTTGGCCTCCAGCTCTGCCAATTCCTCGCTGCTCCATTCCTTTTCCTCGCCGTGTCCGCCACAGGCCTGGCCCGAGCCAATAAAGGCCAGGAGGTGTATCAACGAGACGAACTTCATTCTTCGAGATAAGGCTTGCTCGAGAATGCCTGCAAGCAGAGATACGATAGACAATGGCCATGCTCGCTTTATCTGGCCCTTGCCTTGTCCATTTATATACGGTCGCCCCCGTCTTTGTCGCTGCCCCGGTCCCGCCTCTTCTCCCCCCCTCACTCTCCCCTCTCACTCGCTCCCCCACACTCGGCGTCAAGGGCGGGATTGTTTATCTGGGGAATAACTAGTAGTAGTAGTAAGAGCTTCACGACAAGGCCCGAGATCGGCAAAGCATAGATAGATAGTCACAAAGCCGGCTTGCATATGGTAGTACTACGACCCACCTCCAGGTTCAATGCCGTGTCTTTTTATCAGGACGTCGTATTGGGAAGATCAACAACCCTCGAAGCGATGCATCAGATGTGCGCCCGACGACCCGATACCCCCAGGGTTATATATATATATGCCTATATATATCTGCATCTCCGCAGCACGACGTGATGTATATAGAATGGATCATCTTCTCGCAGATGTCTTTTTATTTTCCTGACATACCTACCGAAGGGCGGCCATTGCTTGGTCGTAGCATGCCTCACCATCTCATGACCCTTTCACCTCTTTGATTCTCTGCAATATACGCGAAAACAAAACAAATAACTCGACTGAATCGATAGAACGTCCCTCGTCAAGAACATCCCTCGTCAAGACCGTCCCTCGTCATGGCGTCCAATATAAAGTCGGAGACTCCGCCCTCCGTGTCCATATCCCAGTCGCAAGTGGAGGAGAAGCTGCCGGCGCACCCCGAAGAGCAGCACCTCAAGAAGAGATTCAGCCTCCTGTCGGTCGTGGCCTTTGGCTTCACCACGATGAACTCGTGGGTGGCGTTCGCCTCTGGCGTCGCCGTGCCCCTGGCCTGCGGCGGTGGCCCGGGCATCATCTACGGCCTCGTCGCCGCGGCCGTGGTCATGGTCATCATCAACGTCGGCTTCGCCGAGCTTGCCTCTGCGTTTCCGTCTGCCGGCGGCCAGTATCACATCGTCTACATGACGTTTCCGCCGTCGACACGCCGCGTCGCCGCCTTCTTCACCGGATGGGTCAGCGTCATCTACATCATGGCCGGGCTGGTGTCGTGCGACCTCTTCGTCGCGGGGTCCATCCTCGACGTCGTCAGCCTGTGGAACGAGGACTACCAACCCCAGGCCTGGCACACGTATCTGCTGCACATCCTGCTCTGCATCGTCGCGTTCCTGGTCACTTCCTGGTTCCCGTCGGCTGTGGGCAAGCTGGGCGTGGGCATCACGGTGCTGTCGCTCGTCGGCTTCGTGGCCTCGCTGGTGACGCTGCTCACTGTCCAGGAGGTCAAGCAGTCGTCGGACTTTGTCTTTAGGGACTACCAGAACGTCAGCGGCTGGCCCGACGGCTGGGCCATCTTCATCGGCATCACCGGCTGTCTCTGGGCGTACAGCGGCGTCGACGCCCCGACGCACGTCTCGGAAGAAGTGCCCAACCCGAGCCGGAACGTGCCCATTGCCATCATCACCACCATGGCCCTGGGCGTCGTCACCGTCACTGCCTGGAACATTGCACTCATGTTTGTCATTACCGATCTCCAGGCCCTCATCGAGTCCGGGGTCCCGATCCTCGAGGTGTACAACCAGGCGCTCAACTCCAAGGTGGCCACGACCATCTGGGCCGTCTACTACATGGTCATGTTCTACGACATTGTCCTCAACCTCTTTATCTTTTCCGGGCGGACCATCTGGTCGCTTTCCCGAGACGGGGGCGTGCCTTACTCGGACTACATCTCTCGCCTCAGCCGGGCCAGCCCTGTGCGCGCCACGGCCGTCATGCTGGTCCTGCAGATGATTGTCGGCGTCCTCTATGTTGCGTCGTCGACGGCTTACAGCAGCTTCATCAACCTGAATCTGTTTGCGCTCAACATCACCGTGGCACTGCCCCAGGCTGCCGTCCTGTTCCGAGGCCGCGGCATCCTCCCCGAGCGAGCCTTTTCTCTGGGCAGGTTTGGCTACGTGATCAATGCGGTGGCCACGCTGTTTGTCGCCTTCTTCTCCGTCTGCTTCTGCTTCCCTGTTGGCTATCCCGTCACCGGGAGCTCGATGAACTATCTGATTGTGGTTATGGCGGTTGGGCTGGTTGTCACCACGGTTGCGTGGTTTGCGAAGCTGCGCAAGACCTTTACCGGGCCTCGCTTGGAGAGTTACGGCGACGAGACTCTGCATTAGCAATGGTCTGTAACTAAATATGTCCCTTTACCTTGAGGCAAATGTTCTCATCAAGTCTTTTGCTTGTTTTTGATGAAAAAAAGGAGTCCTTGTTCCGCCAGAGCCAGCATTCAACTCTCTTCTGCAAGGACTAATACTGATGCTAATACTGTATGTACGAAATGGTACGGCTCCCGTTAACAAGCGTTGATAATACTACATAACATAACATACATACTATTCCCGGGTTTCCCCATGTTTTCCTCTCCTCCCCCACGCTTGTGCATGACTCGCTCCGCCTCACTCAGCCAATAGACGGCCCATGGCTATCTTTAACCATGCACCCGAGGCTCCTTGACTATCTGGCCAAGGCGAGATAGCAGCAGCAGCCCTCGTGCCCGCCTTTGACGCTGTGCATGAACTACTTCCCATCTCCGCTCTCCTGGAACCAACTGAACTCACCTCAACCTCCTTCTGAGCATCTCGCCTCGTCTGCAGTATACCTTGACGCGCCGTACTTTAATTACATGTACTACTTGTATCATTACTGAGGTACATCTTCTTTACACGACGTTCCACTTCCGTCTCCCCTTGCCGCCGGTGACGCCCGTTCTTGCGCCCACATATAATCTATCACATACAAGTCGTCGTCGTCACCACCATGTCAACGCTGGCCGCCTCCTCGTTGATAATCCAACCCTCGTCAATAATAGTCCAACCCTCGTCATCAATAGTCCAACCCTCGCCCGCTCCACAGCCGCGGGTCGCACAGCAGCAGCAGCAGCAGCAGCGCAAGTCGTCCAAAAAGGGCGGCTACACGCGACAGCGCCGCGGCTGCTTGACCTGTCGGCAGCGCAAGAAGAAGTGCGACCAGGGCTTGCCCATATGCGGGCACTGCTCGCGCCTGAACCTGGTCTGCAAGCACGAGAAGCCGCGGCAGCTGTCGAGTGCCTGGAGCGAAGATGCCGTGGAGGATGATCCCGGGCCGTCGAGCTCTCAGGCACACACCACCTACATGTGCTGGGGCTCGCAGCAGCAGCAGCAGCAGCAACACCCGGTCACTGCTCGGGGAGATCATGTCTCTGAACTGTTGAGGCTGACGAAGATTGCTGAGCCTCTGGACCTCGTGCGTCCTGACGATGCTGCCGTTGGCTATGACTGGAGCTCCAGTCGAAGGACCATGATGCGGTATTACACGTCTACTCTCGCCATCATGCTATCGGCGACCGCAGAGAACAACTGCTTCTTGTCAGGTAAGCTCACCTCTCTCAAAACTGCTCTTCCTGTAGGTACATGTACCTATGTATAGTCATGGAACTGCTTTTGACAACGTGGAAATCTCACTCAGTCTTATTGCCAATGGCATTCGACTGCCCTGCCCTCCTCGACGCAATGGCCGCATGGTCATCAGCTCATCTCGCCCTTCGGGACCCCAGCTTCCACGGCGCGTCTCTCCAGTATCGCGGGCGGGTGCTGGCGAACCTCAGTGCCGCCCTTCAAGAGGACAGCCTCCCCGGGGAAATGTGCCTGGCCGTGGCCATGGCCATGTGCTCCATGGAGACCATCTCGGACGCAACCAGCAGCAGCTGGTCGCACCATCTGTCCGGTGCCGCTGCAGTCCTGCAGTCCAGAACTTGTTCCAATGCGATGATCGGTCCGCTGCAGACAACGACGACGACGACGACGACGACGCCATCTGCTGTGAGCGACTACTGGCTCCAGTCTGTTGAGCGCAGGTGGCTGGTGAGGAACTTTGCCTATCACGACATCTTGATGAGCGTGTCGCTGGACAGGAGGCCCCTGCTTACAGGCGACTACTGGATGTCCCGGGACGATACCATGGCCGATCCATACTTTGCCTTTGCGTCAAAGATCATGCTCTTAATATCAGAAATCAGCGTCCTGAACGCAGATTGCGCGGAATTCAAGGCGTCCCTCGGCGGCGCCTCGACCCTGAAACAAGGCGGCGACCTTGCGCTCGTCCTTGAAGAATCGCCCCTGGATCACAACTACCACACGCCTCTTGAACGGGCTGACAACATCGCCAATGGCCTTCGAGACTGGAAATGCCCAGCAGAGACCGCCAACGCGCCGCTTGCCTTGCTCAGCGAAACATATCGCAGCGCAAGCCTTATATACCTCGACCGCGTCGTACGCCAACACTTTCCACGGCGGGCGGCTGAGATCCTGCCGGAGGGGATTCGGGCGTATGTTGAGTCTGTGTGCCATGTCGCGCAAAAGGTGCCCGAGGGGTCTCTGGCTGAGTGCTCGTTGCTTTTCCCTCTGTTTATTGCGGGGGGCGAGGCACAAGATGCGTCGCATATCGAGCGTATCAGGGACAGGCTGTGCAGTATGAATAGGTGGAGGAGGTTTCGGAATGTGGATGCTTGTAGGGAGGTTTTGGAAGAGGTTTGGGCGAAAAGGGGTGAGTCGGGAGACGCAGAGAGGGTTGATTGGAGGGACATTGTTCGCCAAAGAGGCTGGCAACTTGCGCTTTCATAAAGGGCATGTGCTTATGTGCTTCTAAGGCGATGCTTAACCAGGGTCAAGATCGGTCATAAGGCACGAGTGTAGATGACTAGCTTCTGTATTCTGTCAAGCCTTTGCTATGGGACTGACATTGGACATCTGGGACAGTCATCTTCATATACTTGACTCTAGAGATACCGTCATATACTAGACTCTTGAGATATCTCCATATACCAGACTTTCGAGATGCATCCGACCCTGCCATACCCATGTAGCAGAGCAGCTATTGTAAGATGCCAACAATGCTGTTATATGCCGGCTTGGGGTTGAAGTTTGCGTCAAACAGAAGAGGGTTGGTGCTGGCACGCCACGAGTCCTAGGTAAAGACAGACAGCATCAGTTGTTGCTGCTTACAGTTGATAAGCACAGACAGGGGAAGCAACTTACCTTGTCACTGATGCCCCACACGGTGATGCCGACGCACTTGGAGACGCTCAGGCATGCTTGAACAACTTGGGTGTAATCCGTCGTCGGTGCCCCCTGAATGTCCAGCTCGGTAATGGCCAGCTCGGTGACGGGTACCGTTGCCAGCTGCTGGAGCGCACCCAGCGTACCAGAGCCTCCGCCGCCGCTGAGATGGGACTGGCTTCCTGTAGAGAAGGCTCTCGTGTCAGTCCCTGAATGGCTTCAAGCCTTGGCTCTAGAAAGAGACTCTAATGGGGGACATTTAGGGGTCGTGGCTCACCAATACCGTCAATGGGAACTCCTTGAGAGATCCACTTGGAGACGTAAGTCTTCAACCCGTTGACCTTGCCATAGTTGGCGCGGTCGAGATTGTAGTCGTTGATGTAAAGACGGGCAGAAGGGTCAGCATCTCGAGCAGCACGAAAGGCAATCGAGACAAACTCCTCGCCGAGGAGCCTGGAAAAGACTGAAGAGCGCAGCGTTCCATCCTCGTTGAAGATTTCATTGACCACGTCCTATCGCCATCACACACACAAGTCAGTCAGTAGTTGTCATCCTAAATTTCCTGTCGAATGTTGTATACGGCTATAACTGTGAGAAGTTCCAAGAGGAGGAGGAGCGGACTAAGAAAAGGGGCATGTGGTGTTCAAAACTCACCCAAGCACGAATCTTGCCCTTGTACCGCCCAACCACAGTAGAGACATGGGTGCGGATGACTTGCCGCAGAGTATCCGCGTTGTTGATATTGTTCACCCACGCAGGCAGCTGCGAGTGCCAGATCAGAGTGTGGCCGCGTATCGACTTGCCGTTTTGCTGGGCAAAGTTGACGAGATAGTCGGCGTCTCCCCAGTTCAGCTGGCCTTGGTTGTTCTCGAGCGACTGCCACTTCATGCTGTTCTCCGGCGTCACCTGGCCGAGGTCTGCCTGGATGATGGCCGCGTTCTTTTCCCGTTGGAGGAGGCCGCGGTCGGTGGCGGTGCCAAAGTAGAGCTTGCCTTTTCTCTTGATGAGCTGGTCGATGCTTTGAGAGGCTTGGCGGTCCCAGAGGTCGGCTGTTCGCTCGGTGAGGTTGGCGCGGAGAGCGGCGAGCTCGGGGTCGAGGTGGATGGTTTCGGTGGGGAGAGCGGCGACCAGGGGGGCCAGGAGGCACAAGATGACGTTTGCTTTCATATTGTCCGCCTCAATTGAAACTCAGTGGAAAGATGGTAGAAGTTTCGAGGTGAGAATGGCTCCTAGATGATGCGATGTATTCGGAGGATTGAGTCATGAGCCAGCTTGTCCGCTTGCTGTCTGACATCCATCAGGACTCAGAAAGATGATGCCAATTTATGGAAAATCGTCAAAGTTGTTGTATATCCTTTGATTTTCAATGTTTGATTGTATATGCGTAGCTGGCTAATAGCACATTGCATCCACCTATGTGAGTCCCCCAGATTCAGCCGCCTCGGGTATACACGAAATGTAACCAGGGCCTTTTGGTAGGAAGAGTAACCAGAGAGTTTAAATTTACCTTGTATCGATTTACTGAGGAGTTTAGACTTGTATAGTTGGGAAGAAAGAGCACAACATCGACCTCAGTCAAGACACCAGAGACTTGTGAGAAAGTTGTGCCCACGGGGCCATATGGCATCATTTTTGCCGCAATTAGCCATGCGAATTGGACAGTCAAAGTCAAGAAGTCAATTAACCGTCTTTCCAAGGAACGGCTACCTCTGTTACTACCCTGTCTGCGGAGATGAGCTTAGCATAACCCATCAGACACGCACGGAAAGAGACCTTTGCCCGGAGATTTATTAACCATAAATACTAGGTGCTTTTAAGTCTAAATACCCGGACTGAAATGGCAAAATTGACAGTGTCCTATATAGCCATCTTGACAGTTTCGGTCAAGGCATTGATCTGGGAAAGAACCCCCTCGTCCGAAGCCTAAAGAAGACAAAAGTCCCTTATATGCGGTTGTTACCATCACGGAGATGAGGAGACGGCATCCTGGGGAAGTTGAGACTTGCGCCATCAGGTGACCGGGATACTCGGGGGTTTTAAAGCACAGAGGGATTGTCTGCAGAGTCTTGAGGGCAAAATTGCAGAGACCGTCCAAAGGAGATATTTCTTATGTGGAGGTAAACTGGGAACATATATTCAACGTCCCCCCCTTATGTATATCAAGCACCATAGCGTGAGGAGACTGGAGACGGCGGCATGAACGTTTGATACGAATAGATTTTGTCAATCACGGAATTCTCTCTATTTCGCAGGCGATAACGTATGAATGAACCGCCAATTTCCTCGTCGCGTTACGGCGATGTCTCTGTCAATGCACTCATTGTAGTTGTGGTAACTGAAGCTTTGGTGTGACATACACGAAGCTACATGTACCTACCTTGTAACTTCTATCCATCCTCTCCCATTCCTCGACACATAAGTAGCGGCTACCTTTTCCATTATCTCATTTAGCATGTGCCCATTGATCTATCCACTTGTTTTACCTATATCATTCCCCGACTAGTACTGGCGTTTGTAGGTCACTCTGAAGCTTTGTTTTTTTCCTCATCCTCAAGGTATTCATATCAATCTCGCAGCCTACCATGGGGACAACTGGTCAACACTCAAGGAACAGCCTCGACTTGGATAGCCTTGGATCACCCAAGGCGATAAAAACATTTGAATTTGTCAACTTGTACATCACTGTACTGCCTCGTTTTACTTGAACAATTTCTCCCTATGTATTTGCAACGTCGATGATAGCACTCCATCCTTTATACGCCATGACGGTAGAGGAGCCATCTCTTCCGCAACACTTTATCGGGGTCTCATGGGCTCAAACATTGGCTCCTGTTCTCCGTAATAAGCATGCAAGACATGGGGCAGTGGCTTTGCCCAAAAAAGCCTGAGAGTGAATTGAGCTGTGGCAAGTGAGTTGACTTCTGCCTCTTAGATCTTCTTGAGAGTTTGTTTGTATTATTACCTTCCAGGTTGGTGTTGTAGCACAGGTAGGTACACGTACATGTAGGTACCGTAGGTAGGGAGTTGGCTTGCAGTTGACACCCATGAACTTGTTTAGCCGGCACTCGGCATTCGGTTAGCCGGCACTCGGGGTGTGGCTGGGTAGAACGCCAGACGCGTCGGATTTTGCGAGCATCTGCTTGGATCCCTCGGTGCCCAACACCAAGCAAAAAAGCAACCTGCACAAAGACACACACATATACACACACACAACTGACACACTCTCTTATTCCCTTCTACTCTTACAGCGATTCTTACGAGATCGATAGCAACGCACACCACAAATGGATCCCGTCTTCGGCCGCTCATTTGGCACCTGGGAAGAAGCCGTGGCCCACGTCAAGGAGGTCGGCAAGCTCAACGGCTACGACCTCGTCATCCACTCCAAGCGCCCCAATGCCACCACGATCCGCACCGTCATCATGCGCTGCGGCAAGGGCCGCTCGTACACGTCGTGGGCAAGGCAAGACGTGCACGAGTCCAAGCGGAGGAAGACGACCAGCCAGAAGACGGGCTGCCCGTACCGCGTCCGGGTCCGGCTGTGCGACAAGCCCGGAGGCTCAGGCGTCGCGGCATCATCATCATCGTCGTCGTCGTCGTCGTCGTCGTCGTCGTCGGGCAGCGTCTGGTGCCCGGAGCGCGTGGACAGCGCCAGCGCCAGCCAGCACAACCATCCGCCGCTCGAGCCGGGGGCGACGCCCGGGCTGAGGAAGGACGGCCTGCTGCGGAAGAAGGCCGAGATCGTCTTTGCGTGGAAGTGCGGCATCAAGCCGCCGCAGATCCTCAAGCAGCTGCAGACCGATGCCGACCCCGACGTCAGGCTCATCACGCGGTCGGATGTGTACAATCTCCTTCGTCGCCATCAGCGCGATGAGCGCGAGCTGATTCCGTGACGCCCCATGTCCAACTACGGTACAATACAAGCAGCTCCTGAGCGTGAAAAAGAAAGAAATTCGCTGTCAAGGATCCAGGTCTCTAGAGATGGAGAGTCGGAAGCATCAACAGCTATTGTGGCCTGGACCCTCTCGGCAGTTGAGCTGATCACCATGTTGTTCGCCAAACTTGGCGCTGCTGTCGTTGCCGGAATCCAAGAACTGGACTATTCAGTTATCACTTGGCAATCACAAACGCAATGATTCTCTATCGCTGAGAAGGATTCGAAACCGGAAGTGACGATAGTTGGTATTAGCAACAGAAACCATGGGATCAGAAGGAGAGGGGTACTCTTATGTGCCATGTCGACACATGTTCTAAACATGGGGTTGGGGGCGATGAAGCGACGGCGTCAAAAAGGTCTCAGAGCCTCATGGCCTTCTTTCTGGCTCTCCCAGACCCCATCTCGCTTCCATCGACCCCTGTAATACGACCCTGAGCAAGCCTTTTCAAAAAGAAACAAGAAAAAAAAAAAAAAAGCTGCCAGAAGATCGGCACAGTTCGCAAGCGATGAGGACCGGGGCTGCGCGCTTTGGCGAGCCAGCCATGCCCCTTCTTGTGTCGCCCCAACTGCGATGGTCAATCAGACAGCCTTTTAATACATACAACGCTGTTGCCTTTCGCCCCCCTCCCCGGTCTTTCTAGGTGGAGGCCTTGATAACTACCGAGCTTCATGCAGGCTTCATGATCCTTCATATGCGACTGCTCAACCCAACCACGCAGCAGTGAGTGGATGGCAATTCTTTGCTCAACCTTTTACGCTCTTGATGCATCAATAGCATAACCGAGGTCTGCCGTTTGGCTTTACACGCTTCGCTCTCCACGAGGCTTGTCCTATAGGGGGGAGGCAAAGACACAATCTGCAGTAGAACCACCACCCAGATCTAGCCGATCCATGCGCAGCCTTGCCGTGTTTCACACCAAGACAAGCGTGAATCCTCCTGTGAGGCATTCTTTCCAACTGCCGAGTCCCCGATTGGCCGCCGGCTCTCGTCGTCACGCTGGAAGCGCTTCGAGCTTGAAGACTTGTCGACTTGCCCGCATACAGTATACGGGGGTAGTACGATAATATACCCCGAGTCGCACCACATGGGGTAGCAGCTCGTTCTGCAAGGTCGTTGCAACAGAATCGCCCCCTCTCCAGCTTATATAAATCAGCATTCGTCCTGCCAATTGACTCCCTTCTTTGTTGCAGGTCAATCTGGTTTACGTCGAGGCTCTCGACAAGGACGATGGCGCTGATCAAGGCACACTGGGCCGTGCCCTGCTTGATGGTCAGCGGCCTCGTGTGCGGTGTAGCCTTTGCCATCGGCCACCACTTCTTCTACGCGTCTCTGGACTCGCGCATCGTGCAGAGCAACGCTGAACAGGAATGGAACATCCGCATCGGAACCGGCATGGCCTTTCTCGTCAAAACATGCCTGACGGCGGCTGCTGGCTTCGCTTACACGCAGCTCCTATGGACAACCTTGCGGTCCCGTCACGCAACGTTGGCGGGCGTGGACGCCATGTTCGGCGTGACGACCAGTGCTTGGGAGTTCCTGAATTCGGAGCTCTGGCGAAGGGGTTTTGGATTGGTGCTCCTGGCAGGAATACTGTGGTTCGTCCATTTGCGCCGTCGCCCGGCAGCTTTGTGTTGGCTAATGTGGTCCGTTATCTGTCTTTGCACGCATACAGGGCGTTGCCCATCATTGCCGTCTTCACCCCTGCAGCCCTTACGGTTCAGCCGTCCCAGCAGCTTAATGAGTCGGTACTCGTCCAGCACCTGCCCACCATCAACACGACCAGCCCGTATCCGTTTGCGCAGTGGGGGAACGAGGGCGGTGCCGGATACGTAGCCCCTTCGGTGGCCGTCGCCAGACTGGTCTCGTCTGTCGCTTCTCAGGGGTCCGTCCTCGCTATAGAGGCGCCGCATCCCAACAGCTCCTACTCCTTGAGCTTCTACGGTCCTTCGCTATCTTGTGGTCCGCTGGGAGGCAACGCCACTTTTCATGCTGCCTACGACGAGACTTTCAAAGAAGCCTATGGCTCAAACTGGGGAATGTCGAACCAAGCGGTCACCTACTTCAGTTTCGTCCCTCAGACGGCACGCGACAACAAGACGGGTGAGACAATCATCAACTGGGAGAACAGGACACTGAGTGGTCTACGCGCCATATTCGATCCTTCTGAGGACTTGACCGGCAACTTGGCCACGCTTGACAATACCGCGAAGGTATCAGACACCCAAGCTCGTTGCCGGTTCTTTGTTGCTTTCCCGACATATGGGTCGTTTGCCAATAGAACGATAGAATGCGGTCTTTACAACTCGTCGTACCACGTGGATCTCCGATTTGAAAACGGCAAACAAGCGATCAAGATTCGCAACTCGACAAGGCTCAACCCGGTGAGCGTTGCCACGACCGCTGGTCAGGGCGACCATGTTCTCCCCCAAGTTGCCTATGTATCCATCATGGATGCACTAGGCGGCACTCTCATGGGAAAGATTATTGCCACGCGGTATGGATCTCTTCAGCCGATACGCACTCAGATGCTTTCCACCGTCCTCACTCAAGCCCGCGACATGCAAAACCTGCAGAGAGGGTTCGGAAACACGGGCATCCTAGGAGCCAAATCGGGAAGCGGTACGAATCTTACCATGGCAGAGACCCTGGAGCAACTCGTATCCAACATCACCTTGAGCCTCTTTAGCAATTCAGAGCTGCTGTGAGTCTCACTATCCGCTTCATGGGAATGACGACCCAGTCCCGTATACCAGCCATGACTGACAATCATCAGGAGGAGCGTTGGCAACAGCACGATGGGGAATGTCAAAATATGGACCTCGCTGAACGAGTATTCCTACAATCCGCGCAATCTTTACATAGCATACGGCAGCGGCATATTCGTCACGCTTGCAGTAGTGATTGTTGGGCTCGCGTGCATAGGGGCGTCGTCCAACGCGTACAAGTCGTCCTTCTCGACTATACTGCGGACGACACGAAACGAGGAACTCGATCTGCTGGTGCCTCCTGGGGAGACTAGCGGCGCAGAGCCGCTGTCGAAGGATTTGGCCGAGACGAATCTGAGCTTTCGACATCACGCTCCTCCGCCGGGCGGCGGCGCCAACTCATCATCCTCGACAAAGGGACCGGCAGCATTTGTGGTTGTCAAGGGAGAAGGGCCCGCTTATGAGCAATTGGGCCAGATGCAGGATGACTCTACACTTCAAGCCACCGACACGGCTTCCAGTCGAGATGCAACAAGTCACAGTGGCTAGAGAGTCGACACTGGCAGAACCCTTTGAATAACTACTATCATTGAGCAACGTACAAAACAGAGAGCGCCATTGTGATCCACAGATGGGCATACAGACAGAATCCCCCCAAGTCGTTTAGAGGATTTAAAGAAGAAAAAAGGTGCACAATCCACGTGTAAAGTCGAAAGGGAAGCTTTGCGCTTCGTGGGGAGATTTCCATTCGCCTTCATCTTGGGAGGGACGTAAACAATTCTTACATATATGCGGTTATCGACCTGAGCTGGGTCCTCTCTCGTCCGCCACCCTGAGTGGGTCGCTTTGGGTGAGTCTTCTTGAGCCATAAGGTGGTTACAGTCAGTCTCTTTGTCCGCAATAAGATTACGATTTAGCACTCATACCCCCGATAATACTGCCCCCCCAGTAGAAGAGTTTTCTCTTTCTCTTCGAGGCAGCGGTCGTATCTCTCCTTGCTGCGTTCACCCAAATCTCCTCCTCACAGGATTCCAGACGAGTGGGCGCTCCCAGGATCACCTCGGCATGTTTCCCTTTTACAGCTCGTGGCCGTGGGCGCTGGGTTATCCCTCTGGGAGCCATGGTTTGGCATATCCTCGGGGCACAGCACCAGAGCTTGGATAAGGGGCTGGAGAGGCTGGGCCCAAGTCCGCCCTGAGCTGAGCACTATAAAGCGGGAATATTTTTTTTTTCTTGATACTTGCAGTCTAAAACAAAGAATCCACAGGCTGTTTAACTGGATAGCGGTAGACAGCTAGATGTCGTATACCATTTACGAGATAGAAACAATCTGTCTCGGGTTGTTAAAGTATTTTACCTAATGACTGGGAGCGGTTTGATAAACTCATTGTGAACTACGACCAGTGGGAAAATCTCAAGTTGGGGGGCTGAGGACGTTACTGTCCTTCCTTTCCCTACCTAGTTCAAGAAAGCGGAAAAGATCGGAGCAGGTCTTCTCAGCGCTATTATGACGTCTATACTTATGAACCTCCTTGACATAGCTTCAACCTTCGTCAATCGCAGTCCTACGTGATACTCCATGATATTACAGGAGCCTCCCCCCCCCCCCCCCCTCCCTCCCTCCTTTTTTTTTTTTTTTTTTTTTTACCTTTTTGCAGCAGCAGCAGCAGCACCTTGCAACTAATCCACCATTCTCCGCCTTCGGCACCATAGTTGGCATGTTACTGCAGTGTCCCCTCAAGGCTCTTCACGACCAACAACTCCAGCCATGAGAATAGGCTGCTCAAGAACGTACCACATGTACCACCATACTCGGACCGGTTTGCACTAAGGATCGGAAGGATCATTCTGTGCTGCTAAACGATTGGGGGATGAAGTCACCTGTTATACGTTACGATGCCTCCCTCAAGGGTGGATTGACTTGGGTTTGCTGCTGAACCCCTGAGCTTCTGCCTATGCTGGATGGCTTGTAGTAGCTGGACGAAGTGTTAGTTCGGGCCATCCGGATAGCCGCCGATTCTTTGTTGATCAGGTCCAGTCGATTCTGTATAGCCACAAGTAAAAGGGTTAATTTCATGTGCTACAGAGTTATTTTAGGCTTCTTGCGAGACTCCAGTCGGGGTACACGCATGCAGCGCCCCAATTTGGTTTCATACCTTGATTATACGCACCTCTGCTGCATCGTGAGTTGGATCAAGTGCATGCGACGTTCAGAGATACTCTTCGTCGCGTGCATTGTGGTTTACGTTCCCTTACAGACCTGATGTTTTCTAAGCGGCTGTACGCCAAGGCCTCAATGGATTGTGTCATATAAGATATTCGTCCAGCCCGGTAACGGGGCAAACATAAAAGACTTGGGATATACCGCGTATGGTATTCTTATTCTTTACTGAAGAGTTATCTACGTGCTGTTTCACATACCACGACAACATGCCTTCACCTGACTTTGGCGAAGAAGCCTCTGTCGCTGCTCCCTCGCCGATATCCGTCCATTCCACGCCGGCTGAACTTCAAGTGGCTCAACCGCCAGAAACAATAATTGCCCAAGCATCTGAAGCACCGGATCAGACTCCAACAGTACAAACGGAATCTCATCAGTCTGTGGTTCAAGTCGGGCGATGTAACATAACGGCAGCATCAAGGACAGCAGAAAGGCTCGATGCGTTTGACCTCGGGACACTGGTCCAAAGTCTAGAAGAGGAATCGCGCTCATACCCAGACGCCCGGCTTGTGGTCACCTGTCCTCCCGCTATCGACCTAGTTTTCGACAAGGACTCGGCAGTTACTCCCCTTCAGCCAATACTTGGCGGCTATTTGGCGTTTGCTGTTGCACAGGGCTACGAGAAGCCTATGTTTCAGTTTCGTCTACCGTACCGTCAGATTGCCCCTGAGGCGACCTCTCCCTTTGAAGAAGCCGACTGGAAGATCATCTATAATCCGACTAACAATACCTGTACTTTGGTCCATTCCGTGACTCTTGAGCGTGGAGAGACAATACTCCTGACCAACATGGACAATCCACCTGCCAGGATACATGTACCCCGCGGGCAGCCTTGCGTTCTGAGTAAGGGCTTTTGGAGAGCTTCCGCAACGGTCAGCGGTATGGATGATGTCTCGGAGTATGATGTTACTTATATATTGGTACTCGATAGAAAGTTCAACGTCCACATCTTCCCGGGTCCGGACTTGGGAAGCCGGAAACGAGGAGTGTCCAAAACCATCGAAGACCAAGAGAGGTCACTCAAGCGTCAAAAAATACATCACTCTCCACGAATTGGCATCGACGTACGAGCAAACCCAGAACAATCACTTTGCAATGCCAATAAGTGTAAAAACACCGTTACTTCTCGACGGATAATGAGCAAAGCCCTTACTACGATTCTAGACCTAGAGGACGGATACGTCGCTTCGATATCAGGGTCAGTCAAAGGAGGACTAGAGCCATACGAACTACGCCAACGTTGGAAGTGTCCGAGCGATAAGTACGCGAGCATGTCTATTTCTAGGCATTCAAGAATGCCCGAAGATATTGTTGTGAAGGTATTCCTTCACGACCACCATGGGTCTGATCTTCGGCGAGTTACACGAGCCTGGACGCGGGAGAAGACCACCCTACAACCGTTGGACCACGTGAGTTTCTACCCTTTTCAATCTGAAAACAGCAACTCATCTCATCTGTTTGCAAGAACAATATCGTCAAGCTCAAGGGCTTTGATGCCCGCCTATTGGCCATTCACTACGAGTTTCTTCCTCGATCACTGGTACGTGGCAGTTGGTCGTCTCTTCCACCAGATGATGCCGAGATAGTCTTGTTTCACATGTCGTCCGCCCTTGCGTATCTCGCCGCTCGGAATATCGTTCACAACGACGTCCAGCCAGCAAACATTGCCTACGCCAATAAACGCGCCGTGCTCTTCAACTTTGACCTTGCGTCTCTCTCCGGAAGCGCAGTAGAGGGTAGGTCGCCCTGGTACCTCCCACCAGAGCTCCGTAGAGGAGGGGCCTGCAGCTGCGCAGCAGATGTCTGGTCTCTAGGCCTTACGATGCTCTATCTGCTTGGCAAGATGTCTCTTCCGGGTGACGAGGAGGAATACGGTGTTCGCAGAGGAAGAGAATTAGGAGGCGACGCGCAAAAAGCGTTGGATAGCAGGATGCAATGCATTGCTGAGTGCCGAGCCAGATTAGAGAAGGACGACGCCGTTGAGTCTCTTGTTTTCCAGATGCTCGAAGAAGATGCCGCGTCACGGATCAAGGCAGCAGATATGGAACCAATACTGGAGAGACGAAACTTGAAACGGGGACTAAAGTCATCGTTTTCGTATCATGGATAGCGCGAATTCAGGTTGTTTATGGGGTAAACCAGAGTACATAAGGTACTACCATATAGCTCGTGCGTGTCCAAAAGGAGATGGAAGAGTCAGAAGACCATACATGTGAAGATGTTAGACTGTAACGGGCAATAGGACAATACAAATCTGTCATTTGGTCGCCTCGGTGCACATGAGGGATATGTATCATGTCGACGACGACACTGCACCTCGTGTCTTACTGGCTTGGCTGTTTTCTCATCCGAGAAAGCTGCTCAACTATTTGTATCTCATCGCACCCAACTCTTCCAGCATGACAACCGTGTATAAAAGCCCGATTGTATTTTTCCAATGCGGCCCTCCGATGCCCTACAGCGCGGTTCCGCCACCTTTTCATACTCCGGCTCTACAGTCAGTCGATAAGCATTGTGTCATGAGATCGAACGTGGCCTGCCGAAACTGTCCAGTTCCCATAATGTAGATGCTCGATTTCGACCTCTTGACCTTGTGTTTATTACGCCTGGGGCAGGCAACTGTGTACCTTGAACGCGTGGTGCTGAGACTTTCTCTTTACTCCTTTGCCGACATCCATCCTTGTTGCCATACACTTCGGACTTGGCTTCAGCCTCTGGCTCAGGAGACGTTTTCAGCTTGCAACGTTTATAATCCCTGCTACCGCCATCGCTATCGTAACTCTGGTCACTGTCGTAGTCGCGTCTGGCTCGTTTCGTAGTGGCGCGATCATTCCGCGGTTGCTGTGAAGACAAAGAAGCGCAGGGCTCTGGAGAACACGCGAGAGCGCCTTGCGGTCTCTGACGATTGTAGTCATGGCTTCCTGTATCATCTATAGACCCTGTGCCGGTGAGATCTTGTCCCGTCGCCTGCTGAGTGGTCAAGGGGCTATGAGTGATGGTTGGAGCCGCCAAGCTGTCCTGAATGCGACCTCGATGGTGGCGATCGTCAACCTCAGGGCTTCCTTTGGCATGTTTCCTAACCCAGAGTTGAGCTTTACGTGAACAAGTCTAATAAGAAAGAACACGATACTCACTTGTTTTCGTTTGCCTGTGTTTCTTCATTCCCCACAGAGGCGCCGCCTGGCAGAAGCGGTTGTCGCTTCTTGGCTGATGGACCATCGTCGGCAGTTTCACGGGACGTTGATACTGCAGGTTCGACAGTATCCTTTGACGTGGCTTCTCCAGGTTGCTGGAAGAACAAGACGCCCAAGGGCGTCACGCATGCCGCCATTTCCTCTCGGGACTTTGGATCATTCCACTCTGCTCTCTCCTCCTGTTCGTAGATCCAGTAGCCATAGTCGGACCCAGAATAGGAATCACTGGACTGGGTGGCCCCTTCGCCCTCAGAGGGGTGGCCATCAGATTGCGCATCATGTACTGCATCCGCTTCCCAGCCAAAGGCGATGCCTTTGAGTAGCCGTGCGAAATCCTCGAGGGCACCGGTCTTGCAGACAGCACACACCTTTTCTGCAGCATCTTCACATGGCATTTCTCTATACCTCTGATATGCTCGAACATCAGCCTTGTCCAGCAATTCCAACAACTCCCCCATCCGCTCTTTATTTCTCTGGCTGTAAATTCGCTCAAATTCCTCTTTACTGCCTCGAGCAAGCTTCGCGATTTCCAGAGCGTAGTTGAAGTAATCCGTCTCCCCAAAAATGGGGATTTGTACGGTGTTGAACCGCTCCCAGTAGGAGCCCCAGAGAAGATCCGAGTCTCCCACCCCGTGTTTCTCCCATTTTCTGATATGGCTCATGCGATAAGGTTTTCCCGGCGTCTCAAAGGGACCCAAACCGTATGCGCCTCGTGGGCGCGGAGCTCGAGGGGGACGTCGAGGCATCGCAGGAGTGTAAGTCGGTCTCACCGCAGAAGGTGCTGCTGGAGAAGGTTGACAACACACTTTTGCGGAGGCAACTATATGTATATCGCTTTGTGAATGATGAAGGAGGCAAATTCGAGGATTGTCCGACAAAGCGAGGAGGAGCTGGCAGGTGGAACGGCCGACTGTACCACATGCCTGTCTTCGGGAGATGGGTAACTTTCATCAGGTACCTACTTATATTAAGACAAGGCATCTAGGCCTCTTCCTGGTGCTATTGATACCTTGCGTGTCTTCATTTGATGAGTGACAAGGGCGCACCCAAATCCTGTGTCGAAGTGAAGGGCGTTTGCTCACGCCGGTCACATACAAGGAAGCACTCCGCGAGAGAATCCCGTTGATCTCGCTAGGATGAATCACAGTAGCAGAATATATAGGCATGAAACATACTGTTGCTTAGGGTCGTTTGCTCGCGTGGTTCCTGGTGCCTTTGTTCTTTGTTTGTGCGATACATATATGTAAGTTAGACCGCTTACTTCATAGTAGTCAAAATTGGCATCACATTCCAATGTAGGTAGGTATGTCAAACCGAGCTTCAAACATCCCGCCAGACCAGAAACTAGATCCCAATAGGTCTCTACCTTGGTTCCAGCTTCAAGTCAGGGGCTGCCTCTTTGTCGAGACTTCACATTTTACTCACAAAAGTACTACAAAGTGAAAGAGAGCAGCGAGCACAGTTTGTCTCTACAGTTTTCTATCGAGCATTGTCTGCCAATGTCTGACCAGAAAGAGCGCCTCGCTTCTGGGTGCACTCGACAAGATGCAAGAAGCGACTACAACCAAGTGTCACCCTGGATGGGTGGCGCCGTCCAATTTCGAGACACTTGACCAAGCACTCACTCAGGGGATTGCCGTGCACTTGTGACACACCCTCGTATTCCTGCCATCAGGGATTTTGCTGGGTGGCTAACAACATCTTGCTGAAGGATTTCAGACAGCCGTGTTGGTCAGCGTCTTCCTTTCGCCGTGCGTAGACATTTGTGGTGGTTGCCTCGAGAGAAGTTTGTCTGACAGAATCGGTGCTTGCTCCTTGACCGCTATTTGGGACCGAGTTCGGAGCTCTCCCGACATTGAGGTGTAACAGTCGGGTTGTCTGTGTATCACGGCAGGCGGCGGCGAATCAAAATTGAATAGGGGTGGCGGGTCAAACCAAGACGCGCGCGCGTCCTTGCTGTTACACTACAGCATGTGCAAACAGAGCAGACATGATCTACGCGTAGGTAACAAAGGTCGATTCATCACATTCGCTATGTTTCGTGTGACTTTCAGTTGTTCTCTTCCTTTTGTTTGTTTGTTGCCTTTGTTTTGCTTTGCTGCTTTGTCGCGTGTAACGCCGGCCACATGCAGATGCCAAGAATCAGGGGCTGCGCATGCATTTTCGTCACTGCTTGTAACTATCCAGGTGCCTACAGCCTAGTAGAGCTTTGAGAATCTGATATTGTAACAATCAATAATCAACGGGTTCTCTCATGGATGGGTAATAGTTCTCGTTCTATTGGCGTACTAATTGAATCACTAGGCCTAGAGATCTTGGTATCCTAGCACACGTGTATGTCCATGAAGCCATGATACTATGACGGCGGTAAAAGACTGGTAATAAGACTATTGAGGTCTGGAGACTGTAAAATAAAAAAGACCTTGCCGTATACTGGACCTGGGAGAAGAGTGCAATTCAAAGGCGTTGCAACCTGCGATGTATTACCCATCTACACTCGGCCGAGGTCCGTCAGTATCTGTCGTTACTATACCTCTGATGGAAATGCCATAATCCAGACTTTCCCCGAGGCACAGCCTATTGCTAAAGTTGACATGCTGCTTACAGCACTGCAAGTTGGCCGCCAATCCTTTGGCAGCCAAAGCCGCTTGTCCCCTTTGTGCGTGATCCAGGAGAGGCCGTCGGTGAATCCATAGCCATCGACATGGAATTGACCCTCATTTGTCGCCCTGGTGAACATGCCGATATTTGTGACGATGCTTAAGTCATCACAGGTAAAAGATAGTTGGGATATCGACGAGTTGCCAGTATCAAACGCCTGGATGCGCTGCCCCGTATGAGTCCGCCATAGTTGGATCTTGCTCTTTGAAGCAGAGGCCACGAGCGTCGAATCGTGCGATAGAGCCACCGAGTCAAAACACACATCACGACCCCCCCACATCTGGTGACACTCTTTCGTATCAAGCCTCCATAGCTGGAGGCCGGTGGTCGAAGCAGCGACTATAAGCGACGAATCGTGCGAAAAGGCCACTCCGTTGAACAGCCCCTCTCGATGTCGGGACCTCCTCGTAGACGGTCTAGGCGGGCTTCTGATTTTCAGATAGACCTCACCTGTGGCAAAGTCCCATAAACGAATCCAGGCCCCCGACGTGCTTGCAAGAAGCTTTGAGTCGTGCGAAAAGGTCACGGAAGTCACAGAGCCCTCATGGTCTCCAAGTTCTTGTTCATGCTCACCTCTCTCGACGTCCCATATTGTGACCGTCTCTTCCTGAAGAGAAACGGCCAGATACAGCGAATCATTCGAAAAGGCTAAGCAGGTCATAGGACAAGGTTCTTGGCGCGGAGAGACGTCGGAGACGGTCCGGCCCTGGAATCGTCTCATACACTCGCCGGTATCAGTGCGCCATATCTGGACGGTGTGGCCGTATGAGACAGATGCCATAAACGATCCGTCCTGAGAGAAGGCCACAGAGACTATATGGCCGCTATGGTCAAGGATATCAGTTGCGTCAGGGTTTATAACGGCACCTGCGGCCTCGTTGTGGCGAGCCAATTCCGGCACTAGATTGACCTGCCAGAGTTGGATGGAGTGGTCTTCTGAAGCCGATGCTATGGTGGACGAGTTATGCGAGAATGCCACAGAGGTAACTTCAGAGCCCGGATTATGGAACTCTTGAACGCATTTCATTGCAATGGTGCAGTGTAGCCGAATGGTGTGATCGTCTGAAGCCAAGGCCATGAGTGATGCGTCGTGTGAGAAGGCTATAGCAGTCACAACGCCCGGATAGTCTGCATATTCCTGGATCAAGTCACCTCCTTGCGTTTTCCAGAGCTTCACTGAGCAGTCGTCGGAAGCTGATGCTAAGAGCAACGCGTCATGCGAAAAAGTCATGCACATGACACGCCCCTTATGACTGTCTAGTGTGCGTATGATGCGGCCAGAAAGGAGTTGCTTGATTGACCCAGTGTATTTGGCCAGTGCTGTATGCAACTCGTCCCCTTGTTCGGAGTGAGTAAATGCCAGACAGTTGGCCGTGAAATAATTAAAGATGGTACTCTCATAGTCTTTCACATATATAAGCCCGTCGTTGGCGGTCTGGGCGCGCCAGACAGAAATCACACCGCATTGTGAAACCGATGCTATAAGTGTCGAATTGTAGGAGAATGCCACAGACTCAATCTTCATGCCACCACTGTCAAGTGTTTGGATGCATTGGCCGGACTCAGTACGCCACACGCGGACAGTCGAGTCTCCTGCACCCGATGCCACATGCAATGAGTCATGAGAAAAGACTACGGCATACACAGGACGAGAGTGGCCCTTCAGAATCACGGCCTCGTCTGTATCGATGCTCCAGAGTCGAACAGTGTGATCTCTCGAAGCGGATGCCACACGCAGTGAGTCGTGTGAAAAGGCCACACACAGGACTGATTCGGTGTGGCCTTCGAGGATTTGCATGCGATGATTCCAACGGCTCTCGACTCTTGGCTTGGGAGATACCTGGATACACATGGATCCCACGAAGAGCCTCTTGATGATACTTTCGTCCGGAGCAAATAGAATGACGGAAGAGTACAATTGGCGAGGCTCGTCGATGATGATTTGCAGATTGGCTCGCAGGATACGCAGAGCATCACCTACGAAAGCAGAGAGCTTGCCTTTGTCGTCGTTTATCTGCAAAAGATCAACCAAGTCAGCATTTCCATACATAATGCGAAAGATGTCTCATGATAGGCGCCGCTTGTGATGGTGCTGCTGCTTACCTGAGGAAGAGTTTGTAGGGTCTTCAGCATTTTGATGCTCTCTGGCACTTGATGCATCTCGCTCAACACCTCAAGCCAGTGTAGAAAATGTTTCTCGAGAAACAAAAGAGCGCCTCCATACACGTCATGGCCACCGCCCTTTGCTCCTTGAAGATGGAAGACCCAATGTAGGCATGCGTACCGGACTGCGGCAGTCTGTACCTCATTGCTTGCATCAGCCTCCTCACAATCCATCATGGACACTTCCCCACCTAACGGTTGCAAGTCAGGCTCGAAGTACTGGTTCATTACGTGCAAGCACCGAGCTGCTATTGCGCCATGAGCTTTTGCTTCGTCAATCCAGAAAGTATGCCTCTTCTTCGCCTCTCTCACCAGAAAGTCGCCGAAAGACACATGTAGTGGCCTGACAGGAGCTTCATCTGACGGCGGGATGTCCAAGACAGAGCGAAGCATGTTCAATGTGATGTCAACTCTTTCGAAGGGGAGCCCAAGGAGCTTCGCCAGGACAGGCATCGGTAAAGGACTTCCAAGGAGGACGATGGAGCCCACAATGCATCGGAACTCTTCTAGAAACGTATCGCGCCCTTCTTTTGCAATGCTGGCGAGCAGCTGGTTAAGCAAGAGCAGATAAGCTTCGTCAAGCTTGGTCTCCGGTCTCGTCTTCGAGTTCTCGGCCTTCCATCCCAAGACTTTGCGTAGTTGGGAATTGGGATATCCGCAACGTATATCATCAATGAAATTGCACATCATGGCGGCATAGACGAAGAGCGGGGTTGCCATTTCTGCCAGGGCATCGATGTGATCCTGCCGAGGCCAGCTTTGGTCGAGGGGGGCCCGGCGCTGCTTGGTTCTGTTGAACCTGTCTCTGATTTCATTCAGTCGGTACGTTATCAGAACCTTTATGTCCTGCTTGATCATAGTCCGTGGTATAGCATTGAAAGCCACATCCTGAACCTGTCCTTTGATGTTGATGAATCCTTGGTAGATCGGGAACTCCGGCCGACTGGTGACAAAGACTCTGAGCCATGGCTCAGCAAGGCTCAGGAGACGAAGAATCTCGGTTGCGTCATCCTCCTGCCCGCATTCGTCCAGAGCATCGACAATTATGACGACCTGCTTCCCCTTCCAATTCTCTTTGGGAAGTGCGGATAGAGGCCGCAAGATGAGCTGGTAGAATTGCTCTTCCACCCCCTTGCTGCCAATGCTGGGATCGGTGCGGGCTGCGTCTTTGATGGAATCGGCCATAGCGGGCTGCATTCTTGCAAGTTGATCAGCAATCGTGGTGAAGAACCTTGCCGCGTTCTGACGGTCACTGTGGCCTCGCTTGAAGAAGAAGCTTGCTCCAAGACGACCGGCTCTATACAGTGACTGGGCGATTGTCCGCGAGACAGTCGACTTGCCCGTCCCAAGCATTCCATTCAACCAGAAGATGGGCTTCCCGTCTTTACTACCGGCCCAGTCCAGAATCTGCTGGATCAGCTCGACCCGAGTCCCTGGTAGGCAGGTCGAGTTGTGCGATTCGTCATAGGAGTTAAAGGCAGCGCTCCCTACGATGCAAAATTCGGTTGAACGAGAGTCTGTTATGGCGTCTATCTTTCCATCTACTCGGGCTATCTCATCATGGACTTTGGCCTTGTCAAACCTGGGTTCATACATCTAGGCCGGGGAAAACTGACTCTGTGCTAATCGCTTGCCGATTCTTTCTACCTCGTCGACCTGCGAAGGAACAATCTTCCGAAGGAGAGCTTTTGCGTATGCAGCCGCAGTCATTGCTGCATATCCTTGCCACTCCTTGTTCTTATGCGAGTCGGAGTAGTCACTAATGCCCCTGATGACGAGGCAAGGGAAGTGGTTCATGAGTCCTGCTGCTTCCATCTCAAAACACAGCACATTCTTCTGTCCCACAAGCTTGTCCCTAATCATGGCATCCTTCATCACCTGATTTGCGGAAGCAATGATGCCGTAGTGGACGGCCGGATTGCTCTCTGCTGCCGTTCGCTCATGACGAGAGACCAACTTCCAGGGATCGTCAAGACAAAGTTGCGCGCAGCTGCCAGCGACCGGTGGATGGACCACATCACTGCGAAAGAGCTTGTCGCTGCTGGGATCTGGTCTGCCGAATTCCGGCACCAATCTTTGTCTCTTCAGTAACACATCGTTGATCGCTTCTTCCAGCTGGTAGCCACCAGCAAGTCCTTCACTCTCGAGTGCGCTGATGGCCGTTCGAACGACCGTTGGTGGCTGATTCAGGTATCCGGTGTATTGAAAAGCTTGATCTTGCATCGTCTTGCCGTAGTCGTATTGGAAAACTGCCCCTTTTCCCTCCCTAACCATGCTGACAACAACATCGCCCAGGCGAATGTCATGCTCACTGCTTGGAGCGCCGCCACCGACGCCGACCATGAGCCCGAACCTGATGTTGGGAAAGCTGTGCACCATGTCTCTTGCGACAGTGGCCGCGGAGGTCGTCCCATACTCCCCAGCAGGTAGGACCGCGATTACAACGTTGTGGCCTGCCATACTTCCCAGCAGATAACTATTGCTATCATGTTTGGCGACGTAGCTAGGGCTTTTATGTTCCGAGTCGAGAAAGGCTCTTGCAGCAACCAGCTCCTTGGAAAGGGCGCAGATCCATCCAACTGTATAGCGATTGCGGTCCGGCATGGCAGGAATATAGTAGTAGAGACTGAACCGAAACTGTAGCAAGGCTGAAGTTGCAGATGCTTGATTATCGTGAAGTATGTCGTATCAATGACAGGAGCTGTCAGATAGGACAGGTCAAAGGATTATACATAAACTTTAGAGGCAGTAATGGAATATCTTTGCCATAACTACCTCCCACTCTAAACTTCATCAAGCACAGTTGGGCGGAGATTAGCTGCAGCTATTATCGTCTTGGCTGCATCACTGTATCACTCACAGAGAAGTTGGGTGAGTAAATAGGACGGGTGGCTGCTGATTTATCGGGTAGAATAGATTGATGTTGGTTCCAGTGCAGAAAGGGGGGAGCCAAAAACAGAAACTGTCATTGATATATTCATGCAACTATTGCATTGGTCTCTATGACTCTAACACCATTGTGACCACACGGCCACCACATCCCAAGATTAACTGAGATGGTGCCAGAATAGCACACGACGGGCGGTATTCAGGGGGGAGCCACAGCACTCTCTTCAAACGCCTCGTCAACCAGGATCCATCAGGCGAAATGCCATACTCCTTCAGTAAAGAGCCCCTGACTTCTTCACTGGGCATATCCTTGTGGACCACGAGCTCTCTGTTGAAAAAGCTCGGAGACAAGTGGAAAAGTGGCCTACCATCGTACGGGTCCAGCTCAAGGGAGAGGCCCAGTATCTTGGCCCCTGTCGACGTATCGAAGATCCCAACGTCCCGAGTTGGTGTGATGGCAATGATCTGCGTACCCTTTGCGGAAAATACGGCGGATTCGACCGCAGCCTCGGTGTGGATGACACAGATGCAGCAACCCGTTGAAACGTCCTGAATACGAATGTCCGCCCTCCCAACCTCCGCGTGCGGCCGGATATCGGACGTCTCAATCAACGCCACTTGCTGGCCCCCAGGGCACATGAAGATTGCTGTGATTGCTCGTTCACTGTTGCTAGATACGTGCACGCAGTCGCCGGTGACAGAATCCCACGTCTGCAGCATCGACCAGTACATCTTGGGTTCAGACCAAAAGTGAGACCGTGAGTAAAACAGCCGGGCGTCTTTGGATAAAGCACATGGTTGGAGGGCAAGTTGACTCGGGGGCAACTCATGCAGGTTTCCCGATGACCGCAATTTCTCCAGTGTCTGCAGCGTCTGGACGCGGCAATGCTTGCTCAGATCCCATATCTCGGTGTGCTTCATGCCCAGGATGGCGGCGAGTGGCGAGAAGTCTGACAGTACAACGCCAAACACGGAGCCAACCTCGGATCTCTTTACGCACTTCATGGTGTTCAGATCCCACGTTCCGACGGCCTCCATCTCCGAATGGTAGAGCGTTTGGCCGTCTGAGTCGAGAACCATGTGCCCAATGTTTGTTCCAATGGCACGAGTCTGGGAGGATGCAGGAGGTGCGAGCGGCAAGGCCCAAATCTTGATTGCATCCCATGAATAGGACGCAAGTGTATTTTCGTCCGGAGACAAAGCGACGTACAAAATGGACCTCGTGTGGCCCGTGAGAATGTGTTGCAGGACATGGTTCTTGACATCCCATATCGCAATCGAAGGGTTGTGCCCGCCGCCAACGACGAGCCGCTCCTGATTCTTGGATATGGCGAGGGCCTGGACCATTCCAACCTGGCCGTCAAACTCCTGTTCAGTTTCTCCTGTCTTGACATTCGTCAGGCGGATTTCGCCGCCAAAGGCTCCCAGTACAAGAAGCTCCCCTGCTTGGCAAAAGGTGGCTGTACTGATGGTGATTTCAATATTCTTCAGCTCCTGGAGAATTATGTTGGCATCGGGATCCCAGAGGACAACTTCGTGCTCATCGAAAAAAGCTGCCAATTTCCCATCCTTTGAGAGACATTTGCTCCCCATGTCAAGGGCTCGGTCAAGCTTAACCGTCTTGGCTTCTCTGCGGAGAATGTCAAAGACAGTATACTCGCCAGCCAACGATAACGCATAGAGGTAATCCCCAGTAGGCGAGAATGCCATGGACACGTGCATGTAGGGACGCCCTAGGTTATGGTCCAGCGTATATAAGCACCGTCGATCTTGGAGAGTCCAAATCTGCACATGCCTTTCTCCCATGATTGCGATTTTGCCTTCTGGTGATACGGCAAACTCGTGAGCCTTGTCTGATTCGATATCAAAGTCATGGAGACAGGAGGCACTGTTGAGATCCCAGATTTTGACAGAGCCCGCATGAAGGCCACTGACCAATGTCTCGTTGGAGAGCAACTGAATGCCTACCGGCCTTTCTGCATCTCTGTCTTTGGACTCGATGCTCTGAATGCAAGCAGACCAGTGGGTATCGACTTGTGGCATCCCTTTGATATAAGTTGGACTGTTCGAAGCAAAAGTCTTCCGAACGATGCTCATAGTCGGCGAAAAAACAAGTGCCGAGTTGTAAATTTGCAATGGCGTTTCTTGAATTACCGGCCTGAACGAAAAGACGAATCTTTCGGCGTCTTCGAGTAGTCGAAAAATTCCCTGACTTCCGGCGTTCTGTATACCAAATGTTAGAGCTTACGCAATCGACCTACAATGTCTACGATGCTCGAATATCTTAAGTCTTCGAAAGATCCACAAATGTCAAAGGGAAACTTACATGAGCCATATCTTTCAAGGTTCGGATTCCTTCAAGCCCTTCGTTTAACCTCTCGAGCCAGGCTAACGCCTCGATCCAGTTCAGCATCTTAGTTTCGAGGAACTTGTGCTCGGGTCCTCCGTCTTGGAGCCCCCTTTTCCCTGCCTCTACGTGGTGTATCCAGTAGAGGCATGCATAAGCCACTTCGGGAGGTAAACACTGTCGAATCTTTTCTTCCCGAATCTCCCTTCTGCTCACAGCCGGATCCTGGAGATTGCAGACGTCGTTATGTAAGTTCATAGATAGGAGCTGTAGACATTGACCTGCCAGCCACGCATGAGCGGCTACTTCTTCAATGTATAACCCTCGGCAAGGATCTTGATCCTCAATATTGCTGAATGAATCCTGTTCTAACAAGAAATCCCGGTACGAAAGGTGGAATAGCTTGACTGGCGCATCTCTGGACTGTACGTCCAACACGGAAGACAGAGAGCTGAGTTTCTTGTATATCTCGTTCTCCTGAATCCCAAGCAAACTTGAGAGAGCGACAACAGAGAGAGGGCTTGCAAGAAGAATAACCGATCCGACAATCCTCTGAAAGTCGTCGATGTATCTCTGTCTGGCGCGGACTGGGATCTGACTCATGATTTGAGCAAGGATCGAACGGTATAGATCCTCCACCTGGCCTTGGCCCTTTGTGCTGAATTCGAGTATGTGCTCTACCTTTTGCTCAGGCGTCGCAGGCCACTGATCGTTTCGAAGCATTCGGGATACTGTTGCAGCAGAGATGAAGAGGGGCGTCGCCATTTGTACAAGTCGCTCGAATGTTTCTTCTCCGGGCCAGTCAGCTGGGAGCACTTGGCCTTGTCCCATCTTTTCTGTTTGCTGGTTATATTGCTTCGTGTACTTCTCAATGTCGATTCGCAGATATGTGCGGATGTCGCTTTGAACGATGGCTTCGTCGACACGATGCAGAATCAGATCTCGACGCGGGTTGCCTGAGATGTTGAACTGGAGGGCTATATGGTATTCTGGCCTGCTTGTAAGAAGTATCTTGACTCTGAGGCAAGAAACAACATCATGCTCGGTCAGGAGTTTGATGAGAAGCTTTGCGTCCTCTGGTGGATCGCATTCGTCGAGTGCATCGACCACCACCACGATTGTCGTCGGCTCCGTGGTAGGTTCGGCAGCCAGCTCCTTCAATGGGCGAGCCCAAAGTTTCCGAAACTGAGTCTCCAGCATCTTGTCTCCAATCTCGGGCTCTTCCTGGATAATATCGTAGAGGATCTTGGTAAGTCGGGGCTGTTTGCGAATCATTTGGCTAGCAATTGTTGCAAAGAACCGCCGAGGTGTCCCGCGATCGCCGTCACCTCGTTTGAAGAAGAAACTTGCACCCAGATTGACTCCATCTAGCTTCTTGGTCACCGTCTGCGCGATGGTTGACTTGCCCGTTCCCGCCATTCCTTGCAGCCAGAAGATGGCAGGGCTGGCTGGATCAGCTACCCATTTGTATATTGAGTCGAGTATCTCAAGGCGCGTGCCGGGGTAACATTCGTCTCGGAATGTCTGAGAGTAATCATCAAAAGCCGCACCCTGAGCGATTAGTAGCTTGCTTATGATAAACTCTTTCTGTATGCTCTCAAGGAGTATGCTGTGCGGCAGTGTGCTATTAGCATGTAGAACTTCCGGAATGGTGGCGGTTATACGCACGAGTGGTAGCTCGAAGACTGCCGCAAGCTGTCAATAAGCTCGATGAGCTTCTGTGAAGATGAGCTGGTATGAGAGGTATAGAATCTTTCACAGTCGTCTGCTTTGTTGGTAAGTTGGCGGCTACTGTCGTCGAGATCCTTGACCTTTTTCTCGACTTCGTGGAGCACAAAGGGAGCCACCACTGCCATATTCCTCCTCCGCCGGGCGTACACAAAACCCAGAAAATACAGCGAGCTCACATAGGAGGCGACAAGAGACTCTTTAAGAGCCTCTCGAGCTTCCTCAACACCATCCGGGTCGTGGTCGGAGGACAAGTACAGCTTTTGGTACATGTTGCACTGCAGCAATAACGAGGTGACGGAAGCCAGCCCTCCTAGTATCTGTGCATCAAGCTGATACTTTGATGCAACAGTCTACTCAAAGTAACACAACGTCAGTCTGCATCAGGTTCAGGCAATTCTAGCATGGCTCATACCACAAGGACCGCCCGTACAACAGCCCATGGAAGGGCAGCGTGTACTGGGTCATAGCTGACAGCAACATCCCCAACTGAGACAAATTGATTGAGAGCGTCGATTGTCTTTTCAACGTATGAAGACGCCAAAGTAGGGCTTTTCTTCTCCTTCAGTTGGCGCTCCATTGTCTCTGAGATGCTCATCACCAAGTCCGCCATGACTGTCGGGCAGGTATCAGTCGTGCCATCTTGGCCGACCCGGCTCCCAATCTCGTCAATGAGTTTGATGGCATCTTGATCTTTGGACTGTTTTACCTCCAGAAGCGCACGGCTCCATAGTTCTTTGCTGATTTGATGCCTACTTCTTTGTGTTTGTCCTGCTGTTCCTGGTTGCTCGACTCCTCGTAAGGCTTCTGATGAAGAGGGTCCTAATCGTTGCCATGAGATTAGTGAGCTCCTTGTTTTGCCTTCATTAGTGCACATACGATGTGCCAGAGCGACGGTAAACAAGACATTGCCTGCTCTAACAATTTCTCTGTGAGCTGAAACGCGCCGGAATCTGAGCACCATACGCGAGCGCTTTCTGTGAGCTTTCCAGACTTTCATCGGAAGGAATCGAAGGGGGGAGAAAGATGAAATGAGAAGCGCTTCTTCGACCGAAAAACCGTGAGGAGGCAGCGAGACACGAAACCTGAGTATGCCATATCAAAGAGAAACATGCTTGGGAGAGGAAATATTTCATGCTGGTAATAGCTGAGGATAGCAGCTGAAACTTGCAGATGCTGGCCCATGTGTCGTGACATCATTGGTTAGAACAATACGGATCCATGCAATGAAGAGGAGTAAGAAGACTTCTTTTGGAAGAATTGGTGGGGTTATATGAAGCTGGTTTACGCTGACGGGAAATGTTCCTGACTTCCTGTGCTTGCCGCCAACAGAATTTTATATATCGCAAGAAATTCGATAGGATGAGATGTAGTCTTGGCCTGGTAATCTCCACCTCGGTTGGGGTAGTCATGGGGGAAATGCTTCATAAGTGTTATAAGAAAAGGAATAGATGTGCCAGCCCTCAATTCAGTATAGTGATGGGGCTTGATCGATACCATACCGAGTGTGACTCCATCATTTCTCTCACCTGAATCAAAATCACGATAAGGGTCTCACAAACTCTCACTCCTTCTTACCGACCAGGGGCGACCTGAACCCTTTCCAGAATCACACCAATAAAAGCGTCTGTAACAGGAAGTCTACTCAGCTTTCCTCCGGAGGCCCAACGGCTCTCCACGCTTCATACGCACTCACTATCCGATCAGGCACCGAAGCCATGACGTTGAGCTGAACGGCACTTCTTCAAACGACGGGTTGGCCTCTGAGGTTATGTTTATTTTTCATTCTATTTTCTATGTGTTCTCATTGTAGCAATGTTGCCTGACCTTGTTTGACCAAGCAATCAATAGCATACAATAACTTGACTGGGTTCTTGCTGCTGGCATTTTGCACTGATTGAAGAAATCTTCAGGGACGCCATGAAGCTGGAGAACATGAAATAAGGTCTATCGGCAGATATATCAAGGCAGAGCTTCAGCCAAGTCAATACCGATGTATATAGGTAGGCAAGAGGTGCAGTCCTAAATACCTAGGTACATTAAGTTGTGAGAACTGTTGTCTAAACAAAATCCTCCAGTTTTCTCCAACAAAGTTAATGGCCTGATGGCTCGTCTTCTTTTTTTTTATATTTTTATTGTTCAATTTTCTTCATTGTTTTTATTCTTCATAATTCCTTTTTCTCCTCAGAGATTGTCAGGACATACCTATGTAAAGAAGTAGCCCCTTGCTCTGTTGCCCGAATTCGTTGGCTGTGAATAATGCATGAGTTCACGAGTAATTGCATGCTCGAGTATCTTTGCTAGTGCATCACTTTTCAATATAGACAAAGTGATAAACATAGCGATTATTTGTTTTGACTTTATGACTTTTTCTATACAAGAGGTTATTGTTCTAATTTAAAACCTAGAAAATATACAAGAAAACTTAAAGATATGGAATATTATGGTTATGAATTTAATACTTTTACTTTTAGAAGTTTTAATTAAATACATAAATTATTTTATAAAAAAGGTACAAAGTATATAAATCCTCAATTAGAGCAATATTTAACTCCTTTAGCTTTAGCTATCTGAATCATGGATGTGTTTGCGTATTCCTTGGAAACATATCTGTGTCAATTGCCTTCAGTATAAGTCTAAGAAAGCAAGATAAGGGGCTCATGCTCCGTAGATAATTTACCAGTGGAAGAGATCTGGTAGGGGATTAACAATCCTGCACCCTGACCTACCTAAATATCTTGCGTCCGAAGATACATACAGACTTATTATACCTAGGTACTCTGGAAAATAGGTATGGCCACCAAAAGCTTATATCGGGACTACCTAGAAGGACGCAGTGGTGGCAGCAGAGAGTGCAATCCCCTTCTACACCTACCTAGTCTGAGAAGTAGCAGTTATAACAGTATTGGATATCCATGCTTGATAGGGAGCCAGACTGGGGTGCTGAATTGCCACTCACTGCAAGAGAAGCTGCCAAGTGAATGGCCTCTTCTTGCGCATGGCAAACCCAGAATAGGCCTTAAGGAACCCAAGACTAATTCTTCATGTCTAACTCTTCAATTCCTGGACAAACACTATCGAGAAGGTGAGTAAGTAGCGTTAGTTGCGAATTGTCAGGACTTGACAACACAATATATATTACGCCTGGGTTGTATGAGAACATACGACCCTAACGCATGCAAGGACCAACCAGACAATCAATCTTTTTCTCTCTTCTTTCAGAACCTCCATGACTGCATTGGTTCAAAGCTACTCAATGTCCCGTGTCACTGAATATCTGGCAGCCTGAGTAGCTTTCCCGCTCTTGTAAAGCAGACACAGCGAGGCCAAGGAAAGCATTCATAAACGTGAAAGTTACCTCGCGATTGGAAGGACAGGACGCGGCAAAAGAAAATTGTGGAAGCCCATAGTGGCCAGTGACAGAGAGCAATCCTCGACGATTCCATGGTTCCCGCTCCCGCTCCTTCATCTCCACCAACTCGATAGTACTTACTTTCCGATTAATGCCTCGTTTTGGGTCAATGCCCGGTTAGAAATCAATGAGATGAAGCATGCATGCATCCTATATCAGTCCTTTAGCGGTGTAACATTACATTGATCTCATGATGTAGACTTATTGTGACGATATTCCTTCGGATTGAAGAGGAACAGAGACGTCTTGGCTCAAGGACTGCCAGACTCAGCACCTACCTAAACAGGCAATGGATTAGTGGGCCTCTCGCTCGACCGGTAATGCCGTCTTTCGCGAAGCAGCTCGGACTTGAGCCGAAGACTTTGTTGGAAACCCATCCTTTCTTATTAGACGGTTGATTCATCTTGATTACTCCTGTATGGATGACGATGAGAGAAGTCATTTGAAAAAATCATGTCCTGCGTTGCATCCATATCATGGTTTACATCATCCACATCCACCACCATCATCACCATCATCATCATCATGTGTTATATCAGCACGTGTTCAAGTCTCAGGGGACACAAAGACCCAGATGATCCTCCCAGTTGATTGTTCATGGCCAGGATGCCTCGTCATCTACGCCTCGAGCCCAACTTCCGTCACTACATTGTATCGCCATGTAGGATTCATGCGTGAATTGGGCCAGAAAGGCTAAAGACGTCATGCCACAACGACGAGCCCTCGCTTCGGCTTCGGAAGGATTTCTCCACAAGAATGCAACTCTGAAGCTATCCCTGCCTTGTTCCCCCATGGGCAGCTCTGGGCCGAATACGCCCAAGCCCACGTCACGAGGAATCTCGTCGATCCGGGGAAAAACACAACCTTGATGTGCTACGCTCCGATCAGCGTTTCTTGCTGCTTCTTGAAAACGCCCAACACCGGAGTTAAGCAAAACAAAACCAGAAAGCGACGCTTGCAGATCCAAAGCCCCCCCTCCCCCCCTTGCAGTCCCCTCCCCTACAGTAGACGCCCTTTTCAAAGCTGGGGTAGACGCGCGGTGCCGTGACTCGTCGAGCATGTGATTGATTGATGCCCGCCCTCACAGGAGGACCGGCTTTTAATCCCCGATGCCAACCAGGGCGATGTTCTAGATAGTACTATCCCACGATGGCAGTGGATCCTTGCATGATCCTTCTAGCAGGCAAACAAGGCAAATATCGACTGCTATTGGCACGCGTGAGGGGAGAAATTCCCGCACGGGCCAAATCGAGCGAGCCAAGAGGAACGACTCAGATGACCCTAGCGAAGCGAAGCAGGAGAAGAACCGAGACTCGGACGATGTTGACCACACTGACGCGCAACTATACACATAACGCGACATCAACTGTAGCGGAGATCTTGATGTATGAGCTTGGTATACTCTGTACGCGCTTGTTCAATGTGCTTTCTCGGCGCTTCTTCTCCCCCTGCTAGCCTGGTGACTATTCATGCAGATACCATTGTTGAGAGCGTCACGCATGGTTTCTATAATAACTGGGGTTGCCAGATTGCCGCATACTCTCCGAGAAGATCGGCAGTTGGAGTAAGGAGTCTGAGAAGGGCAATGAGGAGGGCCGGAGTCATCTGCGACACCCGGAGAAACATTGTGGCCAGTCACAAGGATTCCCCTGCCATTGTCTCCCAACCACATCTCACTTCAGTCCATAGGTAGGGAATAATAGCAAGCTTTCAAGATAGTAGAGCGGACAACTCAGCAAACTTTAGCTAGCGCATCTTCTCATATCGAGATGAAGATCCCTAATCCATCGGAAAGGGCACAACCGTCACAGAGTTGCTGGTCACTATCTGATCCGTGCCAGCAGCAACCTTGCGTCAGGCCCGTCATGGGTACAGTCTCCATGAGATATCTTGGATGCAAGGAAACAAGGAGCAGGGTCACAACATGAGCGGAGCTAAAAGTCTCTCATTCCAGAGTTTATCTGAGACTACTGAAGTCTACATGACAGGTCAGCTCAGATCTCACTTGGCAATAAGCAGCCACAAAGGTAGTATTAGCAGACTATGCAGGACTTTATCCGCGACTGCTAAACAATGTCCTGCCCCTTTCGTTATAGATGTTGTTGATACTATTCGCAAAGAGACGTTGCATGGGGTTGGGTGAAGACCTTACAGGGGTAGACACGATAGACTTCAGGAGCTTAAAAGCTCGATGAGATCGCTCTTTTGCTGAGATAGCTTGCTCATCCGGTCGTGCTTCATCATCTTGCTCTCTCTTCCCCCCTTATTCCTCTAGCCAACGGCTCTTCCATCCAGCCATGTCCCCTCGAACAGACCGTCGGCGTTCCGGCCTCCTCGCCTTGGGCCTCGTTGCCGCGAGCCCCTTGGCCACAGCCGGACCCTGTGACATCTACGCATCTGGCGGAACACCATGTGTTGCTGCTCACAGCACCACCCGCGCCTTGTACGGAGCTTACTCAGGCCCTCTGTATCAAGTATCACGAGGCTCCGATGGCGCCACGACCAACATCGCGACGCTCTCCGCCGGCGGCGTTGCCAATGCCGCCGCTCAGGACTCGTTCTGCGCCGGCACGACCTGCCTCATCACCGTCATCTATGACCAGTCCGGCCGTGGCAACCACCTCACCCAGGCTCCTCCTGGCGGAGCTGCAAGCGGTCCGCAGCCCAACGGCTATGACAACCTTGCCAGCGCCATCGGAGCCCCCGTCCGGCTGAACGGCCAGAAGGCGTACGGCGTCTTCATCGCGCCCTTCACCGGCTACCGCAACAACCAGCCGAACGGCACCGCTACGGGCGACCAACCACAGGGCATGTATGCCATCTTTGACGGCACGCACTACAACACCGGCTGCTGCTTCGACTACGGCAACGCCGAGACCAACAGCCTCGACACGGGCAACGGCCACATGGAGGCCATCTACTTTGGCACCGGCGACGGCTCCGGGCGCGGCACCGGCTCCGGCAGCGGCCCCTGGATCATGGCGGACCTCGAGAACGGGCTCTTCTCGGGGTACGACCCGATCAACAACCCTGCTGACCCGACAATCAACTTCCGCTTCGTCACTGCCGTGGTCAAGGGAGAGCCGGGCCAGTGGGCGATTCGCGGCGGCGATGCCACGTCGGGCACTCTGTCGACCTTCTACAGCGGCCAGCGGCCAGCAAACGGCTACAACCCCATGAGCAAAGAGGGCGCCATCATCCTCGGCATCGGCGGCGACAACAGCAACCGTGCCCAGGGCACCTTTTACGAGGGCGTCATGACGTCGGGGTACCCGTCCGACAGCACGGAGAACGCGGTGCAGGCCAACCTCGTCGCCGCCAAGTATGTCTATGACACCTCGCTCATGACCAGCGGCCCGGCCCTGAGCGTCGGCTCCTCCATCTCGCTGAGAGCGACGACGTCGTGCTGCACGAACCGCTACATTGCGCACACCGGCGCCACGGTCAACACCCAGGTCGTGTCGTCGTCTAGCAGCACCGCTCTGAAGCAGCAGGCCAGCTGGACCGTCCGCACAGGCCTCGGGAACAGCGCTTGTTTCTCGTTCGAGTCCAGAGACAGCCCTGGAAGCTTCATCCGGCACTCCAACTACCAGCTCATGGTCAACGCCAACGACAACAGCAAGCTCTTCCACGAAGACGCCACCTTTTGTCCGCAGGCCGGTCTCAACGGCCAGGGCAACTCGTTCCGCTCTTGGAGCTACCCTACTCGCTACTGGCGTCACTTCAACTCGCTGGGTTATATTGCGGCGAACGGTGGAGAGCATGATTTTGACACTACGACCTTGTTCAACGATGATGTGAGCTTTGTTGTCAGCGCTGGCTTTGCATAGATAATGAATGGTATGACAGCGGTGTAAGCGTTGTTGCGAATATTTGGCTTACCCTACCTATCTGTTGTTTGGTATGCTCAATAACATGGGGGACTGAATTGGAAACAATGCTCGTGTATATAGTTGTCAAAAGTAGATGCAAATGACTTTACGCTCGATTGATGGGTCTTTTTGGGAATAATCTCACCACTCAGCGCGGACGTTCCTCCAAGGTGAATCGTTTGTTCGAATTGAATTTACTCAGACCTACCACTAGTTCTGAGCATAAGACTGCCACACCTAGGTTAAAGCAGGAGGGGGCTGAAGTACGGATCACATGTAGTCGAGCCAACCAAAAGAAAAGATCGATGGATTCTCGTCTATGAAGCAATCATGAATGCAGCAATTGATATATAAACCCCCCAAAAGATATAAATCAACGCTCTGTTCAGATGATTGATTGACAAAGGGTAGAAGCTCGACGAAGTGCCAGAGCCTTCCAAGACCACAACTCAACCTTTACACAAACTTGATCGTTACTCAGCCCTAGTAGCACACCTGAGACCATAAGCAAATCTGGGACAATCAATCTACTCTAATCGATCTTACATGCTATCCCAGCTAGGAAACTCGTACTTGCATTATATGTTAGCTGATTGGACACATGTAATAGCCTCGTCTGATAGTCTTGTGTTAGAGACGCTACTGAGTCGCAAGTTGGTTTCTATAAATACCTACCTTCTCAGACACTTACAACTGTTCATGTTGTCAGCCATACAGCCATAATCGGAAATAAATGAGCCCGGTACCCAATCAACGTCAAGGCAGGCTTCAATAGAAGGCTAGTGATATGGATCTTACAAGCTCCAAGTAGCGACATCCGAATTCTCGTATTACTGTATGCAAGTGGCTTCTCTCCAGCTACCGGATTCGGCATGTCATAATTCAAAATCAAGTCAAACCACAAACCAATTACTTCTATACATGTCTACATATCTGCTTCTTGGAAAGGGCTATTCAAGACTTACTACCATTGTAAAGCATCAGATGTCAGTGTATGAGGAATCAACAAGAAATCAATGACAGAGCAGTGTAGTTAGCTCAGTGAGAGATCAGAGCCTGGACGACGGGAAAAGCCCACAACTGGTACTACATACGTCAAGGCTTGGAGCTAGAATGGCGGCGATAATGGCATTGAGACCAAGACAGACTTCATGAGCTCCAAGACAAAGGCATAAAACGCACAGTGGATCGCAAATCGTTGAACTCAAGGCGTGTTTTCGCCTCAACCGTCGGTATAAGAAGCACGGTGGCCATGAGACTGACAGAAAACGCCAAACCGTGCAGCGAAGGACATATAGATATGACTTTCGGGGACATGGCTGCAATGGATATCTATTGGTATGGGTCTCGCAAAACTATGCGAAGTGGCTGCTCGGGTAGGAAAAGACCATGAATTCTTATGATATAGTCGATGCAAGGCTCTCTCAAGGAATGCATCCCAGACTACGCGATATCCAGGCTGCGATCTAGGGATTATTCATAATCGAAGCAAGCAGACCTCGTCATCACGTGTCGTCAGTTGACATCGCACGAGAGGCAACTACCTAGTGGGGATCTCTCCGTTGTCAAGCTCAGTAAAGTCCAGGCTTTTGTTCCGAATTGTAGACGCGAGACGGGGGTTCTGTTGTCACTTCTGTCTAGGGCGGGCTCGCAGGCTACATCACGTCGCCTTGTTGCCTTGTCGAACTGACACAGCCAAGCAACAGATCATGGCTAGTAGTATGAGGGCTTGCGCATCTGTCAATCTGACATGTCGTATAGGACAACCCAGCATCAGGCTAGACATTCATCTCATCCAGGGAATCTAGACAGCTTTGGCCTCAGCTGGCGGCCTCGTTTGAGCACCCCTCCAGCATTCCGCATGTTTCGTCGGCCGCCCTTTGGCGCTGGAGGTTGCGGTACTGAGCCACTGTCCTTGAGGCCGTGGATCTCATTGAATCTCTTCTCCGTCCAGTCAAAGATATTGTCATACTTGAACCCTTTCGATTGGAAGACACGGCGAAAAAGTTGCCGAAGATGTGCGTAATTGGGCTTGTCCTCGAACCGCAGTGACCGCGTGTAGTTGATGTACTTGGCGAATGCATCGGGTAGGCCTGCACAGAGCTCCTCGGCCGATAGGCTTGTCTTCATGTGCTTGACCAGCTCCTGCTTTTCTTTGTCTGTCGCCGCCTTCAGACCCTGCCACGGCAGCGAGCCCAGAGCAAAGTATACTAGGACATAGCCAAGAGACTCGAGGTCATCCCTCCACGACTGTTCTGCATCGCATTAGTCAAGGCAGCGAAAGAACAGCATTGATCGGTGGCTTACCCTGCCCGTTGTGGTTATTGATACTCGCGTATCGAGTTGTACCGCAAAACGGATGGTTCTGGTAACGGTTGTCTCGCTCAGCAAGCCAGTGTTCCTTGGCCAGACCGAAGTCAATAGCATATATTATGTTCCCTCTCCTGCCAACGCCCATTAAGAGGTTGCTCGGCTTGATGTCGCGATGAAGGACGCCTTTGGAATGGATATACTCGACCCGAGAAATGACCTGGTCGGCAATGAGCAGGACAGTCTTGAGCGAGAATTTTTGGTCGCAGTAATTGAACAAATCTTCGAGGGATGGGCCGAGAAGCTCGTGGACAAGCACATAGTATTCACACTCCTGCCCGAACCACAGGACATGAGGAATTCCCACGCCGCCGGCGAGCGCCTCGTAAGTGCCATTCTCATCCTGGAGAGCCTCATAGTCATCGTTTATGTGGGTTAGCTTCAAGGCAACTTCCGTGCCTGATACAAGGTCGATTCCTGTCAAGGTAAGCTGGCGATCCGGTTGGGTTCTGCAAGGTACATGTATGGTCGCGAGTGCGAGGGCATACCGGAGTAGACCATTCCAAAGCCCCCCTCGCTGATCTTGCGAACTATGCGATATCGCTCATTGACGAGTATGTCCTGGACCTGATGGTGAGAATCGTTGCAGTGCTCGATACAAGGGGAAGCATACCTTCATCGTGTTGTCCGCCCGTGTAGAAGAGCGGTTAGGTAAAGTTTGGAAAAAGTGTCACAACAAGTGCTTCTCAGCTCGGGAGCGGCCGAGGGAATGGCTGGAGATGTAACGCGCTGGGATAGCGGCGCTTTGTTTGTCCCCCGCAAGGATGAATGTTGCAACATATGTAGGTACTGCATACATGTAACGTGAGGTCAGGTAGATGTAGGCACCCAACGAGTGGAGTGTAGGTACGTGTACCTGAGCCCGACCTCCAGTTCTTTCATGGCACCAACCAGCTCATGCATGATCCCGCGACAGCTTCGCGTTTCTTTGTCCAGCCCCTTCTTGTCGTGTGCTCCTCCCAGAATACTGCACGTGTTGCTGCAGGTCGCCGATTCGGACAGAACCGTGCTTGGCCCAGCAAACATGGCAAACATCCCTTTCAACCAACTGCCTTATATCGCCCGCTCGTTGCGGTTCAAATAAATGGCCGCTCATGGCGCCGCCTCAGCAGCTCAGAGGAGACGGCTAGCATTAGAATGCTTAGGAAAAGGACGGCCACGACAGATGGCCAAATCAGCAAGAGAACGCGGTACCGCTTGGAACTACCCTCCTCGGTTCTACGACAACCTCTCAAAGGTCTGGCTCGCGCGTCCCGCCTTACAGGAACTCGACCGCCGAAACTCCACTGCACCTCAATCCAAGTCGTCTGTTCCCACTGGTGATTGTTCTAGAGACCTTGCGCGATTTGCGAGAAACGGTGGTCCAGATCTCTGCCATCTCCGAGGGGTAATATATCTGTCAATGCCACTTGTGCTGAGGAAGCTTGTCAACTGACGGAGGGTGTAGTATCCAGAGCAAAGAGGCGCGGCAACGATGGCCAGCACATCCTCTGCGTCCTCGTCTAGTCGACGTACACACAACACGAAAGGGACAGCCCTTGTTACTATCAGGACATCTGCCAAGGACAAGAACTTCGAACAACATCTGAACGACCATGGCGTCTATTTCAGTCATTGCAGGTCTAAAGTGCGGAATATAGACGAGATCCGTGACCGTCTAGCACGAAAGCGGCCGTCGTTGTCACCTTCTCGGTTCTCACAAGGACAATTCAAGACTTTTCGAAGAGCGGATGACGATGCCGTGTCTGAGGACGACATCATGGCCAGACTTATTCCTACCATTTGCGGCAATACCGACATCCATAGCCAACAGGACATCATATTCACCGAGCTCCTGCCCATCACGACCGAGGACGCACCCAAGCCCCAATCTACCCTCCTTGACGGAGCGCACATCCATGAGGTTCACGAGGCCCTTCGAGCCAACGGCCAGATCCGTCCGATGATTGTGCCATCAAAAGACAAGAATGTCCCGGTGGCAGCCAACTTCTTTCTGGAGGTCAAACGCCCTGACGGGAGTTTCCTGGCCATGAAACGCCAGGCTTGCTATGCCGGAGCTTACGGAGCTCGCGCCATGCACAGCCTGCAAAACTACGACGAGGAGAAGCCTGTCTACGACGGCGACGCCCACACCTTCAGCTCGCTGTACTACGGAGGGGTTCTCCATCTCTACTCGCACCACGTTACCGCGCCGGCGACACCCGGAGGGCGGCCGGAGTATCACATGATCGAAATCAACGGTCATGTATTGACAAACAGTCGGGAGGACTTCCTCCGAGGTGTTGGCGCCTTGAGGAATGCAAGAGACCTAGCGAAAGAACATCGCGATAGGCTTATTCAGGCGGCGAATGCGAGAGCGCGAGGAGACATACCACCCCTGGCACAAGAGACTCTCGCAAGCACGGAAGCACTGCAGGATACCGCCTTGAGTCCAAATGTATTTTTCGATTGTCAAGAGCTCCAAGAGTCACAAAACAGCCGCAATATCACAGCTCTTCCATCATTTTGCCAAGATTCGGACGGGTTGGTCCTCGAAAACGGAAAACCCGAACTGCCGACTTTTCTCAACGATGACCAGCAAGACAACAGCCAGGACTCGGTGTCACTTGGTGCGGCCGACCAGCAAACAAGCTTGGCCACCAGCTTCACCTCGAGCTTCAGGTTAGGCACCGACCTGAGAGGCTCCCGCGTTGACTCCAAAAGGTGCAGGAACCCAAACAGTCCTCCAACGAGCCACCCGAAGAAACTCTGCCGAGGTGAAAGGATCAAGGTAGACGGTGGGAAAGGAAAGGATGATAAAGCCTCGTCGTCCAATATGCCAGACGACAACGACGGCGAGTGAGATGCCGAGATGAAAGCCTACAAGTCATGGAACAAGGATTTGTGCGAGGATTGGGACCAAGAGCGCCAGGCCAAGGAGCACTGCGACGGCAAGAAACGGTGATGTGCGGCATGGGAAGAACAGAGTCCAACGTCTAAAGCTGTCCGCTTCTCTGCAGAGTGCTCCCTTCGATCGCACCGACCCCTTCAGTTGTGTTGCCCTTCCTTGCAACACATTACAGCAGGGCATGGCTTACGAGGAGCCATATCACTGTGGGGAGTCCTAGGTAGCAAGAAGAGCCTCAAGGCCCCGACCGCGAGAGGAGGGAAATCACCTATGGCAGGGTCGGTTGCGTATGTGTTCTGGGGCCAGGGTTGACCAGTGGCTACTTGGGCGCTATAAGAGGGAGTAGGCGCATGTTTGCGTCGTCGTCCACGACAAAACTCCTGACTGGTATGAGTACGTAGTTCTTCTAACGACCACGATGATTCAAGGCCGTGGCCAATTCGTGTCAGTCATAAGAACGACGAGGTGCTTTGGCAAAAGGGGTCAGCACGTCGTTTCCCAATCTTGACATGCAAGTTCCCTCGGGCTCTTTCTTCTGCGGCCCTTTGCCTATTGCATACATCTAGAGCGGTCCATCCTTTGAACACGGGATGAAGCTGGAAATGGCTTGCACACCCAGGGTGTACTCTATAACAGAGTTCGGATAGATATGATTGCTGAATGATTGGCGATCTTTGTTGAGCAGAGATGGGCTCTACAGTTGCAGAGAATCTGGACTTCACATCATACACATGAGGCCTTGTTCCTTCTTGAAGGTTATGCCCCATCCTATGATGGCTTTGTACATTAATTGTTGTGTTTCGCTCATTGATTGGTAGCCAACGACAACCGTAACAGCATCGATACTATCTATATTTGTGTTAAACGCGATTCTTCGGACTGGAATTCTCCCGGCTTACAGAGCTAGGCATCTGAACCATCATGCACGCGTTTATTGTCCCAACTGACAACCAGCATCAAATGCTATTCCCGCGAAAAGACGTAACATCGCGTAGACGCGGTGTCAGGAGCTGGACAGGACTCGGACAGCATCAGAATGATGGTAACTAGGTAGGTAGTCTGCGGTGTTTCGAGCTCGTCAATACCTCACCTAGGCACACCTCAGCTTTGGAAGCGATGCTCCGTACGGATGCTCAATGCCCCAACTGTTTTGTCCACCAAACAGATGAGCAGTACTTTAGCGTTGCAGTAGCTTGATATGGGGCATGAAGTAGACCATATCCGTTATGCTGCCACGTCACAGTGCGCCAGCCCGACTCTTGCGCGTTATGCTCCGGTTCTGCAGCTGCAAACTTATAGAAATGGCCAACCACCCACCCCCAGACAAGGGGCCGCTACATACGACTTGGAACCTGCAACATCGACGCCGATCTCGCAGAGCTACGATTCCTTCAATTGAGTATATCGATGCAATACCGGCGATGACTTGAAGAACTTCGATTGGCCGGATACTACAAAACACAATGAGCACGAAAACCGCACCACAGGCTGATGACAGCCGCGTGAACAAGCCACGGACACGGCAAAGAAGCTACAAGCCCGCGCCGGTCCTCGAGTTGCCGGATATAGAAGAGAATGCACCAGAGAGGAAGCGGATTCTCAACGTGTTGGCACAGCGAAGATACAGTCAGTACCACTCCGCTCGGCAGAGGGTGATGCGTCCCAACTCTCTTGTTCTTTGGATGCCGGCTTACACGTGAAAGTGTAGGGGAGAAGAAGCGAATACGACGGCAGAAAGAGAGGAGCAAAGAAGAGAGCCAGGACAACAGCGATGACGGCGCAGCTATTCCATCAGACAAAAACAAGGATGGAGAAGCCGACGTCGAAAATATGCCGGCATCTGATCAGTTTACTAGTCCTTCTTCTGGCGGTCTGGTAGGGACGGAGACTTCACTTTCAGCAGGATGGGTGGCCAGCATGCTCAACAGCTGTAGCGACACATCGATGCCGTTCCCGCTGCCGTTTCAAGATGCCTTGCATACGTCAAGCTTGTCATCCGCAGCAATAACAGACGAGAGTTCAGCAGACGAAGGCTTCCTCTTCAGCAACGCAACAAGCCTCGACGACCACCACCACCTGACAGGCGTGCTCCCCGCCAGCCTCGGCCTGTCACCACCACCACCACCACCACCGCTGTGGGACAACAGCAGCACATCCCCGTCATCCTGCGACGGCAGCTTCGCCGATAGCTACCTGCTCCCCGTCCACGAGCTGACCCTCCTGCGGGCCATCACGCGCATCGCGGAGCGCATCGGCTGCCCGCAGCAAATCTGGGATCTCGGAGCCGTCTCCCCCTTCACGCAAGGCACCGCAACGCCAGCCGAGCAGCTGCCCCCCGCATGGAAGCCCACGGCCTCGCAGCTGCTCGTGCCGCATCACCCGCTGCTGGATTTCCTGCCGTGGCCGCAGGTCCGCGACAGGATGATTGGCATCTTTTCGATGCCCGAGGGGATGAGGCCGCCTCATGCGGCGGGGCCGCTGGCGTTGGTCAACTTTGCGTACGACTTTGAGGATAACTCGGAGGGCGTGAGGGTCTATGGCGGGGATCCGTACGATGCGAGTTGCTGGGAGGTGGGACAGGTCTTGTTCGAGCGGTGGTGGTTCATCTTTGATCGGGATGTCATTGAGGTGAGCAATCGCTGGCGACGACTGAGGGGAGCACCGCCGCTGGCGCTGAAGGGGACGTCAGGTTAGGCTCTTTAGCGGGAAGAAGAAGTTGTGCTCAATGGCATTGCCTGTCACGTCAGATGGCGGGAGGCTGATGCCGAGGGAAGTTCGACCATGTGTGAGCTCCCGTCGAGTGTCTAACAGGCCAACGTTAACCGGTGACACCAGGGTCCACACCCTAGGCGGACGTGGTTGCTACACAAGAATATGATAAACTTGAAACTCAGACGAGCGGGTGCCTGCATCGGGTGTCATGATAGTTGAACAACAACAACAACAAATGTGCTTGTAAGACTCAACGCAGGGGGGTTTCTAGACAAGACTGGAGAGGCATCGTGCATCCACGCAGTCCCTGCCCACCCTGGTTGCCATGCCAAATAGAAAAACGTGGACGTTCGGTGAATTTTTGTCGGTGGATTTCGGAGTTGCATGGCGGACGACTTGGCTTACATGTTGCATGACTATCACTGAGTGCGTTTGCTATCTGCATACGTATGTGATGATAGATGACCTGGTGCGCGTACAGTACTCTGTGATTCAAGTGGCAAACGCGGAATGGTGCATGAATGAGGTTCATCGCTGCTCCGAGGCACAACAAGAGTTTGTGGCCGGCTGTCGTTTGGGTTGTGTATGAGGATAGAAGAGGCAGATGTTTGCCAAGGCTGAGATTCAACCTAGTGAGCAGTGTTTTTACGCACTGTATGGTGGCAGTAGTATCCCGCTTTTGACTTGATGTTACCGTCGGCAAAGCACCCGATCCGAATACGACAACTCGATACAACCCTTGGCCTGACAATTGACAATGTGAACTGCCCGCCGACTATATCATTGGGTACCACAATATATAGCTTACCTCATGAGTCTGGCTCCAACTTGACCGACACGCCAAGTATCAAGTCTACTTCAGCACTTTGAAGTCAAAAAGACCCTGACATTACCTGGGTAGTCAATAGTTGAGAGCACAGTGTACCCGCCATGTCAACACGGATCCAAAGGATGGGGTAGAAGAGCGGGTAAGATTCCAAGATCCTGTCAGACGGAGTTGGTGCACAGCCAAAGTACCCGGTACCTCCCACAGGCGATTTTTTCCTTCTTTTCTTTGCAAGGGCGGGGGAGGGGCCGCTCAACAATTTGGGGGAATCACAAGCCATTGATTTAGGTGCTCACTATATGTACAACAGCATGTACTATAGATGTCATGATTGGATGGGAAAATAGGTAGAGTAGGTATTGACCAGAGCTCGTCTGTTGCCTTAATAGAAAACAACAGACTGCATTAGTACTACTAGTACCTGGCAGGTTAACTAATGGCCAGACTACTAGGCCCCTGCCTCTATTTATAATAAAGGCGGTAATTTAACCTATATTTATTATTAATATATATCTAACTTTTTTAACTTTATAACACTATAACTTTATTAATTTAATTCTAATTAATGCTGTTTTTTAAAAGCATCTTCCTTACTATTTTAAATATATTATAGCTAAATTTAATAAGGCTAGCTTAAAGAATACAGCTGCTATAGCATAGGCTTATTTAAAAAGTAAGATATAAACCTGCTAAATATATATATTATAACTATTATAACTTATAATAATTTTTAAAATTATAATACTATTTTATATAAATAAAGCTTTTATTAAGAAATATATTAAGCTATTAAAGGCTAGCCTTACTTTACTAAAGCTTAATTTTAGCAGTCCTTTTATAGCTTTAATAAAAAAAGAGGAAATAGTAATAGTTATATATATATAATATATTAAAAAAAGTATATTTATACTTATAAAGGCCTGTTTTATTAACTAAGCTAACTTTTTTTATTAATATAAGTTATTTAGACTAGTTAAAGATCTTTTTAAATATTAAATTTATAAATTTAAAAATAGGCATTTTAAAATATACTTTTAAAAAGTAAAGATTAAAGAAATTTAATAAGCTAAGGCTAAGCTAGACCTTACTAAGCTTAACACTTAGTTTAATAAGCTTAAAGCTATTATAACTACACTTTTTATTATCCTTATAAATTTATAAAACTTTAATAAAACTCCCTTATAGCTTAGCTAAATAAAAGGCTTACTAAGACTTATTTCTACTTAAAAAAAAACTAATCTTTAGCTAATTATTTTCTAGCTAGGTAATAAGAAGTTACTAACCTTTATTAATATAATTAGTGCTATAAGAAAAGTAATCCCTTTCTTTCTTATTCTTTTTATAAAAGTTCTACTTAAAGACTATATAATAGCATTAATTAATAAAAACACTATTATTATATAAACCTTAACTAGCTTTAATAATATATAATAAGCCTTATAATAGCTATAATACTTTAATTAATACTTTTTTATATTTAGTTTAAGCTTTAAGGGCTTTATAATTAAAGGCTAGTTTAAGTATTTATTAAAGTTAATATATTTAACTTAAGAGATATTAAAATACTACTAGTAAGGCTATTTTTATTAAAAAATAAAGATAATTTATTATATTCTTTTTATAAATAGATTTATAGCTTATAAGGATTTTAAGTTTATATAGTATTATAATTTCTTTAATATTATGCCTTTTAAGCTCCTTATATATATAAGCTACTTTTTTTAACCTCTTAATATTAATATTTATTAATATTTTAAGTAGTAGTAATAGAAGTTACTTTATAACTTTATTATTACTAGTAGGATAAGTATTATAAAATATAACTTCTTTTATTAATAAGATAAGATATATAAGGCTGCTTTTAAGGTATGCTATATTTATTATAAATTTAAGCAGACTAGTTTATAGCCTTTAGATTTTAAAGTTATTTTAAAGCTATTATATTATAGCTAAATATAATAGCAGAAGCCTTTTTTATTTAGCCTGCTTATATAAAATATAATCTTATTATAATTAATTAAAAAAGCAGTATCTTTTATTTAAAAAAAGCTTAATATTTTAAGCAGCCTAATATAAAAGATTATTAATAGCGCCTTTATATATATAAACTTTATAATAATTATAAATTTATAAAATAAATAAATTTAATAATTTTAAGACTAATAAATCTAGTAAAAAGCTTATTAAATAAAGTCTTACTATTAGATTAAGGGCATTAATAATAGTATATATACTATTACTTAACTTTAAAAGAAAATTATAGCTTAATAATAAGAAGAAGTAAAGATCTAAGCCTAAGTATAGGTTTATAAGTAATAAGGCTAGCTATAATAGTAATAAGTTCTTAAGGCATTATAAGCTAAGCTTAAGCCTTGCCTTTATAGCTAAGCTGCTATTAAAGAAAAAAAGTATTAAAAAAAGGAATACTAAGCTAATTTTTAAAGCTAAAAGATAAAGGAAGAGAGAATTATATTAAAATCCTATCTTTAATAATAAAATAAGGCTAATAAGAAAAATTATTATTATCTTTTTATAATAATACCTCTTAGTATTATTAAAAAAATTCTTAATATTATAACCTAAATTAAAAAAAGGCATTAAATACTTAAAGATAAAGAAAATAACTTAAAAAAAAAAGATAATAATAACCTCTTTTATTTTAAAATAGGCTATATTTTAATACCTTTATTTAATAGCATTACTAGTAATAATAATAATAATAATAATAATAAGAAAAATAGTAAAATTAAAATTATTATAACTTTTAGCTATACCTTAACCTTAATAAATTAATTTTTTAATATCCTTAAGTTTTTTAAAATTAGCACTTTTAGTAATAAATATAATAAAGCTATAAATAAGGAAATTAATATAAATTTAAAGGTATTTAAGGCATATAAGTTATTATTAAAAAATAACTTTTTTATTATTATTATAAGGTAAAGAATTAGCATGCTAAAGTTATAAGTATATTTAATATAAAATATTTAAACTGCAATTTCTCTTTTACCTAGCATTTAACTATAATAAAATTTATATTAAAAAAAACTTTAATAGTAAATTTAGCTAGGAATTGCTTTTTTTAATAGAAATTATTTAATTATATATTTTATTATAGCAGTAAAGTTATAATAGTTAGATATATATTAATAATAGATACAGGTTAAATTACTGCCTTTATTATAAATAGAGGCAGGGGCCTAGTGGTCCAGCCATTAGTTAACCCGCCGGGTATTACCTATCTGCTTGCGTATCTTGGATTCAGGCTGGCAGCGGTAATAATAGGTACATAATACAATCTGGTAATCCATCCCATCGTGGGACTCGGAGTTGGTGCCCATGTCCTTGCTCCGGAGTACGGAATACTCCGACGAACACAGACACACCGGAGCTTCTTCTCAAGCTGCGTCTTTCCACTGCATCAGCAGCGTCATGGATGGTCAGCAATTCATGTCTCGAATCCATGAATCTTCCGAGCTGATTTACACGGCATGGTTGAGTACCTTAGGTATTACTTGCTACCTACCGTTAAGCTGCACGTATACAGTTGAGTTAACCGCGACAATTGTCAAGGTCATGAACCAGGTAGAGTACCTTACTGCTCTCAGATGTACACGTTACATGTACTTTCAACTTCGTGGAGGTCATATCCCACGTTTAGCGGGTGGCGGGGTCCAGGTACCAAGGGGTGTACCAGCAGTCCTCGCATTCTGCAGGTACTATCCCCAGCGTTGTGCACTCTTACATGCGTAAAACGTAAGGTAAAACAAACTTGCAGCCGCCATGCTTGCCATCAGCAAACGGTACGGGCAAATGCTCTCAAAGTCGCACACTGTAGACCCTTCTCGAAACTGTGTCACAACACGCGGCCTCCATTCACTCTCCTCTTCTGTAGGTACCTATCAATAGGCACAATGCACATGCCAGCCAGCGTGAGGCACTTACATGCAGTTCCCTGCTGTGCTAACCTAAAGGTACCTCAAGTCCGTCTTAGCGGCTCGTACCCTGCAAGTACCCATCCTCCGGCCATTCTCAATCGGGCGGGCGGTGACCACCCCTCGGCCAATCACAGCCCCGCCATCTTTCGGAGAGTCGCATCTGTCATTCTCATTGTTCCGCATCCAAATTTCGGCCATTATTCTCTGTTCTTTTTCCTCGACCTTGTCTTCTGCTCTCCCTCTCTTCTTTCACACCCGTATATCTGCCCTCTGCTATCTTTTCGTCCCAGTATAGCAACTTTGTTTTTCTCCCTCCTCTTGTTCTGTCTAATCCTCCTCGCCCTTTGCACCTTACACTCCTCCGATTGCTCTCTCTTGAGAGAAGCTCGATCCTCGACAAACTTGCGACCCGCAGCTCGGCGGACTGTCGGAGGCGTTGGTCGATCCATTAGCCTTGACCCTGCGAGCAGAATTGTGACGCTTTGTTGGACTTTTTGCACGCTGGCATTCTGGTTTCTCTGTCCTTTCTCTGCCTCAGACTGAGTGGAAGTTGGTTTTTGCTTCACTCGTCTACTTCAAGTTTGTGGTGAGTTGACGTCGCTTGTTTCCAGCCAGTCCCTAGCATCTTTGACACTTCCCCTACTGACATCTTCGACCTCCCCCCGATACTAGAAAGACAATCTCTTGCGCATGAGCAATCGAGTTGATTCCTCGAGTGTCTTGACCTAATCGAATCCCTCTCTCCATATCATCCGTTGCCCATCATGCACATCAGAGACTTGGTCGCCGACACGGAGAAGTCCGGGGCTCCGTCCTTCTCCTTCGAGTACTTCCCGCCCAAGACCGCCCAGGGTGTCCAGAACCTCTACGACCGCATGGACCGCATGAACAACTTTGGTCCCAAGTTCATCGACATCACATGGGGCGCCGGCGGTGGCATCGCAGAGCTGACCTGCGAGATGGTCGTCCAGGCCCAGGCCGTCTATGGCCTCGAGACCTGCATGCACCTCACCTGCACCGACATGGGCCTGGAAAAGGTCAACGACGCCCTGCAGAAGGCGTACAAGGCCGGCTGCACCAACATTCTTGCCCTCCGCGGCGACCCTCCCCGTGACCAGACGTCGTGGAAGGCCGCGGACGGAAACTTCCAGTACGCCCGCGATCTCGTCAAGCACATCCGCGACACATACGGCGACCACTTTGACATTGGCGTTGCTGGCTATCCCGAGGGCTGCGACGACAACAAGGACGAGGATCAGCTGCTCGACCACCTCAAGGAGAAGGTGGACATGGGCGCCGGCTTCATCGTCACGCAAATGTTCTACGACGCCGACAACTTCATTCGGTGGGTCGGCAGGGTCCGCGAACGAGGCATCACCGTCCCCATCCTGCCCGGAATCATGCCCATTGCCACGTATGCCAGTTTCCTGCGTCGTGCCAAGCACATGCAGTGCAGGATCCCCCCCGACTGGATGGCCAAGCTCGAGCCCGTCAAGAACGACGACGTCGCCGTGCGTGAGATTGGCAAGACGCTGGTCGCCGACCTGTGCAGGAAGCTCCTCGCCAACGGCATTCACCATCTCCACTTCTACACCATGAACCTCGCCCAGGCCACGCGCATGGTTCTCGACGAGCTCAACTGGACCCCTTCGCCCGAGCGTCCCCTCAAGCAGCCCCTCCCCTGGAAGCAGTCCAAGGGCTTCGGTCGGCGCGACGAGGACGTGCGCCCCATCTTCTGGCGCAACCGCAACAAGTCGTATGTCATCCGCACCCAGGACTGGGACGAGTTCCCCAACGGTCGATGGGGTGACTCTCGCTCTCCTGCCTTTGGAGAGCTGGACGCTTACGGCATCGGCTTGACCGGCACCAACGAGTCCAACCGCAAGAAATGGGGCGAGCCCAAGTCCGTCCAGGACATTGCCACCACCTTTGTCCAGTATCTCGAGAAGAAGATCGAGACGCTGCCGTGGAGCGAGTCCGCCCTCTCCGCCGAGGCGGACCCCATCAAGGACGACCTCGTCGCACTGAACAAGCGCGGCCTCCTCACCATCAACTCGCAGCCCGCCGTCGACGGCGCCAAGTCCAACCACCCCGTCCACGGCTGGGGCCCTTCCAACGGCTACGTCTACCAGAAGGCGTACCTCGAGCTGCTCATGCCGCCCTACCTGCTAGAGGAGATGATCCGCCGCCTCGACGACTTCCCCAACCTGACCTACTACGCCGTGACCAAGAACGGCGAGCTCAAGTCCAACGCGCCCTCTGACGGGCCCAACGCCGTCACCTGGGGTGTGTTCCCCGGCAAGGAGATTGTCCAGCCCACCATCGTCGAGTCTGTCAGCTTCCTGGCCTGGAGGGACGAGGCTTTCCGCCTGGGTGTTGACTGGGCCCATTGTTTCGACGCCGGCACCCCCAGTCGCGCTCTCATCGAGGATATCATGAATAACTGGTACCTCGTCAACATTGGTATGTTTTTCTTTTTCTCCCACTCACTCTTCAACTTTTTTTCTCCATCTTTGGTTTTCTTGATAACTAACCGGGCCGTGTCATAGTGAACAATGACTTCCGCGAGAACAACACCATCTTCGCCCTGCTCGAAGGCCTCGAAGTCAAGGACCTCGCCGTCCCCGCCTCCGGCACCACCACCTCCGCCTCCGGAACTGCCTAAGCTGCCCTCTTCACATCTCTCACTGCTTTTTTTTTTTCTTTGCTTTTGATTATCATTTCGGCGCAAATTTCATTTTCTCTTTAAACGCGGCGTTTGATTCTTTCTCGGTGTCTTTTTCAACAAAAAGCTCACACCGAAAGGCAAGTATTACTATTTGAAAACGGGTGACGTGGTTTTTAAAAAAACGCTCCCGGGCGGCGGGCGCAACGGGAACAAGTGGACAACGGAAGAAAAACCCGAAAAATAACGAAAATCTGGATTTTGGCTTGGGAGAAAAAAAGGAAAGAAGCCCGGTTCTACATTTGGAATGATTGCATATTATATATCTCAACGATACCCCCGCCTGCGGACATTTGTTTTTGCTCTTGTTTTTTATTTTGATTTTTCTTCTTTTCTTTTGGTCTTTTAGGTTATGAGTTGGGTAGAGGGAGAGAGAGCTAGAGAAAGGGGGCCGAGCTTGGAGCAGGAATCGAAGCAGTTGAGGTTGGAGTGGAGATGAGCAGGCAATGAAAGAGACTTCATGGGTGACTGGCTTGTTCGATATGGGTTGATATGCTGTGCGTCTTGTATGTACATGTCAAGGCAGTACCCCTATATAGCACCTCGTATATACATACCTCGCAGAGCATAACCCTCTCGCCCGTTTCCTTCATATCTAGCGTCTTCCAATGGATCGCATCTCGTCAGGCAAAGTGCATATGCACCATGTCCTTTAATGAATATATACTTGGATACAACATGCATGACAATAATACGTCACGTCAGTGTGTCTCAATCTCGTCTTTCTTTCCCATCATAGCCTCCTAATTCCAAAACTTGACAATTACCAAACATTGCTCTGCCAAGTATTACCAAGATGTAGCAATACATCATCGTCTAAGGTAGTATCATCTCCAACAGCTTTCCCGTTTCCTTAAAACCCCAGTGTCACTTTCACCCATTCATCCATACCTAGGTACTCTCTGTAGGAAAGGTTTACTGATTTATCCATCATTCTTATTTTGTACATGCCATTTACAGCATCAATCTAGACAGGCTTCATGACGAATTGTCCTTGCCCCTTTCTTCCTCCCGCTGTATTCGAAAATCCTCCCTCCCCTCCTTTTCCTTGCTCTACTACTACTAATACTACTACTCCCCTGCCCCCTGCCCCCTACAGCCATTGTTATTCAACCCATTCTCCCTCTTCCTCCTCGCCAACATCATAATCCATGTCAACCTGCCGCTCCCGCATGTGCTCCCCCAGCGAGCCAGCATCCGCAGCCCCGTCATCGTCGTTGTTGTCGTTCATCCCAGCCATGGCATCGCCATCCTCCTCCGGCTCCTCGTTCTTCTTGGTGGATCCGACGGGCGGCAACGGGGTATTGACCCAAGCGAGGTCCAGCGTGCCGCTCACGCCGGGCAGTTCTTTTCCATGCAGGCTATAGTAAAACTTTTCGGCAGTCTTGCGATCTTGGAACGATACGTACGTAACGGAAGGCGTGGTTTCCACGGACTCGAATTCGCCCAGGTTCTGGTCCGAGTTAGCAATCCCAGGTCCCGATATCTCTTCCCTTGCCCGGTATGATCTAGAACTCACCAGGAGGAAATGCCTAAGAGCCTCATCCTTGTCCGCAGGCGTAAAGTCAACGCCGGTGACGGCCAGCTTCCTCGGCCGGTTATCCAGTGAATACTGTGCATAGGCCGCATGTCTTCCCACCTGGCCTCTAAACGAGCCGCGGCCGCGAGGCGCGAAACCTCCCCGATCGCTTCCCCGGCCGCGACCCCTGTATCCCCGGCCTCGTGAGCTGTAGCCGCTTCCGTCCTCTGTCGCGTTGGGGTCGATGCCGAGAATCTTGGCCTCCTGCTCCAATGCGGCCAGCTGGGCACGCAGCATCTCCGTCGACGAGGAAGATCCAGAGGCTTTGCCGTCTCCCGTCGCGCCACTCTTCTCTGCTAACCTTGCCTTGAGTCTCTCGCTTTCGGCTCTGTGCTTCGCCAGCAGCTCCTGCTGCTTCTTTTCCAATTCCTGACGCTGTCTCTCTAGCTCTATTCGCTTGGCTTCCTTCTCCTGGTACTGCTTTTGCGCTTCCTCTTGCCTCCTCTGAAACTCTTCCATGTCGATATCAGCCTCATGCTCTGCACCCGGCGCGGCAGATCCATCGCGGTTCAAGTGAGGTGGCACGCCATTTCCACTCCCCGATGCCGCCAAAGAGGTTGCCTTGGCGCCCTCTTCCTTGTACCAAAACACCTTGACGAACCGGTTATCAAATATCACCTTGGGCGACCGGTATGCTGCATTCGCCGATGCCCACTTGTCGTACTTGACAATCGCCAGATGTTTGTACGGCTGCATCTGAACATCGACAATGTCGCCAAATTGCGAAAAGAAGGCGCGGACCTGGTCTTCGTCAAAGTTCTCCTCGGGAATGTTCTCGACAACAATGGTGCTCTTGGTACGATCGTTGACGGGACCCTCTGCCGAGAAGGGAGCTCGCGCGCCCCCTTTCTTGCCGCCGCGGCCTCCGCGTCCACCACGACCGCCTCGACCTCGACCACGGCCCATCATGTCCATGGGGAACGAGTAGGGGTTTGCGCCCATTCCAATCACAGCGTTGCTGGGATCGTACTCTATGAGAAAAGCGAGCGTTAGTCTGAAGGTCTTCCAAGTTTCGAGGTTTCAAGTGGTTTCTCGTCCTACGTACCCTCGACTCCGGAAAACACGGGTGGAACATAGACAGAGTTTCCATGATCATACATGCACTGGTTTCCGCGAGAGCAGTACCCCTTGGTATCAAATTCACGGCAGCGCCCTCTCCGCCGTTGCGAGTTTCTCCCACCTGCCGCAGGCATCTGGGCCATGAACTCGGCCATGCCAGGGTACGGAATGCCCATGGCCTGCATCTGCATGATGGTCTCGAGGGCGCTCTTCGGGTCAAAGTGCTTCATGCCGGGCATGGAGTCCACAGACACGTAGCCGCCCATTGCCGAGTCATCTGCCCTCCCATGGGCTGAACCTCGGCGAGGCTGCTTATGGTGTCTGCCATGGGTCGCGTGGCTGTCGTATCCACCATCGTCGTGTAGCCCTCGTTTTCGTGACGGCGGGTGCGTCGCACCAGTGTATGTGCTCGAGGGCGTAGCCAGAGGAGGATCTGAAGCGCCAATGGCACCGGCACTGGCACTGGCACTTCCACTGGCAACAGGCTTCGGAGGCGGGGGAGCACCTGGCCGATAGGACTTGTACGCGATCGCTTGGAAGACGTCGTCTAGAAAGGTCTTTGGATCTATGATACGCAAGAGCAAGGAGAATCAAGAGTCAGCGCGCCCTTCTGTTCACATCTTGGTTGGCCAGCGCCGCAAGCGCGTCTCGCCCAATACTCCAACGAACCTTCAGTCAGGAAATCGGGAATCTCAGCTTCGCAAAGCTTCCGCACCGACTCGGCGTCGCCATCGTGTTTCAGCAGAGCAATGACATAGTCGGCAAGCACATCGGAGTCCGCATCGGATCTGCACACAGAGAGAGAGAGAGAGAAAAGGAGAGGTCAGCATGGACAGCATGAGCAGGGCAGGGTTCCAGAGGAGCGGCGCGTCCTCATTTCCGGGGGCAGACAAACGTGTTCTCAATGCGCTTGACGATCCAGGTCTTTAGCAGCGGCGCATCCTCTTCCGGGAACAGCATCGTTCGAGCAGGTCTGATTCAAAAGGCAGACAGAAGCGAGGATCGGAGAGAAGCAATGGAAGAAAAGCGATGATCAAAGAACCCTGTCGATGACCATGTATGAGGAAATTGAGTTCTCGAGATGGCGCGTTGAGCGATAGAGACTGTTCAAAGAGACAAGCAATTCGAGCACTCTTGCGTTGACCCAAAAGTGAGCGAGCAAAGGGGGGGGGAAGAGAAAAGAGAAGTGAGAAGATGTGAGAAGAGGCTGAAGCCTGGGTTTTGCTCACTTCCAAGCTTTGAACTTGGCACAGAGCTCGAGGCAAGGCTGCGCCTGACGATGGCCCATGGAAGGTGCCGCTCAGTGGCTTGCAAAGTGGGGGCCGCCACTCGACCAGCTTTGCTTTGCTTTGCTTTGCTGTCTGACAAGCTTCAATTGCTTGCCATTTGACTGGCTCAACAGCTGCAACGTATCTTCAAGAGCCTGGCAGTGACTATCATCTAGACTGCAATCACGTTAATGTTCCTGGCGATGGAATATGCTCACTTTGGACGAAAAAACCCTGGACGAGAGTAACATTGCATTGTGTCTCATTCAGTAATGCCTGGGTATCCGGTTTTCAACTTCTTCCGGAGTTGTCAAGCTACTCATCATCACAAGAGGCTCTAACCTACAACGGCTGTGTGTTACCTTTTCCAACCTTGGAAAACTAAGTCGACACGTATAATGTAGACAAAAAATCAGAATGGAACAAGGACCGTCGATTCGAGCGGCATATACTGTTATAGCCATCTCACTTGTAGACACTCACGAAGACAAAATGCAAATACTTGAAGTCTCATAAATTTCATTCATTCTTCCCCTGGCATAACTACATGCATGATAAGCCGCCAAGCTGGACCTCCCTTGATTACGGTCTCAGCCCAGTATCCACGGGGTTTCCCTTATTTTTTTTTCTTTCAACGGGTATTTTTTTTCCTTCTTGTCAACCGTCCAGTTTTCAAATCAGCGGGGCGGCGAGCCCTTCAAGATGCGAGCAGTGACTCTTGATCTTCGCTAACAGCTGGCTGACATGGTGTGCCCATCTCGACACGAATGATGATTCTATCGGCGAATAAGGGAGCCGTTTACAGCTTGTCATAGTACTGGAGAAAATGTTAGCTTTAGACGTCGACTGGTGAGACGAAAAAGGATCAAAACTTACGTTCTCAACACCGGGAACCTCAACCTTGATACCCTTGCGCTTACGCATCTCGGTGACAATAGCACCGACCTTGGAGGTGGGGTCAAGAGGAGAGCCACCAGGCAGGACCTGGTAGTGGTCGAAGACGGACTGGGGGAAGGCCTGGCCGGAGGTGGCTTGACGCAGATCAGCGTTGAAGCCGAAGGACTCGAGGACGGGCAGGTAGGCCTTGATGTTGAAAAGAGGAGTGCCGGGACGCTGCTCCTCGTTGAAGACGTGACCACGACGGCGGGTCAGGACACCGTAGACACCACCCATGGCAGTCTCGGGGACCTGAATCTCGACCAGGAAGATGGGCTCCTGCAGAGCAGGCTCAGCCAGCAGAGTAGAGGCGTACAGGACACGACGAGCAGTGGGGATGATCTGGCCACCACCACGGTGGATAGCATCAGCGTGCAGAGTAACATCGAGGATGTTGAAGCGGATGGCACGCATGGGCTCCTCGGCAATGGGACCCTCACGGGTGGCCCACTGGAAACCAGAGACGACGGAGTCCTTGATTTCGTTGAGGTACTGGACGGCCTTGGTCTGGTCGACGAGCAGGTTGGCACCGGTGCCGTCGGGGCCGAAGGTCCAGATCTTTCGGGCGTCGGTGACATCCCAGCCGAAGTCGTCAGCGAGGACACGGGCACGAGCCTTGAAATCGTCACGGGGGGCGATCTTGCCGCTCTCGATGGCGTTGGCGAGCTCCTCGTCCATGGGCTCAGCAACCATGTAGAGACGGTTGTGCTTGTTGGGGGACTTGGACAGGGCAGTGATGCTGGACTTGGCCTGGACGGTCTCACGGTACTGGACGACGGGGTCGGAGATGATCAGGGGGACACCGGCGTGGTCGTTCTCGAGGTCGTTCAAGCAAATCTCAAGATGCAGCTCACCGGCACCGGCAACGACGTGCTCACCGGACTCGGAGGTGGAGATGAGGACGCAAGGGTCGGACTTGGACAGACGCTTGAGACCCTCGACCAGCTTGGGCAGGTCCTGGGCGTTCTTGACCTGGACGGAGCGTCGGACGACGGGCGAGACGGAGAACTTCATGACCTTGAGGTTGTGGGCGGTCTCGCTGGTGGTCAGGGTACCGGACTTGAGCAGGAACTGGTCGATACCGACCAGACCGACAATGTTACCGGCAGGCATGTCGTCGATGGGCTCGACCTTGCCGCCCATCATGAGGACGGTACGCTGGATGGCCTTGATGAAGAGATCATCCTTCTTGCCGGGGGTGTAGTTGGGGCCCTGGATGCGGACCTTGAGGCCGGAGCGGACGATACCGGAGAAGACACGACCGAAGGCGTAGAAGCGGCCCTTGTCGGAGGTGGGCACCATCTTGGAGACGTAGAGCATGAGAGGTCCCTTAGGGTCGCAGTCACGGATACCAATGGCGGCCTCGTCGTCCATGGGACCCTCGTACAGGGTCTCGACACGGTACTTCTGGGCGGTGACGGGAGAGGGCAGGTGGAGGATCATCATCTCCAGCAGGGAGTCGGCAGCGGGCAGGAAAGTGCGCATGACGGCCTTGAGCAGCTGCTTGCCCTCCTTGGAACGGTCATCGGGGGTGAGGGTGAGGTTGAGCTTCTCGAGCAGGGTGGTGATCTCGTCCTTCTTGAAGTTCATGACGGCGGAGAAGATCTTGAAGATGGGGTCGAGGATGAACTGGTTGAAGGCACGCTCGAGCTGCTTGCCCTCGTAGGTGCCGTTCTTGGTCCACTTCTTGGTGTGGGGGTTGAAGTAGTTGTCGCCCCAGAGACGCTCCATCATCTTGTTCTTGTCAACACCAAACTTCTTGGCGTAGCGGACGGCGAACTGGCGGACGGTGAAGGCCCAGCCGTGCAGACCGGAACCGAAGGCGACGGTGCCCTTGTAGGGGTAGACCTGGAGGTCGCCGAGGGACTTGTCGAGGTAGGTGGAGATGATGACGTTGACGGACTCAATGGTACGGGAGAAGGACTGGTACAGGTCCTCCTTGGAAATCTGAAGCTCGAGAAGAGCACGGTCGACCTTGTTGATGATGACAACAGGCTTGATGCGCTCACCGAGAGCCTGTCGGAGCACGGTCTCGGTCTGGACGCAGACACCCTCGACGGTGTCGACGACGACGAGAGCACCGTCGGTGACACGGAGAGCAGCAGTGACCTCGGAGGAGAAGTCAACGTGACCGGGGGAGTCGATCAGGTTGATCAGGAAGTCACGGCCATCGGTCTTCTGGCCGACAATGTCCTTGATGTCCTCCTCGTCCTCGAGCTGGCCGAACAGGGAGATGGCGGTGGACTTGATGGTGATACCACGCTCCTGCTCGTCGGCACGAGTATCTGTTGCTCGGGCCTCACCAGCCTTGGCAGTGGAAATGATACCAGCCTTGGCCAGCAGGGAGTCGGTCAGGGTGGACTTGCCGTGATCGACGTGGGCAATGACGGACATGTTTCGGACATTGGTGGGCTTGTCCATCAGCGCCCGGATCTCGTCGACTGTGAAGCTGTCATGAGGGAGCCGGCGGTCAGCAACATGGTCATGGCAAGAGGCATGGCACCGAGGAGAAGGTAGAGGGGAGGGGGAGGAGTAGTAGAGAGCATGAGTTGTGAAGCTCAAGTCTCAGCTAATCCCCCATGAAGATTTGCAATAGTAACAGCACGTATGGGCAGGCAAGAAGAAGAAAGGAAAAAAGTTTTCGGGCATAGGCCCCATAAGGTGAAAAGCCCAGTCGAGACGAATGTCGTGTTTGAGGCTACACACAAACAGCAACATGACAGGCAGAGGAAAGGACACGATGGTGAAGCCCAAGGACAGGAGGCTCAAACGGCAGAGACAAAGCAACGAAATCATCGACTTACTTCACCATCTTGGCGGTATTGCGGCTCGGAGCCTGCCTGGAAAACTTGAGGGTGGTTTTTTGGGTGGTGTAGGAGGAAGAAAAAAAGAGAAAAAGAGCAAAGCGGGGTTGAAGAATTTGACCCCGCGCTTTATGCTCAAGTGGTTACTAAAGAGCAGCTGCTGCGTCAGCACAAGCTCGAGCCTATAAGGTAGCAAGAGAAAAGCTATTGATTGCTTGAATAGCAGTGGCAAAAGGGAAGGGGGGGAAAGACACTCACTTGCTGGTGCAGGAGAACAGCGAATCGATCACTGATGCACTAAAACAAGAGTGAGAGAAAAGTAGAACAAAAAAGACACACTCTTCTTCTCTCTGAGGGGAGGAGAGCTGCGAGGGAAAAAAGAGGGTGGGCTGCGATTTTTATCAGCAAGTGGAGGGGCACGGGAAAAAAAAAATTGGCAGTTTTTTTTTTTTTTTCTTCCCTTGAGGCGCTTGCTGTGGGTGGACACTGTCGGGCTGTAGGTGAGGCAACTCCTAGGTAAGGTAAGGTCAGGTATAGAGTGGCTCAGGTGTGACTGGCACGGGCAGCTTCTTCTGCTGGGCTGTGCCAAACCTTGTCAACGGTTGATGTGAAATAATATTTAATTGATAAAATTGAACTTGACCATAATGGCCATACATAAAGGCTAATCTCTAATTGATTGAAGCAGGCAATCATTCTGCAGTTTCTTGCTATCGATCCTTGTCTGGTGGAGAGGACAAAAGACACCGTCCACCAACCCAGTGGTCCATCTGCTGCAAATCCTGACGCAAAATGCTTCAATGCCAACGCCGGCAAAACTCCACCCACTGCTCCAACAGGGCTAGGGCTCCCATCTCAAACAATCACCGCTAGTCCTCTATAGTCGGTGCAAAAAAGAGGCCGAGCAACGGGGAATAATATTGGACTTGCTCGCTCGCAAAAAAAAAGAAGTGGAGGGCTCAGAAGCCCTCACGGTGATACGGGGCCTAAAACCCGGGTCAAGTCGTTCGATGGGACATGCATGCAATGCCTGGAAGCGGAAGCTGGGAGGCTTATCAGCTGAGCGAGCATGTACTTGTGATACCTAGTTACTCGGTCCTGTGCTTGTTCTGCTGTTGACAGACTTGAATTGCCCGTCCTCAGGCAGGTGGTATCAGTATTAGCAGAGCATACAGGAGGCATCTTAGCTATACCTACCTATAGGTACCTATCATCCATCAGGACCATTAATCAGCAGCAGCTCAATCTCACAGCTCCTCACAGCTCCTGGTGCTTTCAAATTGTACTCATATCGATAACATCACAAGAATGTAATGAACCACCGTAAAATACCGTGAAAGTCGCCACCGCAGCTCCATCCAGCCGTTTTTTCATCATCGACATACAAACAGACCCTCCCAAAGCCTCCATGCACAGAGGAGAAGGAAAAGAAGCAGAAAAAAAAGGATACACACATTAGAGAGTGCGCAACAAATATAGGCACACATTGGCACTAATACGAGCACCAATTTCATCCAGTTTTTGGTGGTGATCGTCGCATTTGTGTGCGCATCGTTGGTTTTCATGTAAGCCCATGTTTACCTTGTTCCCTGTTTTTTCTTTCTCCTGCAAAACCGCTTGAGGGGCTCACAATACGAAGGGGCAAAATGAGCGGGTCTCTTATACCATATGCTTGCCATGCACTCCTCATGCCGTTCAATCATTACTCGCTGATTGGTTGTTTCTCTAGACGGATTGAGATGCATGTTCTGGCTGGATGCTGGCTGATACGATACGGCAGAGGCTCGACGAGGCTGGATGAGGCTTGACAAAAGGCTCTCAGTCATCCGGTGAAAGGTATCAATCAGTGATTACACGAACTACACAGGTAGGTACAGCTAACAGTCATAGCATCCAACATGGGTAGCAACATTATTACTTCCTTGAGCCATCAGCATGGGTGCCTACCTAATCACCCGGATCTAATACCAGTCACTCGCCGTCTCATCCATACAAGAAGACCGGAAGCTTGTGTGTATACATTGTAGTCAAAGAAAAAGAAAAGAAGAACGCCACAAACTCCCTTTTATTATCCCATGTGACTCACACCGAAAACGCCTCTCCATCACCCTCATGACGACCCCAAGATGCGCGAATACGCATCCTCCACCTCGCCCGCCAGCTCCAGCAGCGACACAATCACAATCTGGTGCGTCAGGTTCGGCAGCCTGTCCCTGTGCAGCCCGATCCACTCCAGCGGCGGCGTCGCCTCGCCCATGTCGCGCAGCTGCGGCGTCTCGATAATCGGCGGCTCCAGCGCCAGGTACTCGTACTTGGACTGCGGCACGTTCACCTCGGCCGTGATCTTCTGCTGCTCGCCGCCCTCCCGCCGGCCCTCCTCCGCCTCGGGCACCCCCGTGATCTTGACCGCCGTCAGCGGCAGCTGCCGGCCCCACGTCTCCTCCAGCGACTTGTTGTGCTTCGCCCACATGCCCCGGATGTAGCTGATGCGCGAGTAGTTCCATCCCACCTCCACCTTGCCCTCGAACGCGCTCTTGAACAGGTAGTCAATGTGGTTGCTGTTGGGCGCCTGCCACGTCTGCATCACGGCTTCGACCTGCGGCACCTTGAGGATCGTACCGCCCCGTGACCCCGTGGCCCGCTGCACCACGTCTTCCACAGACATCTCGCTGAGCGTCTTCGGGGCTTCAATGTTCCTGACTCCTGCCAGTCCGATCCGGAGCTGTCCCAGCGTCATCCGCAGCATGCTGTGAATCCGTCGGTCCTCTATGCTGGCCGCAAACCGCGCGTACGCGTTCAGCGCCTCCATCTTGAACACCTGGTGGTCGTAAAACGTGTTGGGGAACACGCCCAGGTTGAGTGCTCGCAGCGTCACGACCACGTCCGTATCGAGCGAGATCGGCGACTTGGACATCGTGTCGTCCTCTGGCAGCTTGGGAGTCCTCGTTGCTGCCGAAACTGAGAGTCGTGGCGCCGTGGATTTCCGTCTCATAAACTTCTCAATCTCCTTCAGCGACAGTTCAAAGTTCTCCCTCCGCTCCTGCATCAATTTCTGTAGAGCTTGGTAGAGCGATACGGCCTGGGCAGCTGATGTCGCCGTGCCAAACACTTGAACAGCATCGCCGACGAACTCTGCCACCAAGCGGTCTCCTCGGCCCTTGCTGCCGTCTCTCACGTTGTACATGAGAAACTCTAGCGAGGTAATGTCCGCAATCAAAAAGGCTTGGTAGTCAAACGCAGCCTTGATGCGTAGCTCTTTGAAGGCAATGGACGCTTGTACAAGGGGCGTCTCGTTGAGTGCTTCCTCCCGCTTCGGCCATTGGATCGAGGTGCGCAGTTTGAAGTGCCGCAGGGCGACGAACCCACTCAAGCGGCCGGTGCAGTCAATACCAATCATCTCAAACCCAAGACAGAGGTTCTGCTCCCAGTCTGACGTCTTCTTGGATGACACCCAGAACTTGTTGATTTGGAAGACTGATTTGCCAATCGCCTGTCCCATGTCGACGCTGACATCGAGAGCCGAGATGGATATCGTGGCCGTCCATGGGAACGCTGCTGTCGCGGCCACCTGCTGGTACCTCTGGACCAGGTGGCCTTGCGATGTCTCCGTGGCCAGCTTCGGCAACGGTGTCGTAGAGTCTGCTTTGCTCAGGTCCTTGGGATACCAGATTTCGCGGAACAGCAGAAAATCTTGCACCTGTTTCGCATTGACCGCAATCTTCATGGGGCTTACGCTCAGGATGGCCGACACTCCGCTGGTCCCGCTGACGTGCTTGCTGTTCATGAACGAAAGGGTGACGGTGTCGACTTCGAAGCTAGCAGTAGATTCCCTCGAGTACACGTGCTGTACCGAGGCTTGGGGCTTGTTAAGAACCCCGGATATGGCAAAGAAATTTCCGTGCTCTTGCGACGAGACCGTGTTGAGCGTAAAGTAAACGTCTTGAAAGCTCGTCGTTGCGGCAACCCGAGCTATGGGCTGGCAGCTCAACGAAAACTCCTGTCTGCAGATGCGCAGACCCAGATTGAGCTTGACGCGACCCAGCATCACGCTTGGGTCCGCAGTGAGAATGTTATCCTCATCTCCAGACTTTTCGGCCTTCATCTTGGGCGGCTCGGGTTTCGGAGCTGGTTCGCTGTCCTTGTCTTTGCTCACGACTTCCTTGACGCTCGACACGATATCCATAATGAGAGGGACAACTGACGGATAAAGAATGTTGCTCGAAGCATCAACCTTGATCTCGCCAGACAAAGCAGGGTTGTCCCGGCCATTGTCGCAATACTCTGCCTTCCATGCGAGCCCAGGACTGCGCAGTACCGCGCCGCTTCCCGAGTCATCTGTACTGAATTGGCCATATTTCCCTGCCAGGGATGGGCGGTCGTTGCGTAGTCGAGCAGACCCATGAGCCGCAGATTTGGCGCTTGATACATAGACAACCGCGCCTGCGAAATCCGCGTCCATGAGCAAGCTCTCCAGTCGCTTGTTGCCGAAGACACTCCGTGAGCTCTCCGTCCTCGGCGCGCTCGCAGGCTGCTTCTTGCCGTTACTGTTGTCTTGCGCGCCCTCGGTATTCCATTGCACTGATGCTCGCCGCACGTTCTTCGCTGACAGGGAAATCGACTCCACCAAGTTTGCCGCAGGGACGATAAAGGCCGAGGTCAGTCTCAAATCCAACGACGCGCCCACGGCTTGGAATGCCAGACGACGAGCATCTTGCGTAGAGAAGTAGGCAATGTTGAAAATGACTTGTGGGAGAAGCGCCGAGTGTAGAGATCGGATGCTCCTGTCCTGGCCCGGAGGCACGGTCTGGAGCTGGAAGTCTTCGATGGCCAGTCGCGCGGATCGCTTGGTCCTCGTGCCGAATTCGATGAGCCTGACTGAGAGCACCAAATCTTCTTCATCGCTCTCCTGGTGACCACTTTCATCTGCAACATTCCACGAAGCACGGATGTTGCGCAATTCGAAGCGATACACGACCGATCCCAGGATGGATTCAAGAATATCCGGATACTCTGGCAGTACCTCGTCATCGTTGATGGAGATACGCGGCTTCGGTTGTCGAAGCTTTCTCAGATATTCCAGTTCGCGCGAAGTGTCTAGGTCCTTGATCTTTGTTCCGAGGTAGCCCAGCACATCAACAGCCGTCGAGGTCGTTTCCGGACACAGGCTCACGTCCAAGTCGTCGCTTCTGAAATTGAACGACCACTCGTCATTGCCGCCCTCCCCAGGGTTTGAGCTGGCGGACACTGTGAAGCTCGCGCCAAAGTTGCCGCACGACCTCATGTTGCCCTCTGTTCCCTTTTCAATGTCGAACCCAACGTGTCTGAGGTTCAAGTGCATCTCTGGGTACTTGAGGACAGGGCCGTCAACCTCATGACGATTGGACGCTCTCAAATATGCTTTGTCCATGGAGAAGAGGACGTGCGCAGTTGCCTCCGTATCAGACTTCAACGACGTCCGGGCAGCAACCTGCAGCCCTGCCAGAGTAAGATGCACCGCATACACGAGATTCGAGCCCGGTTTCTCCTCAACTTGCTTGTCCTCGCTGGCTCCAAAGATGTCCTCTATGTGCTCCTGTATGGCCTTGGACTGCTGTTGTACCTCGTCAATGGCACTTGATATCTGCGGTCGGTTCAGCGCTGTGAGGAGATTGTATATCGCTGATGCATCGAGGCGCATGACTTCGACGGAGCACAGCACGTTCAGGATACGTTCGGCCTTGTGCCCTTGGCTCAGCGTGACCCGTCCGTTGGTAGGTGGTATCTGCAACAAGGATATAGTTCGAGACTCGTTCTTGACGTTGATCTGCATCTCATGAGAGTTCTCTTTGATGTCAAAGTCAAAGATGAGCTCTTTCGAAGAGTTGGCCGCACACGCTGCTCGCGCCACGACGCCCGAGATTTGATACGTGAGAGTCGGTATCAAAGGTAGCCTAATCTCGTAAGCATCTAGGAACGTGGCGATGTTGATCTTGAAACTGGAGGGACGGTTGCCCGTCTCAGCCTCTGGTGTTGTTTGCGGCTTTGGTGATTCTGGAAATTGAGTCTTCAAGCGGTAAATTTGGGCAATTTCGTCTCTGAAGAGAAGGTCGAGAACTTCCATGAGACCAATGGGGTCCTGCTTCACGGCAAGAGTCAGGCTCTGGCTGCTAGCCGTCGCCTTGATCTTGTGCGCAGGCGCTTCATCAACTGATCGCAACTCGTGAGACACACACAAGCTTGGTCTCCGGAACTGTGACATGCCAAGCTGGTGAGAATGGCTATGCAGCATCGAGGTGACGGCATCGCAGTTGATCATCAGGCTAGTGAGAGTTGCGCCATCCGCCGTATCAAAGGTGAGTAGGGACGCTTTGAGTCCATCGCCCAACGTCTTGGCGCTCAGATTGACCGTCTCGAGCTCGATGGATCCCTTGATCAGCTCAAGAGCCAGGTGATATGCAGACGATTTCTTCTTCGCTGCTTTTGCAACCTGTAGAAGTGGCTTCTGTACAGGGAGGGGAACAGTAGGACCCTGGCTCTGGTTTTTGTTGTACAGCCGCAAGATGTCGTCGGCAAGGACACAAAGCTCCCAGTTCAGATTGACACCAGCCTCGCCACAGCAAATGTTCAACACGGTAACAGGAATGGTGCCCAGAACGGTAGTAGCAGGGTCGGCCACTTTTCTCTCAACTCGCGCAGTGAGATCCTCCAGGCCAATCTTGTTTTGCTTCGGCCCCGGATCAAGCACGAGGCAGATCGTTCCAAGCTTGCAGGCGCCAAGCAGAGGATATAATTCTTCATCCGGTTGGTCATCAGTTTGTACATCGCCGAATATCTTCTTCAACAGAAGAGCGCCAGAGACATTGCCCAGGTCCCAGTTTCTCCATTTCTCGAAAGAGCTCACTACACGCTGAACTGTATCCGGTGGAAGAGTCGAAGATTGACCCCAGCACTCTTGTACAAGGCGGGACTTCTCCAGCTCATTCTTGGTATCCCAGATCTGGCGCAGCCGCGTGATCATTTTCCAGGAATCAGTCGTTCTCAAGTGCTGCTTCGCAGATCGTAAAACAGCCGAAGGGCGTATGAGGAAAGAAGGGTCGTTTGTGGCCTCTCCCACCTGTAAGAGGCGCAGGACAAAGTATCGTACGCAGGTGGAATGATGCTCGCTGACTTCTGTCAGCAGCCGTCCCAGCTCTGCAGCAACATTTCCCGTGCGGTGTATCAGGGAAGCCAGATATTCAATCTTGCCGGATGCAGTGCTGCCAACGACGGAGCCAATGTCGGCATCAAAGTATGTTATTTCCTTGGCTCCCAACGAGACTCGGACAGCATCAATCTGTAGCATCACGGCTGCTTGGGGTTTCTGCATAGATGAAAGACGCTCTGAGGCGGACAATTCAATAGAGCCCAGACGGAGGTCCATGGATGTCCTGGAGTCGGCGACGCCCTGCTCTTGTGTGGTTCGTGTCATCAGAGAAACTTTTGAGATCGTCAGGTCATATTGGTCCAGCTCTTCTTCCGCTGGATCGGGCGAATCCAGCGTGGATGAGTTTAGAAACCGAACGTTGATTCTGGGTGCCTTGACCATGATTTCAGACATTTCTCCGTGAATGTGTGCCTCCTTTCTCGACTTGAATATGTCGGTAATAGTGCTGGACTGGAGAGAGTCTAGCACATCCTCAGGCTCAGATGGCTGCAAAGCGGCCAGCAAGATGGTCGCATGGCGAATAGCTTCAGGAGTGACAAACGCACTTATTCCAGACGGGAATTCGATAATGGTACTAGACTGAGCATGGTCTTCACTGAGATCGGCCGGATCGATATCGTTCAAGTCCTTTTTCAGTCGGTTGAAGAACTCGAAATCCTCGTCTTCAATAGGCGGGAAGGTGGCGTCTCGAGAGTCCGGCCTGACGCCCTCTAGAGGGAAGTTTGGAGTAAAATACTGGCTTGAAAAGGCAATAGGCGACTGCTCGGGGTTCTCTTGTGCTGAGAAGTCACCGACAGTGCTGTAGAAGGAGGACCGTCTCCCAGGAGAAGCAGAAAGCCCCCTGTCGTTTCCGGAGCGGGAACCCCTCATAGCTGCGGACCGTATCGACAAACTGTCTCCGAGCCTCGATGGCCTAGGCTTGAGGCGACGGCCGTTCAGCGGACGGACATTGCTACTGCTTGAAGAGCTAGAGAAGGAGAGGAATGAGTTTTGACGAGTGACCCTCCGTGAGCGAGAGCTCATCATACTCGGCGCCGATAGCTTGTCGTAGTCGGCATCGACGAGGGGAAGGGGGGGTGGGGGCATGCACTGAGCAGGAGGATCGACCTGCTCAGGAATGAAATCGCCGCCTGTTCCGGGAAGGATAAGGAACGGCGTCCGGTCTGTACGCTGATCCTCGCGGCGAATCAGGTCTTGCTGTAGTTTGCGTTCTTCCGAAAATTTGTATTTTCTCCCAACAGAGGCGAGCCGAACGTCCGTCTTCAGATATGCCTGAGTCTCGACGGGGTGCTGGGGGCGTGACTTGTGCCTCGCTGCCGATTCGGCGTTGACGCACGAGAATTGGACATTCGGTATGAGTATGTTCGCACGCTTAGAGTAGTGCGATCGGGCCCAGTCGTTGCTGTTGACGTTGATGGCATCGGTAGAGAAGCAGAAGACGCTCTCTTCCACGTGTATCCAGAGACGGACTGACTGAACAGCAAGTCGTACAAACGTGACATCGTAGAAGACCAGAGAGGAATACGGGACCAGGGCGTTTTCCACATCGTCAAAAGTGAAGCCGAAGGCCGGCGCTGCTTTGGACAAAGAGGCCAGAAAGTCAGTTGTGCATTCTCCAGCAACTGCGCCGACAGAGACATCCCAGTTGCACAGGTATGTCGGCTCGGCTGGTGGCAGGCCAAAGGTGCGGTGACCAAAGACGCGGATGCCATCGATGAACAGCTGCGTATCAGAGGTGGAAACGCTCGCCGAGTCCAGGTTGCTATCTGAGCTGCCCTGGGACAGACTCAAGGGGCTGAGATCAAGCTCCATGTCCATGTAGTAGTTTGTGAAACGCAGGTCCAGAGCTAGAGAGGCCAGCTCGCCCTGCAAATAGCGCTTGGCTGAGTAGATGTTTGTTGGTACCAAGAGGCGAGGATCGTCCAACTTGATGGCCAACATGACATCGAGGTCGTTAGACTTCTTGGGAGGCGGGCGAACAGCCGGCAGCTCGGCATCTGGGTTCTGCATCTTGGCCTGCAGTTGCTCCTGATATTCGTCCTGAGTCTTGAAATGCACGTGTTCGCCAAAGTAATTGTCCTTGAGGACCATGAAATATCGAACCAGGAATCCGTAGAGGTAGATGCAAGGTGACTGGGCATGGACATCTAGAACCAAAGTATCCGTGTTGGCGGGCGACGTCGTAGCATTGTACTGATAGCTTCCGACAACCCCCAAGCCCTCAATATGACCCAGATCCGTGGACTTGACAAAGCTCGCATGCGTGTTGGACTGGGAGGCATGAAGTGCCAAGTCAAGGGTGTCTGCTCGAATGTCGAAAGGAATACTGTTTCTGCTGGGCCGAAACTTGTCAAGGGGTATGCAAGTCTCCGCTTTCAGCTCAGGGCTGGCAAGAATCAGATATGTATTGTCATCCATGGCCGTTGCCTTGTCAATAATGTTCTCATCGTTAACATTGAGATATATCTTGACATTTTGCAAGCTAAGATGGAGGTGGTAGAGGAAAGGGGTAAAGACGAGATACTCAGGGGGCGGCCCTACTCCCCAATCGTCGACCAAGTCAACAATCAGAAAGATGTGATCCCTCAGCAGATACATGTCCATGCCGTCACAAGCCACGTTGAAATGCCAGTTACGCAGCGTGTTCCACGAGAGGGGGGTTGACAGATCGCATGAGATTCGCTGAGGGCCGGATCGCCAGAGCAAGTCATGGTTGACACTACTCCACAGCTCAGTAGTCGGCAAATGAACATTCAGCTTGGTCTTGAAGCCAGTTGAGCTCGCGACCATGTCCATGCAATATCGGACTGTCGAGTTCTGGGGGACCTTGAACTCGAGCCAGCCGGCGGGGCGGGCCTGGACAGCTTCGCTTTTGGAGTTCTTTTTGCCTCTGTTCCGCTGCTTGCGCGTATTGCGTGCCGTTTCCTGCTTGACGAGCCGCTCTTTACCACGCCAACGCCAGTTCTTAGACTCTTCCCGTATGGGAATGCGCAGCGTGACTGTGTCATCGAGCTCCACCAGCAGGTCAAACTGCGTAGGCACTCTCCATGCGCCAACGGGAAGCGGCCCCGCGGCAGTGCCATCTTTGCAGAGTGAGGGCACGAAAACGCGCTGCAGGTCGGCCCTTTGCCGATCGGCCCATGGTCCGTAGTTCATCGTCCCCCCTTTCACCGAGATCTGGACTCCCCACGCTGGCGGCTCCGATCCATTGATATTCAGAGAAGGGTCCATTTGCCTCTGGCGATGGGCATCCTCGGTCACCTTGCCGACGGCATCCCAGTACACAGTCAACTGGCAGGCAGGGCTGTCAAGGATGGTTGAAACGGCAGCATACTCAACCGGTGCCCAACGAGTCTTGTCATCAATGTCCTGATCGTCGAGATATCGTGATAAGCCTTGCCATTGGATGACGCCGGGGGCATGTGCTGACACAGCGCCCCTTACAGTCCGGGCATCGCTCGAGAAAGACTCGACAGATCTTCGCCAGTACGGCACCAGGTTTCGCAGGGAGCTGAGCGCCTTACGCCTCTGCTGACGAAAGAATGACTTTCTGGGGGCATGATGCGCCTCATGGGCAACGCTCTCCCGCTCCCGTTTGGCACGCGTCGCCTGATCTTCTTTATAGTCCAGGTTGTCCAGCATCTCCACGACGGGATGTTCCAGCTCAATCTTGAATACCTGTCTGTATTGATCCACCGTCGTTGTCTCGGTGGCATCAACGTCTCCAGACAATGAATCGGCTTTCACAATAAGAATTGCCTTTGTGTTGTCATTCCCAATCACTGCCGCAGCCTTTTGGCATTCGATCTGAATGGGAAAAAGCTTCAGCATGAAGGGCAGTTCAAGAACTTCATCATGGTCGCTCTCCTCGCTACTGCTGCTGCTGCTGCTGGAACCCGTACTGGGTCGGCTTCCCAAGTCCGACCTCCCGTTTCCATTCAGCGGTTTGTTGCCCTTTTCTCCGGATTTCGGCTGTCGTTCGGAAAAGTCGTCGCGGTTTGCGTTTCGCGATCGTAGCCCTGCGTCTCCTTTCTCGTCAAAGGTCCCTGTGCTTGAGCTCGAGCCGGACGAGGTTGGGTTGATGATACCGGCAAGAACCGAGTCGTATGCCGGGCTGCGGTTGTAGACAAACCACTCCACGCCGACAAGGTTCACATTGATGCGGCATGGTAGGGTCGGGGATGACACCTTTTCTGACACTATGCTTTCCTTATTTCCATTGGAGGCAGATATGGTGACCTCTCGCACGCGGCGCAGCCAGTATCGCCAGGTGATGTCTCCGTGCTGCACCAGAAAGGTTTCGTTGGAGCCGTGATATCGCAAGCCCGTGAAGAAGATGCGTCCGGCTAGCAGTGAGACCTGGAGCGCCTGTATGTCGAGGTATATGCGGTATCGATGCCAGGTCCAGGTCCTGATGCCGTAGGAGACGATGGAGCCGAACAGTCGGTTGAAGTACAGCAGGAAGAAGATGGCGAGGATCGCGGAGACGATGATGAAGACGAGGAATTCGCTAAACGGAGGCACTCTGTCAGCTTCAAGCCCAGCACAACGGCCAATCCATCCCTCTGTGATGCCTCACTAATTGAAGCCCGCCATCTCGACTACAGCTTCGCACAGCTTCCCCACGCCCACCGGCTATCCAAGGTCATTGTCCGTCGCCGCCGCTGTCCGAGAGTCGGGGGCTATCGCGAAGGGCGTCTGTCGCTGCTCAATGCCCGAGCACTGCTGCTGCGCATGGCTCTGAGGAGGGCGGTAGTAGTATGGACTGTGTTCAGGAGAGAGATGGAGGGTCTGGGTGTCCTTCTTGGCGGTGGAAGTCTGATGAATCGCTGCGTGTTGGGATAAGGTAGGTATGGACCTCTAAGGCGTTCATCAATCCGCCCCGAACCTTGAACATCACCTAATAGTACCACGACCAGCTCTGGGCTCCGTGCTCCGTACTTGTAGCTCCATTTCCCCCCTACATCCGCTGGAGCTGCCCGCTAAATCTCGTCTCCAGCAGGGGTCGCGCGCCGCAGGTCCACTAGCGGCCAGTGGAGCTCCCTCTACATGCAACGAGCTGCATGTGCACATGCGTTGTGCATCATCTGAAGGTACCTTATGTATTTCCGCGCCAACCGCTGGTGGGCGGGTACCTGCCCCGGTCCAAGCTCCGGCCGCGACGCCCTTGTTGTGCTAGCAATCGCTTGGGAGCAGACCAACGAAGCACCATGACAAGTCGATCTTGCGTCTCTCTCTCTCTCCAAATTGGCGAGCTTCGTCACACGTGAATCTTCCCGACTGCCTCTCCTCCCTACCTTTGTTCTCTTGCACATAGTACTCGCATCACAGCTGCCGTTATCGCAGGATTTGCCGTGTCACAGCTGCAGATTCGCCCCTCGCCAGCGCAGCTCTGCAGCATAGCCATGAGCTGAACAGCTGCCAGCTTCTCCCTCCCTGCTCTCTCTCCTCTCTCTCTCTCTCTTTCTCTCTATACCTGGTTCTGGCTCCCCCCTCCCCCAGGTCTCCGAGTCGCCAGACAAGTCGCGTCGTCGCCATCATGCCGGATTATGGCACCGGCCAGAAGTTCACCACGGCCACCACTGTGGTAGCAGGCGCCGCATCTGTGGTCGCAACGGTCTTGTCGGTAATGTAAGCCTCGTGCCTCTCTGTTCTGATGCCGCTCCTTGTCAACAGACTCTAATCACGGCAACAGCTCGATATGGCTCCAGGCAAAGAACTATCGCAAGCCGCTGCTGCAGCGCTACGTCGTCCGCATCCTGCTCATGGTTCCCATCTACTCGATCGCGTCGTGGACGAGCATGGTGTCGCTGCGGGCCGCCGCCTTCGTGGACCCGATCCGAGACATCTATGAGGCGTTTACCATATACACCTTCTTCCAGCTGCTCATCAACTACCTGGGCGGCGAGCGTGCCGTCATCATCATGACCCACGGCCGGGCCCCGGTGCATCATCTGTGGCCCATGAACCATTTTCTGCCCAAGGTGGACATTTCGGATCCGCATACCTTTTTGGCCATCAAGCGCGGCATCCTTCAGTATGCCTGGCTCAAGCCTATCCTGGCTCTCGCGGCCATCATCATGAAGGCTACGGGCACCTACCAGGAGGGATACATCGGAGCCAAGTCCGGCTACTTCTGGAGCGGCATCATCTACAACATCAGTGTCACTGTCAGCCTGTATTCGCTCGGGCTGTTTTGGGTCTGCATGCACCGAGACCTGGTTCCGTTTCGGCCCGTCCCCAAGTTCTTGTGTATCAAGCTCATCATCTTTGCCTCTTATTGGCAGGGATTCTTCCTGTCGATCCTTGTCTGGCTCGGCGCCATCCCCGACGATGTTCAGGGCTACACTCGCGACAACCTCGCCGCGGCTATACAAGACGCTCTCATCTGCGTGGAGATGCCCATCTTTGCTGTAGCCCACTGGTATGCCTTTTCCTGGCACGACTTTGCCGACAATCGCATCCAGTCGGCTCGCATGCCGCTCAACTATGCCATCCGGGATGCCTTTGGTATCAAAGATCTCATTGAGGATTCCAAGGAGACGTTTAGGGGAGACAAATACCGCTACCGAGTTTTCGACTCTGGCGACAGGATCATGGCCCACGAAGACTCTAGGTCAAGATTTGCTCGACTACAGGAAGGCATGCGGTACGAACGGGGTGGCAAGGGGAAATACTGGATTCCGAAGCCGGGCGAGGTGAACGCCACGTCCCCATTGCTGGGCAATGGTAATGGAAATGGAGCGTCCAGTTCCGCCCGGGTTGACCAGCTGAATGAGAACACGCACGGCACGTTTGAGGAGCCAGAGATTGATCCCGAGGAGGACCACCTGTACGCCAAGGCCCGGGAGCTGGAATTTGGGGATTGGAATGTAAGTCTGCCGGCTTCTTCTTCTGTGAGACTATGCATGTGCCTATGCTTACACCATCGGTTTAGTACCCAGTCATCACTGCGAGCGAGCCGCTGAGGGAACGATATGCGTCCTGGGCAAGCAGCTCAGAGACGGGGATTCGCTCCTCCCCACCACACAATTCACAGCAAGGACGCGGTAACAGCAACGCAGCTGGCTCAGCACATACATCACACCAGCAGGGCCAACAGACTGATTCAGATCAGCCACCCCCCGTGGTTGTTGTCAAGAAGAAGAAGAAGAAGTCGAAGAAGGCTGCTACACAGCCAGAACCCGCCCCGGCCGACTCGCCATCGACATCCGATCGCGAAGCCCAGAGCAGCACCAAAGCAACAGCCGCAGCACCAGAGGGCTACGACGGATACCAAGGTCTCGCCGCGGGGGACAACGACGAGCCATGGGCCTCGGCCGAGCACGAAGATGAGCACCGCCATACCCCCAGTTACCAGGTTTCTGACTCGGAAGAGTTCCGCAACGTCTGGGGCGGTGATAAATAACCTACAGCGGCAGTCGGATTTCGGGTTGCGTTTCGCCGTTTGTGCCGCGGAAGCAAGAGGAGGGAGGAAAGAAGACAAAGGTTGTAGGAGCACATTCACATCTACCTTTATGTGTCTACCCTGGGCCAGACAGGCATAGCGAGGCGTTCTTTTGGTTGTCGGAAATAATCCAAGGGGGAGGGTTGGAAGTGGACATACCAGCTTGCATCTCCCGCTTTTTGTTCTCTGTTCTTGATGTTACGGAAATGTAACAGTTATATACCAGCCGCTGTTTTGTCCAATGAGCACTTGTTCCGTTTGCTGTTGCGATTTGACTATTTCTCGTCCGTTCTCATGTCCTCTAGATACACGTGTTTTATAAGCCGATTTACTTACTCCATTCTATCGACAAGACACCAGACACATGTTGAGGATAAGCTAGGTAGGTCCTTTATAGCGAAAGAGGCAAAGGTGCTTGCTTGCAATATACTGTCATATCCTACCTTATGTACTACGTATATATATATATATATACAGAATAATCATGATCCAAATCTTGCAATCCAATATCTACAACTCCGACACGCTCCCCTTGTACATAGCCGTCAACATCCTCCTCGCATCATCAACACTCACACTCCCTGGACTCGGCGGCGTGGCCCCCGTCGTCCAATTCTTGGGCTCCGCACCCAGCACGAAATCCAAGCTACCCCCCTCCGCAAAGACATCGTACCAGCTGACCCAGCTCTTGTCCCAGGCCTCGCCATTAACTTTGAGCGACTGCACATAGTACGCGTCCTCGCTGCCGCCCGAAGTCGTGATGCTGAGCGTCTTGCCGCCGCCGCCCAGCGAAATGGTCAGGTCCTTGAACCAGGGCGAGCCGATGAGAAAGGTGGTCTGCCCCGTCATGGGGTACAGGCCAATCATGTTCCAGAGGAGCCACGACTCCATGGCGCCGGCATCGCTGTTGCCGGGGAGGCCGCCGGGCGTGGGCTTGTAGTACGATTTGGCGATGAAGCGGCTGCGCTGGACGGCGAGGTCCTGCCTGTTGACAAAGTTGTACAGGTAAGGGGTCGTGAAGCTGGGTTCGTTGCCCGGGTTGAAGATTGTGTTGCCAAAGGCGCCGTTGCCCGAGTAGACGCCGGGCTGGAAGGTCATTTCTAGGCGCTTGACAAAGGTGTCCGCGCCGCCCGAGTACTTGATGATGGTGTCGAGGTCGTGGTGGGCGTTGAACGAGTACTCCCAGGGAAGGGCTTGGTAGTAGTAGTCTGCCCAGTAGCAGCCGCCGCAGGAAAGGGGGTCCTGGGCGAGGAAGCCGTTGGCGTTGCGTGGGCCGAGGAAGCCCGAGAAGCCGAGAGCCGTCATGTTGGTGTTCCAGTGGTTGCGCCAGTTGTGAGATCTGTTGAGGTACTTTTGGAAGTCGTTCTGCAGACCGAGACCGTTGGCGACGGTGGCCACCGCAAAGTCGTTTACCGAGCTGCAAGAGGCGGTTAGGCACACGAGGTGAATATTGCAAGGAAGTGGAAGTAGGGCTTACTATTCAACAGCACGGCTCACAGATCGTCCATACGTAGGAGTAATGTAGCCGTATTTGAGCCAGTCTGGCAGGGCACCTCGTCCCTCCTTGGTCGAGCTGGTGCGGTCTCGCGGATCATTGTTGTTCGGCGGAGCGACTTCAGCATTCTTGACCATGGCGGCGTAGGCACCCTCCCAGTCGACCTTGCCACGCACACCCTTGACGAAGGCATCCGCAAACACGTTGTCGCAGTTGGAGCCGCCCTGGACCGCGCCGTTGAAGAAGGAAGAGCGCGCATCTGACACGTAGCCTTCGTGACGATAGATGTCGATCATGGATCTTATGAGCTCCTCATGATAGTTGGGCTGGAGGATGTGGAGCAAAGGGGTTGTGCAGCGATGCTGCCGAGTTGGTTAGCGACTCATGTTTCCAAGCCTCAACGATGGAAGACAAAAACCTACTGTATCCCAGAAGGTAAAGATATCATCGTAGTAGGGCTCCTGGGATTGCCACAGAGGGTTCTCGCCCGTCTTGTTCGTCGGCAATAGATGCATGAAATACAAGGCGGTATAGAGCTGGTTGAGCTTGGTGACGTTGGTTTCACTGGTTGTCACCTTTTGCAAGACTTGCGAGTTCCACGCATCTCGCGTTCCCTGGCGAACCGTCGCAAGAGACGTTCCGAGGGGAATCTCAGCCTTGACATTGGCACAGGCTTGCGCCTCGGACACGAACGAAACGCCAACCCGGGAGGTCACAGAGCTCTTCCAAAAACTGAAAACGGCGCCGAGTCTGGCGGTCGTGGAGCTGTAGCTGGTCTTTTGACCATACTCGACCAGATTGGCCGAGGTTCGGTCCGCTCCAAGAAAGGTCTTGTACGTAGCTGGCGAATCAAAGTAGCCACAGAAATGGACTGTCCAGGGGGCAGCTCTGTTCCATCCCTGTATTTATCGCAAAGAGTAAGTCTTCACACCAAGACACCAATAGACATCATACTGGCTCACATTATCATAGGTTCCATTGCCAGTATAGTAATAATATCCGGCCTTGGTGTCATTGTGAACATTGATGCTGCCTCCCAGGAAGTGCTGTTCCAGGCCCTGTCCACGGTAGGACGACAAAACGTGGGAGACGTCAACAAGGACATTGCGAGCTAGGCCATTGGTAGGGAAGGTATACTGAAACATGCCGGCCTTGTTGGTGGCCGCCATCTCCAAGACAGTTCCGGAGCCAAGGCTTGCTTTGTAGTACCCAATCTCCGTGACATCAGGCGCGGCACGGGTGTCGTTGATGGCATCGCTTAAAGGGTTCTGCACGGCTCCAAGGACAGGCATCTGGGAGACGACGCCGTATTTCGGAGCGCCTCCGGTGCCGCTCTCATGGAGCATGGTGAAGCCCGTAAAGTTGCCATTCGGCAGATAGCCAGAGTAGGCATCGGTGCCCGAATAGAGATCAGGACCGAGCTTGACCATGCCCAGAGGACGGGAAACGCCTGGGAACGTGTTTCCGCCATTGATCGTTCCCGTCTATACAGAGTCAGACCGCGTTGGCTCGATATATGAGATGATATTCGGATAGCCACTTACATCGGTCAAGACATAGCCAGCCAAATCTACAGAGCGAATTGCAGCGGATTTGACCAGCGGAGAGACCAAGGGCAATAATAATAGTAAAGAATACATTGCGGCTATCAGTGTAGACAATGCGAGAAAGTCAAGCATCCTGCCCGCACAGACAAGCCGTTGCGCGCGTCCATGACGCTGGCCTTTTATATCGCTCGGGAACCCTTGATCCAGACTCCCTCCTCCCCCCTCGACAAAGCTCGCAAGGGCGAAGAAGCAACGCGATAATGCGTGCTCCGCACGAAAAGCCGCAACAGCGGCGTGGTTGCAACCAGGCATCACGAAAGCACAGTCACGTTGCTGTTGGGTCAATCATGAGTGGGCGGCGTCGGAGAGACAACGTGGGATGTGCATGCCGTCTGAATGGTCCAGGGTCCCGGGATCGCGTCGAAATAAGAGAGCGCTAGTCTCAGGGCCCGAAGGATCGGCGAGGGAGAGGCGGTTCTTGAATGCCGCTGTGGCACAGCATCAACACTATCAACCCAATCTCGAGATAGATACCTCAGAATAGTCCGACTATCGGGCGAGATGCCGGCCAAGGCATTGGACAAAGAGTCCCAATGCACATGCGTGCTTTTACACAACGCAAGGAATCGCCAGGAGACACCAGGGGACGCAAGGCAACGTAAGAGAAAGTCGTGTCAGGGCAGAACGTGCCGAGACACACTGCATCTCTCTGCCAGGGCAGGCAAGACACGGCGATAACAAGCCGCCCTCGAAGTAAACCTCCATCCAGTGTCCTAAGCGCACCGGCGCCGCTCTGGCCGTTCCCAGAGCCGTTCAAGCTGGTGTTGAGGCATCATCAGAACAGAGCACGCGCCGCCTGGGTACCTGGGATTCAGCCGGCAAATGAGCGTACGGCCATGTCGCCTGACTTGGGACGGGCAGCCAACAAAGGGCATCACGGACGATGGGAGAGGCTGGCAACGGGCCTAGATCGCATACACAATAGAAGGGTCGAGCCTCGAGGCACTTTGTTCTCGTGCCGCAAGCTCAAACCAGTCAGGCCCAGGAACGCTGTCGTGGTTCCGGCTCGGCAGCAGATCCCGTAAGTCGAGGCTTGAAGGCATCATCATTGTTTCCGCTTGGTGTCTCTTGACCAGCTGTTGTACAACAAGGATCTCGTATACCAGTAGTGATGAGTGTGAGGTACCTAGCCAATGCAGACGGGATGTATGTATCCCATGGCCACCACGATCCTTCCAACGGCGCTTCGATAAAGAGTAGAGTTACCCTAGCGCTTGAAGCAGCATCACCAGATGAAAGAGTGAACGGGCCAAAGCACCAAAAGGGAAACTCACGAGCGCCGGAACTAGTAGTTCGTCACTGGCACATGCTTTTGTTCTCTTTTGAATGCAACCTGAAAATCATTTGGCAGGGGTTTTGTGCCATCGGCCAATGTCGTGTGTTCCGTTGCTCAAACATGGGGAAATAAGCCGGATTATCGTGGGATCGGGTAATAGGGACGGGCCAATCCCGCTCGCTTGGCCGGATCAACGTAACACCGGTGGCGCACAAAAAGTGGCTTACCCAAAAAAAGCGAATTGATCGAGTCAGTCGACAAATTCACACATGGCGACAATATTCAACAATCAATTAACGACTCTCATTTGCCAGCTCACTGCTCATTTTTAACTGATCATGTAACTATATCCTAGCAGGTGCGTGTTCATTGCAGAGTCCCTCTTTTTTCTGCATACCTGACCGCCTTTGCCTCCGACCAGCACACCTCAAGGCGGTCTGCCAACTTTTGTCGATAACGCGGGCAGAATCCTGTTAGGCGTATGTGCAGCTGCTGCATTCCGCCTTTTCTGCCACCAGCCAGACCACGATTCATCTCAGGGCTGCCTCATCGCCGAGCGCTCGCTTCTCACGGCAAACCGGGCGATATCGAGTCGCCGGGCCCGTGTGCGCAAGAGACTGACCGCCAATCGCCGCCCGTCGAGGCCAGTCGAGCGCAATGGGTCGCAAGCCGAACCCCCTCATTCTCGAGTACTTTGTCCGCGGGCCCAAGCTCAACGACAACAGCAACCGCTATCCTCACACCTGCAAGCAGTGCGGCGAGAACTTCCCCAAGGGCCGCATCGACAGCCTGACGACGCACATCACCAAGAAATGCCCCGCCATCTCCGACTCGGACCGCATGCGGGCCTGCCTCGAGCTGCACGGCATCACCACCGCCAGAGCCGCCATTGACAGGCCTCAGGGAGGCGCTCCCGTCAATGGCCAGCCGACTGCCCAGCTCGCGCTGCCTCAGGGATGGAGTGCCCTCGAGACGCTTGCCGAGGCATCCCGCCAGGTCGATCTAAACGAGAACAGCCGCGGCCAGAAGGTTTCGGCATCCGACAACACCGCCAACCCGACTGCTAATGGCGGTGGGTTCGTGCCCGATCGACTAGAGCTGCAGGAGCAGTTCACCCTCGACAACCCTCCCACGACTTACGACAGCCGTCCGCAGACGAGCACCAGCTTCAAGAAGGGCTCGCATCCGCAGCCGTCGCCTCCTCGATCATCCTCGGGCACAGGGCCCGACCTGGCAGCTTTTACGGCCACCGCCGCGGGCAAGCTCCCGTCACCGACTCCTGAGCTCTCGCCGGAAGAGCGTCTTCAGGCTCTTCTCCCCGCCAGCGAGGCATCACCAGATACAACCAACATATCCGTGGCGGTTGCCGCCACAGCCCGCTTGAATCCAACCTTTCTCGACCCCCAGCTCGTCAACACCGACATTCCGCCGCCGACATCGTCTCCCCCCATCGTCGAGGCCCATCAGACAACGATCGATTCAGTGCCAGTCTCCTTGCCCACGTCATTATCCGATACAAGTGTTTCCCAGCCCTGGGGCGAAATGACGTACCTGACCACCACTACCCCGATTCCCCTGCTCACGGAGAATTCTCCCGCGCTGCCTCTCATGAGCCGCGGCGGCGTTCGCATGGACACCAGCGATGGGCTCATCAACGGGAGGGCGCGCCATGCACGATCGAGATTCACTCCCGCGAGACGCAAGGAGGTACAGGAGGTGCGGAAGATTGGCGCCTGCATTCGGTGTCGGATCCTGAGAAAGAACTGTGGCAAAGGGACACCATGCGATACCTGTCGCAAGGTCCTGGCGCCCCGCGTCTGGAGGACTGGCTGTGTCCGCACTCGCCTGCACGAACAACTTGACCTGTATGCTGCTGGCGTCCAGGTCGTCTTGTCTCAAAACCGCATCAACCTCATCAAGGATCAGCTGAAGCTCACCAACGATGGAAGCCTGATCGAGGTATCTCATTTTCCGGAAGCGGGCAAGAAGATTGTCTTTGGGGCCTTGGTCTATCCCTTGGACCTCAGCGAGTCACAGGCGGAGACTCGTGAAGAGGACAAGCGCCCGTTTCATCAGGTCATCATGATTGACCAAGATTCAGAGGACATCCCAGCAAAAGCCGAGTCGTACATGCGAGATGTGCTGACGACATTTATTGAGCGCGAGCCGTCAAGATTTATGAAAGTGACGCTCGAGGCAGCGTGTCAACAGCTAGCAAAGGGAGAAGACGATCTTCTCAGAAAGGCCCTGGAGCTGTGGGGCTTGGTGGAAAGCATCGATCGGGAGCGACAGTGGACGATACTGGAGAAACCGAGTGCCGAGGGAGAAGAGCCGAGATGGATAAAGGAGGCACAAAACGAAAATGACGCGGATATCTACACCATGATTTGCATGCAGCTCAACGCCGCGGCGGAACGAAAGGCCAACAGCACCTCCAAGAGCCTCCTGAACCACATGGACAGGCTGCTCACGGACAGCAAGACAAAGGTCGGATTCAAGATCTATCTCACCGCCATCATCTTCCTCAACTGCGTGGAGAAGTCGACCTGGGCATTCAAGGCGTGGGAGCAAGACCACCTGCGTCCGGGCTGGCCCCTTGAGCGGGATCCTAGCGTGTTCACACAACAGGGCGGCAATCTGGCCGGACTGCTGAAGATGCTCCTGTCTATCCGCAAGGCCTTGCCTCAGACCATGAGGGGCGAGGATGGCAAGTTGACCGTGCAAGACAAGGACCCGGAAATCACCGAATACTTTCGCACCCTTGACCTAGACTGTAAGTTGTCCCTCGTGCCATTGGCGCCGAAGACAGCCTACCTCATACTAACCATGTTGTAGACGACACCATCGAAGCCCGCCAAAAAAGCTCGCAATTTTCCCCTGCCGACTCACGCTCTCTGGAACTTGCCTTTTGTTCCCATCTTTTACTCCCCAACTCGCCCTAGACGCGCCTAACGAGATACGAGACTATGACTTGATGCGATTTCCTACTCTCTTTGTTCATAATCTAATTCCCGATACTGCCACCATTTAGATGATTTAAACGACCTTGCCCTCAATGGCATTAAGAAGATGTCCCCGTCTTCTCACCTGCATCTCATTTCTTACTTTGATTTCTTTGACCATTTCCAGAAAAACAAAAACAGGGCAGAGGCGTATCTAGAGGGTGGATAGCAAAATAGCGTACCGGCTGTACGCAACATAGATGAAAAGAAAAAGAGCAACATGGACAAGAAATATAGAGGAAACAACATATAAGGGGGCCAAAGTTTAACAACAACGACACATGAAGCGCATACCTTATATCCAGACCCCCCTTTTCATTGTTTTCCTTATCAACCAAGTTCGCATGACTCGGCGTTGGGTTTCATCCCCCCCCATGGTTTTCATGGGCTCTGTTCAAACTTCTTCTTCTTCGTTGTTCTCCTTTTCTTTCCCGTTTCGTTGTTTTCCTGCGTTTCTTTCTAACGGCGAGGCATAATAGCATGATAGATGGCCGGATGGTTGGACGGACGGACGGACGGACGGACGGACGGATAGCCACTTCTGTTGTTCTCTCCTTCTTTAGTACCTACCTACACATGGGGTGTCATATCCCCCCTCTTCTCTGTTGTTTGATCTCCTTTTTCTCAGTTTCTCAGGTTTCGGTTCTTTTCTGTACTCTTATCCACCTAGATAGAAGCGAACGGCGCAAATCTGGCGTGGAAAACGCTGGGCCGGCCTTATTCGCGATTCTCGATATCTTTTGAAGAAAAAAGATAACTTAATGAGACACATGAAGACACGAGACGGCTTCACGAGGCCTCAAGTCAAATTCAAACAGTGTCACAAATGGTTTGAAACAAACAGATATCATATACCCTCTTTTTTCTCTACCTTCTTCACAGCCCTATTTCCAACAAGAGTCATTAAATTACTCGCTACGCCAATCTCCCCTCATCATCATACTTCCCCAGAGTCACAAAAGAAAAAGAGGGAGAAAAGAAAAAAAGATCACCGCCCCTCAAAGCCAAACTTGGCCGTTGGCGACATGCTCCCGCTATCCACCCTCGACACACCGCCCCCCGTCCCCACGCGCTTCGGCTTCTTGAAGCACGCAAACTCGTTCTTGCTCGCCTCCCTCAGCTTCTTGAGCACGTTGCGCATCTCGGGCAGCTCGTTCTGCAGGCGCGCGCGCGCCTCGTTGTCCGTCCGGCTGTCCAGCTCCTGGTAGATCTGGCTCTGCAGCTCCGACGCCCGGTCCGTCGTGTAGTGGCTCAGCGTCTGCGCGATGAACTCGACGTCGAGCGTCGCCTGGATGAGCGCGCTGAGGGAGTAGCGCGAGCGCTTGCGGAACGCGTCGAGCAGCTGCAGCGACGTCTGCTCCAGCAAGAAGGACAGGACCTGGGGCGTTAAGGAGGCGGCCGTGGTGGACACCTGCGAGTGGACGAGCACGAGCGTCAGGAGCGTCTCGTATACGTATGGTTTTGCCGCCTGCGGCCGTTCGCCGACTCCGGGGGCCCAGTCGGGGTCTGCGAGCCCGGCGTGGATGATTTCGCGGAGCTTCTCGGTGGACTGCTTGGTGTAGGACTGGAAGAGGCGGGCATCAATCTGGCCGAGCACGTCTTTGATGGTCTTGGACTCGTCCGTAAGCTTGACGGAGAATGCATTCTCAAACTGTGAGTTCAGGTTGGGGACGACTTGGGATCGCAGAGCCTGCAGATTGCTCAACGTAAGGAGCATTCGGACATTCTATACCTCGTTAGCTACAGGAGCGAGGACGATGAATGGAAGAAGGAAAGGGGGGAATATCGAGGACTCACTCGGTCTCCAGCATCAAGCGTGCTCTTGCCCACTGACGAGGCAGCAGAGGTGCCTCCGTCTTGGCCAATGGACCACTCGTCGTCCGTCTTCTTGACGGATCGCTCTGCATTCTCCACCATGCCGCTCAAGGCCTTGTACAAGGTGCTGACATACTGGCTCCGGACCATCTGGAGCAGCTTGGCCGGTGGCGGCAGGACAATATCACCGGCGCCCGGCTTCGACATGGCCTCGGTGATGTAGAGGATCTTTTGCATGCCACTCAGAAGAGCGCCCTCGAATGCGGCAAAGCTGGCAGGCATCCGCGTGACATCGCCCGACTCCGCAGACGGCAGCCAGTCTTCAATGTACTTCATATTCTCGGCGTCACGGTTCCAAGCAGCGCAAAGAGCCGTCACACACCGCTCTCTGGACACGCCGGTCAGGGACTTGAGCTGCTCCAGGACTTGATTGTTTCGCGAGCGGATGGGCTCGATGGTGGCGAGGTCGGACGCGCCTGAGCCGACCAGTCCCAGCATCCTACAGAGATAATACACTCCGCTGATAGAGTTGGACCAGGGGGGCCAAAAGGCCAGCTTCTCCCACGGCTCGCCCTTCTTCGGCGACGAGGGCGGCGGGTTGTTCGGATCAAAATTGAATCGCGGATCCCGTGTGGAAGTAGGGTTTAGGGAGCTGCCATACCCCCCCGCGGATATCGGAGAGTGAGGCGATATTGGCAGCGGCGAGAAGACCACACTAAGGTCCTCAGGGGGCGGCGCTGCGAAAAAGTCGTGAATGTGCCCGCGGAGCAGATCCACCAATTCGACGATGCCCTTTTCGATATCCGCAACATTACTCTGCGTCAGCTGATGATGGATCCGAGACTCGTCATTGTAGCCCGTGGGCAGCGTCTTCTGTATCCTGCCTTCAATGAAGCCCTGGGCAGTCTGCCAAAACTCGAGAAGGTCCCCAAGGATGCCCTGGGGAGATATCAGGCTGCTCAGGAAACCAAGCATCTTCTCCCACAGCTCAATCACGTCTGGGGAGTCGCTGTGCGTCGGCTTGGCTTCAAGACTCTGTCGACCCAGTGTACGTAGATGAGTGGCCACAGTTCGGCTTGTGGGCTTCTCGGTGGCTGCCAGTCTTCGGCGGAGCACCTCAATTTCCGCCTTTGTGCGCTCGGCCGTTGACTGAATCTTGGTTTTCAGGTAGTCGTGGCGGCTCATGAGCCACACTCGTATCGGGCTATCTTCAACGCCGAGTTCCAGCAAGAGGTTGATCATCTCCATGTGCTGCTCCGGACTTCGGCCAACCTGAGTCTCGGCTTTTGACAGCGTGTGTGAGGCAGCCAGCCGCTTCCACGCATCCCGCTTGAAGCTCTGGATCTGGTGATCAACATCGTACCACACTCGGGCGGCTATCATGATCTGATAGAGCTGCTCGTCGTCGGGCATTTGGCGGTCGATGTTTTGCGATAGGGCGCGCGCGTCGTCTGCAAACTTCCTGGCACGGTTGTATGCCTCCACCAGGGTCTCGTAGTCTTTCCTCTTGATGCAGTCGGCTATGATGGTGCTCAGCTCCAGCGGATCCTTGAACTTGTTGACGTATCGCTGGAAGGCTCTCAGGTGCTCCTCCTTTTCTCTCCCTCCCAGGGCCGGACCCCATACATCTTCAGCCTTGGCGGAAACGTCCAGCAGGGGCACCTTGATGCCCAAGACACCATATTCGCTTTCTTTGATTAAGGCATTCTTCTTTCGAGAGTCGGTCGAGTGAGCCAAGGGGTTGTTGAGGCCACCCCTGCCACCACGTAAGCTCGTGCGACTAGCATGGCGTCCATGGACCGAAGCTCGTCCGCCGGCCTCCGTTCCGCGGTACTTCATCTCTCTGTACACATTGTCTATGGTTGCCTTTGCCTTGACGAATCTCTCAAAGTTGCTTTCCACGAGCACCTTGAGCGATGCGGACTTTTGATCAATCGACTGGGACAGGATGTTCAAGCCCTCGAGCAGCGTGCGCGTGTCCGCGTTGGCGTGTACCTGCGATAGGAACAGGGTGGGGGAAAAGGTGGTCGAGGACAGCATGAATCGGTTCCCTAAGATGCCATCAGTCTCAAGGCGGGTTGAAGCGACGCCCTGGGAGACTCACGAAGCCGCACGTCATCCTGTGCCGGGAGCCCGATTTCTCTCAGCGAACGGACAACGCTGTCGGTGGTGCCTAACGGGTCTGGCTCGTCCTTCAAGGCCAGGTTGTTGACGGCTCCCTTTGCTGACGCGACTTTCCCATCACCAGCGGCCGCCTCGAGCGCCTGGTATCGCGACTTTTGGCGGCTGTGCTTCTTCGTATCAGCCTCGTCTCCGGACGAGTCCTGCTCGTCCTTTTCTGCAGGCCATTCTGAGGGGTATGACGTGGGCAGCTGGTAGAATTCAAGAATTGTCCGTTCGTAGTCGGACATGTTGGCGGACTGGGCGCAATCGCAGGAGACGGAGGATGAAGCTGGGGAGCTGCTGACGGTAGGTAGGTAGGTATCAAGGAGTGGAAGCTCAAGAGGTAGAGACAGACGTGTCGGGATTGTGCCTCCAGGGGATCAAGGGCTACGTCTGGCGAAGCGGCGCAGCAACCATTGCCTTGGCCGAGGCTCTTGTAGCTCGACGATGCGAGCAGCAGCTGCTGAGTGGGATGCGATGCGACGAGTTGAGTCGAGATGCAAGATCAGAAGCGAGTACAGCAGCCTCCCGCTACTGGTAGCTCCAGCGATACTACTAAGGTAAGGTAAGGTAGGTACCTAGTTAGACGTACCCCGTATCTGCGACAAGCCACACGAGGCTCGACAGCTGCCGACACCAACCAGCCACAGGCCCTCCAACCATCGGCCACCAGCCACAGCAGCCTTCTTAGTCATCCAGCCAGACTCATGACGCACTGGCTGTCATTTCGAGCGGTCGCAGAATCTGGACTGATACTGGCAAAAAGAGGCCGAGGCAATGGAGAAAAGGAAAAAGAAAGACGGAAAAGCGTCGCCCATGCCCAATCAGGCGTAGCTCGGCGCGCGCAGCCGCAAACCGACCGGCTCCGAGGCGGCAGACCGAAGCGGCAGAGCGCAAAAAGCGGCGCAGTGAGGGAAATTCGACGCCTGCGCCACAGCAACCGTGGCTGGTGCTCCCCACCGGGCCGCCGTTCGAGCCACTCGCAGCGCAGCAAAGCAGGAGGAACCAAGGCTGGAGCGGTGCATATCGCCGGCTCTTCAAGGCTCGCCCATGCCGAGACAAAAATCTTTCGGATGAGGCTTGTCTCTTTTTTTCCCGGTTCCTCTTTTTCTATCTGATCCCCTGAGATACTACCGACCAGCCGACCGTGATTCTTCGTCCCTCTTCTTCCTCTCTCGTTCCTCTCCGCACTGAGCTGCTTCGGACGATCTCTAGACCCAAATCCTCACAATGCTGGCCATCCGCTCCCTCTCCAGCCCTGCCAGGCAGTGCCTGCGAGCAGCTCCCCGCGCTGCCGCCACCTGGTCGATTTCGGTATGAGGCTTGCGCAACAAGGAGGACTCGAGGGCGATATTGACTGACACGAGGTCCAGGCCAAGCGATTCTACTCCCAGGAGCGAGTTGCCAAGTACGAGGGTACCAAGGATGCCAATGTATGTTCTCTCGCCGCACAATACTCCGCCTCCCTCTGCCATCCGCGGCTCTTTTTGTACGACATATCTCGTCTCTTCGACGTCGACCAGAAATCAAGCCGAGGATGGAGGAATGGGAAATGCACCCCAACTGCAGAGCTTGGGCTCGCGGCAGTTTCTCGAAGACGGAAAAAACGGATGCTTACTAGGTCGATAATAGGGCAACTACCTCGTCAGCTTGATCGAGGGTGATGGTATCGGCCCCGAGATTGCTCAGTCTGTCAAGGACATTTTCTCCGCCGCCAAGGTACGACAACTCAAGGCTCAAACTTGATCGCCGAGGGATCAAAACGGCTAACAATGGTGTAGACCCCTATTGCCTGGGAGCCCATCGACGTCACCCCCATCATCAAGGACGGCAGGACCGCCATTCCCGACGCCGCCATTGAGAACATCAACAAGAACAAGATTGCCCTCAAGGGTCCCCTGGCCGTACGTGCACCACGACTTGCGCCGCTGAGCGATACATCTTTACTTACGAATGCATGCAGACCCCCGTTGGCAAGGGCCACGTCTCCCTCAACCTGACGCTGCGACGAACCTTCAACCTGTTCGCCAACCTGCGACCCTGCCGCTCCGTCGCCGGCTTCAAGACCCCGTACGAGGGCGTCGACACCGTCCTGATCCGAGAGAACACCGAGGGCGAGTACTCTGGCATTGAGCACGTCGTCGTCGACGGCGTCGTGCAGAGCATCAAGCTCATCACCGAGGAGGCCAGCGAGCGCGTCCTGCGATTCGCCTTCCAGCACGCCGAGTCCATTGGCCGCACCAAGGTCCGCGTTGTGCACAAGGCCACCATCATGAAGATGTCCGACGGTCTCTTCCTCAGCGTCGCCGAGCGCGTCGCCAAGGACTTCCCCAACATCGAGTTCGACGCCGAGCTGCTCGACAACACCTGCCTCAAGATGGTCACCGACCCCAACCCCTACAACGACAAGGTCCTGGTCATGCCCAACCTGTACGGTGACATTCTGTCCGACATGTGCGCCGGTCTCATTGGCGGTCTCGGCCTGACTCCCTCGGGCAACATTGGTGACGAGTGCTCCATCTTCGAGGCCGTCCACGGTTCCGCCCCCGACATTGCCGGCAAGGGCCTCGCCAACCCTACCGCCCTGCTGCTCAGCTCCATCATGATGCTGCGTCACATGCGCCTTAACGACCACGCCAACCAGATCGAGAAGGCCATCTTTGACACCCTGGCCGAGGGCAAGGCTCTGACTGGTGATCTGGGCGGCAAGGCCAAGACCCACGAGTACGCCGCCGCCATCATTGAGAAGCTGTAAATGGGGGGGAGGGAAAGCGCCCACCTTTGTTACCTTGATACCTTTGATCGCCTCTACTGCAGCCGCAGAACCACGCAAGCCTTTTCTCCATCCCACAATCCGCCATTCACACGACCTCATCAAGCACTCATCCACATAGCTGGGGTTCCCTCCTGCATAAATTGAAGGGCCCCAGCTTAATCGCCAAACTTCTTCAAAAGTCATATTGTCACGGTCTCTTCCAAGATGTATTGATTCATAGCAAGCATTCAGTACCTTGAGGACCCGAAAAAAACATCTGGGGAGGGGGGGGGAGGAAGGAAGGAAGGGGAAAGCGGTTTTAGAATATGTGTGTATTGTTTGCCAAAACCTACCTACTAGAAACATGTGCCTGTACGAGCGAGACTGCGAGCTTCGTTGGTCGAGTTTCGCTACGGCATGGTAAATATTCAAACACCCAAAAAAGAATAACAATTTGAAAAGATTATGGTCCGGATATGCGTGACGGGCGTGTTACATATGTGTGTCTTGTCCACTCCATATGCTGTACGTTGGTAAATTGGTAGGAGTGGTGTCGAACTCGTTGGCTACCTGATATTTCCTACATAGGTAGTAGGTAGGGCAAAGCAAGACCATATCAACGGCTTCGGCATTCCCCGTATACAGATCTCATACTACTAGGTAAAACTGCACAGAATAAGCACCTTGCACACATCAGGCAGTTGAAAGAAAGAAAAATCAGATGAACGAATCAAAATGAATGAATGAATGAATTCGAAATAGAACAGCGAAAGGGGGCAGCTTAGGTAATTGTCCCGTTTTCAATCACTCGTCGAGGCCTCATCTGAAATGACGTCGTCTAGATACCTCAGAACAGTAGGCGATACCCTAGAACCAACACATGATATCAGAGCATCCAGTAATGAAAAGGCAACACAAATGAGATGTACTTGATAATATAAAAAAAAAAAAAAGAGGAATCGACAGACAAGAAAGGTCCGTTTTTATGAGTTTGTTGACAGTATCTGATCTGTATTGTTAATTCCAAATCTTTTGGTAAACAACTTGCCCTGGTTGGCTTATGAAGTCATCCCGCAGATGTTTTGGGTGGCACTGCATTGATTAGTGGAAATCGACTTTGATCAATGCATGACTTTCCATCGGGGGCTGTATGTATGTACAGTACATGAGGAATTTTTGCCATTGAACTTGGTTATTATCACGGGAATTGACATGCGCAATCACTTCAATTATTTGTAATGATTGCTTGCATTGATCAAGATCAAATGTGTACCAGTTTCGGAATCGAAATTGTCAAGAGATGCATTTGTTGTTGGGTATCCGAGTCTGAAACGACTGAAGTAAAGTAAAAAAAGAAGTAGAGAAGAACTGTTCGTATGCATACAAATACAGGTTTGCCCCTCGCAGTCGTAGTCGAGACAGATGATGGTGATGGTGTCGTAAATCGTGACGTCTCAGATCCCTTTGATCCAGCCAAGCCAATCCGCTAACAAGTACGCCCTTGTCCCAAATATACGCCACAAGAAGAAAACAAAATCAAGCCAGGACTGGCAAAAATCACATCCAGGTATTCCCAAACTCCGTGACAATGCAAATAATCCAACAAGGCCCCGTTCAAGGCTGCCGTGGTCGCGTGGTTGCTCCTGTCCCATGTGGCTGTGCAGGGCCAACCACTTACACAGCATCCAGCCCCGTGTGATACCAGAAAGACGGCACTACATCATCTTTCCCCCCTCTAGCCGAGAAAAGACAGGCCAAAGAGACCCCTGCTGGATCCCCCGTCGAGCACTGCGCAAGCCTCCATCTCATCGTCGGCCCAGCGCTTCTGGACGGCGCCGGGTCCGTACACAGAGCCTCGCCGGTTGGGCCGGCTCGGATAGAAGACGTGCATGCGGTAGCACTCGGTGAAGCGCGCCCACTTCCAGTCGCGAGGAGACCGGCAGGATCCGAGCTGGTGGGTGGCCCGGATGACGATGCGGTAAGACGTCTCGTCCGCACAATGCTCGATGGTGATGTCATAGTCCATCAGGCACAAGCCGCACGATCCCGGAGCCTCGCGGCAGGGGACGAGGCCGTCGTCGCCCGCCGCCGGCTTCTTCTGCAGCTCGGGGATGGAGTGGCGGAAGGGCGACGCCGCGGCGAACAGCGACGTGTGCTCGCACAGCTTCAGGTCGCGCGGGCCGGTGCAGCTGCGGAAGTCGGCCACGTCGGCGTCGGCCACGGTCAAGACGTAGGTGCGGCGCAGGAACAGCTCGTCGTCCATGATCTTGGCCGACGTCGAGCACCGGATCGCCACGGCGTCTCGGCGCTCGCTCTGCTCGACGCACAGGTTGGCCAGGGGGATGCCGTGCTCGGGCCCGTAGAAGTGTCTGTTCATGGCCAGCCGAGCATGGGTGTAGCTCAGCGTAAAGGGGTTGCCGGCTGGCGCGAACCGATCTCGGCTCACGCACTTGCCCGCCTTGAGGCTTTTTCCAGCAGCAGCATCGTCGACTT